ATATATAAAGCTTTTCTTTTTCCTTTAAAAGGTGTTTCTTTTTGATGGGAAATGAAAATATACTTGTTGCTTTAAATTGCAACGTTTTTGAAAACGGTTGTATATTCAATTTTCAACCATTAATAAAAGAGTTAAATGGGAGCTTGACAAATATGATGTTAAAATGGATAATTGTAAAAAAAATAAATAGGTAAATGTATACATACACGCATACAAACACATGTATCTTAGTCTTGAGTAGACAACAATAGCCTTTTGTATTACCTTTTAAAAGCTGCAGAAGAAGTACTTTTAATTTCAGGCAGAATGGTTTCCCAAATTTTAGCTAAAGCAAATTTCAATACAGCTATACCATACTTAAGACATGCTGATGGCTGAAAGAAATTTTGGTTCTCAGCAAATCTGGTGTTAAACCAGTGAACCTCTGCTGCAAATATGTGGGTATTTGATAGTGTCACTAGGATTCTACTTTGGTCATTCTTAATTTGAAAGGAATAAAGCAATATATTGTTAGTTTGTAAATATTTTCAAGCTTCAAGGTTCCAAGATGATTATAGTAAGGGTTAACAGTTGTCTGCTGTGAGAAATTATGCTTTATATACATTCGCTTCGCTTAATACAGATTTTGTTTAATTAAGTTTTGTATGCACCTCCTCAGCTGGCAAGGCCATAGTTTGAATATGTGTAGATGAGAGTGTATTATATTTTTGGAGCAAAGAGAGGTCATTATACTAACATTATACCAACATTTTTGTTAAATTATTATTGACATGTCCCATTTTAAATGCTTATCAATGTATACACCCATGCAGATACTTAATATAACTTTTACAATCAACATTGGAGATGTTCAAATGTACTTTTATCCTTGTTGATGCTATCAGCATATAATTTGTCTTTTTGAAATTTAGATAGTTTTTTGATCGCGCAGTACTTTGAGAATAGATTTAAGCTCTTTATGACTTTCAATGGTAAGAAAAGTGTCAGTATCATACGCAAATATTCTAAAGAAAAATGAATAAAGGGGATAAGCTTCTAAAGAAACTGTGGTGCTGCGTCGGTGGGAGAGTATAACAAGTTAATTTGGTATTATCAACTGAGTTGATAACGTAAACTGGTCACCATTAAGAGTTTCAAAGCTGACGTTTCGAGCGTTAGCCCTTAATCATTCGCTCTGTCGAAGGGCTAACGCTCTAAACTTGAGCTTTGAAACTCTTTACGGCGGCCAATTTAAGATATTAATTCAGTTGATAATACCAGATTACCTCAGTAGTTATTCTGAAAGAAAGCTTACATGAACTTGGTAAGTCATTAATATAAAGAAGCAATAGCAATGGTTCCAGAGTAGAACCCTGGGGTAGCCCAAATATAATAGTTTCTATACTAGATTCAACATCATTTATTTTTACATACTGAGTACGATTACAGAAGAAACTTTCAAACCATTTGATTGGACTTCCTTTAATTCCATAGGCGTATAGTTTGGAAAGCAGAATATTTTCTGTAGCCAAAGTTGTCTTTATGTATGATATCATTTAATTTTGTTTTCCAGAAAAGAGTTTAACTGATCATACGTTAATCGTTGGAGCACTTTACTGAAGGAGGAAAGTGCCGTAACTGGTCTATAATTTCCGATGTCGGTAGCCGTCTCGCTGCTCTTATGTATGGGGGTAACTCCTGATATTTTAAAAGCATTTGGCACCACACAATTTGCAATAGATTGGATGTCAATATAAGTAAAGGTTATTGATAGTGGTTCAGATGTAATTTTTATTAACTTGTTTGAAATATCCTGTGGGTTTATTTTCATTTGGATTTTGGAAAAGTTTGCAGAATGGAGACGCAATGAAGCTTGAAGCTGGTGATTTATTAATATATTTGGTAGGCCTTGGGCAGCATTTTCAAGACCTCGGTCACAGTTTTTCACCATACGGACCTTCCAGCCAGCAAATAACATATAAGGATATATATTTCATGTGGCTTTTAATTTATGCTTGTGTAGATTAAGGTCCTTTGAGAGTGCTTACTGTAGTACGTCTTTGCTTTGTTAAATTTGTTTACATTTTACATTTTTATATTCTGCCATAACAAGGTCTTTAAGTGAAAACATGTTCTGTACATATTTTGTTTGGTTTTTATGGGTTTATTCATACCATTAGTTATCCATGGTTCAGTGATTTGCCTTTTCTTACCTCTGGACGTAAGCTTCTTTGTTTCGTGTTTATGAGCAATAAACTGAACAGTATATACGGTCCTCTGGATTAATTCATTTAGGTCATTTCATTTATTGCAGATAGCTTTCCAGTCGATTGCTCTGAGATCCTGAAGATAAAATTCAGGACTTTAAGTCCCATGAGATTGTTTGACCAATTACACTGAAATTCAGGGGAAATTAACAAAGAAGAAAACCACAAAACAATCACCTTTGCTCTTTGTGGTGTCATCATCTCATTTTAATTCATGATTAGATTCTTTTTTTTTTTTGGACACAATACTAATTCATTTATCATTCTGAGACACTTCTAAATAAATTGTCTTACTTTTTGAGTCATGAGTCAAAATGACATATCTGACTGAGTATTGAGATAAATTTAAATACGTTTGCGTTAACTGGACGTCAAACATTAACATCAAATTGACAACATTTTCAGGCGAGCTGATAAAGCTTTGTTCAAAATAATTAAGTCAAGAGATGAGGTCCAAAACTGTAAATCACTATGCGTAATTTATCGAACACTCAACCTCGCGCAGGTATAATTACCTAACACAGCTTGGAGTGCTTGTGACGTACCTTCCAAGCAATTCCGACGATACAATCTAGAAGTAGTAATTAATTTATCATTCTGATACACTTCTAAATGAATTGTCTTACTTTTTGAGTCATGAGTCAAAATGACATATCTGACTGAGTATTGAGATAAATATTGAGATGTTTGCAATAAAGTGCATGGCCGCATGTACAATTCCCTAGCTTTTTTGGTGTTTGACATGAGTATTAAGCGGGAAGGAAAATAGGTTGGTGTGACAAAGTAACAAAAGTTACTTGGGCTATTTAAGAAAGATGCTTTGCATGTGGCAAAAGGATGCTCTTTCTTTTGAAGAAAAAAAAGATACTTAATGCCACTCGTGCTGATAGCGTTAATGCGAAATAAGCTTTGGTTACATGTTGGAAAACAGAGTTGTTTATAACATTTCGCTTAACGTTTGTGACGGTTCAAGGATCTTGCATTAAAAGTGATTTAATGCAGGAATGCAGTCCAATCGTCAAAAGCCAAGTGTGCTGAGCATCTCAGGAACATAATCAAATCAAAAGAGGGGGTTTTTTCTAATTATTCAACGGTAAGTTTGTTAATCTCTTAAGAAAAAATGTGAAGAAATAGAGTTCCCTGTTTACAATCGCGAATGAGGCATTTATATTAATAATGCACAGTGTAAACAACAGATGCCTGACGTTGTCACAGAGGTAAAAATTAACCTTTTTATCTTCGCGAAATTCCCTAGTACCTGAATTAAACAGACATTAGCAGAATTTTCCTCTCAGTCAAGACAGCTTAATACCACTTCACAATAGTTTAACATTTTCTGTTATATTTTTCAGTCTCTATATTCCTTCTATTTGTCAACAGATGATGATAATTGGACGGAAAAATCTTATTTTCACCTGGTTTTTCTTCCAAATGATGAATATTGGAAACCAGAAAGAAATGCAATCCTCTAGGTCAGCGTTCTAGTTGAAGTAAAGCTGGAGTCGTGAGGCACCATGACGACTAGCTTTCCCATTGCAACAACTGATGACTTTTGCGTTTCCTCAACTAATGATGGGAGCTATTAACAAATTTGTTTTTAACAATATTTCTCAGCACATTTCTCAATCGTAAACAAGTTTAGTAAAGCCAGCTTTACGATACAGATCAGAGACGTAGGCATTTTTCATTTAATGGTCCAATTTTCGATCGACTTGAGCTCAATTTTGAAAGGACCTCTTTGATGAAGAATTGAGAAGAATTGATGACAATTTTTCTTTACAATTTACACAGGTAAGCGATTATTGCCACGATTCACGAGTTGATTACCTACGTGGTGCCAAATCACAAGTGAAAAATGGCGTCCAGGGTCTTCAGTCAACATCTCATGAAAGCTTTCACGAAGGACTAAGTTTAAAAATTAGCACAGGTAGTGCGACAGAGTTGCAACGATGACTAAAGTGTATTAAGTATATTAAGTACGGTATCTTACAAGTGTAGATATATACTGATAATAATATATATATAAAATTAGCAAAAGCCGAGTGAGTGCTATACAAAAGTAGTACATACATGTGGACTGTCCAACCTGGTTCACACATGCGCGGAAAGAAAAACTTGAAAAAGGTCTCAAAAGGACTGATAAGAATCGCGAATAAATAAAGGAAAGTTTCTCGATACAGATCAAACCCAACATTTAAAACCAAAAAGTTTCTAAATCTACAATCCACAAAAGTAGTCAAGGCATAGTTAACAAAGGCAAAACGACAATCGGGACGAAAAGCCTCGATCGAACGCCATTTATAAAAAAAATGATTGCGCCTGTGAATCGTACCTTCCTCAAGAAGGTAGGATGCGCAATTTGCTTTTGCGTTCGACGTTTGAACGTTCTATGCATCTGTACTACACTTACATTTGCATATGCCTCGCACGTGTGAACCAGGCGAACCACTCAGAAATCCCTCTGCAACTACAATTCTGAGGTCCAGACAGGTTCACTCAGATTCTCGAATTAGTTATGCTGTTTCTCGCCCCAGTCTTCACACGCCGAAGGGGAAGGGAGAGGGAGCACTTCCTTACTTTGCTTAAACAAGAGAAGGAGTTTTAATTTTTTTTTTGGCTTCCCCAACCCCCCCCCCCCCCTTTCCGCAGCAAGTGCCCCCCACCACACCAGAAACCTATTTGAGGTAATGATACACTGACTTTACTCCATATGATCACTAAGAGTTCCTAGTGAACAGTCTAAATGTAAAAAAAGACGTAAATACAGTCTCTTTGGAATCTATCTTTGCGTGTCAACGGCTCCACACATGGATCTCATCTCCGTCTTTAATCTTGTACCTGTAGAGCTTTTTGGGTCCATATTTCATTTCTTCGAGACCAAAACACAACCCCACGTCTTTGTAAAATATCTTAAAGCCTGGAGGAGGTATTCCGATGATCTCACTGACATACTTTTTCAGGCTCGTTGTGCTCTGCATAAGGTTAATTTCCTGCTTGCAGACAGGTTGATCGTCAAATATCAGAGATATTGTAGCAGTTTTTTTGGCTTTCAAGTTGACCTCTGCCAGTCGGTCCAACATTCCATGAGTTCCAACCAATTCAAGATACCTTAAAGGAGGACTTTCGTCATCCATGTGATGTCGAATGAAAAATCTTTCAGCATCTTCTCTTTCCTCTGCAGATATCTTGGTTTTGTTTAGTTTCTGTATGTTGGGGAGCCTTGCAATAAGAAGCTGTCGTTTGTGTTGGTCAGTGTACTGATACAGCAATGGAATTCCCATCACACTGACATCTGTTAATATGGGGAAGGATTTAAGCGCATCAATGGCTTCCCACGTATCTAGCAGAGTGTTGTTTAGGTTCAACGCCTTCAGGTTTGGAAACTGTTGAGGAACCTCTTTTGGAGAAATGTTTTCCAGAGGGCACTCAGACATTCGTAATTCCACAAGTCCTGGGAAAACGAATCCAATTTTTCCAATCTCTTCCCATTGTGTGATGGCATGTTTGTTGATTGACAAGCTCTTGATGTTTGGATATTGTTCTGGGCAATCTGGAATACACTCGTAGCCATTCAGGCTGAGGTATAGGTCCTGCACCCTAACATTAACATGGAAATGAGGTAAGGAACAACGGATGTAAATGTATCTCATGTCAATGAATGACAGTTAGAATTACTGTAAGCTCTGAAGGCTACCAGGGTCAGACTTTCGTGAAGAGTTATAGAGAAGGGTTATAAATTCTTAATCTGCATGAGATATTTTCATCCAATTTTTTCATGAATGAAATGTATTGCACACTTGTTTTCTATTCTTTAGCAATAGCTCCAAAGATTGTTTTACAATTTTCTTTTAATTTTTTTTATGCAATATACCCTAGTACACACCTTTTGGTACCTGCATATCTACCCAACCCTTTCCTATCAACTCTTCCTATGGTCTAGGCCAATGGAGTGGTTATTATCAACTGTTCTTTCAAGTAATTAAAAAAAAAAAAAAAAGGTTTTCTGCACAAGAATGTTAGTTTCAGTGTAAAAATGTTAGTGGATAATAGGTGCAGTAAGCTAGACTGATGCAAGATTGGGGCAAGGAAAGAGTTGGGTTTCCAGTTGAGTAAAGCTACATGTGCTGGTCCATGCATTTTAACTTGTGGTTGTTCAGAAATAAACCCACTGCACAACAAGCAGAGCAACAAAAAATAACACTAGCAACATGGAGGCATTACAATGTAGTCTGCCTTGTTTTCCTTTTTACTATTGCTTTTCTCTGTCATTTTTGCATGTTTGTTGGTTTGTTTGTTGTACTTTATGACCTTTTGCACAGCAGTCTATTTGAAGCAAAACCTACCCACTGAGACAGTTCAGCAAAGAGTTCACTGTTTCCAGTGGCACAGCAGTGTTGTTTAGGATCAATTTTTTTACTGAAGGAAGTGACTCCTTTGGATGTTCTCCTAGTAATGGAGTAAAATCTGCAATCTTATGTGGCAAGAAGTTTTCACTCAGGTTTAGAAACTCAAGTTTCTGGAGCTGACGGATTATTTGAAAAACCTAACACATTAAAGAAAAACAATATTAATTATAACAATAGTAATTTATGCATGAGAAGCTAGTGCTCCATTACTGTGAGGGTTTGTTTGGGTTTCTGCTTTAAAAACTAAACAAGAGCAATGCTATTTCCCCTGGATGGGGAAAAAGTTAAATTCAGCCTTAATAATTTCAGTAAATATAAAAAGACCCTACAGTAAAAGTAGAAACAGCTACTATGATAACACATAGGGTATCTTCACTGCATGTGGGGAGGATATCTTGCTTTTGAAACAAAAGAAAGTCTACTATTTCACTGATATCTATAAAAGAAATGTGATTATTACTTGAAACAAACAGAATGCATTTACATGTATCTCACCTCATGAAAGTCAGAAAGGTCATTCTTGGCCAGATCAAGTTCTTCTACATTTGGACACATGGATGCAATCTCTCCAACTGGACCAGCACAGTTGATACCACAGTCATCAAGAGTTATGATTCTCTTGTGAAAGTGTTCTGACTGGCCAAAAGAGGCTGAAAATTACAAGTTAGAATTAGGAACTCTTGATAAATTCAGTAAGACAGACAACTATTTAATTATCACTAAAAAGACACTCAGACTGGCAGCATACTAAAAATACAGTGGAACCTGTATTGAGTGGTCACCCACAGGGAATGGGGGATGACCATTTAATACAGGTTGACTGCTTTGTGCAGGTTCCACAGAACAGGTTACAAGAGAAATAGGATAAAAAGGCCATTTTATGCTATAATTGACCATAAAATGTACAAAAACTCACTCAGAAATACTGCTTACATTGATTTTAGGAGATAAATATGGATTGCATTTTCCTTGAAAGATCACTCTTAGTTTTGAGTAGTCCTGCTTTAAGTGACCGTTCATTACTGATGGAAATCAATACAAAAAGGCCACTAGGACTCAATAAAGGATGACCACAATCAACCTAACAGAGGTGATCGCTTAAAATGGTGAAAATTACAGTAACTAAGGGTAAAGAAATTTGGGACTGCTTAAGACAGGGTGACTGCTTTTATGGTGCCACCTGAAACAGGTTCATATTGAATTAAGGACCATGTAAATGAAAAAAAAAGCCACAACATCAACAACAACCAATCAAACACAAATACTACACAAAGGAAAAGAAAAACAATTGAAAAAAAAAAAGGTAAACTTATTCTTGGTGTTTCATGTTGCCAAAGTGTATAACAACATAAAATAATTATTTGATTCAAAAAAAATATGGAGATTTGTCATAAGCTAATCACATGAGAAATAAGCAAATCAAATTTTAGTCTCTGAAGCAAAGGACACTCTAGATTTAGTAGAAAATTGTTCCTATTATGGCATAACTTTCTTGTGATAACGAAACAGACGATCCGCTGACTACCGATCGTTGAATTATAAATGCAAATATGGCTAGTAAGTGGCACAACTGGTAGCATTTTCCAGGTAAATGAAATAAAGTGACCCTAATCATCCACTGTTTTATGTATTTCTTTGGATGGAACAATCGACATAAAGTTCTAGAACATCGATGTAAATATGGCCAAGTTTAAAATCTGAATGAATATCTGGAAAGAGTTCGCACAAGACGAATTCCTTTCATTATGCATTCAGTATTGGAGAAAAGACGACAATGGAAAAACAATGAATTACCATATGACGGCTTTGTTTTAGAATAGAGGGGATAAGTTTCTAAAGAAACTGTGGTACTGCATCAGAAGGGGTAATACAAGAAAACTTGGTTTTATCAACCGAGTTGATAATGTAAATGAACACCGTTAAGAATTACTAAAGTTCGAACGTTACCCCTTCGCTAAACCCAATTCGCTCTGACGAAGAGCTAGCGCTCGATACGTCAGCTTTGGAAACTCCTCATGGTAGCCGACTTGTTTTATAATCGTATGGGGTCAGATGGAAATCTTTCCGAACACTTTTAAAATTAAATTTTTAGTGTCCAACAAACTCACCCTTTTGTTTTGGAGAGCCGGTTATGTGTATAAAGCATAACTCTTCATCACTTTGGTCTTCGCTGTATTTATTTAACAAAGCGTCTTTAAATGATAGCCTCCTTTTCTCAGCTTGAGAATCCTCCATCGTGACATTAAAGGCAGCAGAAGTACCTAGTTGCGCAAAATAAAGACTCCACATTCCTATAAACGATTGACACGAAAAATTCTGCGGAAAAAATGGACTATTTTTGCTGATCTTACAGAATTGGTCTCTCATGCGTGTCACGCAATGACCAAAAAAAATGAGCTAGTCACGCAATTTTTACCAGCGAAACTTGTAATATCGCTTGCTTGTACCTTTTTTAAGACTTCTTCCTTTGACTCTTTATCTTTCCAGGATAATCAACCGTAGTTTTCCCTAATACTTTCTTCGTTGTTGACCTGGTAAACTCTTTGTTTTGTTTTTATTTTTACACGACCGCAAAGGATCAGGGACTTGAGACGTGAGGGGCCTGGGAGGAATGACGTAATTAGCTTCTTACATAACATGGCTCCCAGATTCTTTAGTACCTGTTGGGAATTTTCACTTTCCAGCTACACTGGAGCAGAATGATATACTTCCTGTTCTCTGTGGCCGTCATATTTCCTTTCCGAATGATTGAGCGGAGAAGTAACTTCTACTCTTCGGAAACCTGTTGAATTTGGGGTTGTTTTTACGGAACTTTCCCGAGATGATGAGCTCTTCACTATTTGCGAGGGTGGCATTTTACCCTTCTCTTCTCTGGGGAATTGTAACAGAGAGTTCGACTAAAAGATGGTATGATCGTATAGACACACACATCCTCTTGGGTGCTTTGCCGTTTAAGAGTCAAACCAAAGAAGTAAGTAATTTCAAGAGCTCTTACATGTATTATTTGTTTAAGGGTATCTTGAGAAACTAATTTACACAACTATGAATTCCCTCTTTCCCTCTCTTTCCTCCTTCTTAATTCGAAAGTATTCATCGGGATCATCTCTAACTCACTCATTTAACATCTTTATCAACAGCCAAACTGTTGTAATTTGATAGGAATTCGAGATATGTTCTTTTGCTAGAGTCCTCACTTGAAACTGGGTTAACAATATTTGTTATACACTCATTATTTCCTTTGGTCAAAAGAAAAGTGTAAATATTTGTACCTACGTGGTATTATACGAATTCAAATGTATCCTGTGTAGTGATCATCATCATCATCAAAGATAGCTTTGGCAGATGGAATCATGCTCATGTCAGCAAAGTTAACTTAATGAATGCACCCTCCATGTAGCTGTGCACAACTAACCCTTTAACTCCCAAGATCTCTTTAGTAATTCTCCTTACTGTCTACCATACAGTTCTTGTGATGTTAGTTTGGAGAATTTGGTATTGGATCAACTTATAATCCCCTAATTGATATTTTCTTTTTTCTCATCACTTATCTGCTTGATATTGTATTGCCATTGTAAGGAGAAATTCTGTCTTGGTCACTTGTGGGAGTTAAAGGGTTAAGAAAAGCACATGTAAACACCCTGACCAGTGTTCAACTATTTTTTTAAAAGGGGGTTAGTGTCTAAAGAGACTGTGGTGCTGTGTCAGTGGGAGGGTATTAAACAGGGTAATTAAGTATTATCAACTGAGTTGATGATGTAAATTGGCCACTATAAAGAGTTTAAAAGCTGACATTTCGAGCATTAGCCTTTTGTCAAAGCAATTGTTTCTAGCAATTTCTTTTTTTAAAAACAGGATTAGTGTAACTGTGCCTCAACTGATAACCCTGTTTTGTAATGGCCTTTGCTTTACCAGACTGCTCTAAGGGATTAAATTTACCAATAGTAGTTAGTCTTCTTTGCATGCATATGCATGCAAGACCTTAGCTAGAGAATGCCATTGCCTTCTGTTGGATGCCAGTCAGTCAAATTGCCCTTATGTCTAACCTGTGTCTCTCAATTTCCCCTTTCTATGATTTGTTGTCCAAGTTTCCTCAAGGTGGCCTCTCTTTTGTTGATCATTAGGAGTCCATCAGAGGGCAACTCTTAGTAGGGCTGAATTGCTGGATTCTATTTGTACATGGCTGCATGCTGCATGAATCATTGGGTTCTGTAACTAGATGTAGTCATCCAATTATTAGTTGAAATCTTTGGTGAATAATGGAAACTCTTGCTATCCTAATGATAATCCTGATTGATATACTGATAACTCATTCAAATTATTTTGTTATAAAATAACAAAAAATTTTGTATGCTAAAGAATCAATTTTGTTTCACGATGAAATAAATGATTACAACTTTTCAATTAATGTTTTATCATTTGCAGTTGGTGGAAAATGAAAATGTCAGAGGAGTAGTAACCATGAATGAAGACTATGAATTACGATACTTTTCCAACAGCAAAGAGGTACAAACAATAACAATAGGTGCAAGTGTGTTGATTATTATGCTCCCTAAAATTAATGATCCATGTAGTCTAGAAGAGACCTCAGTGGGAAGTAACATTATATGACAGTAAGGGATAAAGGAACAAAAAACAAACAAACAACAAAATGCTACACCATCAAGAAACCTTATAACAGGTTTTTTGTTAACAAAGAAAGTAACAAAGTCAATAATTGACAGCCAATTATCAATTCCTCATTGAGTGATAAGTCACTGCCTAAGGTGGTTGATGAGGGTAAGCCTTTTGTCTTTGGTTTACAAAAGGTACGTTTCTAAATCCCTGTTTTCTTTTATTTTTCTTAAGCTTGTATTTACTATTTTAATCTGAAACAGAGGGAGATAAGAATCAAACTGGTTTTAAATACTCTTAGCAAGAAAAGACATAGAAACCATAGACATAATCTGATCAATGCAACATTATTGTCTCTTTGTGGATAGTGTGACTTAGACTGTCACTCTGTCTGACCAATCAATGTTCTCCTTTTCAGGCAGTAACTGGTAACATTTTACTGCCTGTAGTACCTCTTATTACCATTTAGAATTGCTTGGAATTCTTGAAAATTCAACTTGTAAAAGGATTACTTTACCGGTTTGAAAATTTATTTTACCTGTCATGCTTAAAATAAGGGAGAACACTGCCAATATCCTGTGTTTTGGACTGCAACTCTTACCATGCTATATGCATTGCATACATGCATACCCCTAACCTCTGGTGGGTAATCCAACTTTTTCTGTTACGTGATCAAATGAAATTTACTTCATTAAAAATTATGATCAGTTTCCTCCACAGGAAAAAAGAACACTGCTTGAAAATGTAACCCACTCCCAACAAGTGGTTGGTTGTAGCGCCCTAAACTAACCTGGGAAGCACAGATTTTAAGGTTTTTTTCACAGGCCTTTTTTCTGCAATTGCATAAATTGCTTTTTGTGATACACATGGCTTATTCATTTGATAGTAAGATATGGAAACAACTTAATGCTTTGCCGGTATTTTGTTTGGGGGACAGGAATGGGCAAGTTGGGGAGTGACTCAGTTGCACTTGGCTACAGTGGATTTTAATAATGCACCGTCCCAAGAGATGCTTAGAAAAGGAGTTGAATTCATTGAAGAAATGAACCAGAACCAAAACAGCGTGTATGTTCACTGCAAGGCAGGCAGGGGACGCAGTGCCACACTTGCAACATGTTACATTATGAAGGTAAAGTATGAAGTTACTTTTAATTATTAAATAAAGCTAGCATTTAGTGATACTCACAGAAGCCATTTCACTGTGCAGTTCAGTTTCAAGAACCTTTTTCCTTGACCTTCTAACTCCCTTGAGTGACCAAGATGAATTTCTCCTCACAATATCAGTACAACATCAACCAGGTAAGGGTTGAGAATAAAGAAAGATAACAATTTTGGGATAATTAGTTGATTCAACACTAAATTCTCTGAACTAACATGTTAAGAATTGTGTGGTTAACAGTATGGAGAATTACAAATTTGATCCAGGAGTTAAAGGGTTGATAGTGTGGTAGGTGGCTGTTGTTAAAAAATCTATCCATGAAAAAAGGAGACTAGAGTTCAAACTTCATAGAAAATATGGATCAATATCAGTATCTGGGCAACTGCCCACCTACCCCTCCCCTAACCCAACATTAACTCTAACTTGTTATCAATAGACTGTTGTTGGGCTAGGGGAGGGGTAGGTGAGCAGTTGCCCAGATACTGATGTTGATCCGAAAATATTTATTAAACTTGTGAAATGAGTCACCACATTTGGCTAAAATAAAAACTCCAAAACTTCTTAAAATTCCAAAGAAAGGGTTAACAAATTTGCGCAAACAAAAGTTAAAAAAATAACTGACCAACAAAGAACAAAAGTACACAAAAAATGTCCATGTCAGTTTTCAATGCCAAGGTTAGAGTTCTTTGCAAAATCACATGCATTTCACATGGAAAAAAAAAAGAATTCAAATGGGAGAGAGGAAGAGAGAAATTGTAATTTGAAAATCAAAAATAAAAGAGATTTTCTACAGATGTGTCCAAAAAAGGAGCCATAAGGTCAAAACCCAACTTCAGAGCCTGTTCTGAGGGGAAATTAATAGATGACAGAAAGTGGTCTAGGCAGTAGAGCACAGCCTGTTAACTGGCTTTAATCAAAACCCTTACTGAGTTAATGCACTGATCTTGGACATTTTTTGCCAAAATTTTTTGTATCAGCATTCCAATATTCTCCATTCTCTGCCATCAATCTTTTCTTCTTGGTTTATTGTTGCATCTACTCTTTTCTTATCTTGGTAAACAGATATTTTGTGGTCTTCAGTACCTGTAGACATCCTTTCTCTTCAATTTTTTATAACAACTGTAAACCTATCACACACCTGCAGTTTTTTTCTATTTGAGAGCATGATCCAGATAATGTAAATTTTCCTGTCAAAAAATCTATTAAGCCAGTGCTGAAGAATGGCCTGTATATAGAGTGGGTAGTTGTTTGATGCATTGAATGGCAATGCCATTAGGGGTTAAGGGTGGGAAATGGGGAAGTTTTCCCCCTCATGTCTCCTTACCATCACAGGTCATTTTTGAAGTTCCCCCTACCCAACCAATGTTCCAAAGTGCTTTCCAAACCAACAGCAATACAGACTGAATTACAGAGAAGTTCATTCCAGAGCAGGGCAGTGAACAGGTTTTGTAACAAGAGCAGTAAAATTTACTACATTGTAGTTTACCATTAGCAATCTACACTTTAACGCTCCTAATTAGTTTTATTTTCTTTTGTTCTGGATTGTAGGCCAAAAGGTTACAACCAATGGATGCTTACCAATATGTCAAGAGTAAAAGACCTCACATACTTATTGCCTCTCGGCAGTGGGCTGCTATTGAACTGTTCTATAAGAACCTATTAGATCAAGATCACCATGATGCAATATAAAATATTCCCGGCCACTATATACATCTACATGCAATGACAGTTTTTGAATGTTGACAGTCAAATTATTTATTTCTGTAAACAGATTTTTCACAAAATCATTAAGAAAGCTAAACTCAACACCTTTTATAATTTAGGTGTATACTTTCTTGTGTAGTTAGCTTTAAAATGATTCTTACACTAATTGTAAACCACCCTGGGATGGTTCAATTGAATCCAGGAAGACTTAAACGAGGGTGTACACCACAGGAAGCCTGTCCCAGCACATCCTGTCAGGAAACAGGTCTCATTTTGGGGGCACAGCACACCAGAGAGCCCCCTCTATCACTTTTGACAGTAGTCAACTCCGCCTTGTTTGTTTTGCTGACAACAATTTACGAAGCTTCAGGATTTAACAAAGCTTGTCAGAAACTTATCAATTTTGTTTATTATTTTTTTTATTTTTTTTATTTTGCCATTTTGTAATTATAATACATCAGTAAAAATGAAAAAGGAATTACATATACATTAATGTGTTATAGCTGAAGATTTAGGAAACCCATTGGGAAACCAAGAGGCTTATGTGAGCTACAGACTCCTCATATTTTGCAAAAATAAATAAATAATTTTTTTAACTTATTTATTTCACCATTTCTTATTATAATACAACAGTAGAAATAAAAAACAGTTACATATACTTTAAATGATGTAGCTGAAGATTAAACATGAGGCAAGGACCCCCTGTTGGGAAACCAAGGCTTATGTGAGCTAGAGGCTCCTCATATTTTACAAAAGTGAGGTACAGTATCTTTCAGTTTTATGGCATGATTTAGGTTCAAAATATTTTTGGTTAAAAAAGAAAGGGCACACACACATTAAACAACAACAACAATAGCAGGCACTCAAAACAAACATATACTTCAGCAGGGTGAGAAAAGTAAGCAAAAAATAAATTAACAAATCAAGAAGAATAAGAAGGGAGTTGACTTTAGTAATGTTTGCAATTTAGACTTCAAGAGAGAGTGCCATCATTTTGGATTTCTATATTCAGAGAATTGCAAAATTTAGGTCCTTGGAAACATAACGCAAACTGTTTGATATTTGTTCTGCAAGGGCTATGTAATGATTGTCACAATGATTGTGACTTGAAAACAAAAATTATATTATTAGAGCATCAGGAAGATGGCTTATCTTTAACAAAAACATGATCTTTCCTATTTGAAATCAATATATATTGTATGGATTAAGAACTTTCAACTGCTTAAATATAGGTTCAGTATGAGCATTAAAAGTACTTCTTGATATCAAGTTAATATATTTTTAACATTTTCCCAGTTTGCAATTCTTTCCAAGACACATGGAGGGGGAGGGTGTGGTGTAAAGCTGCAGGCTAGTGCACTGAGGGAAGACATCTTCCTGTTTATTGGTAAAGACACTTGAAACACCTGTCATTTTGTACGTTATCAGAACTATTTTTCTAAGCATTGTCTCGTGAAGAATGTTGAAAATAGCATTTCTAATGATCCTCTACATTTCACTTTTTTTGCAGAATGCCACACCTTTTATATACATATTCCTTCAGGGCTTGTTCTCAACCATTTTCCATAAGATTAACTTTATTAATGGTAATTTTTTTTATTATAAATTTCTGACAAAAACTGTACATTTAAACATAAATTTGACTTCAAAGAGAAGTTATTATAAACATGCTATCTTAATTCAGAAGGAACTGTTTACATGAGTCAGCTCACTTCAGCCATTGTAACCTGCAAAATACAACAAGATTGTACATTACCCTGGTTTGACCATAATATGGTAGAAATAGCTTTACAAATTAATTAGGATGAAAGCCAATTTACAGTGGTAATTTAGTCATATTAGTGTATTTAGAACAAAGAATTCTTTGAATTCTTCCAGAAAGAAAAGAAGTAGACTAGTTATTTTCCTCCTGAAATTTTTAAAGATCAGTTACTCTGACTTCATGAGGAAGGCAAAAGTGAAGATTTACCAAATCATTTGTAACTCAATGCATCATGGACAGAGTATGCATGCAGCTGCACAACAATTATGCTGCAGCACAAGTTCACTCAGTGTTTATGAGGTTTGAATGTCGAATTTAATTATAAAGTAAATTAGATGCAACAAGCTTGATTGCAATTGATTTTACTGTTTTTAACTACCTCTTGAGAAGCAGCTTGGTCTTGTATATCATCCAAGTTTTTGGACTTTTTCTTGCTATTTTTTGGGATACTTTTTTGGAAAGCTCTGCTGGACCCTCTGCCAAAGCATATTGTCTTTGGTAGCCTGGGGTGAAAAAAAGAACAACCATGCTCAATCTATGTTACACACTAAATTAAAACATGTGTACATACAGTAACTTCTTTCAATAACCTGCAAACCCTGTGGCTCAAGATCACACTCACCGAAATTTCTGACCTATTACCTTTAAGTAATCTTGTAATTTGACAGTAAACAACTGTTGCTGCAGGTAGTGGGGAGGTGCAGGTTACAGTGTAAATCTAGCAATACTGGTTAACCTTTAAAGTCCCAAGAACTGATTTTAAATTCTCCCCTCTAGCTGCTACACTTTTCCTTGTAAATTAGTTGGTGTTAGATCAAGATAACTTCTACTAAGTTCAAGTAGATGTATTCTTATTACCTGTTTGCTAGACAATCTATGGATATGGTTGGGAGAAATTAAATGCTTATCTTTTCAATTACAACTCATGACATAATCTTTTGAATTCATTGTTTTCCAAGAAGTTGGTTACATAATTGACACCAGTATAATGCAGATCAACAAAACAGGCTAAGCTAAATCTAACAATTAATAAAGGTACATGACCTGTACCTAAATCTTATTCACATTAAAACTAAAATTTGTGATAACATCACATCAAAAGGTCTTAAATGCATGTACAGATGCTGGAACTATACTGTTGAAAAAATAATAATTACCACGAAACAGCTTTTGACCCTTTTCAAATTTATTCTTTTATTTAAAGGTAATCATAAAATGTTCATTAACCTTTGTTTTGGTGCTGTGTTGACCAAGGGTGCAGGTTCCTACAAAAGAGAGTGCAGTTTCTAAATTGACAAGTACTAGACCACAAAAGAAGTTAAAGTTAACATTCTAATAGAAACTGATTGGCTATCATTAGAATTACAGCATACTTGACAAGTATGGATAACTATTATAAGTTCATTTTTTATTATGATGCTATCAAATAAAATACATATGTACAATGTAGATCAGTAATATTTCAGTCTGTAAGTGGCAAAACGAATGCATTAAGAACCTTGAAAGGATATAATTGCTTGAACATCTTCAGTAAATCCCCATAACTTATGTGAAACTAATCATTTTGCAAAAGAGTAATGCAGAATAATATTAACTGAAATTAAATTCAATTTCACTCATTTCTTAACCTGAGGTAGGGTAGATGTGTCCATTGCTTCGGGCGAAGTTTGCATACTGCAAATAAGCAAAAAAGTGAACCCTTCATCAACTTCACCACAATACCCATAAGAAAGCATGGCTAAACTAACCATTTAAGCCAACTCCCCTTCATTTAAGTGAGAGTCTCCCACATCTCACAGTCTTCTGAACTGTGAGTGAAATCTTTCAGTAAAAGAGGGGAAATCAAAGATTTACTTCCATGATTGCTGATGGTTGTATTAATTAAATTCTCTTTCAAATGACTGCCTTGTACTAATTTACAAATGCAAGGTGATGCACAAAACAAAAAATGTCCAGCATGGTCTGAGAACTAAGTTCACTGGTTATCTTCTTAAGACTAACTAAAGAAACTTTTGGAGCAGGATCAATCCTAAGATCTCCACAGGAGAAAAAAGAAAAAAGGAAAATTGATGATGGTAAGATTATTTGAGGGGAAAATTTCAGTGCTTAGAAAGAAAAATACATGTAAAATTATCAAATAATCAAATAAACCTGAGATGATAATTCCTTGTTGAAAGTTCAATGAGTATTAGGCAACATCCTACACAAGAGCTCATCCTCCAATATCTGGCAGATTATTTGGCGATAATTTGCCTAACAATATATATTACTGTGGTTTGCTCTTGACAACAACGTACCTACCTTGTACAGGTGAAGCTGTTTGTTGTGACCACGTTAAGTTAAGGAGGTCGAAATTAGTTTGTAAATTCTAGAATCAAATGCCTACTAAAAGGAACTGTGTTTCCATTAAAGCATTGGTTGCAGATCAAAAGAATTTTCAAACCTTTTGCTTTTTCGCTGTTGTCTGCTTGGACGGTTGAATCTGAAGTCTGATGGATACTTGTGAAGAGATACTAGATGATCCTTATGAGTAAAAAGAAAGAATTACCATTATTTTAATACTGATAGTGATGATAATTCTAATTATCATCTGATCAATAAAAATAGAAAAGCATTCTACTTCACTGAAAGCACATACTAAATGATGATTTGTTAACCCTTTCAATCCCACAAGTGACCAAGACAGAATTTCTCCTTACAGTGTCAATACAATATCAAGCAGGCAGGTGATGAGAATAGAGGAGAATATTAATCATGGGATTATTAGTTGATCCTTTCTGAACCTTGTCACTTAGTAAGAAAATCTATCTTGGGACAACTCTCCACTAGGCACTTAAAATCTATCAGGACAACTCTCCACTAGGCACTTATACTACAAAGTACCAGAAAAAAAAAAGTTTCAAAACAAAATTCATGATCTTGAATACATGTAACCAATTACATTTCTTTTTTTTTTCACTCTCTCTTTTCACCTAGGTACAATGCAATATGTATTGTTGGCTGCAAATGTAACTGTAACTGTATCTTGATAAAGCCACATTCAGTCTTTCTGATTCACAACCCCATACGTGTCTGTCTCACTCTAAGACAAGGCCACATCAGTGACTTGGCATTTATCATTTTAAATAGGCCTCACCAAACACAATCTCAGAGGGAGTATCTCACCCATTTGCTATAGTCTCTCTCTCAAGTCTTCATCGCATATGCCACCCCACCTAAACAAGTCTATGCCCATGCTGATTAATAACATTAATAGAAATAACTATTTACCAAGTTTTTCCTCATGGCTATCATGTTGAATAACATGTCATGGTTTTCTAGAATGTGAATCTCCAACAGGTGAGTTGATGGAAAAGAGCGCTGACATTTTTGACAACAGTGACGATGCAAGCTGTTATAGTGTGCCTCATAGCTACAGAGATTGAAAATGATAAAGATTCAATGATGTCACTATAATCTTTGAGTCTCACATTAAATATAGTACAAACAAAGGGAAAACAAATAAAATAATCAACTTTCATTGTGTTGTTGTTAGGTTTTAAAAAATCTGATATTAGAGTTATTTTAAACTGAGTGACCAAGGCAATCCTGGATTGGCTGGTTTTGCTTCATCTTACTCTGTGATTCAGTCCTAAAAAACTTGTACCAGTCTCTAAGCTGATCAAATTTCAGACAAAATCAATTTCTCACTTCATTTGCTAAAATTCAAAATTTCTTAATATTTAGAAGTAGTTTAATTAATACCTTGGAACACTAGAAAACCATTCTCCACAACCAGGAATGTCACATTGGAATTCAGCTCTATTAATAATAGCAAAAGTTACATGTAAATGCAAATGAATTACTGATATATTAGCTAAAAATGCTCCTCTTTAAATGAATGTGGATTAAGTAAATCCTAAAAAGTAAATTTAGGTTTAAATACCTTTTACTAACTGAGTTCGAGGTCTCTACTGAGAGTCGTGAACCAAGTTTTTTCCACTGGCTTTTATGGCCCAAGCATAAAGTGCACAGGCCATAAGTGGGAGCCCAAAAAATGAGGTCGTGTCAAACTAACAGCCCAGACTAAGTCCGAATAGAGGAAAATGATTTCAATTCCAACAAACATTTCAATTTAGCATGCCATGCAATAAAATATGGCCCACTAAAATTGACCAATCATAGCACACATTCTAAGAGATATATCTGTACAATAATACCTAACAGCATCTAGTAGTAGTAGTAGTAGTAGTAGTAGTAGTAGTTGTTGTAGTAGTAGAAAGCAACTATTCATAATCCCAACATTTTGGATTAGCACTGCAGGCAAGTGAGCCTGAAGAGTTTTCTATGTAAGTCAGTGCTTTCAATAAGACCATGCACCTGCTAGAGCTCTAATGGGTATTCTGTCATGAATTTCTGGGTATACTTTAGAAGCTTTCAAGCAAACTTATGAAGCAAGACCTAAAACACCTTGAGATCTTCTAGAGTTCTTTCAGTTGACTTTTACCTTTGCAGACAAGTTTTAATGAAAATGATTGTTATTGTCTAATCATATATTCCAACATACATTTCCAACAACAAAAAAATTTGAGTTTCCAAGAACATACTGACTTAAATTTCTGTAACCATTAGGCTCATATGTCATTTTAAAGGACTTTTTGGGTGAAACTCAACAAGGGAGCAGGCTTGCATGTCAGAAAACAGAAGATTTTGGTCAAAAATAAAACAATAAGTTAAACAATATCATGTAATAAAGGAGACAAATATTTAATGATCATCTACAGAAGTTTAACACCAAAAACTCTGATTGAAGCCAGTTTATTCCAAATGGAAATAATGGGATTACAAGAAAGAAATGTTTTTTATGCTATAATCCCTAGCAGGTGCTTTACCAAGGTACCCACCTCCTTCAAATCTTATTGAAAGCACTGGTAAGTAGATGCCCTGAAAAGAGGAGCCAAAAGCTAAAGAGAACAGGAGAGATAATAATTTATTGCAAGAAAGGTCAGTGCAAGATGCAGCCTCACATCAGCCTGTTATGGGTTCAGGCAGATACATTTTTTATGGTACAGCTTGAGGTATTACTTTATAAACCATTTATTACACTACCACAGACTATAGTTGTGTAACTCCATAACAAAACCCAGTTATATGTCTTGAGACCTACCTTTGCATGACAGTATCAACTTCTTCGCTATTATCCAGCTCTTTCTTTAAAACATTGCAAAATAATTCTCCTTCCTGTGAACAAAATAACGGTAATTCAAAGTAACTTAGTGTTTCCTTGAAGGCGGTAATTTATCATATTGAGAAATGTTTTATAGCAACCACAACAAGGAGAGATTAAATAAAAAATAGTCGTGTTCAAATAGCCAACTAGACTGTTCAAAATAGAGAGAGAAAAACATTTTTGATGATCTGCGTGAGTAAGGTGATTGATGGGCAAATTTTCTGCTGCGCCAAACTCATCAAAACAATTAAACATTTCGCAAAAGCGTGTAAACTTAACAACAATTCTGTATTAATATGCATTCGTCTATAAAGGATACCAGTACATCAAGTGTTTAAGTTGCTACATAAAGAAGTTTTAAAGATTTTTTATAATCATTATTGTTATTATTAACTGCCATTAATCTGCATTATTGTAATAACCGTTGGAAGCTTACCTCGAAGAATGGATGATCAGGAGGAAAGATGCGCTTCACAGGAGTGTAAGACCACGAGGGGATGGAAGTTTTGACATTTGCATCCATTACTGCGACAAATAAACGCGGGAAAAGCGCGGAAAGAACGTCAATGAACAATGCAAGGTCTTTCTTCTTCGACTGACAGCGGCCATTTTGACTTACTTTCAACCCGAGTCCTTTGCGATCATGATAGTTGAAGGAGCAGGGGACTTGTAACGAATTAATTGACGACGCGTAAGAAGCTCGGCGGGTAAGTAAGCCTGTTGAAATGAAAGCGCATCAGCGCGTCGTCGTAAAAATCAGGAGCAAAGACAAAAAGGAAGTTATTGTGAGCAAAAATTTTCTGCTTTGTTTTGACTGAGACGGAAACAATTGCTTTAAATAACTAGTCGCAAGCTTAGTCAAGTTAGATAATACGGTCAACAAATCGTTAGTTTTTAACCTGTGATCACCATGGAACTTCTCCACGTAATGTTCATACATTTTTCAGTGAAAAGGTGCTGAGAATATTCATACTTCTCAAATAAAAGTTGTTACCTTAGTCTAGAATCGGTGGGGGTGTTACAAGAACTTTGGTTTATCTAATGCATTGAAGATTAGCCAGCGTAAAGAGTTTCTAAAGCTGATGTTTCGAGTGAAGGTCTTAAAATGCTTGTATACCCATAAATACCTTTAAATAGTCGTCCGATATAATCAGCCTCGCGACATCACACTTGGAGCACTGACTGCACTTCAAAACACCAATAATGATGGCGAATGCGATGTTTTTGAACAATTGCTCTTAGCGTTGTGACCGGCTTTGAAGTTCGCCATTGGTGAAATCAACAGACCCACACCTGCTTCAACACAAAACTCTTGAATATGGTGTATGGAACTACTGTAGAAGCACCGTAAAGGCAATGACTGACACACCTTTGATTTCGTCCGCAAAAATTAATTTGCCCTAGAATTCCAAAACGTCAGACTAAATGAGCTATGTGGCTGCTTTGGCAACAGACGACTTCTACAGTCGAAATGTGATTCAGACCTTGGAAGCTAAGGAGCGAAAAGGCGGACATTTTGACTTTTTTTTGGCGAATTACATACCTAGTCAAAAGTACATGACAGAGCTAGAAAGAGCTGGAAAGAAGCTTCAACGCCACTAAATATTCGTGTTGTGGTGGTTTGGCTACTAGGAGATTATGAATCGGACGATTTCTTCAAGAAGCAGCAAAACAAAAAATGTTCGACCACACATTGATTTTCAGCTAGAATTTCACACCTGGAAAGGACTTCAAAGAAATTGTCCATGGCTCACTGAGTACTGAACTTCGGACATTTTATGTTCCAGATTTCAAAGATTTCTTGATCAAGAAATCGATCAAATCCTCTGAAAAGGAAAGCGCCTTGGTGGAAGGAACTTTGGAAGCAAAAAGATAATTTATCTTCTTATGAGACAATAATTCGTTCGGTGTACAAGCCGTACATTCCCTATTTGGTCGATGCCGTTTTTGCTGTTGCCCGTCCTCTTCACAACATGAGTGAAATCCATCCTATTAGCAATCTGAAGAAAAACTCGAGAAACATGTCGCCTGGCTAAACGAGTAACCGAGGAAATTCAATTTGATCAGCTTGGAGACCCTTACTATCGTCTTATGATATTGTACATTTTCAGATGAATGAAAACTCCGATTTAATAGAATTAGCCATCGGATCGTGGGATTAAAGTCGAAAGAAAATTCAGTTAAACGTTTCCAGGATAAAGTGGAAGACTGCAGCAGGTCACAGTGTAATTCCAAAGTCATTCTGCCATGGCGATTGCCTTGCTGGTGGATATCAGTTGCTGACGACCTATTGCTGTCGGACTTGCCACAAATGGAACCGTTAGTGCTGGAGTGAATGATATGAACTGCACCGTGTGTCCCCGAGGACAAAAGCCTAATGAACGGAGGTCAAAACGCTCGGATCTTCCTGCAGTAGAAGTCATGTGGTCAAGCCCCGCGTCTGTTCTTATCGTTCTGTTAACGACAGTTGGATTCCTTCTCCTAACCATTTGCAACTTCATCCTTTTTAAAGTACAGAACACTTCCCTTGTCAAAGTAGCTAATCGCTAGTTAAGTTCTATCCTTCTGTTATCAATCGCATTGTCCTTTTGCCTCTTCCATTTTATCCTTAAGCAAGCCTACGAGCTTTACGTACGCTTTGCGTCACTGCTGGTGGCCCTTGATTCTTGTAACAATCATCTCTATACTAATAATAAAGACCATGAAGATACCCAGTGCATTCCAAGTCAACGTTATGGCCGAAAGATTCAAAAACTTTATTCTTTCCACAAAGAGACAAACTTTTATTGTTCTGATGCTAATATTTCCACCAGCTGTATTCTGCTCATCATGGATTACTTTGCCAGAGCTCACCACAACAGCAACGGATCGTTAAGGCAAATGAAGGTTCAATTCTTTTCTCGTGTTCTATGCGCCAGTCGTCCTTTGGAACGAGTTTTCAAATCGTCAGAGCAGTGTGCACGTCTCTTACAATGTATTTTTTAGTAGACACCTGCACTTCTGCCGTAAAAGGTTATGGGCATCTGACTCCACATTTTCCTCGTTTCATTTCCGGTTTACGTTGCGTTGCGTGTAACGTGACAATCTCTAGGGAATTACACGTGCTTTGACATTTTGGAGATAGTTTTACCTTCGTGTAGCTGTTTTGGTTTGTAAAACTGTTCTTTAACGTGATTGTGATCGTGATTATAATGTGATCGTTAGTGCGATTTCCCTTTTTCTTGCACGTTATTGTAACGCTACACACGGATTAAAAGCGAAAGCTACAAATATATCTATTCAGATCTATCTAATAAGGGTAAAGGAGCATGAAAATGTATAACAATATTCTGGTTTAAGCAAATTTTTAGCACAGTCGGCGGAGAAAATAATATACATTTTCGAAAATGGTTCCTAACAATGCGTAAAAGTCGTCGCCTTGGAAACACATGGAATAACCAGAAATGTAAAGAAAGTCATTTCCAGAAGGTTGCAAAACCTACCAAAGAAAGAGTAGCCACATTCTCTGTTACTTAACAGATTAATGTAACTTTAATAAAGGGAATTTAAACTTCACTCTCTGAAAAAGTGAGTCACCACAGCACCTGAACATACTTTGTAGGCCGCGTTCACAATGGCAGAGGGCCGGTTGTTTAAATTTCAAATTTTTGCCGTTGTTTAACAAAACCGCGTTATAAATTATCTTGAATATAGCTGAATCTTTATCTGAACATTTATCTTAGTGAACAATGTCAAGAGGGCCGAAAGCTCACAGTGGAAGGACATTTATTTCGTGGAAACAACTTAACCCTCTTATAAAGAATACGTAAGGCCCACTGCTAGCGTAAAACTGCAGTTTGGGTTAGACCTCGTGTAAATAACCAGCCCATAAAGTCTACTTTGCTGGTCAAATTCACCATGAGCCTGTTTTAAGCTGTTCACTATTTCAACAAAACTATCCCCCTCTTATCATGTTTCATTTAACATACAAAATTAGATCAAATCATTGTTTTGTCATTTTCAAACAAAGCCTGTATGTTAATATTGCAGTCTTCTATTACGAGAGTGTAATATTCTTTGTTTTCCCCTGGCCTAAGCGTGCTCAACGAAATAAATTTAAACAGAACCAAAAATGATTCTAACGACGCGAAGTAAAATTGTAAGTTTGATTGTGATCGTTTGTTTGACCGGTTTTTTCCTCTATGCTTCGTACATAGCCGAGTTCGGACGAGAAAGAACACAGACCAGAAACATTTACAGCAGAATAGGTAAGTCAACGACTTGAAATGATTTGCAGAATTTGATGTACAGCACATGACTTATGCTCTCGGGGTTTTAAACAAGAACACTTCCAAAATTAAGACTGTTTTGAAAACGACTTTAAAGCGGGTTGTAATTCATTTAAAGCTGTTCTCTTGAGCCTGCGAAAGCTTACCAACTCGAAGGGCCGATTTCAGTTGGACATGACAACATGAAGTAAATAGGCTTCCATGGTTTTCAGAAACTTTATATCTACACGTCTAAACCAAGCTTAATGAGTGAATTTTTTCCTTAATTTTCATGAAGAATAGTAGGTATGCTTTGCTATTTTCGACAAAAACGCAAGTTTTTTGCCAAATTTTGTTACAGTTCTCCCACGCAAGTCGAAGATCTGTTCCGTGATGTTTCGTCGTAGTGAACCGATATCTGAATACATGTCTACTGAGCGCATTGTGGCTGAATTCCTTATAGGAAATTCTTTATAAAACTTACACGAGCTTTAAAAGTGAAAAAAGAATTGTAAAGTGACTTTTATTTAATGTTTTTGGTATGAAAGAAACAGTTATTGAGACTGTTGATGTAATTTCGTGATTTGAGGTGGTAATAGGAATATTTAGAACAACTGGATAAATGCATAGTGTGATATACTGAATTGGCATGGATAGTACGAGATTTATCCGAGTACCGCTATGGGCGAACTAAGAACTAAGAACTAACTAAGAACTAAGAACTTCATTTAATGAAATCATAGCTTAACTAAGGACAAAAAATCTCAATTGAGAAACGAGTTTGGAAAAAGCCGGAGAGAGAAAAGCCATCGTATTAATAATTTCGTGATATTTACGTCTTTTGTCTTGATTAATTCAATACTTTCGTTTGCACAGCGCCTAAAGTGGTCAATCGAAATGTTTCGCCTACAGAGTCGAAAGCTTCAGTTGGAACGACGAATACAAAGACAAGTATGTATTTCTTAAAAAGTTTATGAAACTAATGATTTTCGAGTTATTTGTGATCATATTTGCTGATTTTAACTTAAAAACCATGCACAGTATTTTAGCCGTAACTAGAGAGCAAAGGACACGAATTAAGAATGTGTTTAATTTATGGACAAAAGACCGAACAGACTAGATTAAGAAAAAAAGCTAGGGAAATTTCCCTAATAAATCCTTAAGCGTATGGCTGGCAATAATGATTAAAAATTACCTCCTAATTTCAATGAAGGAACCTTTGAGTTACATTATCCGAAATCCAAGTTAATTCGGCGCTTACTGAATTTTCTCATTCCCAAGATCTGCATTGCGATTTCCCACACTGTCTCCGATCCATTTGTTATGATTTCATTTCTAGAATGTGGTGTTTAGTCACAGATTGTCCCTCAATCAAGTCTTTGGCCTTAACAGAAAAATCAAAATTACCGACTTTTTGATCAAAATATTGCAGTGTACGGAACGAATTTGAGAACCTTGTGTTAAAATACACTTTTTCGTGTCAGAGGAGGATGGAGGTATCGGACAAACACGTAAATTTAACTAGTTTTATAAAATATTCGGAATTTGTCATCATTTTATCAAGCATTATTAATTAATTATTATCTACACTGTAGAACAAGGGAAAAACAGAGCAACAGACCAGTGGATACCAAAACACCTCCTACCATAATTGTTGCCACAGTCATAGGTTTTAAAAATTCCTTGACTTTCCCAGACGAACGTAAATTTTTCTGACCAATTGAATTAACAATTTCACCAGCAAATCCTGATAATGACCTCAAACCTCCCGTCAAAGCCATTCTTTCCACCCATAAATTAAAACTTTCAGCAAGTCACAGACAGCGTGCAGGAATTGATAATTCCCAAAGGTGACATGGATTTTCCGAAAAACCCAACATCAGTTTATTTCACCAATCCAATATCTTTCATGTCCGTGAAATATACGGAAGGAAAAAAAATGGATGATGTCTTTCACAAATCAACTTTAATTTGCTTTACAAAGGGAAAGGATATGTTGGTTAGGAATCTGACAACTGTTAAAAAAATGTGCATAATCAACATCAAAAGGAAAGTGTCATCATCTTTCATCATCAAGAGTGTAAATTCCCAGACTTGTTCCAGGCACTGAATTTTCCTGACCTGTGACAACTATGCCTAAAATTATTGTGCTGGAAACATTATATGTGCTATAAACACAACGAAGGACAGGTGGCATCTTTCAATCTCCTAGTTCGGCAATCTAAAATCTTCGCCTTCGAAATGTTCAGAACACACGTTGGCACTAGATGTTACCCTTAAGTATTTATTTTGACATTTTTTCATTCTAAAATTCCATGTGTGTTTCAAAAGAAACTGAAAAACAACCATCACATTTAAATCAAGACGAGACGCAGATTAATTAAAACACAAATTCTTGCGACTTGTAGTTGAAGAAATAAAGCATGGATACTTAACTTCTGAAGCTTAGGATCCTTAAGAAAATACAAATCCGAATTTGTGGCAGTTACAGGCGCGGCGATAGTCGACCGTGCCTTACGCTTCTTAGTTGAATGCCTTATGGCCGCGACTGTTGTCTACCCATTTCGGACCACGTGTCCAATCTATGACGTATGAAGCCAAAAGGGTCTATTTCCTTTGCAGCAAACTGAATAATTAAGGCCGGTTGGGTCTGACTTAATTGCTTAAAATTTAAAATAAACTACAATACCCTGTCTATCGTAGGTGAGGTCATCAGTCGAAAGGTTGTTCCAACTCAAGCTACAGCCACAGAAAAACCCACAAACAATTCATCTCCAAAGGTTTTCATTTATCTAACTCAAACAGAGCAATGTCTTCCTTCAAACTTGGCCTCTTCTTCCGAGATCGGCGACCCCGAGACATGTCACTGTGATGTCATAGTGCTAAGCTTTCGTACTAAATGTCAGGTGCAAAAGTCGCCTCACATCACTTATCTGTTCGATCCTAATACTGGATGGGGAACAGGACGAAATGTGCTGTATTTTGCTGCAATGAAGAGATCCCCAAAATACCATTATTACATTTTTATGGATGAGGATGTGGTACTTAGGTTCAATTCATTTGCTTCGCATGAAATGACAAGGCTTCCACCGTACAGAGTCGTGGAACAATGGCTCCTAGATTACGAGCCTGTGGTTGGCGTTTTGGATTATGGAGTGCATCATGGAGCAAGCTGGACAAATGATAGACGACGGAATATATGTAACATGACGGACAGTCCCCTTGTGATACCAACAATATGGTTCGATGGCGTTTTTAATGCATTTCATTTCAAAGCTATCGAGCATCTTTTCCCTTACCGCGTGCAATACGAAAAAATAAGTTGGTGGTCGCTGCATAGATACATCTGGTCTGCTGTGGAACTGATATTTCGAGGCCAGGCATTGATGTTTGTGGCTGTTACTGCGGGTAATCCCACACACCGCTCATACCCAAAGTCTTTAGTGGACATAAGCACATATTGGAGAGACTATATAGACACAATCCGAAAGGAAGCTCCTTTAGTTTACAGAGTTCAACCCTTATTTGAAGATTTTAGGCAGAATCTGGAGAATTACGTTATTACCTCTAGCACATATTGCATGACTGTGATTCGTCATCAACCTATTAAACCATACTCACATTTTGATAGTCAGACAGAGTTCCAGTAAAGTTTCCTGTATGAGGAGGCTAGGAATAGGTAAACTCGAGTAAAATGTAGCCTAATATATGCGAGTAAACAGCTAATCCCGCACAAATTGCAAGCCACTCTGTTTATAAACTAGGTGAACTGTAACAGACTCTCCAAGTATGTCTCCTGGTTTTTAAAACACAGTTTCCATTCAAAAGGCGTGGGAGACACTTGAATACCACGCTATTTGGTCTTAGACATATTGGTTCTACTGCAGGTGAACACGGCATGGGTGAACACAGGAGGGATTTGCTGCATGCACGATGGTAAGTATTATGTTGCGTGCACAGGTAATCTCTCCTTATCAAAGTGAGTCAGAGGCAGATAACCTCGGAGCATTGGTAGAGGTGTGGTTTATAAAAGTGTGAGTCCAATTCACATCCTAAAATGGATTGGTTTACCTCAGTTACATCTTCCTTGAATGCAAAACGAGAGAAACATCGCGCTATTGTTTACAATGCGCCGTGCGACCGCAGATTTTCGGCGTCAAACTCAACCGAATGTGGGTTGTCATTAGATAAAATTTGCTAAGAAAGTTATGATTAGGAAAGGGTAGTAACAAAATATTTATAAGTTTAAAGCTTTCTTTCCCATATCAAATAAGGCGTTGAACCACTTTTCAAACAAGCGGTCTTATTGACACCTTTTTATTAGTCGTTTTTTTTTTGTTGTTTTTGTTTCTTAGAGATTATAGCTTGTTTACACTTGTGGACAAACTTTTTCAACCTGAGTTTCAGTTCTGAACTGACAAAGCGAACTCATCAGCTTTGGATGATATCGTATAGTACATCCTTTTTGGATTTTGGCGTAAATTGAACAATTTCTCTGATTCTTGGTATTCGTAAAAGTCAGTTTGGCTTACGCAAATGTTTTCAAAATCGTCTACTTGAAACTCTTGCTCACCATCAATGATTTCGCCTGTTCCCTTTATATTTTGTCTTTCTATTTTGAAAAACATTCCCAGGCCTTGTCTTCATCTTCATATCTTTCTTTTTCATTACTGTTATCTTCAATTTCACCATCACTCAGATCATCACCAGGTTAAAAGGTCTGCTGTTGCTAACGACAAACATGCAAAACTGAATATTTTTTTTTCGTTTCGCTGAGGTAGACAAATTCTTACAGGACGTGAAAACTGAAAAAAAATTTGAAACTCCCTTTGGCACATTAAATTGATGAGCAGGTATAATCTCAGCACAGAAAATTATACTTATGATGATGGTAAATGAATGAGTTCTTTTCTGCAAAAGATGCGTTTCCGATGGCGTATCCGAATGGTATAGAGTCACGTCTAGGACCAGCCAGATGGTGTTTTGTTTACCACATCCTTAATTTCCACTCCGACATCTTACCAGTGAATAGTGCAAATCAATATTAGAATGACCTAAAAACTGAATTTATTTAAGTCATGGGTAATATTTCAAGTTATGTTTGTCCTTCCCTTTTATGGGCTCATAGTCATACAACTATACTCTAAGCAGAGAAAACTAAACTTGTGATGAGGGTGAATAAATGGTATGTTTTTCCTTCCTGCAAAATATATGTTTCCAATTACGTATCATTAAACAATGATACAAATTTCTGATATTATTTCTTTTCTCCTGTAATACGTCAGAGCATTATCTCCTTCCTTCTCACGTCACAAGAGGACACCAGTTGAAGGGGATATTGGAATTTGCGGCGTTGCGGTTTTTACCTTTTTCCGTTGAAAAAAGTTTCATATTGTAGTGTTGTGAGGACAACAAATCCTAACGTATACGTTGGTATCGATTTATTGATTAAGAAACATTAGATGTGTGCCGGAGCAGTCGAGGCCCTATTGCATTCGACCTAGATGATCAACAAGGACGGTGATTCGACTCTATCCTCAACACATTCAGTTGTGTGGGCGCATGAAAAACATGTTATGGTATTGGTGAACTGTCAACTTTTCGTGAGGTGATGAGGCTTACTCTGTTGCGGTATTCAAAGACCCAGATGTTCTCATCTGTAAGGGCCAAAAGAAAAACTGGTTTGAGTATTCGAGCATTGTAAGCCAGGCTTTATAGACTTCCTGATTTACGCTTAACCTGTGATAATACTACTCGATATTCGCGTGGTCAATATCTTATCGGTTGTGTATACTATTTAAATGGAGAAAGCATACGAGTTTGCAAATGTTGATAGAATTCTCTTTCACTTTTCTCGTTAAAAAATTGAGACTATCGTCAGTTTTCATCATGCGAGCGTCTACCCGTGTTTAGTTCCATCCTTGGCCCCAGAGCCACTAGTTCCCTGGGAAGCCGGTAGAATGGATGTCTACTTTAACACTTCTGGTCTCCATCTTAGAAACAAAATGGTTTCAGGAGTGAGCTCTTTTATCGAATTTGTCGTTTGAATGATTATAGCTAGAAGCAATAACAATTCAGCGGAAGTTCTATTTTGAACTTTGCGCGTGCAATTTTTCGCGGAATTTCTCCGACGCTGGCATTTTGGCAGAATTTTTCCAGTGTTGAAAACTGATTTTTGCGATGCTATGTTTGAGCAACAAATCTTTTAAGATTCACCTGTTATATTCAGTTGAGTTACAGCACACCCTATTTGGTAGAGAAAACTCGTTAAAATTATAAAAAAAAAAACTTAGAGGCGTGCAATGTCCAACATCATACTGAGGGAAGTCAGTTTTTTCGCGGCGTGAGTTTACAAAGGACTTTTTTTTTCAATGGGAAAGATATTTCTACGAATGAAGAGTAATGGCAAAACTCACAAATATCAAAACCTTCAAAATCTGTAAGGAACAAGTTCATTGTTCTTTTTACGCTTTCTTTTACGTCATATTTTGTGCCTTGTACACAACGTAGGCGACCAAATGTAACGCAATTATTCATATTGAATGCAACGTAAACAGTGAGTACTTTGATTGAACAAAACCGAAAGACATTTTTCTTCAAGTACGATTTTAACATGTCTGGAGCTGCTGCTAGTTTTTTTACAACCATTGCAACTGCGTTCAAAATAGCCGTGCAATCGAACGAAGTTCCAATTAAGACCATCGTAGCCACATTGCTTTTGTACGGCGTGAAAGAATTTCTTAACGACATCATCTTTTCTTGTCCGGAAGAACATTCTCAAGTTTACGGCAGTCTCTTCATCTTCGGCCCGTCTATTTTCCTCTTCTGTCTTTCGCTGCTGGCTTCTCCTCCTTTTTGGCAAGCTGTCACCGGCTGTTGTCTCCTGAGATGTCGCGGAAAGAAATTGTTGTTGATGAAGGCGAAAAATAGCGTGTTCGTGGCTTGTTTGCCACCTCTTATTTGGTTGATGTACGCTTTCGTCGAAGAGGACTATTACGTTTGTGCTAAACTTGGCCCTCTTGACGCAGCACTTGCTATGGCAAACACAACTGCGCAGAGAGAAGCCGTGAATAAGGAATTTACTCAAGCAAAAACGACGTCACAGTTGATCGCATGGGGTTTAGTACTAGGTATAGTTATTCTTTCCACAATCTTCGTCACGATCTACCGCTTGTGTTTGCCAATTGATCCAAAACTACTGGGCAAATACGCTTATGAGGAATACGAAGCCGACAAAGCTGTGGCCCTTTTCAACGAAAAAGTAAAACCTCTCGCAGAACAACAAGCGCAAGACCTGATCGATGGTTTGTTTGAGACGTACAAGGACAAAGATCCCGAGGAACAGCTTGCAATTGTCGAGGAGCAGCTCAAGAAACTATTCCCGAGACATGCTGGTGTTTTAACGGGATCTGTTCGATCTTACCCAAGTGGATCAAGACAAGTGTCACCAGCTATTGCTTCAAAGAAAACAGAGGCAGGGAATACCATGGAGTTACGTCCAATGATGTCATAGACAGGATAAAATGCCCCCAACCCCCGCGTCCCCAGAAGGGTTACGTTGAAAATGCTGCGCTTTCCAGGACAGTCTTTCCCACAATCTTAGTTGGCTGCATCACGTAAGGTTGAACAAGTTTCTATAGCAGTGTGATTGCTGTTTAAAAACCACCTTATTTGCACTAATTATTTCTTAACCCTTTAACTCTCAAGATCTGATTGTTAATTCTCCTTTTTAGGTGCTACTCATTTCCTTGTAAATTAGTCACAGGAATTTGGTGTTAGATCAAGATAACAACTTGTACCTGATAAGTTTAAGTATTCTCATTACCTCTCTTCACTGGATAATGTATGGATATTATGGGGAGAAGTTATATGTGAATCCCTTTTAAGAATTAAGGGGTTAACCCTTAAACTCCCACAAGTGATCAAGACAGAATTTCTCCTTACAATAACAATACATTATCAATCAGGCAAGTGATGAGAATAAAGAAGAATATAAATTAAGGGACTATGTGTTGATCCAATACCAAATTCTCCAAAGTAACATAAGTATTGTAGAGCTGACAGTGAGGAGAATTTCTAATGAGATCACAGGAGTGAAATGGTTAAAGTTGGATGCAGACACCTTTTATTGGACAGTTCCATCAGCCAATCATACCAGATACTCTCAAATGAGATTCAGGTAATTGATTAAAGTAACCAGACAGAAACAACAACTTAGTATCCAAAACTTGGATTGATGGATTTAGTAGATTAGACAGTGTCTCTTCTAGAGACATTTCTGCAGTTAGAACTTATATAGAAAATCCACAGTTGTGGGTTTAGAAATTAGACTTACTGGCCTTCCTTCAAATAAGTTTCATACATTTTTTCCTCTAAAATCAGGAAATTATAGTAACTGTTATAATTTACTGTAATAGAACTTCACTCATTCTGCAATTTGCTTTGTAATCTTACCTATGATTGACCCATTAGGGCCAATTAGACTAATTAGTGCAGTTCCTGAATATCAAACTCACACTTTGTGTCTGTCCAATTTTTTTAAGTCACTTTGATAGTTACAGACCAAACTTGACCCCACCCAGTCCAGTGTAAATCAACTTGAACATTCATTTGCATGTGAAGCAAATTATAACAAGAGTGAAAGGAAGTTATGTCCAGGAAAATTTGTCTCATGGATGAGTTGTCTCGCACTCTTCACATGAATAATGCAGGCCAGCGTTCTGGTATAAAAAATGTTAATTCTTTTAATTATCATTTCCTGGAGGTGATTTGTATATTAATGAAAATCTCACAGACTTAATGCAATATTGCTCACATCATTGAAGCAACTCAACTGTGCTCCTTTAATTTTGATTGTTTCTTCAGTGTTCTATATTAAAATTGTGTACCACATCATGGTGTGCAATGTGTGTGCAAGATATGGGATTATCATATATTTTCATCAATAAATCCCCCCCCCCCCCCCTACCAGGGGCTCCATGTGTTGATTAAAACCCTCCTGGCCAGCTGATGCAGAGGAGGGTGTAGCCCTCAGATGGAAAAATTGTCATCAAAATTAAGTTTCAATTCTTGTTCAAGATAACCAAGTTCTGTTTTTTACAATACAACTGCTGCCTTAAGAGTGATGAGACAAGTAAAGTGACAGAAAAAAGTGTTACGAGATAGGAATTTTATTCAAATACAAATGAAAAGAGCAGGAATAACGGGTTAAAGTGACTGGCATCTGATTTCTCCTTACCGTTTCACTTGGGAATCAAATAAAAAATGAAAGAAGAAAATGATCATGCAATCTGATCAAATCACTCTAGTCTTATTAAACAAATTCTCCCTGTCAGGACCATAGGAATGTACAGATAACAGTATGGAGAATATGCATAATGATATTAGGGTGTCAGTAATGGATTAATTTTGGGTCATCTCGTATTCCAAAGGGGATTTTCAAAAACTATAGTTTAGTAAATGAAGCACTGACATTTTGAAAGAAAATGTGAATTTCTTTCATTGATACCCCCTCAAGATTCTCGCCCTAATTTGAGCTAACATCGTATCATGGCAGAAAAGTGCGTGTTTGTCAATCAGGTTTAAAAATGCAAAAACCCTTTCATTTCTTTACCCTGATTAAGACAAAAATGTCTAAGTTTGTGTTATATTGATATCATCCAGTCATGTTCAGTATATTAAGCAAGTATTTGTTTGTTTGTTTACTTGGTTGTTTCTCTCTTTTGGGTTCTGGCCACTTTTAAGTGCTTCGTTTATGCCCTTAGTTCGAGATATCCTCCGCGCGCGTTTGGTCACGTGACCAAATATCCCTCTGCTGAAACTGAGGGATTTTCAATGATACTACCCGAGTGGTATTTCCCATTTTTCAAACCTTACTTCCACTACGATAAGTATTCGTTTAAAATTTAATTCAAGCTTAGTGAGCGTTTAGTGTCGCATACATATTTACAAAGGGTATGCATAAGGGTCAGTGCGTTTATTGTATTATCAGTCGTTTACTTGCTGTATTTTGAAATGAGGCCGGTAAAAATCAAACGGAGTTTCGTTAACCTGTACAGAATACAAATGCACTCTCTGTTGATTCCCTTCTTATCGGTGTTTTATTTATCAGCTCATTTCGCTAATTTACAAGAGCTGAGAAGAAAATGTAATATCATGTTAAAACTTTGCGGGGTGAACATTTTTAAAGAGTATTATACAGCATTGATGAATGAAAATCTAAAGCTCTTCTTGAACACGAATCCCTGTCAATAAGGTTTTAATTAAATAATGAGGTAGTCCAAAGAAGAAGGACAAAAATAAGGTTAGAGAAATATTCAACAAGGAGGCTCAAAATAATACTGTTATCAACTCTTCAAATATTAACACTTCCGAATTATATTAAAACACTTTATCTTCTTTAGACGTCAAAATATCTTCTCACATAAATAAAAAATATCAGATTGAAATGGTTTTCTATTTCGTGCCTTTTGTTTCTTTCTTGGGTTTACAGGTTCAGTTGCTTCCAAATCAGCTGAAACTAACTCCAAGTTATCGTAGGGCACTGCTAATTTGCTTCGGCCAATAATTCAAAATGTGCTAAGTGTAAACGTCGAGGAAAATTGCCTGGATTGTATTTAACTTGGGTTTAATTCGTGACGAAAACCTGACATGGTTTGCATCAAGTGAAGACAAAGGCGTTGTCCACGAAGGAGTCATTTTTTTTAGTTTACCTCGTTTTTAGAGATAGTAAAGCTGATGATTAGGAAAAATTGCGCCGAAATCTACCACTCTTTAACGGTCAACTAAAAAGGTTTAAGGTTCCAGGAATTTTCCCGACAGAGATAACGCTGCTTTTTGTAAACAGCATGAAGCCAAGAGTATTCTAAAACAAATACTCGTTTAAAAATAATCGGTGAACGACCACGATTCCGCAAGACAGTGAACCGCAGTTCGCGCCTTTCAACAGTCTGTTAATGCATTGGCCTACCGCTGTTGGAGCACGGTACAACAGACGCATGGGCAAGCCTTGCTCCCGTGATAGCAATCTGCTGATCTGACAGCCTACGTCTGGATGATTTCTTCATGGGAGGGGTGCCCATGTTTGCTGGCGTCGAGTAGCGATGTTGTTCTTCGGTTATCGTGTGGCAATTCTGTGAGAAGACCGGCGAGGAATATCGCTGAGGGGTCGGTTCATTATCGTAAATCGACCTCGGACGATTCTCGTAATGGGATATGGGCCGAGAATGCTCGGAGGGTTGTATTTCTCGTCTCCGTAAGGTGGAGAGCTCGGGCTCGTCGCCACCCGTAGATGCCCTTCGATGATTGGTCCGCACGGGGTGATATTCGACTTTTGTATAAAAGACAGTTTGATCAGATGACACACGTTTGAACTTTGTCAATACCGGATGGTGTCTTGTAACGTTCATCTCGCTTGAGGTTTGTGCGCGTTGTCGCGCCGGTTGACGAGTGAATGATATAGTAACCGGTTGGTGCACGGGAGTTGTTATCTCCCTCGCAGTATGATTTACATCACTGCGTACATGTCTGGCCCGAGCAGGCCGCAGTTGTGAGTCAACATAGACCTCATTGACGTTCTCTGCGCTCTGTGCTTGGCGCACTTCGACACCTACCTCGCGCTGAGGTCGGGGCTCACGCATGACGGTAAAATATGTCCCTTGGCTCGTTTCCTGGACTTTGGCCACTGATGATGGAGCCTCTAAATTCTTCCCTTTGTGACTGAAAAAGGTCTTCCATTTACGTCCACTCATGGATCCTTCACTTGTTTTCCGTCTTGCGGGAACCTCCACTGACGTCCTGTACACAGGGGTCTCGACCCGCTGAGGCTCCTCTACCGACTTGGCTCGAATGAACCTCCCTGAGGGTCTAGAAGGCGTGGTCTGAGCACGTGCCCGGGCTTCTTCCAGTGATATTAGTTTCGTAGGAGGGGAAATAGACAGCGAAGCCATCCGTGGACCAAGGGAAGGAGCGCCAGCGATATCTGAAATGAATGAATACCTGACGGTTACTTAATGAGTTTTCTCCATATTATTGACTGAAGCAGACTGCGTAAGGCCCAGCACTTCAATGCAACCACCACAAGTCCGTTACTAAGAGAAGATGGCGGTGATCGATAATGACGCTTCCCGCGAGGCCATTTTTTGCAGAGTATATTTTGATGATTTTCAAAGCTGTAAACGGTTAAAAAAAAGGTGGGGCAAGGCATGTTATAAATACAAATATGTATTTATAACAGAAAGAAAAGATCTCATGAAGGCTACTGAGCTCATGCGAGACGTTTCCAAGAAGATTTTCACAAGTGTAGTACTGAGTAATTTTATATAGGACATTATTCCGTCATCTCGAATCTCTTAAATGAGAGTGTAGTACAAAATATCATTAGAAAAAGGTTAAAACAAGTTGCCATGTATATCGAACGTGCTATTCACACGATAAATCAAGCAATTTAACGTGACAAACATCTTTACCTGAATCAGCGACGATCTTTTGTTGTCTTTCCCAAGAACCCGAAGAATATCGCGGATTTGCCACGATGGCGGCGGCAGCCGCCTTCTCGTCAAAAAAAACGTGAACGTTCTTAATAAGATACTCGACAATAACAGCTTGAACATTAACTTGCAGAAGGGCCGCACCTCCACTATCAAGCGACATGGGTCGGAGGAGGTTTGGTGACCACACTATCGCCAGGTTCTTCGCATGCATGCCAGTCTGGGGCGAAAACGAGGCGACATGTGACAAGTGGCGTAACAAGTACTCCAGTGTTCTGTAGTGGGGAGGGGGAAGTTGCTGAACTACGTGATGGACAGCAATCTGACGTTGCAGTTCATCAGAAATATGAATGGCGGTCTGAAAAGCATAGATTACAGAACACTGTTAAGACAATAGTGACCAGGAGTCAATATCTTAAATAATCGGTCATGTCTGTCGTTGTCCCAACACTACGATGGCAAAGAAAATGCTAATTGTGAAATCAAAGCAGCCACACCAACAGTACCCCTGGAAGGTCTCTATTGAACAAGAAATAGAAGCACGGAAGAGAACGCTGACTTTGAGGCATTGATTAGGCGACTACTCGATTCCACTCAGGAGCAACAAGATTGCTAATTGAAGGAACATACTGCAGCTAGAAGTGGTAATCTGCAACTCGCATATTCTATTATTACGGGATTGTGGGTGTATGCAATATTTTGTAAGGCAACAATCAACGGTCGAACAAATACTCAATTACCAAAATTCATCATTTAGTTTCGTTTAGTTTGTTACTTTTGTTATTGTTTCGACCACATTTCCGTCTATGGAATCTAACACTTACTTTGTCTCCCTTTGTGTTCGAAACGCCATTATAATTAAACTAGGTACTAATAATAATAATGATAACGATGATGATGGTGATGATGATAAAAATGATAATGATAACGATGATCAATGAAATTTAAAATAAATTTAAAAAACTTAATTAATAGGGAAAAAGACGTACGACAATGAGCTTGAGCCTACCACAAACTTGTCGTAGAGATGATAAGTCAGCAACGGATTAGGTAGCTCTCTGAGGAAATTAAAGAACAAGGCAGAAGTTTTTCGACATTGTATGTCGTCTACTTGACAAGTAAAGTGACTTTTGTTGCGACTCTCAAGCCCATGCTCCCAACGATTTCAGTTCGTTCCAATTTTCAAAAGACCTATTTCGACACCGTGAAAAACTGTCGTCAAAGTAGAGGAAGCCACGAAGCAAAACAAACAAAACAACACGACGCATAAAAACACATACACCTACACAAACCAAGTAAATAAAGCAAAATTCTTTAAAGGAGGGACTAAATACAAAAGAAAAGAGGAAAGCTATAGATGCAAAAAGATTTAAAACACGGATTGCGAGTAACAAGTTTGAAAAAACTATATGGGCTGGATTTCTTAACATGAACACAAGAAGACAAAGTTGTCGCTAAGAGGGGTGAAACGGGTCTCAACACAGGTTAAAAGGGATGCTTCAAGAGTTCTTACCTAAAGTACATCTTGAGCAAAGAGCTTATGCAATGTATGTCCCGAATGTAACAGTCTTTCAAAAGATCAGGTGGTTCTTCCCCATCAAATGCCAATCTGAAAAGAGAATTACATCCACAAATTTGCAAATTTGCCTTTAAATTCGCGCTGTTGAGGAACCAAATGGACAGCAAGTGCACGCCAAGCCAAAAATAATAATTTGAAAGTGAAAAAGTGCTACCTGAGTTTCTGAATGTTGGATGACATGCCGGAGAGACGATAAATCCCATCTACGATGCCATTTTTCTCGATCACCTCGGCACATTTTACCAACACCAGAGGAACTGAAAGGAGAAGGAGTTTTATTAAACCATTTTAGACGAGAATGCAGACGTTCAAGTTCCATGGATCGTCTCCTAAATATTATCTCACCTTGCTGGTTGGTTTTCACTAAATGCTCGCCCAAGTCGCAACCAAATGTCCGTTCCCTGAAAGCAAAAGGAGGACAAACTCAAGTTACCCTTTGCCACCAAAGGTCAAACTTTTTTAACTGAAATCTCGCGTAGCCTTGGAAAAATTTCAAGCTGGACAGCGTATGAAATAAAATATTTGACTACTCACTTTAGAATACCACTCTGCAAAAGCCTCGCCTTTGATGGGCGGGAGGATAGGAACAGTCTCAAGAAAGACACAATTTTACCTCGCTTCTTTGCAACTTTAGAAATAAAACAAAAGACAAATAATTAACTCAATGAAAAAATACGCACGAAAGAGAGAGGGTGCATTTCCATACTTCTAGCATCAAAATATTCAGGCATGACCAACTGACTGACTGACTGACCGACCGACCGATCAGTCTTTTCATTAAACTACTGGCTAACTGACTGACTGACTGACTGTCCAATCAGTGAATTTTCTGGCTAAGTAATTAATCTACCGACTGACTGACTGACTGTCCAACCGACCAACTGACTAACTAACCAACCGACTGATCAACTAACTGGGATTTTAAAAAAAGTGTCTCGAGCAATCTTAAAAAAAAGTAAAGTTACACCGATGAATACACAAACCTGGTGTCATATTTGAGGGGGCCGCGTGACCTGGCAGGGGGGTATTTCCGTCCGTTTTGTCACTGATTACCTCAACGCACTGACTTGGAAAAAATCCTACCTGAAAATTACCAAGAAGGTTTGTTAGAATGATCGATATCTAGCTCGTAAGAGAGTTGTCTTTACACCCTCACTGTAAATAAGTATGGAGAAGTTATATTATATCCTCAGGTAAAATTCAAGAGTAATTAAGTGTAATCAACTGAGTTGCTAACGTTAATTGGCCACCGTTAAGAGTTTCTTTAGCCCTTCATCATTCGCTTAAGAAAGAAGTCTTTTTTCCAGGAGTAGATGTTTCCTTAGACCAATAGAATGATGGCGGCAATAATAGGGAAGTGGCAACAATAGATTTCGTCTCAAATAAATTTCAACCCATCTACTTTAAAAACAAAATTTTTCTCGGTGATGCAGAACGAAACCGTATGAAGCTTTGAGCAGTCAGTTATTATTAACTACTTATGTTGGGGCAACACAGACTATACTGAACAGGGTTCAGTTTAAGTAATAACAGGAACTCTGACTCATTCGAACTAGATTGATGGGTGAAAAACGGGTTTGAAATCTTTTTAGCGATCAACTCATATATTGGCATCTAAGAATGATATCAGTTAACAATATTCAAACTAACTCCTTCAATTGTTTGCTACGCTCTAACATCTTAAGCAATAAACAAAAAGTAAATTGCATTTAAACAAGGCGCGTGGTAAACCCTCACTACATCAGTTTCTCTTATTTGCCTTCAACAATGAATAAAAGTGGTAACAGTAAATATTTACCCATAGTTTAAGCACAGAGCATTATCGCACTTTGTAAACAAAGCCACAGTACCGACGTGGAAAGTCTTACAGTTCTTTTATAATTCTCAACAATCTACTTTGACGTGTAACGTACTTGGATACAATGTACCACTCATGAACGCTAGTAAATCGGCACAGTTTCGTAGCCTCTGAAGGAAATAAAATTCAGCTTATAATTACCTCGAATCCTTGTTTTCCTCTCCACCACAAACTTTCATCAACAGGGGGCATATCAATCACAGAGATGATCCCTCCAACCTAAAGTAGTACCGATAGAGAAAAGTCACACTTAAAAATATCTACGTACAAAACACAGTGAAATGAAAATGAAACCTGGCAAGCATTGTTAGAAAGTACCTTCGGCGGACATACAGTCCACAATATCAGTGGATTTCTGCATTTCTTTGTGAAGGAAAACAAAGCGGATACGCTATGAGGAGGAGAATGGATTGATTCCCACGTCATAAGGGGCCGCTTCAGGCTATATGAATCGCTTACATGGTAATTGCAAAACTACTAAAGGCCCGCCGTCACCACAGTATCAGTGATCGAAAAAATCTTCATTCTATTTCATAGCCGAAAAAATATATAGATGCTTCAGTGCACGGCTAAGAAATGTCTAAAGTCAGGAACATCATGGCAATTGAATTATTACGAGCAGTTATCAGTCTTGCCATTTATCCACAAGTACTCTTGATCACAACACAAAACAAAAGCCGTTTGCATGACGTCATCTTAGCAGAAGATGCATGCAAACAGTTTCGATTTTTTTTAAATGAAGTCATGCGCAACATAAGCCCATAGACTTTATCCATTTTTTAAAATCAAATTTTTCAAGAAAGTGTTTCTTGGATTAACAACAGTTACCTGTAGACTGTACATAGCAGAAAAAATGGTACCGCTTTTCAATTTAGAGTCGAAATTTATCCGAGATTGCAATCGTTTCGCTTTCTTGGCACTGTGATTGGTCTAGAAAACTCGCGCAAACTCTCAACTTATTGGATGGAAACCAGAATCAGACGCGACAACAACGCGCTCTCTCGCATATAGGAAAGGTTAAATGTGTCACTTTGGAGGTTTCACCAGTTCCAGGTGTATTATTTTCTTTCGTTCTGAGTGCCTGTTTTAATCATAGCAGTTTTCTATTATTGCGACACTCAATTAAAATGCACGCCAAGTTTCACGTGCATGTTTGACGTCCTACGAGCGATCTTACTCTTTCGCGAGTGTCGTTGAAATTTTCTGATGCAAAGGGCTATTTAATTAGAATTTTCCACACAAAACCAAAAATAATAACCATAATCAAAGAAAATTAAATAACTCTGAAATAATAAATGAGAACTGTTGAATCTAAATAAATAGGAGAAATAATAAGACAAACAAAAAAAACAGAAGGTAAACAAAGAACACTTTAAGTCATGTAAGTGGGTAAAGGAGGTAAACCGAGCAACCCTTCAAAATCACTATAGCATGAAACACGAAGAGTTTAACTAAACGAACTTGAAAATCTCATTAGAGATGCTTAAGAGCACAACGTGCAATGATTTCACAATTATTTTAACATATTTTTTGCAAAGCCACGCAAGTTACACAGGAAAAATGGGCCAAAAGAAGATGTAAAAAAAATTTCAATTTAACTTAACTAAACTGCGACCGATGACCAGTTTCACACTGATTACGACACAAGATAAAGGATGACTTCCACACTTCAACCTCTACATCAAGCCATTTGGTTTGAGTTGAAAGTAGTTTTGAATAGCTTACAGTGCAAGATGCAAAAATCAATTAACATTCCAAAATTTCTAAAATGACAGTCTTGATAAAGGTATTTCAATGCTTCCAAGGCTGTTTGCACACTTTGCATTTTAAATCAAGTTTGGTCACGCGATCACGCTATGGTCTCCTACTAATCCTTCAAAGGAAAAACAAAACCAAGTCATTGTCTACGAGGTCATACGAAAAGAAAAAAAGAGGTTGAAGGAAGAAGCTATTCGTCGGGCACAAGTGTAAGATAAGCTAAAATAGCTGAGTGCACCCATGATGTTTTGAACCTCAGATCTTCGGAATTCACAGACCGATGCTCTTCCACTGAAGTAGAGAGAACTAGATGTAGAGCCTGGCCATAAACTTAGGCATGTGTTCTGTACACTGCTAGGATCTCATAGCTCAACAGCAAGACCTCCAAAGATCAATTGTAGAGTATCTGACCACGAAATGTACTCAGGTGGGAAGATCCGTCAGTCACCTAATCTGGCCTTCAAAACATCTTTCAAAACGGCAGAATTACCACTCAGAAGCGAGGCCAAGCGGGATCAATTGAATGCACATAAAATAATAATAATAATAATAATCATAGGCAGCATTATGAAATGGTCTATGGAATTGCTGTTTACTTGTAAAAACCGGGATTGAGGGTCTGCGAGCGGATCCGGTTTCCCTATTTCATCTTTCATTTTCAAAATACTATACTAGCATCCCTCGACTCCTTTCTCCACCCAAGCGTCTCATTGTTTACTGGTGACTTTCCAGGGTATATCACTTTCTTTTTGTGGTCTTCAACTTACCTCAAGAGAAAGTTCGTCCACGGCTTGCGCGGTGTATCGTTTGACCACGTGAGCAGCTGCTATTCCTGGAACGTTGATTGGTGATTCGTCTGTCAGTAACGTGTGGTTTCCATGGTTATCGAGCTGACAAGTTAGAAATGAAGTCATGGACATGATAAGTTTGTCACACTATGAAAGCCGGGGCCGGAAAAATTCCCAGAATTTGTCTTGTCATTTTCGTTATGGAAATTTTTTGAGAACAAAGCTCTAATTAGTAAAAATTGAGAGACATTGAAGTGAAGAAATTTGGAATCAAATGGGAGCGAGCTCTCTTAAAAATGCAGAAATCTTAAAAAATTACAGTTTTCTGGTTGAACAAGCAATTGGCTAGTTCCAAAAAGCGTGCCTTCACTTGTGCAGTAATTACAAGACTAGAACATACAGATATAAGCTTTCTTTCGACAACTCACCTCGAGCCAGTTCAAGACTGCACTACAGTTCATAGCATCATCAGCAAGCTCGGATACTCTGGCCAGGTAACCCTGTACCATCTGAAAACATTCCTGTAAAAACAACGTGAATGATGATGCGGTCACGACAAGTGTTAAACAACCTTGTTTAAAAGTACCCGAATCCCTACTCTCTCGGTACACAAGAAACTTTCGACTACGCTGATCTTGGCTGGGTGCAGGACTCTAAGCTTGTACCAGTCTGTTGCTCCGTTGATAGAGCTCTCAAACGGTAAACCAGAACTCGATACGGATCAAGGGTCACAAGTTTTCCTTTCTTTCAAGGCGGAGACAAATAGCATCTTTCCGTAAAAGCCTCCTTTGAGCCAAAAAATCATTTCAGATGACTTAGTTATAAATTTGCCGGTATGTGCCTATTACGGCCACTCGCGAGTGAGCTTTCAACTTAGATACACGCCAACCCTCAAGTTACTAATATATAGATTTAGCCAAGCCCAAAAGCGGAGCTCGCATTTTTTTTCCCGCACATCTCAAGGGCACAACGCCTTGCCCCAGCCAGGACTAGAACCCGGGTCGTCCGTCTCGGAGCCCAGTGCACTGACCACTGGACTACTGGACAAAGCCGTGGCGTTGGCGTGCCCGCGGTACAGTTGACCACGCATGTTAAAAGTAGCACCCTGTACGGTCGTACGGTCGTACATCCAAATTTTTTCGGCTTGATGGGTTACTAATATTTTGTATAATTATGGGGCTACGCTCTGTGAGCTCCGCTATAAATGAAAAACGTAGGAAACTCGGAAAAGGCGTAAGAAAAGAACGCGAGAGAAGCGTCTTTTTTTTCTGAGAGTAACTTACTTCGCTCCTGCAATATTTTTCACTGTCGGGAAGGCGTGCGAGAGATTTTAATTTGCTATGACTTCTGTCAAATAGGCACCTAAAAAACATAAACAAAATTTAAAGTATAATGATAATATCCACAACAACACTAATAATAATAATGATGATAACAACAACAACAATAAGCCCTAATATAAGAATATACTGACCAAAAACTATCTAAAACAGTCGACGGAAATTAAAGTCAAGCAGACAGCTCTTACGAGGTGGATAATCGCACTTTGCTGGCCAACCAAGCACTTTGCTGATCAACCAATTTAACCCGTGTATTTTCAAATCACAAGCCATTTCATACCATAGGAAGGTGCTATCATTCCATTATGGATTATTTTAAAAACCTGAGTGAAACAGTAAAACGGCAAAAAAAAAAAAAACGCGGATATGCTCTCGAGTGCGCAAAATCAGACTTCGTCACACATTTTGCAAACGAAAAACAGTTTGATCAGCCAGTTGTGCTTGCACGTTCACCAGTGTTCGCCACGACTCATGACCAATCACAAGCAGCGGTCTGCTTAACTGACCAATCACAGGAAAAAGAAAAGACATGCCACCGGTGTCAAGCGCAGAAAACACTCGAAATGAAAATAGCAACCAGTTTACAACGACAAACACAGAGGAAATAACATGCATATCATCGAGTTTTAAAATTTCGATGACGGAAAAAACACTTGTTGTGGAGGGGTGTTAACATAGGAAATTCAGTATTTCGTGCACACATTAAACACAACTCAAATCAAATTGGCCCACTCATTTCCTTATATATTGACTAAATAAGAGACAACTCCCGATTTGCCTGTTCCAAATTCTGTACTTTCCAAATTTCTATGATCTCCTGCCAAGTGGATACATACCTCACTTTTATGGCTGAGCAAGTGGAACAATTTTATCTTAAACGAAGGCGCGGAAAAGTTATGAAGCCCATTTATGATTCCATAAATCCAAGCAAGCAATTTTGAATTGATGGCGTACAATACTCACCAAATCCTTAACTTAAAAATTTTATCAAAGCGTACTTCCTACGACGAACTAAAAATTCAGTATTGCACGCTTTTTACGACTGACTGAGCAAAATGATATTGTCACACGAAGTAAATGCTTCTTAAGCATGTTAATTTCGCGGATTAACTTTTCGCATCCAAACTGTCATTTTCAGCCAAATTTCGTTACAAATAAACATTCGTTTGGATAGTCTTTCAAGACTTAAGGTTTCGTTAACATTTGAAACTTTCTTCATTCTGTCGACGGCTGATGAAAAATCTTGAAAGCGTGCATATTCCATCCGTTGGCGGAACCTCTACGAATAGGGGAAGGATGCAATTGTGAAAATAAAATTCACTCATGCCATCATGAAGCGCCCAGATTTATTTCAATGCACACGCACTTTGCAGCTTTGAACTTGTTAAACGTAAATTACAAAAAAATAACAATAACTCAGCAATAAATATACAACTGTGTTGTAAAAAAGGTAAATTGGATACAAGAACTTAATTCTTCACAAACCAATTTTCCACTTGTTAGAAGTCTGAGGAATAAACTCATGTTTACGTCGACATAATTATATAAAAGTATTCCTGTCACAATGTGTGCGTGGTGCGTTCGAGGAGATTCTAATCCCACAATTAGGGATTAAAACGTTTAGTAAAAGGACATTTAACTAAGTAAATCATGCCTAGCTACGGTGTTACACAATGTGTGCTCCGCAAAAAATTTTACCTGTGAAGTGCGCGATCAAGGAGCCGCAAGTTACCGATTGTCCTCGTCAAAATCCACGACTTTCCTCTGCATATAACGTTAACCTGTTATAGAATTTAAGACTTGTTAAATTTCCTCCTTCAAATTCCCACGAGAATACAAAGAACGAGCACAATACACCTTGTATTTCTAACATAAAGGAAACTAAAGACCGTTTTACCCAACATTCAACGCGAGAACTCAATTAGAGAGGGTGTGTCAGGCTGATATAACGATATTGAATTCAGAGTGAAATGAAAGCTTTTGAAGTCAAAACAAATCGTCTGGTTATTAGCTATAACAATAAATCCCTTACGGCAAATTGCCCATTGTCTCGATAGTGTAATAAGGCAAATATCACCTACAACATCACAGCAAAAACTTAAATACAAGACATCGAGATTAAAATCAGTGATGCATGTTTCTCTACCACCAACGACAGGAAAACATAGTCAAACCTTCTTTTGATGTTAACTAGACGGCGAGAATTTCTGAGCTTACAAGAAGTAAGAGTTTGGGCAATAGTGTTTCCAAATATTTTGCTTCTAAATGAAGTATGAAAAACCCAAAGCGGGGGGTAAATTTATGACGTAATCCAATGAAATGGAACACAACGGACTTTGCCTGGTCCTGTTTTGACAGTTTTCCTGTATTGTCATGCAACATGCCCCGTGTCCATCCTTTCATGAAACCCTTACAGTGCAAAAGTAACAACCTCCGCCTGCCACATAATAACATTTTCCTTTCTCAGACTTAGCGCTCTGACTGCGCTTGTATTTCAAATGCCAGTTGGAAAATTAGACTGGTTTTCGACTTAAGATCACCATATCAAATAAGGTCAATCAGAACAAAACCGAGTAAATATTACAAAAAGCCCATGAGGAACCGAAAGTAAACAAAAGCAACTGCTTAAAGCGCGGGAAAACACGAGTGACCAAATCGTGATTGGTTTCAGTTTCGTATCTGAATGAAGGCGATTTTCAATTGAGTGTCGAAAGACATCTAGATTGTATTGGTCTTTGCGTTACTTCTCTCTACTTCTACTCCGTGATTGGTCCAGATTAACTCGCGCCATTTTCTCAACCAATCAGGTTCACAATTAAAACCAATCGTGGCTTGGTCACTCTCGTTTTCCCGCGCTTTAAGCAGTTGAAATGTCTTTACTTTGCGTTCTCATTGGCGTTCTCACTGGCTTACATCGATTATTTTGGTTACGGTTTTACGAACTAAGACATTCAATCGAAATGCGTCCTAGCACAGAAGGTGACTTATATTCGCAATCACGGGCGAAAAGTAATAATTCCTGCACTCCAAAAGAAATCACTCCATATGAAGTATATCACCACCCTGAAGAATGATGTAGTGCACTGTTTCTAAGTAATTCCAAGATCAAAAAGCCTAATAATATCATTATACTTCTCATCAATTAATTTTATTGGTCACCACGGGTATGTCAATCTCGTTCATGTAATTACATTTACAGGTAGCTCAGTAACAAATTTAAAGAAGATTATGCCTTAGTTGAAATGATCCTACTTCGGCTTTAGTTCGGACAAACAGCATGTAGCGTCATTTTGCCAACACAACAACGCCCCCTAGAGGTGATATTTTTAGCGGCACCTCTAGCCCTTCTCCCCAAAGTAATGAGAACATGACAGTCTCTTTACTAACCAGAAGTGTTCCTTCCTCTGCAGTTCCGTTATGGTATCGTTTGTCGCCTCCATTGTCTGTGTAAAGACCTATCTGTGGGCCAGGTAAATGAGAACACACAATATTGCATTAAAGAAAGGCACTCTTTCGCTTTCAGACCTCTCCCAAAGTAATAGGGGGAACAAAGGCAAAAAGAACACAACTAGGACATGACTGTAGAGGTAGCTGTAAGTAAAAAAGACCAACACGTTGCATTGAGGCATCGGTAGTGTTCGGCGCTCGGTTTATTAGGATGAAAAATGTGCCATGAATTCGTAAGTGTTTAAAAAATTTGGAATTTAGGCTTCCACCAGTGAAAAGCCAAGTTCATTACATCAATTGTTTTACCCCATTGCCTTACAAATACACATTATAGATGTAACTACTACGATATCTCTGAGTTCTTAGCTTACATCAAATATGCCCCAGAAACTATAGTATAAATCTCCGCCATTTTAAAAGCGCACTTGCTATTATGAAACATGTCGAGTTTTGAGAAAACAAAGAGTTACTAAACCACGAAAATTTGGTGACACGCGTTTTGAAAGTTTGAATTCGGAACTGTCATGTCAAATATTAGTTTCTAACCTATACAGCGTCTTAAACGTTTTGGTGTGTAGTATCGCTGAGTATTTTTAATAGTTGTGCCGTATTTTGACGAGCCTGCAGGGCTAGCAAAAATAAAAACAATGAGTGAAATTACTCAACGATACCACACACCAAAACGTTTAATAAGTTATTTAAGTTATTTGTTATTCAACTGCTTTATTTCGTGCGCATTTCTTAAAAATTGATTGGGAAAAGCGAAGCAGATAAAGAAGTGTTGTGCGCCGCCAGCCGATCAGTTAGATAGCTGTTTTTACAGTACAAAATAATTAAATGTCCAATATCACATTAGTATTAAGCTCTGAAAGCTTTAACTTTAATATCGCAGGAAATTTGTCCTCGATTCGCCCTTAATTTTTGCTCTACTTAGTGCATGCAGTTGGATAGTAAGGCCGCTTGTGTGAGACTTAACAGAATTTAACAATATGGCTGCACTCGAACCGTACATACGATCCGAGTGCGTCACCTAACTAAAACAGAGACTGAACGCCAAAGTGCAAGTTGTTTGTGCTCCACGCGATTTGGCGTCCACCTTTTTAGATGAATTCTTGGACGTCATGCATCTTCATCAGGTGAATTGATACGAAAGACCGATCAAAAAACTCGGCGCATTTAAAGTTAATTTTCACAGACGTTTAGGCTATCGTTTGGAATGGCCAAAGACGGTAAGTAAACGAAGTGAATTCTTATTTTACTTTTTTACGTCACGATAAAAATTACATAGCTTTTGGATCATACATGTACATCTCCTCTAAGGTTGTTGCGTGGACAGAGCATCGACCGTGACATATCATATCATCACATATTGAGCATATCTAACACCAGAGCTTGGCCGTATAAAGATATGAATCGAGCAGCGTTGAAATCACGAAATAAAACTAAACTTTATCAGCAATAGCTTTCCAAGTTTGATATGAAGAATTAATTTTCTTTCTTACTTTAAAAGAAACAATTTTCAAATGCATGAAATTAATTAGCCGACTGTAAGAAAAGAGTTATATCACTGTAGTGAGTTTTAAGCTTTCACACGAATCGTTTTTCTCGGAACTCATGGTGTGGGAATTTGGTTCAAATTCTCTGCTGCAAATAAGCTCCACGTCCTTGTACAAGTACACTGCACTTGACTAAGTTTGATTAAGCTGGTGAAATCTCCTATGGTCTAGAAGTCAAGAGAAGCCATGCCCTGATTTACTACACAACCAATGATGCAAAAATTGTGAAAACAATTTTCACAGTTCATGGATGTACTTATGAAGCAACTCCACACTCAAGCACAGGAAAATTGATATCATGTTTCAACTCACCTTCACTTGCTCACCAAGGTCCACAAAGTCGTAATGAAAATGTGGCATGTCCTCTATCCTTGGAAAACGAGAGTTTCCACCATGTTGCCTTTTAAACCATAAATGAACTACGCTTAGTTATTGGTCACCCTAGAGAGTTTCTAAAATTGACGTTTCAAGTAACAGCCCTTCATCAGAGTGAAAGTTTAAATTGAATACAATATCAACTCATCAGATAAAACCAAATCATATCCTGTTTCTGTACATCTTGGGGTATGTCAGTATAATAACAGTAGCCTACCAACAGGCTATCATTGGTACTGCAGCACTGAGCAGTGAAACAGCAAGACATGAAGGGCAGGCCTGGAATGAGCCTTGTTTCTGGGGTATTAAGTCACAATAAATAAAGGATTCAAATTATTCCTTTATTCACAAGCATAAATGTGAGGACATAGTGTCAAGGTAAAATCACAAGGAGGTGAACACTTTTCACAGAATGTATCACTGACTCTTAAGGTATCACAGGTGTATTGATTAGGTTGCAGAAAAGCCAGCCAAAGTTTGGCAAGTCAGTCTTTCTTACTTTTTGGGAAAGAAGTGGTGGTTTGAGGGCAGGAGCTGAAGAAACCTAACAACTTCCTTCCTCAAAAAAACAAGTCCCTCCCTTCTTTCTCTCCGTATCAACCTTTCTCTACTTTGAAAATCTGGGAACACGGCACTTAACTCTCCAAAGAATAAGTACTGAGCAATAACTGGTTGACACTTAATAAGGAAAAAAAAAACAATTGGGACTTACCTGACTTTCTTGTAAGTTCCAGTTACCCAAGTAGAGTCATCATGAACAAAGTCACCCTGGAAGAAGAAATGATCAAAGAGTTTTTTTGAAATACTTCAGTTGCATTCTCTCTCTTTATGGCACTTTTTATGCAGTATACCCAAAAAATAAAACAACAAAACAAAAGCAAAACATAACAAATACCAGAAAACAACTTTACTTGCATCAGATATTCTCTCTGCCATAATGTATTGGGCTACAAGTAGCCTGTCAAAAGCATGATTCTAGTAATATGTACCTCTGATATCACTGAGTATTCTTACTCATTTTAAACACAACAGGTAAAAGAAATTTTCAAACTTGTTGAAAAAAAATCCTTTAACCAGTAGAATTTTGAAGAATTCTAAGCAATTTTGGGCAGTCACAAGAGGTACAACAGGCAGTGAATTTTACTGGTTACCACCTAAAAATGAGAATATTGATAGCTAATTTACTCAAATGTATAACCTACTCTTTCACAAAAGTTTGAACTCTTAAACAACATGGCTTTTAAAGATATAAATTAAGTCTATTCTATACATTCATATCAACAGGTGTACAAGTAATTTTCAAGCTCCACATCTTTATAGACCTCACATTGTGAGGATTTTTAAGGGCCAAGTGCAGTTTTTTAACTATGTTTCATTACAAAGAAATAAATCCATACCTTGTTGTCTTGTGGTGAAGTTTTTTCCATAGTAACACTTCGTTTTGTTGTTCCAGTAAAATTCAAAGGTAACTTCATCACTCTAGAGCTGTGGCTGAAAGGAGAGATTGATAGTTTGTTTATACTGAGGCAGTTAACCTTTTAACTCCCAAGATCAGATTCTTAATTCTCCCCACAAGCTGCTAAACCTTTCCTCGTAAATTACTTACAAGAATTTGGTGTTATATCAAGATAACTACTACAACCTGATGAGTTTGAGTATTCTCATAATCTGTTAGCTGTGTAATGTAAGGATATTATGGAGAGAAGTTACGTGTTAATCACACCAAGGAGTTAAAAGGTTAAATGCACTATCTATTGGTTTACTGGTATATAAGACCGATAGTAATATACCATCTTCATTACATCATCATTGCACTTGTATTTCATATCAACATTCCTATCCTAACAGTATGCAAGAAGTTTGACACCATGGACTTACAAAAATGATCTAGTCCACCAAAAATCTCCTAAAGCTCAGTGATACAGCGTTTGAAGTACCAACCCTTTAACTCTCAAGATCTATTTGTTAATTCTCTGCTCTACCTGCTACCCATTTCCTTGTATATTTAGTTATGAGAATTTCATGTCTGATCAATTTAATGACTACTACCCAATATGTCTTTGATTTTTATTGAATTTGTAATTCTCTTTCAATGGTAATAGACAGCTGTACATGGGAAAATTGATTTGCTCTGGTTGGCTAGATGTAGTGCAGTTTTCAAGCAACAGAAGGCAGAGAGGAGGAAATATAGTACAGGAAATAGTTAAAACAGTCCCCCAAAAAGGTAGCAAAACCTTTAGCAGAGCTTTGAATTTTTTTGCCCCTTATAAACTCAATGGCCCTACACCTTAACATTACAAGGCTCACTTCTTAAAATTCTAACAAGGAGAATTTGTTTAACAATGAAGAGCTTCTTCATATTGTGACAAGAATGTGCAATTCAGGGTTGATATTGTAATTAAATAATAACAGATGCTAATCACTTTTTGGGATTGAAGGGTTATGTGTATAACATTATGAAAATTGAAATTTTGATTAGACACTGTCGTTTTGACCAGACACAAGGACATTTCTTGGGTTTGAATGGATCATTTGAGCCCTATGATTCTGCATGCTAAGCTCATGAACATCTTAAAATTTTTTCATCTATATCAAAATAACATGTATCAGATTACCATGCAAATTGAAATAAAAACACTTATTTAAGTATTTTCACATACTACAAATTGTACTTGCCCTGAATGGAAATGAAAAACTCTTAACACATCTTAACAAAGTTTGTCTTGACGCTCTCAATGGAATTTTGAATTACTTTTTAAAAATTGATCTAAACTTTGGCTCCTTACACCCTAACATCAGTAGGCATATTCTCTCCACTGTTCTCCATACATTTCTTAAGACCCTCACAAGGGGATTCATGCTAAAATCAAGATCTTTTTAAGTTTAAGATCATTTTTTGAATTCTCATGAACCAAACATTTTATTCAGCAGTGACACCTTAGTGAGATTATACAAGCTAGTCAGTCCCTTTACTTAGTAGCAAAGGGTTTAACAAATTTTAACATAATGTCCTTCTTTTGCTTTTTTTTTTTTTTTTTCTTTTTTTTTTTCAGCACCAAAGCTCTATTGATCCAAGCAAGTGAAGAATAAAATTTGATTTTATGTGTAGTGATCTAAGTTACATTAGGGAACCAAGTCACTAGAAGCATTGACCAATATAATATTCATGAATAAGGTGCAAGACTGGAGAAAATTGAATAAAAAGAATTTCAAATAGATCATGATTATTTGCAGTATGTCTGCCCCAGACTTTTTTATCATAACATAAATATTAATAAAGTACAGGACTATGGGCTAATTTTCCACCTTTTGAACTCTTGCACTTTAACTAAGTACTGATACCAATTATGGATTCTCTTCACAAATGCAAAAGCACTTAAGTCTTATGGTTGGTTGACTAGCAAAATATGAATATTTGCGGTGAAAATATAAGTAACAGTGTACTATCTAATAGTACAATGCCAAATTTAAAACACATCACTTTCTGTTTAGAACGATCTTGACACAAGTTCATCATTTTGTTTCAAAATTTATCTTTATTTTTTTCACTTTTGTCACAATTCCTCATAAATTGCATCTATTTTTGCTGACAGAGACGAATTAACAAAGTCACATCAAGTGACTTAAGCTTTTAAAATTAGCTCAGTCTATGAAAATTTGTAACACAACTCCAAAACAAACAGACTTACCCTTCAAAAAACTTTGTAACTAGATCATTCCCTGACTAAAAATTTGATAACATTTGAGTGAAGAACAGAAGAATTCGTTTCGGCGCGAACATCCTCTTGATATTTGGCTAAATCTTTATAGCTTGCGTTCAGTGAAAGTTTAATTCAAATTTTCATTTGAAATTACAGTACTGCGTACAAAATGCACCATTACCCTGCGTGAATGTACTATAACACTTCTGAGCGGTTTACTTAAACATACAAGTTAAGGTCACTGATGTTGTTAGTAGAAAGTATTACAAAAAGCAAAATCCATGAATTTTTTAACAATATTAAAGCTCATTCGCTTTAACTTTTCATCAGACGAACACTGTCTCATATCTACAATAATCCATATCCGCCTAAAGTCTTAACGAATTTTTCGTAAGGCACACGACATCTTTAAAAGCCGGAAAAAAGATTAGTCGCCTCAGAACAAACAAATACGATTAACACTCTCATCAATCTGTCGTCTGGGAAACTGGATATCGTGCGCCGGTCTCTGCATTTTTGCTTAAATAAACAATTCCTGTATATTTTGACTCAATCAATAGATGGACTCTTCACTTCAAAATTCAGAAGGCAAACACCTACCTTATCAAGTGATCGGTGAATAGAAAAAAAATTGCGAGGCAAAATTCTCTTACCTTGAAGTTTCGTATTGCGATTGCGGGAGACCATATTTGTTAGACGGATAATAGCCGACATTACTTGGCCCTAAAATATTGGATCAAAACAGAAAAACATCACGTTAGAGCGAGTCGAGCTGACTAACATAGAGGTAAATGTCTGATTAATACTCTCATGATTCGGATAGCGAGTTGTGCGACAAAACGAGTGATGATCCATTGTACCAAACTAAGCTAGTGATGGACGTCTCTGGGTGTGAGCCATGTCGGAAAAATCCCTCAATTCGCAGATGTTTAACGCTTACAGATTACCTGAAGGACTCGTGTCAGACGTGTACCAAGTAGTCATGTCGTACAAATGGTATTATTCGAGTTTGGTAGAATCATGACATGGTTTTGTTGATGATATTTCCTTTGTTTGTAACACCAGAGTTATCCGCCATCGTTGAAATTGCCAATCTTTGATGCCTAAATGACGTCACGAACCGTGGGCTCACTACGTTATTCCATACACCCCGTGATTCTCCGTGATCGTGATGGGAGCGTGATGCACCGTGATCTCATTATTATGAAATGCCACTCTATTTTACATTCCTCGTTCTCTAACCCGTTCTCCTCCTTGGAATCATCATTTTTCTTGTCCACTGAATAGTCAGTATCGGACAGATTATTTGAAATAACCAAGAGAATATAAGTTTATTATATCAAGCAATAACGGGCAATACTAGCTGATTCAAAGTAAATAAATGAATAAATAAATCTTAATGAATAAATTTGTGAATTCGACCAGGACCTTTGACCAGGACTGTGGTCCTCTATTGTTTACGTCACATGCAGGCCGGACGAAAGTATTTCAATAGTGAAATACCATTTTTTTACCATTTTTTTAGGGTGTTACGCGAACGTCAACGTGTTTTCGCGGGAAATTAAAGAAACCCCCCCACGTATCTCAGTTCTGAAAATGAAAAGATATGGAACAGGGTTGTTTCAAGGGTAGAATTGGGATGGAGGCTCCGGGTACTAGTAAACTTTCTTGCAAAGGGCTTTTTTTTTTCCCATATCATAGATCCGCCGTAGAGACAATTTTTTACGGCTTTTTCTGTTATTTATCGATCATGCTTTTATTTACGCGGCCGCAAAAAATGAATGGTGGTGCGCCGTTCTAGGAGTCTGTACTGCTCAGTTTGTTTTGGTACACGTGTATCCGTTACTATCTATGGCTTACGAATATCCCGGGTCGTACATGATATAAGAGATAATGGTTAAGTAATTGGGACCGGAAATACCTTGAGTATCTATGAAGCCTCTATCACCAGGGATCCCTGGGGAAGATTTGGTTGATCCCCAGTGGGTGTACATAGCGACACTTATTACAAAGTTTAGTTACACCGGGTTCAGCTCTCGCTATGCAGTTTGCAATGAAGGGCTTCCTTGTTATACTTTACTTGAGCTTATTCTATCACAGCGTCCACTGTCAAGATGAAGAATTTGATGAAGTCCAAAGAGAAGAAGATAAGCTACCACAGTATCTTAAAGATGATGGAATTCGGCGAGTCGCCAAGCTAACGAAAGACCACTTTAACAAGACGTTGAGAGCGAGTCGAATGATGGTAGTTTTATTTTATTATTCGAGCAGCGAAAAGCCAGATCCTGAAGCTGATCGATCGTGGAAAACGGACCAAAAGATGCTTGAGGTAGGAAGTCTTCGTAGCAAAGGTTTTAGATAAGTCTCAGATGGAAGCTCACATTACTCTGATACAGCAATCGGTCAGACGAGGTAGTGATAATACTTATCATGTATATTTTGCACGTGAAATCGTTCACAGTTCTTTGTTATTGTCTCACTTGGATTTAAAATAATTAATTTTGTTGAAAATTTATTTCTCGTGTCTTTTGTGAGGGAATTCAAGTCCGTGTTGAAGTTTACCAACAGAAACAAATTTACGAATTAGTTTTATCTGAGAGATAAAACTCTACGGTTTTTCCTGTGGGATTTGTTTTCATATTCACATCAGCTTAACTTAATTATTTTCGTTTCCAAATTTTCATGCGGGTTTCATTTCATGGGTGATATGGCAAATTAGATGCTTTCAACTTAAAGCATGTGAATCCTTGTAAATTTAACGCATTCATGGAGGCGACAAAGTACGGAATAAACAAAAATCTTTTCAGATAAGAAATTTTGAAATTATAGTTACTGTTTGTTCTGAAACAAAGATCTCTCTCCGCTGAAAACTGTCAATAATTGATTAGCCAGTTCTAATTGATGGTGTAAATTGTTCTTCAATAATAGATGATTTTTGAAAATCAAACACATTTTGCTGTCATAATATTTTTCCTTCTCTCTGATTTTGGCATAAATGACTTTGAACATCTTGTTTTTGTGAAAAGTGAAATTGTTCCAAAATAGATAGGGAATTTTTTTTATTTTCGGTTTCAAATTTTGAGGTTATAAATGGATACAATATTCGGTTATTTAGTTAATTATATCAACATCAAAATCTATTCAAGTTCTCAGTTGTTCCTTGCCATGAGATTTATTTTGTTTTTGACAGGTTTATAAATGGTAAGATTTACTTTGTAGCCAGTTAAGCACTAAAGAAATTAGGGCCTTAAAATGATTGGATCACTGGCCAGACTGTCAAGTTAAAACTTAAATTGAAATGTATAAGGAAAAAAAAAGGAGTGAGCAGCTGTGTCTTGGGAGATTTGGTCTCTGATAAACTGTGCTTTCCACAGGAGGTTTTTGTTTGAATTGAGAGGAGGTGAAACTCATGCTGCTACATAAATTCTTTGCTGCCCAAAAAAACAACAGACAAACAAATTGAGTAATCTGGCTTTATCAACTGAGTTGATAATTTAAATAGGCCAATGTAGAGAGTTTCTAAGCTGAAGCTGCAAGCTTTAAAGGTTCATGCGAGGATTTGAAGGAGTGGTGTGTGTGACTAGCATGGTTTTATCTTTCTGTTTATCAACAACAAAGAACTTCCAATTTCTCTTTCCACTCTGATGAAGAGTGAAGATGCTCAAAATGTCAGCCTAAGAAATTCTTTACAGTGGCTAATTTACATTATCAACTCAGTCAATAAAACCAAATTATCTAATCATACCCCCCTTCCCCCCTCCCACCCCACCCCACTGACTTGGCACTATAGTTTCTTTAGAAAATTACTATCTTAAGACAAATTAGGAACATTAATAAGCCTGAGGAAAAACGAAAGTCCTAAAAAAAATACTTTTGAAAATACAAAAATACAAATAATAAAAAACAAAATACCTAAACAGATTGATGAACTTGAGAAAAAAATTCTAAAACTTAATATTTGAAACAGACACAAACAAACCTAAAAAAAAAAAAACAGACAATGTAGAAAGGTAAAGTTGAGAAAGAAAACAAAAATAAAAATATATCTATTTTAAAATGTCACTCCATTTATCTTCTTGCCCCTCGACCCTTTGACTTCTAAAAGTAATCAGCATCTAATTTCTCCTCACGGTATCATCCCTTGAATCACACATTAAAATCATAAGAACAGGAGAAATTATCACCAACTAAAGAAGCTCTTGACTGTTAAACAAATTCTCCTTGTCAGCACCTTATGAAAAAAATAGAGAACAGTAGGGAGAATATACCTTCTAATGCTATGGTGTAAAGAGTTAACCAGATTTTTCTAGGTTCTTTTTCAAAAATCATTGCCATGAAGAAGACAAGCAGTATGCAGTCGAAACGTCGCAATCTACATCACACATGACTACATCATGAGACAAACGAAAAACTTAGCTTTTTATTGTTATTCACCACGATGAATAACCACAACCTTTTCCAGGTTTTTTTTGTTTGAAACTTTTAACCCTTTCACTCCCACAAGTGACCAATAGAGAATTTCTCCTTACAATATCAATACAATATCAAGCAGGCAGGTGATGAGAATAGAGAAGAATATCAATCATGGGATTATTAGTCGATCCAATACCAAATTTTCTGAACTAACATCATAAGAATTGTATGGCAGATAGTAAGGAGAATTACTTATTAGATCTTGGGAGTGAAAGGGTTAAGGTAGTCGTAGCTTCAATGGCCTTCTTATGAAGAGTTTTCTTTTCCCAAATTGGTATAATTCCCTTGGTGCTCTATTTTAAAATTAGTTAGTCTCAGCACTTCCCAGAGGTATAACAAGCAGGTGACACTGTAAGTGTAACACAGGGTGTGAAACAAATTTTCCAAGTTGACAGACTTGACATGTATAAACATCTTTTTCGATGATTTAGTATATAAGATGTGCAAATATTAGTAAGGCAAATTTCCAGCAGTGCTTATAATATATTGACCAACAGAAGTTGCCATCTATAATATTTCCCTTCCACAGATTGTAGCTCGAGTTCTTCAACCCCAGGGTGTCACAGTTGGTGTGGTTAATGTTGCTGAAAACATGGAGCTAGTAAAAGAAATGGGTATGTGTTACCTTAATCAACAATATATTATCTGAAGCAAGAACACTGAACAATTGAGATATTAAGCAAGTGGGAAGTTTGGAGAGTACAAAAAATACCTAAGAATTGCTCAAGGCACAAAAGAGAGAAAATCAGGTGTCTTTGGTGCTCATCAAGCTTTCTGAGTACAGTCAAACCTTAATTATCTGGACTTGTTGGGACTGAGTTGATTAGTTTGGATAATTTGAGCCTGCATATATATGACAATATGATGTTAATGAGCCAAAAATAAAACTGAGTATGCACCATTTGAATTATTGTGCATCACTGTTAAGATTTGCAAAAAGTTATTAAAGCCAACTTACAGTGCTGACAGCCTAAATGAGGATGTAAATCAGTTTGTATCAAACTGCTACAGCATGTATGCATCACTAATTCTATCAATCTTTGAAGCTCCATTCATTTAATAGAATTATAGCATCAACATTGCCTCATTACATGTGCTTTGTTGATGCAAAAAATTGTCACAGATCTGGAATATGACTTGTTACTAATATTATTCATAACAAATGGGACCAGAGAGGTGTGTCCAAATATGTAAAAAAAAAAATCTAGATTAATCAAGGTTCAACTTTATTTCATATCTTGGTGAATGCACAACTTACACATGAATCAATTAGCCTTTTAACTCTCAAGATCTGATTGTCAATTCTCCCCTCCAGCTGCTACATATTTCCCTTTTAATTAGTTACGAGAATTTGGTGTTAAATCAAGATACAACTTCTACCTGATAAGTATGAGTATTCTCATTACCTTTTTGCTGGATAATGTCAGTATGCATATTCTCCTTACTCTTTTCAATACATTTCCTAAGGTGCTGACAAGGAGAATTTGTTTATCAATCAAGAGAATATTTAGTTGGTGATCATTTCTTTTATTCTCATGGCCTTACTGTGTGATGCAGGAGTCATACTGTTTGGAGAAATTTTATGCTAATCACTCTTAGGGGTTAAAGGATTAAAGGGTTAAAGGTATAACATTATCAACACAGAATTTTAATCTCCCTTTAAGGAGAAATTTTCTCTGCCATGCTTCAATGCAGACAGGTCATCAGTAAGCATAATGGGAGTAATTGAAGCATGCTTGCACTTTTGATTTTGAATTTAACAGTTTATGTCATAATTTTTGTTGAAGTCTGGTGGTGAAAGGTCAAGACAGCAAATTGTACACAAATGGCATTCACCCATCTACACCCATCTCTCTCCTCAAATGTGGCTATACAATGAACATTTCAGTTAACCCTTTAACTCACATGAGAGTTACCAGGACAGAATTTCTCTAAATGCAATATCAATACAATACCAAGAAGAGAAGTGACAAGCATGAATGAAAATATCAATTATGGGATTATTAATTGATCCAATACCAAATGCTCTGAAGTGACATCATCAGACTGGGAGCAAAATTGTTAAAAATCATTCTTAATTGCTACATGTTTGGACAAATATTTAAAAATTTTTTTCCATCAGATGTACTTTACATTTCAAATATGAATTTTCTAACTAACTGCAGGTGTGAAATACTCTGGAGCAATTATGGTTTATCATAGAGGAAAGAGAATAGAATATTTTGGACACAGGTAATGGAATATAAGAAATGAAAACTGTTATATGTTTCTATTGATAGTGGCTGGACATGCATTGAATTATCCATCATGAACTTCTTGATAGTTAAGCCCTAGATGTCCCATAAAACAGTGTAGTGAGTATAACTCATTTGTATTTTATTGACAGGTCAGCTGATGTTCTTGTGGGATTTCTTCACAAGGTATGTTTGAAATCCTTTGGCTACATGTATATCTGTACTTGTTTTTCAAATTGCTCCCAGGCTTGAGGTTTGAGGTGATAAAGAAATATTATTTTTTAGAGAAAGATGTTTCTGTGTTTCTTGCCATGAGTGTGGGGAAAAAGAAAAAATTCTGAGTCCCCTTGAGGAATCAAACCTCAGACCTTCAGATTCCTCATGTGGACTCAGAAGTTTTTTTCAGTCCCACGCTGTGTAGAGAAGACAAAAAAACATCTTTCTCTATTTCGTAACCAAGCTCAAAACTTACGATCTCTTTTATTCTATTTACAAGAATTATTTTGGTTACACCCTTTTTATTCTACTTAAAATGATGTCGACTTTCTAATCTGGTGTTAATATAGACAGTCAATTGCTATTTTACTAGCTGTTTGGAAAATGCTGGTGATATACATTTTGATTACATCCATTTTGCAATCACTGGTGATCCTTGCAATCTGATTGGCTCTCAGCCATGCGATTTATTCTTAATGTAAACAATCAACCAGTGCTATTTTACAGGCTTAATGGACCCTGCTGGTGAAAAAACCCTTTAAAAATATTTTCCATTTTCTGTAAATGTTTGTGTATGGTATTCTCTCCCAGCTTGAATCTTTACTATAAAATGTTCTGGGATTATCTTCAGAGCATCTTCACAGCTTTCACATTCTCCCATTGGCCCCTTTGTGGAGATTACAAAGGACCAATCGGAACGGCCACAAAGACCACCGTTTAAAAAAGACCAATTTTTCCTCACGTTGTCTTCCCGAGAGCCTGTGACAAATACTTCAAAATCTTTCAGGATTTGTTTTTGTAACATCCTGTAAGGTTTTTTTCTCGGGTATTAGTTTGTCAATTATAAAGAAATATAAATGGTTTATGTAAGCAATAAACTGCACTCTCTATCGGTATGCCGGCGTAATAATACACGCAGGATGCAGTTCTGTAGTTTCGGTAAAACTTGAAAACTACAGAAGCTAACCATTCAGTACTATGACTGTTCTTTGATGGGCTTCTCCGCCATCAGATCCAGACCCAGCGTCTATTTCTGATATGAATGACATTTGCGAACAACAGTCTCTTTATGTAATGTAAACTCTCGCCTAGTTTTTATTTTTGGAAACATGAGTCACAATAAAACGGTAACTTACTGCACATTTAGTTACAGCTGCACTTTTCGTCTGAGTGATGGAAACCAAAGAAATTAAAAATTGACCACAAAGGTCAGGATGAACGACTTTTCTGGGCTGATTGCACATAATTGCTATTTATGGTAATACGAATTTCAACAATTACTCTCGTCCCACTTTCTACCATGTTCGACTACTTTTGACAAAATTTTCTATGGAAAAAATACAACTCAGATAAATGCATTTATAATAATATGTAATTCAATTATGTGTCCTATACTCTTAAGTTGTCTTTACAGGTGTCTCAATTTTTTGGGAAGAAGAACGTCTACATGCACATGTTTCTAACTGAATATCCAGTCTCTTACGTATTGAACTTTTTTTCTTCTATTCCCCATAATTCCCTTCCCCCGCTCCCCCTTTTACGTCCTAAACAGGTCCTCTCTTCTCCGATGACAACATTTAAAACCTTAATTTGTACAGTTACTGGTAGAAGCAAATTCTAGCTGCAACATTTCCTGCCTGTTGGAGGCGTTCGGTTCTATAGGTGTCACCGCTGTCTTATCCCTCAACGACACGCGAAACGAGTAGTCTAACACTTGTGAACCGACGGCCTGGTGTGTATTTTGTTCAGGTTTGAGAAGAATTACGTAAATTTTTGGACCTAGCATGCAACTTAATAGTCCATATGAACTGACAAGTACCATGGTGCAAGTCAAGTTTGTTGCATGGGAACCCCTTAGGCCAATGTCAATAGGGAAGTATGCTACACTTGAAAGTAGTAAGATGTACATAGAGAATCCAATGTACCTGGCTTCGTTAAAGTTTTCAGGAAGTGTTCTAGCTTTGAAGGCGTAATATGTACAAGCCACCGCAAGAAGAGACGTGTACACAGATATGGCGATTTGAAAACTCATTCCAACGGACGATTGATGCAAAGAACACGAGAGAAGAATTAAACCTCTATTTGTCTGTATGATCCGTTGCTGGTGTGGTGAGTCCAAAGTAATCCATAACGAGCAGAATACAGCTGGTGGAAATATTAACATCAGAACAATAAAGGTTTGTCTCTTTGTGGAAAGAATAAAGATTTTGAATCTCTCGGCCATAACGTTTATTTGGAATGCGCTGAGTATCTTCATGGTCTTAATTATCAGTATGGAGATGATTGTTACAAGAACCATGGGTCGCCAGCAGTGAAGCAAAGCGCACGTAAAGCTCGAAGGCTTGCTGAGGGATAAAATAGACGAAGAAAAGGACAGTGTGATTGTAAACAGAAGGATAGAACTTAACTCGCGATTAGCTGCTTTGACAAGGGGAGTGTTCCAAAATTTAAAGAGAATGAAACTGCAAATGGCAAGGAGAAGGAATCCAGCAGTCGCAAACAGAACGATAAGGACAGACGCGGGACTTGACCACATGACTTCTACTTCAGGGAGATCCAAGCATTTTGACCTCCGTTCATCGGGCTTTTGTCCACGGGGACATAAGGTGCAATTCATATCATTCACTCCAGCGCTAACAGTTCCATCCAGACATTTTTGGCAAGTCCAACAGCAAGAGGTCGTCGGCAACTGATATTCACCAGCAAGGCAATCTCTATGGCAGAATGACTTTGGAATAATTTTGTGACCTGCCGCGGTATTCCACTTTATGCCGGAAACGTTTAACTGAATTCCCTTTCGACTTTCATTCCACGATCCGATGGCTAATTTGATTAAATCGGAGTTTTCATTCATCTGAAAATGTACAATATCATAAGACGATATTTTAGGGTCTCCAAACTGATCAAATTGGATTTTCCCAGTTACTCCTGGAAAGGCGACTTGGCGAAGATGCGCCTTGAGTTTCTTTGGACCGACTGTGGGATAGATTTGACTTGAGTTGTGAATAGCAAAGGCAACAGCAAACACGGCATCTACCATATAGGGAATGTAGCTGTTGTATACCGAACTAATAACTGTGTCATTGGAAGATGAATTACCTTTTTGCTTCCAAAACTCTTTCCACCAAGGAGCAGAGGCACTTTCCTCTTGTAAGGACTTGATGGATTCTTTGATCAAGAAATCTTGGAAATATTGAACATCAAAATGACTAAGTTCAATACCAAGTGACCCATGGACAACTCCTTTATATTCGTCTTTCATTTTCATAAGCTCCTCCCCTCCAGCCGTCAAACTATCGCTGAGAATCCAGGTGCGGTCGTACATTTTCTGTTTTGCAGCTTCCTCAAACAATCGGCGTCCATATCCTCTTAATAGCCAGAGCACCACAACGTGAACATTTGAGTGGCTTCGAAGCTTCTCCACGGTTCTTTCTAGCTTTGTTACGTACTTTTCTCTTGGTATGTAATCTGCAAAAGAAAGGCAAAATGTCTGCCTTTTGCCTGCCTCAGTTTCCAAGCTCCGGACCCCATTTCGACCGTAAGAATCGTCCATTGCCACAGCAGCCACATAGCTCCAATTGAAGTAATCTATTACATCGGCCATTGCCTTCGCCTGCTTTCTATCGGGAGGAACAGTGCGAAAAAAGTAACTGTATTGCGGGGAGCTTAACTCATCGCTTGTTGCCGAGTAACTGATAAGTGGGATTTCAGCCACTTGTAAAAGGCTCCCTACAAAGATTGCAGCCCCTGAATCGGTCGGACCAATCACAGCTGTTATTGGAGTAGGTTTCTTCTGTTCTGTGTTACTCTTTGATGCACCAACGAACCTGGCGTTTTGAAATTCTGATGCCAATTCATTTTTCCGGACAAAATCGTACGTGTGTTTCATTGCCTTTACAGTGCTTGTGCAGTAGTCTCGAATGTCATATCCTAGAGTCACATTTTGAAGCAGGTGTGGGTTCCTGTTGATTGTGTCGATGGCGAACTTCATAGCTTCCACATGGCCAAGTCCTGCTGAAGAAAAATCACTGCATTCGCCATCATCATTGGTGTGGTGTAGTGTAATCAAAGCTCCAATTGTGATGTCGCCAGGCAGATGATAACGATCTTTACTTGTCGTCCCTGACGACGTCTGAAAACCATAGGACACCACTACCGAAAGTAACACGCAATTGTTTACGAACATTTCGCAGAATGTTTTTCCCTGTTACAAAGGTAAAAAGAATTACTTGATTAACTTGTAGTTTTAGAACAAATCATCGGAAAAATGACTTATCGAGTTAGAGAGATTAACCGAAAAAGTCACGCTCGCTTATTGTCTCCTGGTTTTGGACGGCGGTAAGTATTAATGTAGACATAGCAAGCGGAGGAATCGAATTTGATGCAGTATCGATAACAGCATATAGTCTTTACTTTGGGCTCACCAGTGAATGTGTCAGGTAGAAAGTTTTTCTTTAAAAGGAATCAAGCGAAAAAAGTTTGCTTTCGATTTTGAAGTGACCCGATTAAGATTTGAGTTTTAAGCGAAAACATTGACAAATTACATTAATTTATAATATTATGTGTGGACACATGTTTGTGGAACAGATATAATTTGAATTTTTGAGCGTTACAATTAAAAAATCGTTCTTGTTTCATTTTGGTTTATGGCAGATGTTGTCTAAGTTTAACTGAAATATTAGAAAAAATTCGAATGGAGGAATTAAGACGCACTATTAGACGAGTAGTTTTTCAAGACGAATTACATCTCTCTTTAAGAAACTTCACGGCTTTTCTGGTTTAATTTACCTTTTCAAGAAGTGTCGGCTAAATTGAAGGAAACCTAACATAATGCATAAAGCTTGTCATTCTTTTGTGTCAAATCAATTTAATTAGTTCTTGAGTGGTTTGTGGAAACATTTTAAGGAAATATTTGGGTTGTATTCCTTTCTCGCACTTTGGTCTACCTTTCGCACCAAATTGGCATTTATGTTGCTTAAACCGTCATTTTTGCGCCCGTTTTCTAGAGAGAGTAAAAAAGTTACTAAGTACAGTTAGGTAGATTGGTGTGGACGTCCAAGAACATGTATTTTGAGAATTCCATTGTCGACTGACTATTCACTAAGCAATAAAAATAAAATTTTTGAAAATAGAGAAGAATGGAATTAGCGCTTTCCACTTATTTCCTTATTTATGTGTATTTAGCTTGTGACGCATTTTAGAAAGAATAGGTGTATAGCACCGAAAACAAAACTCGCACGCTTAAAAACCGTGAGTGAATCCTTGCCTGGTCAGCAAAAGCTTTTTTGCGCCAAATTTTGTGGACTTAAAGTCCAGGATACAATTATCCTTTCCGGTAGTATCTTTCATCTGGCGCCATCTTATTGTCAAGAACTCTGATGTGGGACAATAGCTTTTTCTATCTGTTTTAGTCTGCAAAAAATCTTCGTGTCAATTTCTTTCTTCATTCATCGAGAATTAGAATTTTACTGCAAGTCGAATGTTTAGGTTTGAAAGGTCCTTATCCGAGGCAGATACAACTATTGCGAGTCATCTGGACCCTTAGGCACATGTACTCTATTTACGACATAAGCGGAGGTTTGCGATGGGCGTTTGTTTTTGTAATTTTGGCAGTTGTGGAGAACTCAACTTACTGAAATTAAAGCCACCAGCTTGAGCTTATTTTTATGCGAGTTATCTTGAGGACCCTAGTTTATCCGATAATGGTAGTCCTACCTTTGCAAGGGCGGCATGTAGTCGTGTCACAAGTTTCAGCTTAATTTCAGTCGAAAAAACTTCCTTATTCTAATGCAGTCCAATTGAACTTAACTAGCGGGTGACACATTTGTGAAAAACAAGTGTGTGACATCTAAGTGAAGGTAGGAAAGCTCTTTGACAGCTGAGCGACGTTTTGAAGCAATGGTTGTTAAACACACTAGTAATTTAACAACGGAATATCATTTATTTTTGCAGTTTCCATGACAATTTCTTTGTTCTCAATTAAGGATAATTTTTATTCTTTATTTCCTTTGGTATAAGTTATTTACTTTACTAATTTGGAATTTAAGGTATCACAGATGGAAAAACCTAATTTTTTTTCTCAATTTCCTAAACATTTAATATCTAATGAGAAAAAATAAGATTTATCAACTTCTGAAAATTTCATTTTGCTCTCTTTTTTACTTCAGGAACTAATTATAAAGCATAAAGTAATTTGAGAGTAGAAAGGAAGGCGCGAGATTGATGTCCCTTCGTGTTAACTTCTTCTCGTCGCCTAAATAACGATTTAAAAACCACTATTGATTTACAACGCAAAACTTGCTTATTCTAATGTAGTCAAATTGAACAGAAGTAAAATGTCTTTAAAACGGCATGTCTTGACAACCCTTCTTACATCTCAGAACACGAAAATTAATAAGTTGTTTCTTACCTTTACCTTCCAATGTTTGTTTTCTGTTCGTTGAGTGTTCTTGGTTTCAAATTTACGTGAAAACTCAACAGTAACGAATATTAACAGCCTTTCTTCTTCCGTATTCGTGAGAGTAAATAGCAATTTACATCACCGACAGATAGAAAAGGCTGCTTTTGGAAGATTTTTGACAAGTATATTTGAAGTGCGGCATCTGAACGATATAATCTTACAACTTCCTCCGTCAATCAATCATTTTATTTAGTGATGCAGGTCGCAAAAGTGACAGCCATGAGGCTAATGTGGACCTACAGATTATCCAGATTCCGTGTGACTGATTTAAAGAGGAAACAACCCACCGTGCTTAACTTCTTTATGTATGGAATTGAAGTTGTCATAAATGAGCGTTTCATATCGACATCATTGTCACGTCATGTGGATCATGTTATTTCTTGATATGATCTATTTTGAATTGAGTCGCCATTTCTGAGACATGAAGAGTCTTTTTCACGTTTTGTACGTGTCAAAACCAACTGAAGCTTTAAAATGAAAAGAGTTTGAAATCTCTATCGATGAATCTAAGATCGTTAGCCTGACAAGAAGGGCATGTGAAGAATTGGCACGTTTCCATATAAAATTGTTATTATGAACTTCTTAAGCGCTCAATCCTTTTTCGCGGCTATATGTGTGTTATTCTCTTCCATAGCCAGAGTGCATTTCGATTGAGTGTCGAAAACTAAACGAAAGGTAATAGCAAAGCCAATCAAAACAAAAGGAAAAAATTGCAAGGAGCATGAGCGAATCAAGGGAAAAAGTAAACTATCAGAAGCGCGGGAAAACGCGTGCGACTAAGTCGCAATTGGTTTTAATTTGATTGATTTGATCGGTTGAAAAAATGGAGCGAATTTTTTCTGGGCCAATCATAATGCGAAGTGAAGCAAAGCTAAAGCAATCCTGGATTAACTTTGACACTTAATTCAAAATTGTTTATCGTCGGTGTATGTAAGTACTAGCGAACCTTTTTTTTTTAATTTTACTTAATTTTTTAGTAGAAATGAAAACAGCAAAACATATCGCCGCCTAACTCCTCTGGGTTTGTTTCCCAATGTCGAGACTAAGATGGCTCGAAGTATTATTTTTTTAATTATTTCTTTTTACATAATCTGGTAAATACTTCGCGCCTTGCGAATGATTGTTGCCCATTACAGTATGGAAACGGTTGACTTTATAGGGAATCATAATCATCGTGTAGTGTGATCCTCTAAGTAATTGAAGACCTGAAAAGCCCCTTGTTGGAGAGTCAACTCATAATAACTTAACTATAACCGACAAAGGCCTTTTTCAGTTCCACACTTCGACGATCACACACATTGAATGATACTATTTTTTTTTCATTGTGTTGTCCAACGTAGAGCTCATTTTAAACTGACATGCGACCGATCTGAGATTCTATCGGACCCTTGTAATCTTGTCTTCTTTTTAATTTATCCGTGTCCTTAGATGGGTTTCCTGCATTTCTTTGAAGTTATAGTAGTTATAAGGTCACAATGATATTTTTTTAATTACAAAAGTTTAGGAAAGTTAAGAAGAGTTAAGTTTCGAATCCTTTCAAATCCGAAAACGAGCTATCGTGGAGGGTACTTGTTTCACAAGTTAAAACTAAATACCAATACATAAATGTAACAGAAAGAAAATTCATTTGAAAACGATAGGTCATGACAACTCTTCTAACATCTCAGTGAGATCTCCCAAATTAACAACTGGTTATTGATATGGCGAATAATTTTTCGACTGATCAATTTCTAATTTTTAATTTTGTGAAAAAATATTTAGTTAAACCGGTTAAAACCTTCAAAATTAAAAAAAATGGGTTTGAAAGATCCCTCAATAAATCATTAATCGTTAGTTGTTTGAAGGCAGGTGAAGAATTTTTACTTATTTATTTTTAGTGTCATTGTAAACGTCAAAACCGCTCAACTCTTTTTTGTTTTAAGCTCAGTCTCTTTCACAATAAAAGCAAATTCGACTGAGTGTCATAAAACCAAAACAGAAGAAAGAGAGAGGCTAACGAGAAAAAACCACAAGGAGCCACTGAATATGTCTTTAACGATCTTTCAAATTGGTCCCAGGCAATTAGCTTGAGGCTCGAGTTGATAAAGAATTGTACTTTTGAATAAAGATCCAAAGCAAGTTAACTCTGAAAATATAGACCCGATTTGGAGAAACAATTCTGGAGTTCTGAAACCCTACCTTCCACTGTTTCATTAAACAAAGTCTTTTTACAACTCGAATTAAGTTTTCATAAATGAGTATTTAACGTGTAAATTCTCATTTCATATCATATCGACCATTTAATTTCTTGATGTGGCGAATAATTTTTGCTTTGATAAAATTATGATTCAATTCAGTTCGATCTTTATTTTGTGGTGGGTTCAAACCGGTTGAAACCTTCTCAAACCGGTTGAAACCTTCTCTTCAAAAGGAAAAGGGATTTAAGATATGAATGAATGAATCATCAAACGTTGGTGGGAGGGCTGGTCAAGAACATAAGTGTGTTTCATGACTTTAACCCTTTCACTCTTACAAGTGACCAAGAAAGAATTTCTCCTAACAATATCAATACAATATCAACCAGTTAGGTGATGAGAATGAAGAAAAATATCAATTACGGGATTATTAGTTGATCCAACACCATCATAACATCATAACATCATAAGAACTGTATGGTAAACAGTAAGGACAATTGCTTATGAGATCTTGGGAGTGAAAGGGTTAACAGTACTTCTAAGGTAATCCTGAATGTCTTATCCTGGAGTCATGTTCTAATTAAAGCAGTTCTTGCGTTCCTGTTGATTGTGTCGATAGCGAATTCCATTGTTTCCATAATGCATTTGCCATCATCTTTCGAGTAATGAATTCTAAAATCAGTGTCGCAATGCTTATGAAACTGGTATGAAAAGTATAGTTGAACGATTTAAATTACCAAATCAAACAGATCAACTGAGAGCACTCTACTACAGTCTTGTAGTGACCTAATTCATCGATTCTTTGTGGGATGTCGCCTAACTCGAACTGAAATTTGTGAAAAGATACGTGCCAGAGAATTTATATGCATTGCCACAGGCATCTTTCTCCTTTAATGTTCCAACTTTGCTTTTTAACTTAGCTCATCGTAAATATACAAAATCACACGTTATACTTAAGGCTTGTCTCTCTCTTTTGTGAAAAATCAATGAAACTACTACCTGAGCTCCGTTCGTAGTACCATTATGGAGAGGGCCTAAATAACACATGACGTATTTTTGAATGAACACGTGTAAAATCTAACCGGTCGATACTACATGAGTGATCTGTACTGAACCTCTTCAAGATCAAATTACTCAGCGTCTATTGCACATATGATTGAATGACGTTTTGAATTAGGCGAGTGACCTCTACTTCCTAAACAGGTTCCCTCCTCTCCAATGATAACATATGAAAACATGGCAAACTTTAAGTTGTTGAGTTACCGGTAGAAGCAAATTCTAGCTGCAACATTTTCTGCCTGTTTAGGGCATTCGGTTTCATAGGTGTCACTGCTGTCTTATTCCTCAACGATAGGCAAAACGAGTAGTCCGACACTTGTGAACCGACGGCCTGGTGTGTATTTTGTTCAGGTTTGAGAAGAATTACGAAAATCTTTGGAGCGAACATGCAAATTAATAGTCCATATGAACTGACAAGTATCATGGCGCAAGTCAAGTTTGTTGCGTGGGAACCGCTCAGGCCAATGTCAATAGGGAAGTATGCTACACTTGAAAGTAATAAGATGTACATAGAAAATCCAATATACTTGGCTTCGTTAAAGTTTTCAGGAAGTGTTCTAGCTTTGAAGGCGTAATATGTACAAGCCACTGCAAGAAGAGACGTGTACACAGATATAGCGATTTGAAAACTCATTCCAACGGACGATTGATGCAAAGAACACGAGAGAGGAATTGAACCTCTATTTGTCTGTATGATCCGTTGCTGGTGTGGCGAGTCCAAAGTAATCCATAACGAGCAGAATACAGCTGGTGGAAATATTAGCATCAGAACGATAAAGGTTTGTCTCTTTGTGGATAGAATAAAGTTTTTGAATCTCTCGGCCATAACGTTTATTTGGAATGCACTGAGTATCTTCATGGTCTTAATTATCAGTATGGAGATGATTGTTACGAGAACCATGGGCCGCCAGCAGTGAAGCAAAGCGCACGTAAAGCTCGTAGGCTTGGTGAGGGATAAAATAGAGGAAGAAAAGGACAGTGCGATTGTAAACAGAAGGATAGAACTTAATTCGCGATTAGCTGCTTTGACAAGGGGAGTGTTCCAAAGTTTAAATAGAATGAAACTGCAAATGGCAAGGAGAAGGAATCCAACTGTGGTAAACAGAACGATAAGGACAGACGCGGGACTTGACCACATGACTTCTACTTCAGGAAGATCCAGGCATTTTGACCTCCGTTCATTGGGCTTTTGTCCTCGGGGACACACGGTGCAGTTCAAATCATTCACTCCAGCCCCAACTGTTCCAACCGGACATTTGTGGCAAGTCCAACAGCAAGGGGTCGTTGGTAACTGATATTCACCAGCAAGGCAATCTCTATGGCAGAATGACTTTGGAATAATTTTGTGACCTGCCGCGGTATTCCACTTTATGCCGGAGACGTTTAACTGAATTTCCTTTCGACTTTCATCCCACGATCCGATGGCTAATTTTATTAAATCGGAGTTTTCATTCATCTGAAAATGTACAATATCATAAGACGATATTTTAGGGTCTCCAAACTGATCAAATTGGATTTCCCCAGTTTCTCCATTAAATGCGACTTGGCGAAGATGCGCCTCGAGTTTCTTTGGATCGACTGTGGGATAGATTTGACTTAAGTTGTGAATAGCAAAGGCAACAGAAAACACGGCATCTACCATATAGGGAATGTAGCTGTTGTATACCGAACGAATAACTGTTTCATTGGAAGATGAATTACCTTTTTGCTTCCAAAACTCTTTCCACCAAGGAGCAGAGGTGCTTTCCTCTTGTAAGGACTTGATGGATTCTTTGATCAAGAAATCTTGGAAATATTGAACATGAAAATGTTGAAGTTCAATTCCAAGTGACCCATGGACAACTCCTTTATATTCGTCTTTCATTTTCATAAGCTCCTCTCCTCCAGCCGTCAAACTATCGCTGAAAATCCAGGTGCGGTCGAACATTCCCTGTTTGGCTGCTGCTTCGAGAAATCGGTCTCCATATCCTCTTATCATCCAAAGCACCACGACACGAATATTTGAGTGGTATTGAAGCTTCTCCACCGCTCTTACTAGCTTTGTTGTGTAATTTTTTCTGGGTATATAATCCACGAAAGAAAGACAAAATGACTTTCTTGTGGCTACCTCGGCCTCTAATCGTCGGACCCCATTCCGACCGTAAGAATCGTCCATTGCCACCGCAGCCACGTAGCTCCAATTGAAATAATCTATTATATCGGCCATTGCCCTCGCCTGCTTTTTATCGGGAGGAGCGGTGCGAAAAAAGTAACTGTACTGCTGAGAGCTCAACTCATCGCTTGTTGCCGATGGACTGATAAGAGGGATTTCAGCCACTTTTAAAAGGCTGCCTACAAAGATCGCAGCCCCTGAATCGGTCGGACCAATCACAGCTGTTATTGGAGTAGGTTTCTTCTGTTCTGTGCTATTCTTTATTGCACAAATGTACGTGGCGTTTTGAAATTGTGACGCCAATTCATTTTTTCGGACAAAATCGTAAGTGTGTTTCATTGCTTTTAAAGTGCTTCTACAGTAGTCCCGAATATCATATCCTAGAGTCAAGTTTTGAAGCAGCTGTGGGTTCCTGTTGATTGTGTCGATGGCGAACTTCATAGCTTCCACACTGCCAAGTCCTTGAGAGGAAAAATCATTGCATTCGTCATCACTGTTCGAGTGGTGTAGTGTCATAAGCGCTCCAAGTGTGATATCGCCAGGCTGATAATAACGGTCCTCACTTGCCGAACCGAGCAACGACGCATGACCATAGGATACTACCACCACTGAAAGTAACATGTAGTTGAGTACGAACATTTGCAAAGTGTTTCAGTCTCGCCCTGTGTAGAGGAGAAAAGGGAGTAATTAAAATAGCTTGTCGTTTTGCAAAAAATCATGGCACAAAGCAACATATCGACTCAAACAGATCAACTGAAAATGTCATGTTTTAGCGTATTGTATCATGGCCTGCAGCAGCGGAAAGTAACGTTTATTCCGTGATAATTGGTTTACTGTTCCACATTCTAAAATGCCATTTCTGTTACCAAAACCGGAATTCTCGCACCAGATCATAAATGTTTTAAACTTTGGCTTGGCAGAGTGATTTTGATGTTCAAAAACAAGCATTGAAAAACGCCATTTATGAAGCAATAGAGCAGAGTAATTAACAATTATAAACACTTTTAAGCTCCCGGGAACAACGATTTTTTCCGCAATTGTTTCACGGCTCGTTTACAAATTTTTTTTTACTTTGCTGACGAATTCATTGACCACATTTTTCGGTTATGAGCTCGGAGCCAGGTTACAAGACCATAACCTGGTTCCGTTTAGCCAATCAGAAGGATGGTAAAATTGGTTAAAATATGCGTTTTTAACTGATTTACTTATTTATGTGGAGGAGACCTAGCCAGCGGGTGACGCATTAGTCAAAAACAGGTGTGTGACACCCAAGTGAAATTCGGCGACGCTAAAAACACACTAGTAATTTAACAACGGAATATCATTCTTTTTTTGGTTCTGTTGTTCTCAATCAAGTATAATTTTTTATTCTTTGCTTCTTTTGGTATGTGTTATTTTGTGATGCACCTAACCAATTTGGAATTTAAGGTATTACAGATTTAAAAACCTTATTTTTTCTCAATTTCCTGAAAGTTTAATATCTAATAAGACAAAATAAGATTTATTAACTTCTGCAAATTTCATTTTGCTATCTTTTTTAGTGAAGGAGTTATAAAGCAAAAAGTAATTTGAGAGCAGAAAGGAAGGCGCGAGATTTATGATACTTCATGTCAACTTCATCTCGTCACCTAATTAACGATTTCAAACCACTATTGCACACTGTCCAGGTTTATACAGTCCGAAATCGCTCATTTATTATCAAGCTTCTTACATAAGTTCTTTTCGGAAGCTAGAGATTGGTTTTTGTAATTCAAGTGTTGTTTTTGGGCTGGTATCATGTCCAAAAGCGACAAGTCTTTTTTGCCGCTCTGGAAAAAAGAAAATTTCTTCGCAGTTTGCATCGAAGCGGAAATATTGTTCACCGATAATGATAGGGGTCTCTACTAGACTTAGGAGATTCAGTGGCCAGACTCTATTTCTATCAAAGTTTCCATAGGCGCTAGTTAGCGAAAAATATAGCCCACAGTCCATCATCATTTGCGTGACATCGCACTTCGAGCATCGACTGTTGAAAAGCTGTATTGCGTTTCCAGTGTAAGCTTTCCTTTCTCTACCTGACCTCTTTCCTCCTATTTTTGCTCGTTAAAGCACCTTCCGTATCGACACAAATAGCTACATATTCTTGCGTGTAATTCTTAACCTACTCGACCGAAGCTCCTTACAACTGTTGTGTCCGTTCTTTGCTTTCTGGCACGCTTTAGCGCCGACAGGCAAAACAGTGTCGAATGGCTTGCTCCATGCGATTGGGTAACAGCCCTCATAGGCGTGAAATGGAAACGCATGTTGGCAAACAAACACCAACGCTCCGAAAAATTTCAAGTCACTTTTCCTCGCAAAGTGTTTCGGCTTGGTTCTGATCTTTGAAGAGTTTATTCTCGGCTGGCATTCGGTTAATTTTCGTGATTCATAGAGATAATTTCGGAAATATAATGAACCCTAAAAGGCTGTACTGGATTTTCGACTGTTTTCCTTATTTCTTGACATAGAGCATCTACGTTGAAAACTTTGCTCAAAAGCGCTACTTTGAAGTTAAAAGAATAATTTAAAAATAACGAGACGTTAAATTACAAATCCAAGACGCTTTTTTAGTTCAATATGTGCAGATCACCTTCCGACAGAAAAGAAACGTTTTGATTAAAATGCGTCGTCAAACAAACTTATGTTGTAAAACGTCTCGGCGTGAAAGAATAAGCTCCCATTCTGTTTCCTGATAAAAATTGTAGAATTAAATTACATATCCGAAATAAGTGTTTATTAAGCTTTAAAAAATGTATACTTTTACAGGGATAGCGCGCACAATTTTAACACAATATCAGTTTGAATAAAAACGTTAATTTTCCTTCTGTGATACCTTAAGTTTGGAAAACTGCTTGCCAAAGCGTGAAGTGAATGCTCGCCCGATAACTACAAGCTTTTTCAGTTGAAGTTTTTGAACATGAAGTACAGGAAAGGAGTTGCCTATCTGAGAATGTCTTTCATCAGGCACCATCTCATTGTCAGATATGTAAAATATAATTTTCTTTTTTCGAATCTGTAGAAAGCAGCGTCTCCATCTTTCTTTTAATGTCGTCCTTCATTCAAACAGCATCAACATTTTACTTCAGTCAGTCAAGTCGAGTTTTTGGCACTTGAAAATCCCTAATCCTAGGCAGATATAACTATTGCGAGCCTTATAAACGCTGAGACGCGTATACCTTAAATGTTGTATTGGCCAACTTGTGCAATAGATACCTGTTTTTATAGTTTCAGCAGTTGAAGAGCTCGAGTTACGAAAGTTGAAGAAATAAGTTACGCACCCTTTTCAATCTCAAAACGAGCTATAGTGGAGGGTACTTGTTTCACAAGTTAAAACTAAATACCAATACATAGATGTAACAGAAGGAAAATTTCTTTAAAAACGGTAGGTCATGACAACTTTTCTAACATCTCGGTGAGATCTCGCAAATTAACAACTGGTTTCTTACCGTTAATTTTCGATTTGTTTTGCGTTCGTTGAAGTGTTTGTAGTATCACGTTACAACAAAATTATAATGAATATTAAGACTTCCTTTTTTATGACAGCAGCTTGCAAACGTAAGTCACAAACAGAAGAGAAAGCCTGCTTTCGACGTGTTTTGACAACTATTTAAGAGGAGCCCTATCCGAGGGATGCAATTTGACAGCTTAAACTGTTTCACTAAACAAAATTTCTTTTAAAATTCGAATTAAGCTATCATATAGGAGTATTTCATATGTAAATTCTCGTTTCATGTCATGTCGACTATGTAATTTCTTGATATGGCGAATAAGTTTTCGCCGGATATATTTCTCACTTCTAATTTTGTGAAAATATTTTGTCAAACCGGTTAAAACCTTCCCTTCAAAATAAAAAAAAGGGTTTGAAAGATCCACCAATGAATCATCAATCGCTAGTTGTTTGGAGGCAGGTGAAGAATTTTTACTTATCTATTTTTAGTCTCATTGTAAACGTCAAAATCGCTCAACTCTTTTTTGCAGATATATATGTGTTAAGCTCAGTCTTTTTCATAATAAGAGCACATTAGATTGAGTGTCATAAAACCAAAACAGAAGAAAGCGATAGGCTAACGAGAAAAAACCACAAGAAGCCACTGAATATGTCTTTAATGATCTTTCAAATTGGTCCCAGGCAATTAGCTTGAGGCTCGAGTTGATAAAGAATTGTACTTTTGAATATAGAACCAAAGCAAGATAACTCTGAAAATATAGACCCGATTTGGAGAAACAATTCTGGATTTCTGAAACCCTACTTAAATTAAATTGAGACACTTTCCACTGTTTCATTAAACAAAGTCTTTCTACAATTCGAATTAATTTGTCATAAATGAGTATTTAATGTATAAATTCTCATTTCATATCATATCGACCATGTAATTTCTTGATATGGTGAATAACTTCTTGCCTTTATAAATTGTAATTTCGATCTTTCATTTTGTGATGGGTCTTTCTAATGAAAATATTTGTTCAAACCGGTTGAAACCTTCTCTTCTAAAGAAAAAAGGGATTGAGATGTGTGTAGCGAACGCACTGGCAAATTTCAAAACGGTTACACGAACCATACAATTTATTTGTAACCAGTGGTTTCTAAAACATGATTAACTTAAATTACACTACAGCCAACTACCAACAAAAATGATTACGATCACAAAGCGCAACATCAAACGGCAAAAGACAACGCAAAACGTACCTGACGGTTTGGATAGAAGGAGTACACGAGATGCAGCAAAGAAAGGATCATAGCACGACAAGCTGCATAACATTATTGTTCTTTTCGCGCGAAAATTTCAATATATATATATGGACGCGAGGGGACTGAAGCCTAATTTGCAGATAAACCGCTGGCCCTTAAATTTGTTGTAACAATGTGAATAAATGAATCATCAAACGTTAGAGGGAGGGCTGGTCAAGAGCATAAGTGTGTATCATTGCCTAAGCGTGCTTCTACAGTAATCCTGAAAGTCTCATCTAGAGTCATGTTTTGAAGCAGTTCTTGCGTTCCTGTTGATTGTGTCGATGGCGAATCCATTGCTTCCATAATGCCCAGTCTCGTTAGGGAGAAATCAGTGCATTTGCCATCATCATTCGGGTGGTGAATTCTAATCTGAGCCCTCAGTGTGATGTCGCAGGGCTTATGATACTGCTATGAAAAATATGATTGGACGAGTTTAATTACCAAATCAAACAGATAAACTGAGAGCAGTCTACGACAGTGTTGTAGAGACCTGATTCATCGATTCTTTGTGGGATGTCGCCCAACTCGAACTGAAATTTGTGAAAAGATACGGGCCAGAGAAGTTACATATATTGGCACAAGCATCTTTCTCCTTTAATAAGATACATGAAAAAATTACTCAGTTCTGACTGGTTAAGATAAATGCAGATGTGATTCAATGCAGAAGAGGGTTGAAACATTTCTATTTAGGAAAGCTTTTAGTTTGTTTCAATAGTTCTAATGTTTATTGCCTTTGAATATTTTAATTTTAATTAGTATAGAACTTTAACTTATGTAAAGTGCTTCTGAATATTGTTTATAGTTTTAGCACAATATAAATTCCTTATCATTATCATTACCATTAATTCAGTGCAAAGAAGTAACAAACCAGACCGAACAATTCCTTGAACTGTTTAGCCGGACTTTGAAGTTTTGTGCGCGTTAAAATATCATTGTATATTATTGTTTTGATGGTACGCAGTTGTCTTGACCGTATTTTTTCATGTATATTATTAATACGGAATCACATTATTTCTCTCGTGCAATTTGGAATGAATAAGAACTTTTTAAAAGACCACAAATTGAACTGGCCCTATGGGCTCGTGCAATTTTGTTAGTCTGGAAAAATTTACTCGTGCTTATTTATTCCAAATTGCACTCGAAATCATGTGATTACCTATACTAATGGTCCAACTTTGCTTTTTAACTTATCTCATCGTACATATACGAAATCAAACGTGATGCTGAAGGCTCGTCTCTCACTTGTGAAAAATCAATGAAACATCTACCTGAGCTCCGTTCGTAGTATCATTCTACGGCGAACAACCTTCCCCCCCCCTCCCTCCCCCCCAATTTCCATGGTTAGTCTTAGCAGTTTTCCACATCAGCTTGGCAGAGTGGTGTGGGTGTCCAAAAACAATTATTCCAAGAACGCTAGTGTCGATTGACTATTTATTCAGCAAACAGAAAATTATTGTGTGTTATCCAGATTTTAGAAAACGGTAAAGTTGTTGGAGATATGCATTTTTAATTGAATTCTGCATTTATGGAAAGGGCCTAAATAACGCATGACGCATTTTTGAATGAAAACGTGCAAAATCCAAGCGGTCGATACTATGTAAGTGATCTGTAGTGAACCTCTTCAAGATCAAATTACTCAGCGTCTATTGCACATATGATTGACTGACTTTTTGAATTAGGAGAGTGACCTTTACTCCCGAAACAGGTTTCCTCCTCTCCAATGACAATATTGGAAAACTCGGAAAACCTTAAGTTCTTGAGGTACTGGTAGAAGCAAATTCTAGCTGCAACATTTTCTGTCTGTTTAGGGCATTCGGTTTCATAGGTGTCACTGCTGTCTTACCCCCCAACGACGGGCGAAATGAGTAGTCCGTCACTTGTGAACCAACGGCCTGGTGTGTATTTTGTTCAGGTTTGAGAAGAATCACGAAAATCTTCGGAGCGAACATGCAAATTAATAGTCCATAAGAACTGACAAGTATCATGGCGCAAGTCAAGTTTGTTGCGTGGGAACCCCTTAAGCCAATGTCAATAGGGAAGTATGCTATACTTGAAAGAAGTAAGATGTACATAGAGAATCCAATATACTTCGCTTCGTTGAAGTTTTCAGGAAGTGTTCTAGCTTTGAAGGCGTAATATGTACAAGCCACTGCAAGAAGAGACGTGTACACAGATATAGCGATTTGAAAACTCATTCCAACGTACGATTGATGCAAAGAACACGAGAGAAGGATTGAACCTCTATTTGTCTGTACGATCCGTTGCTGGTGTGGCGAGTCCAAAGTAATCCATAACGAGCAGAATACAGCTGGTGGAAATATTAGCATCAGAACGATAAAGGTTTGTCTCTTTGTGGAAAGAATGAATTTTTTTAATCTCTCGGCCATAACGTTTATTTGGAATGCGCTGAGTATCTTCATGGTCTTAATTATCAGTATGGAGATGATTGTTACGAGAACCATGGGCCGCCAGCAGTGAAGCAAAGCGCACGTAAAGCTCGTAGGCTTGGTGAGGGATAAAATAGAGGAAGAAAAGGACAGTGCGATTGTAAACAGAAGGATAGAACTTAACTCGCGGTTAGCTGCTTTGACAAGGGGAGTGTTCCAGAGTTTAAAGAGAATGAAACTGCAAATGGCAAGGAGAAGGAATCCAGCAGTCGCAAACAGAACGATAAGGACAGACGCAGTGCTCGACCACATGACTTCTACTTCAGGAAGATCCAGGCATTTTGACCTTCGTACATTGGGCTTTTTTCCTCGGGGACACAAGGTGCAATTCATATCATTCACTCCAGTGCTAACAGTTCCATCCGAACATTTGTGGCAAGTCCAACAGCAAGAGGTCGTCGGCAACTGATATTCACCAGCAAGGCAATCTCTATGGCAGAACGACTTTGGAATAATTTTGTGACCTGCCGCGGTATTCCACTTTATGCCGGAAACGTTTATCTGAATTCCCTTTCGACTTTCATCCCACGATCCGATGGCTAATTTTATTAAATCGGAGTTTTCATTCATCTGAAAATGTACAATATCATAAGACGATATTTTAGGGTCTCCAAACTGATCAAATTGGATTTCCCCAGTTACTCCTGGAAATGCGACTTGGCGGAGATGCGCCTCCAGTTTCTTTGGATCGACTGTAGGATAGATTTTGCTTAAGTTGTGAATAGCAAAGGCAACAGAAAACACGGCATCTACCAAATAGGGAATGTAGCTGTTGTATACCGAACTAATAACTGTGTCATTGGAAGATGAATTACCTTTTTGCTTCCAAAACTCTTTCCACCAAGGAGCAGAGGCGCTTTCCTCTTGTAAGGACTTGATGGATTCTTTGATCAAGAAATCTTGGAAACATTGAACATCAAAATGACGAAGTTCAATACCAAATGACCCATGAACAACTCCTTTATGTTCGTCTTTCATTTTCATAAGCTCCTCCCTTCCAGCTGTCAAACTATCGCTGAAAATCCAGGTGCGGTCGTACATTTTCTGTTTTGCAGCCTGCTCGAGCAATCGACGTCCATATCCTCTTAATAGCCATAGCACTACAACACGAACATTTGTGTGGCTTCGAAGCTTCTCCACGGTTCTTTCTAGCTTTGTTATGTACTTTTCTCTTGGTATGTAATCTGCAAAAGAAAGACAAAATGTCTGCCTTTTGCCTGCCTCAGTTTCTAAGCTCCGGACCCCATTCCGACCGTAAGAATCGTCCATTGCCACAGCAGCCACGTAGCTCCAATTGAAGTAATCTATTATATCGGCCATTGCCCTCGCCTGCTTTCTATCAGGAGGAGCAGTGCGAAAAAAGTAACTGTACTGCGGGGAGCTTAACTCATCGCTTGTTGCCGAGTGACTGATGAGTGGGATTTCAGCCACTTGTAAAAGGCTTCCTACAAAGATCGCAGCCCCTGAATCGGTCGGACCAATCACAGCTGTTATTGGAGTACGTTTCTTCTGTTCTGTGTTATTCTTTAATGCACCAACGAACCTGGCGTTTTGAAATTCTAAAGCCAATTCATTTATTCGGACAAAATCGTACGTGTGTTTCATTGCCTTTACAGTGCTTCTGCAGTAGTCTCGAATGTCATATCCTAGAGTGATATTTTTAAGCAGCTGTGGGTTCCTGTTGATTGCATCGATGGCGAACTTCATAGCTTCCACATGGCCAAGTCCTGTTGGGGAAAAATCACCGCATTCGCCATCATCATTGGTGTGGTGTAGTGTAATCAAAGCTCCGATTGTGATGTCGCCAGGCACATGATAACGATCTTTACTTGTCGTCCCCGACGACGTCTGAAAACCATAGGACACCACCACTGAAAGTAACACGCAGTTGTTTACGAACATTTCGCAGAATGTTTTTCCCTGTTACAAAGGCAAATAGAGTTACTTGATTAACTTTTAGTTACGAAACAAATCATCGGAAAAATGACTTATCGAGTTAGAGAGATCAACCGAAAAAGTCACGCTAGCTTATTGTCGCCTGGTTTTGGACGGCGATAAGGATTAATATAGACATCGTGAGCGGAGGAGTCGAATTTGATGTAGTATCGATAACAGTATAAAGTCCTTACTTTGGACTCATCAGCGATGTGTTAGGTAGAAAGTTTTTCTTTAAAAGGAATCAAGCGAAAAAAGTCTGCTTTCGATCTTGAAGAGACCCGATTAAGATTTGAGTTTCAATCGAAAAAATCGACAAATTACATGTATTTCTAATATTATGTTTGGACACCTGTTTGCGAAACAGAGATAATTTGAATTTTTGAGCGTTACACATAAAAAATCGTTCTTGTTTCATTTTGGCTGACGGCGGATGTTGTCTAAGTTTAGCTGAAATATTAGGAAAAATTCGCATTAAGGAATTAAGACGCATTGTTAGACGAGTATTTTTGCAAGACGAATTACATCTCTCTTTAAGAAACTTCACGGCTTTTCTGGTTTATTTACCTTTTCAAGAAGTGTCGGCTAAATTGAAGGAAACTTAGCATAGTGCCGAAAGCTTGTCATTTTTTTGTGACAAATCAATTTAATTAGTTCCTGAGTGGTTCGTAGAAACATTTTAAGGAAATATTTGGGTTGTATTCCTTTCTCGCACTTTGGTCTACTTTTCATACCAAATTGGCATTTCTGTGACTCAACCGAAGTTTTCGCGCTCGTTTTCTATAGAGAGTAAAAGGAAAAAGTTACTAAGTACAGTTTGATAGATTGGTGTGGACGTCCAAGAACATGTATTTTAAGAACGCCATCGTCGACTGGCTATTCACTAACCAATAACAATAAATTTTTGAAAACAGAAAAAAATGGAATGAGCACTTTCCTCTGATATTCGTATTTATGTGTATTTAGCTTGTGACGCATTTTAAAAAGAACAGGTGTATAGCACCGTAAACAAGACTCGCACGCTTTTCGGCAGCAACGCCGACCCGTGCATGCAACGAACATTTAAAAACCGTAAGTGAATTCTCGCCTGATCAGCAAAACCTTTTTTGTGCTAAATTTCGTGGACTTAAGTACAATTATCCTTTCCGGTAATGTCTTTCATCTATTCTATTGCACCATTCTATTGTTAAGAACTCTGATATGGTACAATAGCGTTTTTTTAACGTTTTTAGTCTCTAGATACTATAGCGACGTCCACCGTCACCCACAAAAAAATATTTGTGTCAATTTCTTTCTTAACTCAAATAGAATCAGAATTTTTACTGCAAGTCGAATGTTTGGGTTTGAAAAGTCCTTATCCGAGGCAGGTCTATCTATTGCGAGTTATCTGAACCCTTAGGCACATGTACTCTATTTGCGACATAAGCGGACGTTTGCGATGGGCATTTGTTTCTGTAGTTTTGGCAGTTGTGGAGAACTCAACTTACTAAAGGTTAAGCCATCAACGTAAACTTATTTTTTATGCGAGTTAACTTGAGAACCCTAGGTTATTGATTGGGCGGCGTGTAGTCGTGTCACAAGTATCACCTTAATTTCAGTCGAAAAACTTAAACTTGCTTATTCTTATGCAGTCAACATGAAAAGAAGGAAAATGTCTTTAAAACGGTATGTCTCAATGATCCTTCTTACATCTCAGAGCACGAAAATTAACAAGTTGTTTTTTACCTTTAGTTTCCAAGAACTGTTTTCCCTTCGTTGAAGTGTTCTTGTTTTCACATTCAAGTGAAAACACAATAATAATGAATATTAACAGACTTACTTCTTCCGTATTCCTTGACCGACGGATTACATGACCGACGGATAGAAAAGGCTGCTTTTGGAAGATTTTTGACAAGTATATTTGGAGTGCGGCATCTGAATGATATAATCTCACAACTTCCTCCGTATGACTGATTTAAAGAGGAAACAACCCACTGTGCATACTTCATTATGTATAGAATTGAAGGTGTCATAAATGAGTATTTCATATCGACATCATTATCACATGTCATGTCGATCATGTTATTTCTTGATATGATCTATTTTTCAATAGGGTCGCCATTTCTGAGACAAGAAGAGTCTTTTTCGTAAACGTAAGTGTCAAAACCAGCTGAAGCCTTCAAAACAAAAAGAGTTTAAAACATCAATCGATGAATCTAAGATCGTTAGCCTGACAAGAAGGGCATGTGAAGAATTAGCACGTTACATTATGTGTAATTCTCTTCCATAGCCAGAGTGCATTTGGATTGAGTGTCGTAAACCAAAACAGAGGTAATAGCAAAGCAAATCAAAACAAAGGAACATATCGTAAGGAGCATGAGAGCAATAAGGAAAAAATAAACCACCTGAAGCGCGGGAAAACGCGTGCGACTAAGTCGCGATTGCTTTTAGTTTGAAATTTGATTGGTTGAGAAAATGGAGCGAATTTTTCTGGGCCAATCACAAAGCGAAGTGAAGCAAAGGAATCCCGGATTTATTTCAACACTTAATTCAAAATTGCTCATCGTCGGTGTATGTAAGTACTAGCAAACAATTTTATTTTTAAGTTTACTCAATTTTTTAGTAGAAATGAAAACAGCCAAAAATATCGCCCCATGTCGAGACTAAGATGGCTCAAAATGTTTTCTTAAAATTATTTCTAGTTGCACAATGTGGTAAATACTTCGCGCCTTGTGAATGATTGTTGACTTTATAGAAAATCATATCTATCGTTTAGTGTGATCCTTCAAGTCCTTGAACACTTTTCGGACAATATTGAAGATCTTAGAATACCTCTCTAGGTAGTTACTTGAGTTGTCGAGGAAAATTTCCGTTGCATGTTTTGTTGGTTGTATGTTGCATCTGACTTCACAGGTGCAATGCCAGTATTGCCCTTTCGAAAAAGTCCAAACGAATAATGCGACACTTGTGAACTTACAGCATGATGTGTATTTTGCTCAGGCGTGATTAGAATTGCGTAGATCTTCGGCCCAAACATGCAGGTTAATAGTCCGTAAGAAGCCACAAGTATCAATGCGCATGTCAAGTTTGTTGCGTAGACACCTGTAAGTCCGATGTCAATCGGCAAATATGCCACCGAGGAAAGGAGCAAAATGTACATAGAAAATCCAATATATCTGGCTTCGTTAAAGTTTTCAGGAAGTGTTCTAGCTTTGAAAGCGTAGTATGTACAAGTCGCTGCAAGAAGGGACGTATATAGAGAGATGATGATTTGAAAACTCATTCCAACTGTTGACCGATGTAAGGAACACGTAAAAAGAGATGTACCTTCGTTTATCTGAATGATTCGTCTTTGATGCGGTGAATCCAATGCAATCCATAAGAAAAAGAGTGCAGTGGGTGGAAAAAGAAGCGCCAGAACGATTACTGTTTGTTTTTTTGTAACTAAAATGAACTTTTTGAACTTCTCCGCCACAACGTTTATGTGAAATGCGCTGAGAATCTTCATGGTCTTGATTATCAGGACGGAGATGAACGTAACTAGGACCATAGCCCGCCAGCAGTAAATCAAACCACACACAAAGTCTGTTGGCTTGGCGAGAGTTAAAATGGATGCTAAAAATGACATCGTGATTGTTAACATAAGAATTGCACTTAGCTCGCGATTAGCTGCTTTGACTAGTGGAGTCTTCCGATGTTTATGAAAGATGAAACTGCAACTGGCAATGAAAAGAAATCCAATTGTGCTGAAGAGAATCACAAGTACTGACGCGACGCTTGACCATCTGAATTCAACTTCTGGAAGATCCAAGCATTTTGACCTCTCTTCATTGGGTAACTGTCCTCGAGGGCACTCGGTGCAGTTTTCCTCGTTTATTCGTGCGCTAATTGCTCCATCTGGACATCTGAGGCACTTCCAACAACAGGGTGTGGTCATTGACCGACTTGTCCCTACAGGGCAATCCTCATGGCAGAATGACTTCGGAAAAAAACCGTTAGTCATGGAATTCCACTTGACCTGGCTAAGATTCAAGTGAAGTCTTGGCTTGCGGCTTTTTAGCCACGAGCCAATGATCAGCTTTTCTGGATTTGATATGTTAGTAACCTGAAAATGGACAATTTCGTATGACGATGATTCAGGGTCTCCCAAATGATCAAAGCTGACCTCACCAGTTAATCCTGAAAACTTAACAAAACGAAGATACCTCTGGAGATCCTTTGTATTCATTGGAATGTTGTGTTCTCCAAGATTCTTACAATGTGATGCAGAGCAGTTTTTCATGCTGTGAAGGGCGTGGGCAATAGCATATACGGCATCCACCACATAGGGAGTGTAGGTCTCGCATAATCTGTGGAAGACTATTTCCTTGCATTGCTTTTCTAGATTCTTCATTTTGAAACAGTCTTTGTTGTCCTCCGACAGCCAAAATTCCTTCCACCATGAAAAATTGGTTAACGACGTCGATCTTTCGATCAGGAAGTTGCTGAAATTGCTACTGTTCATGTCAACATATGGAGGCTGAATACCGAATGACCCATGAAGAATTACTTGGTCTTCAGTTTTTAGGCCCTTGAACAAATCATCTTGTGTGGCTAAACCATCACTAAGAATCCAGGTGCGATTAAACAGTTTCTGTTTTGCTGCTTCCTCTAGAAAATGACGGCCATAACTGCCAAAAACCCAAAGGACTACGACGCCAATGTTTGGGAAGTCCTTCAGCTTCCTTACAATTCTTTTTATTGTTGTATTATATTCCTTTCGTGGAATAAATTCAGCAAAAGAAAGGCAAAACGTTCTCCTATTTTCAGCCTCAAGTTCCAGACTTCTCATGCCGTTTTTACCATATGAATCATCCATTGCCACGGCAGCTACATAACTCCAGTTAAAATACTTTAGAATATCAGCAACAGCACTCACCTGTTGTCCATCTGGGGAAGCAGTGCGGAAAAAATGATGGTATTGCTTTGAGCTCAACTCATTGCTAGTTGCTGAGTGACTGATGACGGGAATTCCTCCCACTTGCAAAAGGCTACCAACTAGAACAGCACTTCCTGAGTCTGATGGACCAATAACTGCTGCAATCGGCTTTGTTTTCTCTATGGTCTTGTTTTCTACATGTGGAAAAGCACATCTGGCGTCGTTTCCCCGGACAAAATCGTACGTTTGCCTCATTGCCTTTTCAGGGCTTTCACAGTAGTCACGTATGTCATATCCCAGCTTTATGGTTGGAAGCAGGCTATGATTTCTGTTTATCTCCTCAATAGCGAAAATCATTGCTTCTGCATTACCAAGTCCTTGCGGGTAAAGTTCGCCGCATGCGCCATCATCAGTCGTCTGGTGAACGACAAAGAGACCACCGAGGGTGATGTTACCAGGCAACTGCTGACCACTCGTCACTTCAACACTGGAAGTAATACCGAAAACAGAAAACACGGTAAAACAAAGCAGGACCCAACTGATCATTGCAGGATTCTCATTTATCCCCTGCGGAGGAAGAAAATTGAAAAATTTTTAATGAAAAAAAAGACGTAGAAAAGAGGACATATAAATGGAAAATTTAATAATTTTCTCTAACAATATTCTAAGTTCGTATTGCGTGGTTGCTTACTCATTTCTTCACCATGGTAAAAGGACCGATTGGTGTTCAATTCAGTCGGCAGTCTAACAGAATATCTTGTTCTTATTCCTTGAGCGTGGGTTGAATATGAACTCGCTGTAACCAGCGTTCAATCGAAAATGTGCGAACATAATAACCCTTTTGTTATTGCTGTGAAACAAAACTTATCACATGAGATACGCATCTCTTTACGAAAGGGGTGAATTAACTTTTATATCCTTTTTGCCACCTTTTTCGCATCATGTGACGGTCAATTTTGGCGGTTAAATTGGACTGTTCATACATACTCCATTAACTCAGCTGCGAGTGACAAATTTCATAATTATTTCTAGCCAGAGGGATCATATCGAAGGCTGAAATGGGTGGAAACAGTGATGTAAACACTTTTACCAAATTCTGTTATTTACAAATTCTGATCGGATTATTTGCACAAAATGTTAAACCTAAAAACGTCCAATTTTTCGATAACTAGCCGAGCAGTGAAGAGTTTTTGAATTGAAGCTCATCTACACGTACAAAAGCTGTACATAACTGTGAGATAATGAATTCCGGATAAAATATTCCTACTGGAAATCCATTAAGGAAAACCAATCTTCCCAACGCACAAGTCAAAACCATTTCATTAACAGAATTTGCATTCATGTTTTAAGATTACTATCATTATTTCCTCAATGGATTTCCCTATGAAAGAGACTTCAGGTGTCAAAAACCCAATCGATAAGACTATATTTTTGAATATTTATCTTTTAAACGGTTTAGTTGAGGGTGAACTGTCCGATCGACAATCAGCTTTCTAATTAAAAATTTACATAAGGTTGCGTGTGTTGTGTAGTGTTTGTTGTTTGAAGTGAAACGGAAAGTGACATCTGTCCAATGTTCGTCAAACGAACGGCGTAACCTAAGTCAACAATTTAAAAATTGGATTCGGAAATGGTAAAGCGAGCCATAAGATCCAAAGCTTACTGGTGCATTTTCAGAGGGAAATGCGAATTGTTTTTACCATAAGGTCGCTTTTGGATCTTTTACAAACAGGTCTCAATTATCGGCAATATACCCTGTGTGGTTTCTCAGTCGTTCTCGAGTTGTTCTTTCTTATTTTAAAAGTTGTGTAGAGGACGAGTTTGTTTATTAGAGGTTTCACCTGGAGAAAAGAAAAGGTCTGCCACAATTTCCTTGCTAATCAGCAAAACGCAAGAGTATTTTGGACATATCCCTTTTCTTCTCAGTGAGCAATAGACAATGGTGACTGTTATGAAGATGATTTAGCCTGAAATTCAAAAAGAAAGGTTTCACTTTTTTCCGTGTCAGACATTGCATATGCGGAAGACAGTCATCGCTAAATTGCAATGTACCGTGGAGATTGCCGTTAATCAGCAAATTTTCCCTATCTTTTCTTTTTTTCCCTTGTGCGGATCCCCTCTGCTGAATCTTCGTTTTAAGGAATCTGTCTGTTAAAATTGAAGATTGCAAACCTTCAATTTTATTGCGTAATTTTCCGTAGACTTTGTGATCAAAAATAGCTTTGTAGCAAAATATTAACTGTCTTTCTTACCTTTTGAGTCAGTACAATATGTTTTACTTTTGAAGCAGCGTTTTTAAGGGTGTAGAACCATTAATTGAAGAAATTCAGTTACCAAAGTTTAGCCGTTGAGGGTTGAAATGATAAACATTAAATATTAAAACAAGTCCTGATGGAAATAAGTATTTCCGTCTTCCGGTCTCTAGCTTGACGTCATTCAAATAAACGCATTTCAATCATAGCGACATGCTTTGTTTAAGCCGCGGCATGATTAGAGCTGCTCGATGTTATTAATAAGCAGTTGTAGTAGAATTTCGTTTTGAAATTATTAGAACTAACTGATGAAGTATTTGAGACGAAATCCTAGAAAATATGAGACACTTATACAGGTCTTTTATCGACTGCCTACGGCTTCCATTTTCTGTCTCCAAAAGCCATTTTCATTTCGTCACGCGGCATCCTCGATAAGTAAATAATTTCATCACAATTTAAACAGCGCTGGTGTTACTCCTACTTTATTATTTAGGGAAAGATTATCTCCTTTTTTTGGCCGGGGGGGTGAGATATCTCATTTATGAGATATATTTTGTGGGCATACTTCACTGTCAAGTATTCCAAGAGAAGCAATGAGACTCGACACTTACACAAATTTATTACAAACGGGGAGCCAAATGATTGGGAATTTTGACGATTTGGCAGGCAGGTGTTTCCAGAATGAACCCAATATCTATTTGACAGCCCTCGTATTTCACTGCGGCGTATTTCCCTTTAAATTAGTTGGGAGAATTTGTGGTCATGTCGAAATAACACCTTCAGGCTGAATAAATTGCTTTCCCTTGTCTGCGAGATGAATTATTGAAGAAGAAACATGAAATTTGATCTCTTTGAATTATGTGAATTGTGCTCATGAGCAAGTTTTGAATTGGAGAAATGAGAAAACACCCCATTAATGACGTTGGTCATTATTTAATTGTTTCGCTGTTTTCCTTCGCAAGGTAGGAGCATATCCACCTTCTTTGAGAAGCGCTCTTTCAAAGTTCTACCGTTTTAGTTCCAAATATAATAACATCAGCCTGTGAAACAAGATGGTGGTGGAGCAATGAGTATTTGCATATTCGTTTGTCACTCGACGTCAATTAAGTAAACACTTGAAAAAGGTGACCCGTTTTCAATTTTCTCTGAGAGTGTTTGTCTTAGCCGCTGCAAGCTTAGGGCCGCCTATTCCCATTAGTAAGCAACTGAAGCGGATATTTGCCCCTCAGTTGTTACAACGAACCAACACATTATTTGCAACGAACTCTTAGAAAATTTAAGACATGCATAGGTGTTTTTTACTAGCAGCAAAGGCTTCCTTACAGTCTGCAGCATCCTTGTGAAGAAGCAATGATACTTAGCTGTTGCATATATTATGTATTTTGTTTTAAGAGATTAAAGCACTGGTGAATATCAGCGAGTGGTTAAGTACCGCGAAAATTTGGTAGATGTTTTACACAATAAACCCAACTTCTGATCACGAATTCTTTCATGTAGCTAATCAGAGATAAAAAGAGGGTTATTTATTGAGATACCACCCTGAATCAGATCGTGTTTTTCTTCACCTGTTTGTTTGATGAATTTATGACGTTAGAAATAGAAGTATTTTGCTTTAGATGGCTCGGAATTATGCAACATGTTGTCATTAGCAAGTTTTAAGTTTGATAAATGTTGAGAAAATGTCGCATTAATGATTGCCAGCACGAAATCTCAGTTTCACTTTTTTTTTCTTCGGTTAACAAAGTAAAAGAATCTCTCTTTTTTTATTGAAAGAAAAGAACAAAACCATCTATTTTAATAAGCTGTGGTTTCTACTGTGTTGTTGGGTTTTGCCGAGGTTGCCGTAGATTATTACAGGTTGCTGATCATCCACAAGTTTGTTTGGGTGCGCTCTCACCTTTTGAGACTTCTGCTAAGGATCCTCCTGAAATTTGTTATCTGGAAAGGTGGTGTGCGATGCGAATTTCTATCAGTAGAAATTCGCATCGGCACCACCATTTGTAATGTTTTATCAGCAACCTGGACGGCTACCTTTGACTTAACAGAGTCTTTCTCTTCTGCTTTCTACTTATGGCCATCTTTTCAATGGCCAACGGGGCAGTTGTTCATGAAACTCACGTTGTGGTCAGCGGCACTTGGGTTGAACCCTTCCACGTGAACGGCATACTCTACGTTATAATTTGTCACCTGAGAGGCTCCGTGAAAATAAAGCTAAACGCAGCAGACCGTCTATTATCCAAATATTTAAAAGTTTTAGTTATGGAAATTACTTTTGTGAAGCTACTTTTTTCGGGTATCCTTTGGTACAGAGAGAAAAAAAGCTTTATGTGTATGGTTGAACATCTATGCTAATCACGGAATTTCATTTCCACTCCGACTCGTTCTGAAAACGAGGCGACATGCGATTCCGAAATGACCAACTCACGATTTGTTTGAAGCTGCGGAAAGGATCCTAGAAATGCCAAATTATGTTGCTGTTGGTAAGCAAATGGACTTGTTAAAGACTTTTTGCTTGTTTGTTAACTTGTTTTTGCAGATGTTTGAGCCCCCGGTTTCATTCATAGAAAGCAAGAAACAGAAGACTTCGTTTGAAGATATTGATGGAAGCAAAGTAATAGCTTACTTGGAAAAAGACTCGCCAGGTTCATATAAACTTACGATGTCTTCCTAAAACGTGATTGAATGAATCGATGAATTTCACTCTCTATTAAACAGTTTCTTTTTGCTGCGTCTTCAACTTCGTCATGTAGCCATTTTCAAGGGGCTATCTGACAGTATTTGTAAAAACGTGTTGGCTTTGTCAAAGGTTAACTGTAAATGGAATAAGACCTTGAGAAAATTATTTGCTAGAGTAGAAACTAAAATTAATTCTGAGCTGGTGCGCAAATAGCTAAGCCGGAATGTTTTGAATTAGCAAGAATTGTAAATTTTGTTGATTTTATTTCCCTCAATAGAATTTAGATTGTTCAATATACCAGAAATGATTTCATGCGAGAACTGAACCCCAGATCAAGGAACACTGTTCTTGCTTCACTTTCAATGAATCTCTGTGAGCAGATCTGTTACTGTTTACCATTGCAGTTTTTCATTACAGGAACCTAACTGTAAGAGGCAGCGACGAAGATTATCAAAAATTTTCTAATGACATGAGTTTCTATTGCAATGTTTGATGGTTATATTTTTCGCTAAATGAGCTTGGCCCTTTTAATAATTGGTCAAACTGCTTTCAGAAATCAAAGCATTCGAAGAATCGGCCACGCAGTATCAACCCTTGTTACCATTCTTTGCTGTTTCTGATAAGAAGGTACGTGAATCTGCCCGCGTACATTACTTTACATTACATCACTTTTACGTTGAAATTATCCTTAACCGTTTGCCCAAGTTGCATACATCTTGCACAGAATTCGTAATTTGTGAACTCTCGTGAGTATCAAACTGAAGGCAGTAAACCCATTTGAAAGCCTGAGTCTGACTTGACTTTAAAATTTCTCCACAGCTTGCCAAATCATTTCGGCTCAAGAAACCCAAAACCATACAACTCTTGAAACCATATGAGAAACCTGTCAATTACCCAGCAGATAAGGTAAAAATTATTTCATAAAGTCATATCAGGTTCGGTAGCGGCGTTGATATGTTTTTTAATGTCTCTGTGTCTTTAGGTAAATGATTTAGTAACCTCGGTCGCTACATTTCTGTGGCCTGAATTGATTTCGTATCCCTCGCAGCCGTTTCTGTGACAGACACCGCAAAGCTTCTGTAAGGGTCCGTTGCGTTGGATCCCAATAAACAGTTACCAAGGAGACCAGGACTAATTCGATTCATAGAGAGGGAAAAACCTAGTACTTTAGCAATGATAGAATGTTCCAACGCCACGATCAGTGCGGCGTACTCTGTTGGCCCTTCCTTGTATCAGCGAAAAAACTCTATTTGCAGCAGGGAGTGCTTTCACTTTTTACACTGGTAGTGAATCTCACTGTGCTAAAACGGGAGGAAGTGGAAGAAAAGGGAGGGGTACATATTGTTATTTTCAATTACTAGAGCTCCCTGTCGACATGGTTTTCAACAAAGATGTAGATTGGGGAGAAAAAATGTAGGATTGTGTGGGAGGATATAGAATAATGAGTGTGCTGCAGATCATTCTTGGAAAGACTTACTGCAGTATATTTATAAAGTTAATCAAGGGGATGAAAATTAATTACACTTTCTTTAAGAAAGACTTCCTTTCCAAAACTCTTAATTCGTCCCTAAGACGTTTCTAATGTTTCATTTCAGACCATAACAGAAGAAAACATCAACAATTTTATTGCTCAGAACAAGAGGTGAGAATTCAGAGGAAAGAGGGCGATGTTTTCGTTTTTATTGTGTTATTAACATGAGAACAGATAAGTTTTTGCCCTGTTACACCGCCAGGAGTAAATTGTATTCAGTTATTTTTAATGGCAGATAAATGAGAAATTGTCATGATCAGTATGTCAGGTCATCTAGGCGTGATTAGGCATGTACATGTACTTAAATGACATACAATGATGTACAATTGACCGATACTGTAATTGCTTAAACTTTTGGGAATGAAAAAGAAATAATCGTATTGCTTTTGCTCGTAGCCACCATCAAAGATATTTAGGCATGGCTGTAAACGTATGAAAATCATATATTTGCACTGCGATTGAAGAAACGAATATGGAAGCGATCCTCGCAGTTATGACCACTAATTAACTAGTAGTTGAACCGAGGCCTGAAAAAAATTCAGGCCCGTACAGAATTTGAACCCATGACCTTTGGGATACCGGTGCAGCGCTCTACTAAGTGAGCTAACAAGCCAACTGGGAGCTGATCATAGTGACCAGCTCCTTTTTGGCTTGTAACCACCATGAAAGGTATTTAGTCATGTTTTCTCTTTGAATCCTTTGTATATTGCAGAGGCATTTTAACGAAGATTAGACTTGAAGATATACATGATACATGGGTGAGCTCATAATTGAATTTACATGTGAAACGTTTTATCTTGAAGTTAAAGGTAGCCGGAAACCTTCTAAATGATTCACAATTTAAAAAACTTTGAGGAAAAAATGAGTTTCTTCCTTCAACCAATGTTAAACTTTATGACACTCGTCAAAAATCGCTTCGCATTTGAGATCAGTACTTCCAATTCGCTGTTCCTAAGTTTTGGGACGTTAGAGATTAGGAGTGTTACTTGCTTTCTAATATAGGACTCGTGAAATTATCTTTATCCTAAACTCTGACGAATCTTCGTAAGTTCGCATCTTTTATTGCAGTTTATCACTTTGCTGTGTGTTTGATTTGATTTTTTTTCTGGTTTTGTTTCTTAGAAAAACACTTTACGTTGTGAAAGCAATATTTATTCTAGGTTGTGGTTTGCTTAAGCCTAGAGTGTATTTCTTTGAAATAGCGTACAATTTTATTGATTTTGACACCGATACATAACAACATCTTGTTATCTGTTGTAGTCAACTAATGTGGAAGGTTATTTGGTTACCGCTTTCGTGAGGCTTGATACGAATGGTGAGTTTTTCTTTTTCAATTTCTTTTTTTTTCTCTGTTGAATCCTTCTGCTGGATTTTCATCGCGACCAGTCTCATTTCGAAAAGAACTTATTATTCATGTCAAAGTGAAACCAATAACGGAAAGCATACAGAACGCAAGTACCATTTGGAAAGATGCGTTTGGGTGGTTAACTTATGTATTGGTTGCTGAACTTTGCTATGGAGCATATCCGAAAAAATAAAAGCACTCACTCGACGTGTAACAATGAAACACGCATTCACGATACTTCACAAAGAGCCAAACTCTATGATAGTAACTTGGCTATGGAAATTGATAGTTTTCCTTCCTAAAGGAATCGTGACACTCAAAAATTCATTCATTACTCTATATAATTCTTAACTCAATGAACTTTCCCCATTTTATTCCTTTTGAACAGAAGGTTCACAATTCTTCTCTTTGGTAAAGTCGCTCGCCAGGCGATACGGAGACGAAAAGAAATTACATTTCTTGTGGGTCGATCCTGATCCATTCCCTACGGTGCGTGATGTACGAAATTATGTGATGTGTATTTGGAATTTACTGCTCTACCGTATTTCATAACGTTAGTAGTCTAACAACTATCGTGAATATTTCTGAACTTGGTACTTGGAGCAATCAGAAAAATCGGACGAAAATAACCAAAGACTCTTCTCCAAATAAACAATAGCCTTCACTTGGCACGAAAATATGAACGAGTTTATCCGCGGACATTATCTGTCACGAGAATAGTTTTCTAAGAGCGAAGCTCGAGGAAAACTGCGAGCTTCGAGGAACAGATGATGTTCATGGACAAATACATGAGCATATTTTCGCGTCCAATTGAGGCTATTGTTATCATTCTTAATACATTTTTGCAACTCGAGGGAAAGAGTTCAACAAACAGCCTACTGTTTGCTGCGTGGGATGTTTTTTTTCGGTGTTCCTATGTACGACTTTATGAACAAACAAAAATGCCCCTTCAAAAAGCTAAACGCTCTCTCATCTTGAATCACATTTAAAACGAAGACTTTCATTTTCGTGGATGTAAGGTTTGAAAATTGGGGAATATCACTTGGGGTATATCCTCAGATATTCTCCAGTTTCAGCTGAGGCGTATTCGGTCACGTGTTGCGTTTAGACAAACGCACGCGAGCAAAAATATTTGATGGATTATAAACATATATAACGTCTCAGAGATTTCTTTAAAAACAGTTTTTTGCGGACTCTTTCTCCACAAAGGCAACACTGAAAAGCTTTAGAGTAAAGGATATATCAGTCAAATGGGAACCTTGAGTCACCCTGGAATCAACGATTGAATGTACTGAAAACTGAGTGTATATTTTTTCCTTTTACTTCAGATGCGTGATTACTGGCAGAAGTCGTACAATATCGATGTGAACTCTCCTGTCATCGGGGTCATTGAGCCAAAATTTGTAAGTTGTTTTAACGAAGAATAGATAAATATTCTCTGATAACCAAAGGCTACGTTCTAGCACAGAGTCTTCTGAGGCAGAGAAAGTTAATTAGAAATATTTGAAATGTAACATGGAAGTGATGAAAAGACAAGCTTAAGAAGGCAGACCTTCTGGCTTTTGCAAGCAGAGCCGAAGACTCGAACCCAGGACCTCTGGTTCGCGAGTTCAGTGCTCGAACCTTCACGTGACGTCCTCATTTTCCTATGTAGCTCATACCCACACTACTTTACCCGTCAATTTTATGTTTTCACAAAAATAACGAGAAATAAAACAAATATCTTCTTTTATGAAACAGAGCAAAAGTTCTTGGTTCGAAAGGAAAGGAAAGGAACTTAAATTACGACATCTCCAACAGTGGGTGGAAGATGTTCTGGCGGGTAAAGTGGAGCTGAAAGAGCCCGCGGATTCTGCGGGAGCGAGTCAGGGCCAAAAACGAGAAGAGCAATTGAAGAAAGAAGAGCTTTGACCCTAGTTGCTTTTTAGTGTCTTATATTCAGCGTCCTGTTGCGAACAGAGAACGCTACCAAGCTACATGTTAGGGAAAGATATGGCGTCTTAATTGCGCTCATTTGATAAATTAAACCGAGCGAAGATTATATTAGTAATCAAAGCTACGGAAAGGGGCAAACGCGAATGATATCTGCGTTACCCATCGATCACCCTGCTTCTCCCCCTCCCCCATCTCTTATCATTTCTGACTTTCTTTAGTCTTGGAGTAGTTTTTCTGAAGTAAACGTTAATGAACATTTTGAGATGTTGATTGTTAGTGATTTTTCTTTGCATTTGTTTCACATAGGAGATTTTCGAGCTCGAATTCTCACTGTATTTAGGTGAAACATAACAGTCTTTGCAAAGTATCTTATATTAAAGAATTTTTTCAATTTACAAATCGCAATGTTGTTATTGCAGCTAATTGCAGTTGCTGGTTAGATGAATCTTCAAGATTTCTAGTGCTACGAATAAAAATTATGTTCCCGAAAGCGGGCCTAAGAGGGTTTGTGGTTGTTTTTGTCGTTGTTATTGTTGTTGCTATCATTGTTTTGTCAGTAAGGTTACCTAAAGTGCCACCAAGTGTTACGCGAGGGTGTATTGGGGGTTTGCCAAGTTTACGGAAGCCGTTGAGTAAAAAGCCATGAGCTAATACATTCATTGTTGCGCGTCCACAACACTCTAAAAGACCATGGATAACTTCGCAAATCAACTAAAGTGGTTAAACCTTGCCTTTTTAACTGTTTTTCATCTCTAATTTTTAATGCGGACCGTCAATGCAAAAATTTATAAGGCTTTTTAAGATCCTTTAAATTATGAGAATCTTTCAAGAGATCATAGTCAGACTTTTAAACAAGAATTAAAGGATATTTCGGCATAAGTACTTTATTATACTTATTTCATAATAATCATGGTAGCACGTTTACGTAGTCTCGAAGCAACTTATGAAGAAGAAATGGAGCATATTAGGAGTTGAGACCGAACAATTTCCCATAATCTTACTTACCCTATATGGATCGTGTGTGAGACAACGCCTACTCCTTAAAAGATTTTGCCTAACAGTTCTTTCATATGGTTTTAGTGGTTTCGAATTCGTTTGCTTCATTTTTAAAACACGTACCAAACTTGGAATGCCAAAGACACTGAGTCGTGATCTTCCCTACTCATACCCGATAAAACCCGTAATATAAAACGAAGAAAAAGACAAGTGACAGTTTGAGGTACCTTGTCGTAAGTTTCTATCTTGTAAATTCCATCCATTGATGAATTATCGATTGAAACGCTTTAAATAGTTGTCTCCTCTTTTTTTGTGCTGTGTTGTTTTTTGTCCGCAGAGAACATGGATTACATCAAGGAAAATTGTTGAAAACCTGTGATCAAACGGCTTCCTTCTTAAAGTTAAAATCGTCACTATAATAAAATCCTTAGAAGCCCGTAAATGATGATCTTTCCAAAAACGAAAAGAAAAACAGGCACACACATAAACAGCGAGGAAGGCTCAGGGTACGGAAAAATTTGAGGTTACATTTTCCCAGACTGCATTCTGTCGAATAGGCACGATTCACAATTCAGGTTTGCAACCATTTCGAATAAAACTGTGATTCTAGGCGCGAAAGCCATTTATGTGAGTGTATTAGTTTGTTTACTTAGTTATGTACCTTTTTTTTGTCTTTTCTTTGTTTCGCTAACAATGACGATGTAACAGAGTACTGCTACTGCGCTGCAGCCAACTAGATTCAGATATACTTGAATCTGATCGGAGACTGGAGGCCAGGTAAAATGCCGTGCCTTTGCTCCGCCTAAATAGACCTGAGACAATGTTTTCAAATAATGCAGGAAAGTGGCACGAAAAATATTGACTGTATATGATTAAAAAAGATGATTTAAAGTCTTTTTTTTTGAGACGGACAAGTTTTATGTTTCATGAGAGCTGTAAAATTTCTTCTTGATAATATGGCATAACAGGAGAGACGCCAAAATTCTATTTACTAATAAAAAGGCAGATGGAAATCTTTCAAGAAAGAAAAGAACATTACAAATTCTCGCGATCTTCGGATATGGATATTCAGTTACATGTAACTTTCCATTTGTAGACAAAAGGAGGTCACGCGAGCTTTCAAACGACTCTGAGATCTCAAAAAAAAAAAAGCGCCATGACTTGACATGAAGGTATTGATTCTAAGCAAAAGGATATTTAGTTCCAACACATTTCGTTCAGCATACGTCAATACAGCTGTTCTTTATATGTAATAGAATTGATAAAAATTCGTTTCTGACTTTTCAAAGTTGGAGGGTTAATGACTAAAATTAAAAAAAAAAAAAAAACACGTCATACAATGCCTGAATAAATGCAATTACTTTTAAGTTACGGTAAAGCAAATTACATTTCGATTTTGAGGCGCGCATTCTCGAATTTCCGATGCACTTTTTTTCAGTTTGACCAGTTGCTCTAAAAAACATTGTTTAATAAATGAAATAAAGAAAATTTTCGAGCTTAACGGCAACAAGTTATCCTTCACCTCAGCGAAACTCTCTCTCTTAGATACGGCATTTCGTTTCATTTTATAACCCAGTCGAACAGAGTCCAAAGGAAAAGAAGTTGAATATCTCAATAATGATCAACGCTTACGATGGCGCTATTGTAACAATGCGATACCGTAGAAACATAAATCCTTACCTTCGAGGTTGCTATCTGTACATCTTTATTTTTCCTATGACGTTATTTCGTGTTCCTGTGTTGTCTCTTAATTATAGATTGCATTATACTCCTGTACTTACCGTTTAAGTGAACAGCGAATTAAGAACTGATCTGTCCGGCCGGTGGTTATGAAACTACTCTAACACAGACTAAATGACACTTTTAAGCGTACATCTGCTCAAAAATTAAACAGTCAAAATTTTTGGCTAAAAAATGCAATTGTTGGTTACAGGTTACACTTAGGCCGTGAAAGATAAGGCATGTTCTTTTTAAAATAACATTGAAATTGAAATTTTTTGCCTTTGTTGACCATGTCGAGGAATAAACCGTATTGTTAGTAAGAATTTAATACAACAAATTTTTGCCTCACGTTATGTGCCTCAAAGACACCAGAAGGAGTTTAGTTTCTTTATTTTTTTGGCGAATTGGAATCAGCGAAGTGTTTTAGAGAGATCTGTAATGTATTCGGAGTTCATTTCAAATCTCTGGTCTAATTACAAACAACATATGTTCATAGTTTGCTGCTATATAAAATAGATGATTTAAACATGACAGGAAAGGTAACTAAAATCAGAATCATTTTGTCTTCTTTTTTCGCTGCCAAAAACACTCAGAAATAGAAATAAGTTTGATACTAATAATGATAATAACGATAATAACCTGGCAGACACAATGCACGGTCCTCCGCGTCATGTTTTGCTCAGATATAAGTTTGATGACAATAATCATGACAAGGCATTTATTTTGGCTTAACACAACGAACTAACAGTGGTCCAAATTTTTAAAGCTTTGAAAAATCGCGTCGCTTTGGAATTTAAAGTCTTATTGCAAACTGATAGATAATTTCAAGATGCAAACCTTCAGACAAATTCAGGTTTAATAAGGGAAAAAAATCTTGCGATTTCCAGCGGTAAAAGCAGATCACCAAGTAACAAGTGATGAAAATTCGATGAGACCGTGAGAAACAAAGTGGTGAAAGTTCTATGCTTTTTTTTTTTTTTTTTTTAATTAGAACAATAAAATTTAAAACGAGATATCTGTCTTTTTAAACTGTCGTGTTGAAAGAGAGAATTACACCTCACCTCTGATGGAAGACCAAACAGAGGAAGACAACCAAATGCAAGGAAATTGAATAAAAAATATTTTATTCTCGTTGCCCATCTACTAAAACATGCATATTAATGCTCACTCGGACAAACATTTCGTGAGGGGAAGGAAATGACTGCGTGACGAAAGTAAATTAAAAGCCCCAAAAAAATCCCATTCCATTTTGTCAAAATTACACCCGAAATTTTGATCGATTTAATCAGCACTTGAATGTAAGAATTTTCGGAACAACGTTAGCTTCAGATCCACTGTGTACGTACACCTCCACTAACCCAACAACAGTCAACCGATAACAAGTCCAGGCTAATGTTGAGTTAGGGGAGGGGTGGGTGCGCAGTGGCTAAGATAACGACATTCATACGAATTTTCAAGAAAAAATCGTCTATTTGCGCTCCATTCTGTCATTGTTGCACGAGGTCCTTTCCTTCTCTAGCCTTACGCAGTACTTCCTCAGCTCCTCTGGCGATTAAGGCCTGCGCTAACGTCCCGCCCAGTTTTTCAGCTGTTACAGTGATGTCACGCATTCCCGTTGGGACATAAATACTCGACTGGGTGAGTATGGCATGAGGGCAGCTACCATCCTGGACTGAAGGGTCTGGGAGGGTTCCCGTCACAGTCTCCTTGAGACATTCTGTTCCGTCCAAGCTAAACACAGCACCTGTCATGGTTAACTAAAATCACACAAAGAGGGTTAAGTTTCTTCATCGCGAATAGAGAAGTTGGGATGGGAGGGGGGACTAGGGAAAAGCAGTGGGGCTCTTCTTATTTAAATTTAGTTATCGTCATTCGCGATTTTTAATACAGTTATTCCTACTGAGTAAAAAATTGACAACTATCCTCCGAAGTGGAGGTGGTTAGAGCCACTGGTAAAACCGACACTGGAATGAAATAAAATTTTCAGTATATACTACAACAGTGAGATAATATTGCACAAAAAGATGATTTAAACTCATTTATTCCTGCTACGATTACAATATTTTCGGGCGCAGATCCCGTAAGCGCTGCTCGGAGGTGAATGGCAAAAGATAAATGCGGAGTTTGAGTAGGTAATCAGGGCGCGCCTTCGACGCTATCCACTGTTTTGGTATATACTAACCAAGTTTAGTAACTGATTGATCGATTGATGGACTGTTAAAATAAGTGACTGGTTGATTGATTGACTTAATTATTAATAAAGAGACCATTGAATGATGGATTTATCTACTGATTGACTGATCAATGGAAAGATTAATTGACGGGTCGATCGATCGATCGATCGATTGATTGATTGATGAATCGATCAATTAATGGGTTGATTGATTGATTGACCGATTTGCTGACTGACCGACTGACTGACTGACTGGTTGATTGATTGATTGATTGATTGATTGCCTGATTAATTAATCGATTTGCAATACCGCACCTGATTGCCATCCAGGCTGGAGGTTATTCCAATGGGAACGCTGCATCCTCCCTCCTACATGGGAAGCAAACCAAAGCAGTTTACCAAGTTGAATTTACAAACTATAATTATGACTCCAACTATGGGAGAGATAATTTAGAAACCATCACCACAACGTCCTACGACGTCAATAAGATCATATTACTAACCAAAGTCCTCAAGAAGTTTCTCTCAGCAGCACAACAGATACTGGTGTCTCTATCGATCAGTTTAGACACTAATTCAATGGTTTGTTTATCGTCAAGATTAACTTCAACTGCTAGGGCTCCCTGGAAATAAGACAAATTCATCAATGCCAGATAGTAAAGAATCTTAAGTCACAAAGAAACAATCAGAACAAGGTTAAAACCAAAACCAAAGTGATCAAAAGAGCCAATCAGAAGAGAAGAAACCACCTACGTAAACACGACCAAACTGCCTAAAGCGCGGGAAAATGAGGGCGACCAAGTCGTAAGTGGTTTTAGTTTCGCATCTGATTGGTTGAGAGAGTAGTGCGAGTTTTCTGGACCAATCACAGAGCGAAGAACAAAAAGAAAAAAAAACGCAAAACCAATATAATCTCGGATAGCATTTGACACTCAATTGAAAATTGCTCTATTATAACTCAAGGTGAAATCAAGTACAAGGATTCAAGGGCGAAAAGTTGCAATCAAATGAGGCGCGGTTGGTTACACATTTGGAACTCACTGTTTGATAGAACAGCCTACACAGTCACACAAGAAAACTCACAATACGCAAAAACTGTTCCTAAACCCCAAATAAATTGTTAGTACTTAGTGTTTGCAGCAAAAGCTGTAAGGTAATTTGAAAAGGTTACTTAAGTACAAAAGTTCGATAAGGATAGCTAACCTACTGTGAAATGACAAGCACTTGAAATTCCCTTTTGCCAAAACTAATATTTGACTCTTAAATATTCCACACTAATAACGTAACTAAGCCTCGGTATCTTCACCAAGATCAAACTGGCCATTTGTTTCGCAAGAAAACTTATCGAGGCCCGCTGAACTCGAGAATGCGCTGATGTAAACACTTTCGTAACCAACCTGTCCTACAGCATACAAGCACTCATCAGGACCAAGAACCTGTGGAAAAAACGAATTGTCATGAAAACAGGAAAATACCCCTTCAAAAAACTTTAAACGAAAACCATACATTCCTTTTTATCAACAGACTTTTCCAAAAAACAACAAACAAATTGCTGTGTTAGGCCCATAAAAAAAAAAACAACAACAACAACAATAACAGCAACAACACAGACATAACAAGACATTGCAAGTAGGCTCTCTCTATCAGAATTGCAAGACGCTAGTACCACAGTCGCGAAGATCAATTTATTCATTCTCGTGTCGCAGCTCTAATAACGAATGTTTGCTCGCTCGTAGGCAAGCTAAATTAATGCAGCATTTGCTAGACGAGATCAGGAATGAATCTGACCTGCTCAATACGTTCCGCCCAACCCATGCGGTCCATTCCTGCAGCTGCCAAGATGAGAGCGTCATATTTATCACCAGCATCAAGTTTGCTGAGTCTAGTGTTCAGATTTCCACGCTGATCATTGGAAAACACGTTGTTAAGGACATTTAACTCGCTTGTAAAAAGTATCAAAGAATTTTATAGGTTCTCTTTCGATTATCTAAAAGTATCTTAATCACACTTGAAGTTCTCTTAAAGCCGCTCTATACTGGTGACGGAGTCGGAGTCGGAATCGTAGACAAAGTCGGGATCGTAGTCGGAGTCGTAAGAGCGCTTCCGACTACTGGAAAATCGAAAGTCATAGCCGTAAGAGAGTCATAGGCTATACAGAATCGGAGTTGTAAAAATCAGGACGGTTTCATTTTCTTCCGATTCCGCTTCTGACATCGACGCTTATGTTCCATTGAAAGCTGATTCGCAAGCGGAAGTGGAAGAATCAACCGATCACAATGCGAGTTCTCAGGCCATCCAAAGCCTTACAACTGCGACAATCCAGTTTATTTTTCTTCTGATTCCATCGGTTTGATTTTCACTTGATTGTATCACTCTGCGACTCCGACTCCGAGCGCGTCGTATGTGAAAACTACCCTTTCGTTTTGCATGGGTATCGAGCAAAGTCCAAGACTCCATTGATTTTCCTTCACTTAGCTCCGTGATTGGTCTAGAAAACTCGCGCCACATTCTCAACCAATCAGATCTTAAGGTAAGACCAATAACAACTCGCAACTTGGTCACTCTCCTACTTCCGCGACTCCGTCGATTTGCTCTGTCTACTTTGACTTGTTAGTGGCTCCTCGTTATCATTAGTTGGGTTTTTTTCACGATAGTCAATCGAAAGCACTTCAGCTCAGCGATCGGTGGTTCTGCAATGACTGTGTTTCCGCACAATCGTTAGGGTCACATGATGCTTCAACAATCCTAGCACTCAGACAAATAAGGGGGGCTAGTTTCTTAAGAAACTAAAGAAACTGTGGTGCAGCGTCGATGGCAGAGTATAACAAGGTAATTTGGTATTATCAGCTGGGTTGATAACGTAAATTGGCCACTATAAAGAGTTTAAAAGCTGACGTTTCGAGCGTTAGCCCTTCATCAGGGCGAGAGCGTTTTGGGCGTTGGCCTTTTGCTCTGACGGAGGTCTAACGCTCGAAATGTCAGCTTTTAAACCCTTAACGATGGGCAATTTACGTTATCAACTCAGTTGATAACACCAAATTACCCTAGCACTCAGGCGTCTTTTTATACTTAATCGAGTTGTCTCGCGCGTGGCGAACCAAAATCTTTTTAACGACCAGTTTCACAAAAGGATACGACATCTTCAATAAGCAAATGAGGAAAAGCTCTTTTAAGTTGTGCACTACGCCTTAGTGAGCTTGTCCCAATCACACTGTGGGGGAAAATGAATACAGCTGTATATGATCAACAATCGAAAATAGTATTAGTCCTAAGTTTGTTCAAAGGCGTGATATCATAGTTAATCTGAGACATATAAGGAATGCTATAAAATATTATTTCGGAAAGGCAGAAAAAAAAAAAAAAAAGACTCGCAAACAAATAAGAAAAGATGACCAGGGATGAAATTAAAAAGATTTGAAAATCACGTAGCTGAAAAAAAACCCTAACCCTTTCAAAGGACTCTTCATGGGTGAGACATGGACACTTTTGAAAGTACCGTAAGTATACATTATCTTTTATACATGTCTATAACTCTTTATGAGTAAAATTACACCGCAAAGTTAGTTCTCACCTCCCTTTGGGTAAAGAAGCGAGATTGGAACCTTTGTGTTTAGGATGAAAGACAACCACATCATAAGGACTGTCTCGCCTGATAAAACGCAAAGAGAAATATTAAATCATCTGACACAGATAAAAATCTTAGAACCGGTTATTTACACGAGGTCTAACCCAAATTGCGGTTTTATGCAAGCAGTGAGCCTTAGGTATTCCCTATAATAGGGATGTTTTCATTAAATTAATGACCTTCCACTGCTAGCTTTTGGCCCTCTTGACTCTGCTCACAAAAATTAATGTTCAGATAAAAGATTCAGTTAAATTCAAGATAGTTCAGATTGTGGTTTTGTTAAACAATGGCTAAACTTTTATTAAAATAACCGGCCCTTAATTTCTGAGTAATCTTTTCATATCAAATTTGTGCTATAAAATTGGAAAAGAATCACACTATATTCCACTGATCACCCTTTATACCCTAACATCAGTATGTATATTCTCCATACTGTTCTCTATACATTTCTTAAGATGCTAGCAAGGAGAATTTGTTTAACAATCAAGAGCTTCTATAGTTGGTGATCATTTCCTTTATTCTTGTGACCTTAATGTGTGATTCAGGAATGAAAAAAATAATATTAATGTAAAGAGAAATTAGATGCTGGTCACTATTAGGGTTCAAAGGGTTAAAACCATTACCTGAAGACAGCCCCAATTAACATGCCTGGTGGAAGAGTGGATGGGAGATCCTTCAGTGAATGAACTACAAAATCCACACTAAGAACAAACAAAAAGAAGTCCTTAAAAGAGAAATTGTTCTTCTATAAAACTAAAATAAAGTAATCAAAATTTGCAATCAGAAATAAAACTACATGAAGCCTATAAGAGGAAATGTTAAGCAACATCAACCAGGTGACAGTTGTTTTCAGTTTGGAGTGAGTTTAATGATTGGAAGTAGGAGACATTCATTTTATGGGGTAGAACCACTAAATGTACCTACCTTTTATTTGCCAGGGCAACTTCTAATTCCTTTGTAAATACACTTTTTTCTCCAATCTAAGGTTAAAAAAATTCAGTAATATTATAAGATATGTAGGCATGTTGACAATATTGAAACTGAACAAGAGAGTTTTTCAATAAATTACTTTAATTTTCTTTAATCAAAAATTATAATTTATGGTGTCCTTATTCAAATGAAGGTCAAAAAAGAATAGGACCCCTTTATTTAAGGACTGTGACTACTTGGTTCCATTTCAACAGTGAGAGAGGTTGGGAAAATTAGAGAGTGTTGCATCAAAAAAAAAAATGGAAACAAGCACAGGGTCATGGTGTCTCAGGTAAGATAAAATTTCAGATGAGTTTTCCTTCTTATGGCAAAACATTGGTAATTGTAAGGGTGGTTTAGCCCTTTCACTCCCAGATCACAATAGTAATTCTCCACACTGTCTACCATACGATTTTTCTGATGTTAGTTTGGAGAATTTTGTATGGGATCAACTAGTAATCCTCTGGTTGATATTTTTCCTAATTCTTATCACTTGTCTGCTTGATGTTGTAATGAAAATGTAAGGAGAAATTCTGTCTTGGTCACTCATGGGAGTTAAAGGATTAAGGAATGACTGGGTTCTACTTTAAAATTAGTATGGTCATCTTTTATCTAATTAAAACAAGCAGCACAGAATTACTTATTTGACATATTGATACAATCATGTCTCAGTCATATACATGTACCACTAACCTTGGGTAATGGTTTTTCTAAGATGTTATCTCCTATGGTAGACATGGAAACTAAGGGGAAACAAAGTAAAAGCAACCATCAATTGGTCACATTGTGTGCAGGATGAACCAAGGGTCAAGGGTTAAGAGTCAGTAACTCTTAATCCTTTCACTCTCACAATCTCACTAGTAATTCTTCTTACTGTCTGCGATACAATTCCTATGATGCTGATTTGGAGAATTTGGTGTTAGATCAACTAATAGTCCCTTAATTGAAATATTTCTTTATTCTCTTCTCTTGTCTGCTTGATGCTGTATTGACATTGTAAGGAAAAATTCTGTCTTGGTCACCTGCAGAAGTTAAAAGGTTAACTGGAGGTAATGTTAGGGCACGGAGAAAGACAGAAATTAAATTCTAATGGTTACAGTACTAGACTCTGCATGGAAAACTTTAAGATTGAGCCAGAGCCATTGTGCTGTTTTCCTGGGAAAGAACACATTACCTTTCTCCTCCCAGGAGAAAAAAATGGGTCATAGCAAAACTTCCAGGGAATCCTGAAAAATTCTGAGGGGTAACTTAAAATTGAATTGCAGCTTACGATTGAAAAGGAAAAAAGGTGATTCCAGACACTGCAGAAACTATCCTATGTTCTAGAAGCCATGTGAGTCAGCTTCATATACAGACTTAACAAACTGATCACACCTTGATTTAATTCAAAGATAAAACTTCCCAATAAATGTAGATGAAACAAAAAAAGAAAAAACTCACCAATTTCAAAGGAAGTGTTTGGCCAAAGCTTCTTCAGTTCATCCACAATGACATTAGTTTGAATAAGAGCCAACTTTATAAAAGTAAATAAAAAAAACTGCATGAAATAAAGTCCACGTTGGTTACCTTCTGATAAGTATCCACTAACATTTAAATTGACAAGAGGTCAAGATGGCCAGATATTGGCCTTGTTCTGTTCAATCAAACAAAAACACGGCTAACAGTATAGTTCATTAAAATAATGCTACGAGGTACACTTACAACCATTGAAAATAAGCTATTCCCTTTTCTTTTCATCACAGCCCGCCACACCCTAACCGATCCCCCTTCCCCAACACTAAAATCTGTTGCGAATACATCTTCAAATCGTACGTTGAAACCAATACACTTAATTAGACGTTGTAGTGCCACATTTTTACATCAATATCTTTGTTTAAATTTTTTTTAAGGCGTAAAACTCACGAGATCGATCGAATCTTGTCCCAATTTAAACATTTTCTAAAACCGGAAAGAATTTTTAACTTCATAGTGTTTGACTTCAAGCATACAGAATCTCTGTACAAAGACAAACACATCGAGTTTTTGGACTTAAGACGCCACAAATAAGAAATTTATCTCCTAAAAAATGAATTTATTGCCACAGTAATAACTTTTAAGCGTCTACCAACATACCTGACTCTTGCGTGAACCAACTTTTACGACTCGCGCTGCGTCCGCCATATTGACCGAGATTACTACACGTGCCGAAGGACTGGTGACTAATGATCTTCGTTTTCAAAGCGAGGCCACTCTTCCACAGGGTTCGCCATTTTGAAATATTGAGTTTTGCGTCGTAATCTACAAAATGGCGGTAGCTTTTCGCTTTACACGACAGCTTTCACAAACAGCAGGGTCACTTATGGCCTCTTGTAGAAGAAACCTGGGTATGGCATCTGTCTTAATGGCAAAAGCGGACAAGAATGTTGATCCCATACAGAAACTGTTCGTGGAGAAGTTACAAGAGTACAAAAAGAAGAGCGCAGCCTCAGGGGACGAATTGGTCGACTTCACACCCGACAAGAAAGCTAAAATGGAGGTAGAGATGGATCAGATACGAAAGCGATTTGGCGGAGGAAATCTGGAGGAGTTTCCAAAGTTTGACTTTGATGAAGCCAGCGCATAAGACAGGAGACTGTACTTTGATTAACTTTTTATCGGTGATGGTACGATGAGTGTGTTGAACTGAAGGCAACAAGAAGATATTTGGATTGTGCCTCTTGTTCTGTGTGTTATTTGTAATGAAACGGGGCTCATTTAAATCACTGTAATTCTCTAGAATAAAATCACATCTCAAAAAGTGTTGATTTAACTGATTATTTTGCATTTTTAATAAGCACTACTAACCTATAGGAAAGATCTGAAGAGAATTTTGCTTTCTAATTACTTCCCACTGTAATTTTATTTTGTAGATTCTGTGTTTTAGTGCATCTGTTTAGTAATGGATTGTAGATGACATAAAAAATTGATAAGAACTGTAAAGTGGCACACGAGGCACAGCCAAGTGTGTTGCTGATATTTTTAGCACATTTTCTACAGACCCATGGCAACATGGAATGCATTTGTTTTATTTGACAAAAAAAAGCAAGTGTTGACATGATCTATGTGTCTATCCTCCAATAGGTCACAAGAAAGAACCAACTAAAACACATGTTCATGTACAATTCAAATTATCATGTAAATCTTATTAGATGTTTGGTATGCAGTATTGCTGTGTACTTTTTAACAATTGGTTCTTACGTTGGCGTGTGTTCATCGAGATATGAAGCACATGGGAAGTTTGGAGAGCATGAAAGATGCATAAGAGTTGCTCGAGGCATAGCCAAGAGCAACTTTAGCTTCTTGAGTGCTCTCCAAACTTCCCAAGTGCTTCATATCTCGATGAACACACAGCTGATGTATGAACCAATTGTTTTATAACATTTTCAACCCAATGGAAAATTTTTTTCTCAAGGAATTTGTTTGCTGACGTCATGAGTGTGCACAATAGGAACATGAAGCATGCTCACATAATTGAATTTGATTAGACAAATTTACTAGCTATGTTATAATGTGAGTTGTGTGATAGTCATTTCACAATGAAAGTATCACACAGTGGAATGGGCCCAAGTGCTTTTCTTGCCACCACTCTCACTTTTCTTCCACTGACCCAGCCACATTCCTGTCTGCTTTGAGTTGTTTTCTATTATGACTAGAACCAGTATATTAAAGCAGCAAGGTCAAATTTTCCAGACAAAATTAGCACAAAAAGTCAGGTCGCTCTCTTGAATTGTTTGAAATGCCAGATAAGAGATGTTCTTTTTTCCAGAATTGGACTCTTTAACTCTTTTCACCTTAAAAATAATTACTTTTATTCTCCATACTGTTACCTTTACATTTCCTAATGTGCTGACAAGGAGAATTTGTTAAACAATCGAGAGCTTCTTTAGTTGGTGATCATTTCCCTTATTCACATGATCTTCAATGAATGATTCAGCAGTATTATTGTAAGGAGAAACTTGATGCTGGTTATTCTTAGGGTTTAAAGGGTTAATGCCGATTGACAGTTGCACTAAACTGATGGACCACTAAACTTTATGTCTAACTTGCATGTATGCAAGAATTAACCCTCTCTTGACTGTAAGAGGCACAATAATAATTTACCATAGCAAATGCCAAGTTAAGCCTACCAAATTTTCTCCCTTTGAGCCCACAAAATGTGCCACAATACCTAACAGTGAAAAGATTTTGTAACGTTTACAGTATCTTTCTTCAGTTTACAACCCAAGGAGACAAAAATTCAAGAATTGAAAGACTAGGAAAGAAAGAAGGTGAAAGGGGTAAAAATGTTTCCTTGTTTCACATTTATTTAACTCAATGAAGAAGTCTAGAGAGTTCTGAGGAGGATAAAATTTACTTAACATTCAAGTTGTCATGATTAATTTAATGCACCAAAAATGTATTCACAAACCAGTTGGATAGTCATGAAAGTACTAAAAAAAACTGACAAACAAAAACAAAATGTCCAGTTTCCACATGAGAAACAAGAAAATAAGTATCTTAAGAACACTAGAATATTACACCTGTAACTGGCCTAATTAAAGAAGCTGAATTCACAGTTGTGATAACTCCTGATATTAAATGCATTTGGTGTTATGCTGACTTATGCATTTGAAATGTTTCAATAAATACAAGTAAGTATCTACAACTCTTTGATTAAGCAACATGGGTACCTTAATTTAAAAGAGAACTGAAATACAGGATCAAAAGGCTGAATGATCTTTTTGGCCACCTTTTGTCACTTGTTTCTAACTCATTTGTGGCCTTAAAAATAATGGACAGATTCAAATCTAGATGAAAGACATGTTAAGATGTAACTGAATTCAGTCCATGGAGAATGATGAAATAGTGCCTCACATCTGGAAATAATTTGGATTGCTCCCTTACTGATTATGTGTGACAAATCTAAGGCCTTGATAGGATTCATCAAAGAACACAATTGTGTCAGTGAAACAAAAGTTTGAGACCATTTCACTGTTTGGTTATTTTTGTAGAATATATTATATGACATGGTTGATAGGATCGGCACTTATTTAAAGATTGACTGTACATAGAAGCTCTTTAAGTCCTGATCTGTTTCCCAGCAGTTAGTGTCAGGTACAGTTGAAGTGCAACAAGTCCAATGCAGGAGGTGAAAGTTGTTTTTAATAGCAGCAAGCTCCAGGATTGGATTCCCATTACATGGCTCAAAACACTGAGAAAAAAACAAAACAAATGGATAATTCTCCTTAAATTAACACTTTAGACCTAAAAAGCAGTATGCATATTCTCTATTCTGTTCTTGATACATTTCCTAATTGCTGACAAGGAGAATTTGTTCAACAATCAAGAGCTTGTTTAGTTGGTGAACATTTCCTTTATTCTTGTGACCTTAATGTGTGACTCAGGGAAGATATTATAAGGAAAAATTAGATGCTAGCCACTATTAAGGGGCTCAAAGGCTTACAATAAGATGAACAAAATGCAGTTTATTTTTTCAGGTACACTGAACAAGTGTTGTTTTAAAAACAGGCCACAATGTATGCATATACATGTCAAGTCACCTTAAGTTGTACAGTGTACTTTTGAAGTTTCAGAAAGACAAAGCTCAATAACTAATAATTAACAACTCAAATTATGAATAAATAAATTCCAGCAAATAAACAAAATAAATGCATTAGGTAAAATATGAAAGAAGGAAAGCTCAAGGCTGTACTAAAGCAGAGAAGACACATTGTGAAGTGCAATAATCATAGATAAATGATTGTGATTAAGAAAAAAAAATTATGAAAGTGAGCATATGTTATGACAAACACACACTAATACAAACAGATGCTTACTCAATAAGAAGAGGCCTATAGCATGTTAGAGACATAAAAACCATAACTATTGGCAGGAAGGATTTCTGCAAATCTGTCCTGCTCCATAACCACACAAGAGCTGCTGTAGATATATGCTGAATCTGAAATGATGAAAAAGTACATACATTAGTTAATTGCTGCCATGAATGTGCACACATGCAGAGACTCAAGAGATAATAAGTACCTTGTGTTTGAATACAATATGACTGTGGTTAAAATTTCAAGTAAATATAAATCTTAACCCTTTAACTCCCAGATCAAATTTGTCATTCTCCTCACCATCAACCACACAATTATTGCAATGTTAGTTCAGAGAATTTAGTATTGGATCAACTTATTATCCCCAAATTGATATTTTTCTTTATTCTCATCACTTATCTAGTTGATATTGTATTGATATTGTGAGGAGAAATTCTGTCTTGGTCACTCATGGGAGTTAAAGGGCTAATTGTAGCTTCAGATGTTTGTGTGTTCTATTTTTTTTAACTTACAGCTTTGTTTCATAATACAACCCATTACATACAAGACTACTACAGCTAAATACACATTGACATTGAGGAAAAAGTTACAGCATACATACAATAAATTAAAAATACATAGCAAAATTAAATGCAAAAAAAGAAAAAAAAAAAAGTAAACTGACTGGTAACACTACAAAAAACAGAATAATGCAGCGTGGTTCTGAGTAAGAAATTAAAATATTGTTATGGAAGACAGGAATAATTAGGATTTAACATAACTCATAAACCTGAAAGAACAGTTCCTTGACAGACTGAAGACAAATTTTAATCTATCTGTTCTATATTGTATTTAATGGTTAGTTTTTTCTCTTACAAAGTCTGACCAAGTCCGACATGTCTGTATGTGTGTAGTTAATCAACCCTTACCAAGCTGACGTTAGCATCAAAACTCATTTGTATGTATTTCCAGTCAAATTCAACCCCTCTTGCGCCAACCCACAAGGGAAGGAGACGAGTCATCACAAGCTCAGCTGTAGCCCAACCTAAAAAAACAATCACAACAACAATAATAAATACATAAATCAAAGTAAAAAAAGACCCAAATCATGTTGTTTGACTGTGGATCCATACCACAATACTACAAGCACATGCATGTAACCTCCAAAACCAGTGCTACATGGATGTACATGTCATAATACCAAGACACTCTTCAATGAACAACTTTAATAATTCTTTTCCTGACCCTGCAGGCAAACAAAACCAAGGAAATGTTGTGTTCCCATTGGCTTTCTCAGCAGGTAACATGAGCCTACAATGTCTTAACTACTGCTTTGTTCTTTAAAATAAATCTTGCCTCAACCTGGTTTTTGCCATTCTTTAATGTGATCATGAATCAAACAAGCTTGATCATTCAAAAGAACTTACTTTTGCTGTTCTTTGTTTTCTGCCAAGTTCATAAAACCCACAACATAACATAGCACATGGTCAATACCACAAATTTTAAATTCTTTATATTGAAATGCATACATGTACTGTAATAGCAACAGAAATATCTTGTACATGAATCTCAAAGATCGTTAATTCTCCAAATAAAAGCTGATATGTGCTGAATGTACTCCACATTGCCTTATAAAAATTTAAGAAGATTCTACAACTTACCAACACCAGCCACTAAAACCTTCAATTCACCTTTGCCAGCAATTTTAGTCATAACTAAATGAAGGCCAACAAGATCTGCAAAGTCTACTGTGGATCTAAGAAATTCCTGAAAGAGGAAATAGAATAAAAAAGTTAAACTCTAGTAACTGGAAATCTCTCCATTCAACCCATAACAAATATATATAGCTATAGCATTTCTTCTGTTTAATCAATTGATGTGATCACTTTAGGTTAAGTTAAATGACACTCAGTATAAATATTTCTTGTGTGCAAAGAATAGTTAAGCTATGTAAAATGATATGGTCAAAATTACACCTGTAGTAACAGGAAAATAGAAAGTTACAAAAGTGTAGTTCTTTATGTTTTGCAACTTATGCTTCTGATACATTTGAGCAAATCCTCTATAACATTTCCTATACAGTACTATAGCATTAATGCTGACCTACCCCTATAAGGTCGATATGACCTGCAGAAACATCTGATCCTCTATGTTTCCTATACAGTACTATAGCATTAATGCTGACCTACCCCTATAAAGTCGATATGACCTGCAGAAACATCTGATCCTCTATGTTTCCTATACAGTACTATAGCATTAATGCTGACCTACCCCTATAAAGTCGATATGACCTGCAGAAACATCTGATGTGGGAAAGAAAGTTGCTAATACCAACATCTGTAAAAAAAAATAGACAGTCAGGAAATAATTATGACAGAAAAAGCCAGATTTACTCATACATGTAGACTGCAGACTGTTCCATTCTTGTTCCCTTAATTGTTTATTGATTGATTTTGTCACTTTTATTGATTTTGTCACTTTTATCCTGTCTCTGTTCTATCAACAGGTATTTTAAACCTTTTTTATTCCTCTTCTTTCTTAAAACTTTTCTAGCTTGTCAAACTCCCACATTATACTTTATCACAAAAAACTGGACACAGACTAGAATATGTTTTCACAACTTGAAAGCATGTAGCTTTTTGGTATAAAGACCAATTAAGGTTAAAAAACTAACACTACAACTACAGTGTCAACTCATTCACAGAGACACTCTACTTCATGCCAAAATCTCTCAAAAAACACTGTTAGATTGACAAATTTTGAAACCCAAATACACCTCAAACTGTGCTGAATCCACCTGGGCATGACAGACAACATTTTACATTTTGTGGATGCTAAGTGAATAAATGTGCACAAATCTGGCAAGTTCATAAAGTCACTCTGAATTTCCTCAATCAGACAGCTTAAATTTAAAACTGAAATTTTTTATTTTAAGAATATTAAAGACAAAACAAAATTATAGGTGAATCTTTAACTCCCAGGAGTGACCAAGACAGAACTTCTCCTTACAATATCAAGCATACAACTGATGAGAATGAAAAAAAAAACCACTCAGAGGATTATTAGTTGACCCAATACCAAATTCTCTAAACCAACATTATGAGACTTTAATGGTAGACAGCAAGGATAATTACTAATGAGATCTTGGGAGTGAGGGGGTAAGAACTGATTTTAGGTCATACAACATCAAATCAATAGATAATGCCGAATCTCAAATTCATTTGAAGAATTTTCTTTCGATAAGATGTCTCGATTTTCAATTGTCCTGTATAAGCACATACACGCAAACTGGCAAAACTAATTATAAGTCGCGTGACTTAAGTCTCGTCATCATGATCGATAGGTGATGGCGCTCTCAGTGCATAAAATATTTCCTTGTTACAACAAAATTTTATGTACAAATGAAGATTACCGATTTATAGCCACTGGTAAGCTAAATAAAGGTGTGCCATATTTTGACTGCTACTCACATGTACTAATTAAATTTTAAAAGCAAGGTTGAATCATTCAACTCTAGAAGAATCGGTTTTTACCTTACAAAGTTGTGTTACGAGATACGCAGCCCCTGCCTTCACACATCTCCAAAATGCACTGTACTCTGACCTACAATAAGAAAAAGTACAAGATAAAAACTGATCGTTCTAATGATCTCAAAAATCGCGATAAGTCAGTGAGAGATAAAATTTTCGAATCGTTGAACACGCCAAATCATACACAAAACTCCACCAACTTACAGTCCAGAACACTTGTAGACAATAAAATAAGGAAAGTACGCTAAAGCCACACAATTTCCGAAATGAAATAAAGTCATTCTATCGGGAAAATAAAGGGAATCTTAAAAGTTCTTTCCTGACTAACAGTGAATTGTAAAATGGTTGCGAATAAAACTTGGTAGCCTCGCAAAGTAGCTTTGTAGCCTCGCACAAGTGGCTTTGTAACCTAGCAGCCACTGAAAGGCGCAAGTTTCAAAATTTAACAGATTCGCAGGCGTCTTTTCGAAATTTGTATCAGTTATTGTTTATCATTTTGGTTTCAGCTTCTCTTATTTTCTTGAAAAATAGAGAAGATGCCGCGTAGAAAAAAGTCGAGAAAGAATCAAACTAGTCGTATGCGGCCGGTGCTTCCAGAGGGCGATCTCGACTCTTCAATGAGCATCGATGAACGCAAAGCAAAGTTGGATATTTATTTGAAAGATTTAAATATGCAAGGTACAGATATTGTAAAGCTAACTGTTTTATTTTTTGACGAACATGTGGTAAACTTACTTATAATTCAGCTTAAAACTATATTTTAATAATGTACATTACGGGAAACATTCTTTAAGGTACTTTGGACCATATATAAATGTTATAAACTGAACGGCAAAATCACGGACAAACGTACCTCACAATCCTTTAAGTCCAAAATACAGCGGTTTAATCTTGTAGATCCTATAACTGAAAATTGTGGCTGTTGTCTTATTTGTAGTTCGTGAGAATTTTAAGAAACGTATTTAGTATTTTTATGTATATTTTGGTGGGGGATATCTCCGTTACTTTTAACTTTTAAATTTTAACTTTTTATAAATTTTAGATTTTAGTGAATTATGAATTTATCTGGGGATACCATGTATAAACTCATTTTATCATTTTTTCCCCTATTATTTTAAATTCCCCAATTAGCTTTTTAAGTAAAAGACATGGACACTTAAATTAAGTTGTTATTTCAACTGAAACTTTTATAGAATCGAAGTGATCGCATTAATGACTATTAAACCTGCAATGTTATGGTGCTGGTGTGGCTTTCTAAAGTGAACGATACGTTTTCTGAAGCTAAGTTAAATTTTTTCCCAGTGTATATGTAAGAATCATAGCTGAAATAAGCTCCAGATTTCATTTTATATGTCTTGAAAATATAATTTTTTTACTCAAACTTGCCACCATATATATGTCACTAAATCATAACTCTTCGGAATGTGTTCTGCCAATAAATGACTTGGACCTGATTGCAGTTTGTTGTATTATTTCCCATGCTTGTTCACATGTAGTTCAAGAGAGAGTGGAAAAGATGAAAGCCAGGGGTTATGACATGATCTGTAAAGTGAAAGGAGCTTTTTCTTTGGAGATCTTGAAACTTCCAATGGTAGGTTCTTAACTAGCTGAGGTACATTTATGTTTGAGGAGTCAAGGGGACCAATCATTTTGAAAACAAAACATAAGAAAAAATGTACTTAAGAATACTGTATGTTTAAGAATTTCACCTTTGGTTCAATTTGATTGAATTACAGGATGGTTCATTGCTCTCATTAAACAACAATGTGTGCATTATCATGAATAATGACATTGTGACATGTTGCTTAATGAAATTCTCAAAATTTTTCCAAATACACTTGGGTGGCTTATCTTCCTTAACATTAACTTGTAGTTGATATCATAATCGACTCCAAGCTTCACATGCCTCCTATTGCAACACAAAATATTCTTTAAAAACTAGTACTTTTAAACTTTTAACAATAATTATTGTGGATGTAATTATTGTTGTTAACAATGTGATCAGACTAATTGACTCGTTGAATTGCATTTAAAATACTGTCAACTTTTGCTCTTATTTATATAGAACATTAGAAAGATGAAGCTGTGTGATTATCGAGGTATGTGACTGGAAATTGTAGAGCTCTATTTATGGAACATTGTTAAAAATGGGTCGCTGTCAGCTAGCAGTAATAGTTTGTCTTAAGTACTTCATTGAGAAGAAGTTAGTTACCTTTGCATTGGCTGTGTGATCTTGCAATCAAACTTGAGGAGAAAGCTTGTTGCAAGATTAAGACCAAACAGTGGCTGCTTTAGGAAAGATTTTTTACATTATGAAGTGCGTACCTCTTACTAAGGGTCTAGATGAATGTGTATGTACTATAGATGTCCATTGAGATCAGTACAGTATTCATTCCAGGAAACTCATTATAAAGGATTGAATGACATCACATGACAAATCAATTAAAACTTTTGCATTATTACTATCTGCAATTGCCACTTGGAGTATCCATTTTTTTTCCTGGATGGCTTGCAAAAGCCCAATGCAAGTTAGATCCACCTTCATTGATACCTTGCAGACACAATCTGTTAGCAGGTTCTTATTATTACTGATTTGGGACACACTTTTCTCTGCCAGTGGGAACATTTGAGATGAGTCAGGAAGAGGTAATTTGGTATTATCAACTGAGCTGATAATGTAAATTAGTCACCGTTAAGAGTTTAAAAGCTGACATTTTGAGCATTAGCCCTTTGTCAGAGCAAGTGACAAAGGGCTAATGCTCAAAACATCAGCTTTCAAACTCTTAACAATGGCCAATTTATATTAACAACTCTGTTGATAGTACCAAATTAACTTCAGTTGTTATACTCTCCTTCTGACCTAGCACCACAGTTTCTTTTGAAACTATCCTCTTTATTCATGAGTTGGGGAGAGGTTTTGCAGAGGGTGTGGAACTCACTATCAATGCTAGACTCTTTACAGACTTCTTGCTGGCTAGGGATGCTCAAGGCCTAATATTTTACTTGGCGGGGGGGGGGAAGAGACGCTCATGCAAAAACTCCAATAATGAGAGCCTGCTCACAAGCTACAGGTAAATGGTAATTGAGAGTAAACCACTGTGCCCTGACAACTAGCCAGCTATGATGCTCCCTATTATTAGTACCAGTCCACTTCATTCTGTTATGTTTACACACCTGTCTTCAATCTCTTTTTAGCTCAAGGTGGTGAAGTGAATGAAACTGCTCTAAATGAGGTAATGTTAATACTAACAATAATTTATCAATGAATAAGGAACTATCTTAAGCTTCTTTTAAATAACACTCAAGCATCTTGAATAATCAGTTCATAGGAAGAACAGACTCTAACCATTTTGTATTTTTGTCAAAAACTTGTGTAAGAATGTATGCACTATGTTTATGAAATATGTAATAACTGAAAATGGAAAGAGACGCTTTCACTCAACATTTATATTTCAACATCTCTTATTATTGCTTGATTTTACAGGCTTCTAAACTTGTAACTGAAATGACAAGATCAGTTCTTCAACCTACAACAAAAGCTACTACAAGGTATAAAGTAGAGATGCTCACAACTCCATGCAAGTGTCCACCAGACCTTCTCTTTTTGTTCTTAGTCAATTCAAGTTACTCAACGGTTCTTAAACAGATATTTGTGATCACCAGATTAGTCTAATGATACATAATTTTTAGCGTTATTTGTCCACAGAGATCCATTCACTGAACTTGGAAACCTGCCATTGAAAACTCCATCAGGTACATGTTTGATGAACACTGTGTCATTCCATAATGTTTCCTTGTGCTTGTAAAGATAAACTCTAAATTCCATCACAATAGATTAGACAAAAGTAACATTTAGTTTAGACTGGTAGCAAAAATTTAACTCGGAGAAAAATTTGAAGAGCAACATATACACAAAAGGTGTCCAAACCAGAGGCTTGATCAAGGCATCTGTCATAACTTACAAGCTCACACTGTTACAATGTGATGTATATGATTTATATGAGTGTGTTGTATTCCGCTCTCATATAAACTTCTTTCAACATCAGCTTTGCTTTGTAATCCTCTTCTTGTAGGAATCAAAGTCAAAAGTGAGGATCAGACAGGAAATGTGAAACTAAATGTGAGTGGAAATTTTTACTCTGCATCATAACCAAACCTTTTTAATTGAACTAGCTCTCACCCAACTTGCCATTTCTGCCACAATGTCTAAGGGGTGACCTAACCCAGGAAAGCAGATAAGAAACTTGTAATGTAAACATTCCATTTTCCTTGAGTTTATGGAATCAACAGAGCTTTGCTATTTACTATAGTTTTGTTATAAACTATTTCAGCATTAAATTTGTGGTGGTTTTAGCAGTATTATTGTTATCAAAGAACTTTTTAAGATGACCTTTGTAAGCAATAAAAACTAGGTGTACATTTTGCCTCTTTGTAGAATCAATTCTTTAAAGAAAACTTCTTAAGGGTTAGGGTTAGGGATCTGATTACAATGATGTTTTGTAGCTTTCAAATATTTCACTTTGTTTTCAGGAACCTGGGTTCTTGGAACCAACCACAGCTCCAAGATCACTGCGTCCAAGAAAGGTGAAAATGAGTATGCAGTCACTAATTTATGAGGAAACTCCCAATGTCACTCCTAGCTAATACATGTATTTCAGAAGTCAAAAGAGGCTAATTTTAGTACTTATCTTATTATTGTGAGAGCTTTGCCTGACAGCTTAACCAGCTTACCCCAAGATCTAGATATTGATTCTCTACACTGCTTGCCGTACATTTTTTCTTACTTTAGATGTAAGAATTTGGTAGTCAATCAAACAACAATTCCTCAACTGAGTTAATAATTTCTTGCACTACTTATCACCTTACTGCATTAAAAAGTTGATGGTTTATGAGAAAGCACCTTGGTATAAACACCAAATGTAAACTAAAAGATATTGAGAAGTCTTTTGTCACTTTCCTTTGTAATGGATCCCATAAAGAAACAATACTTTGATGTCCTATGGTCATCATATCAGTATGCTTATTTTCCATGCTGTTCTCTATACATTTCATTTCCTGGTGTTGACCAGGAGAATTTGTTTATAACAAGCAAGAACACATTCAGTTGGTGTTCATTTCCTTAATGTGTGTCTTAGGGGTGATGTTCTAAAGAGAATTTAGATGTTAGCCATTCTTAGGGATCCCCTACGAGAGTTTATCAAAATACGACAATGAGCCTTTAGTTAAATTCAAAAGCATCTAAAAAGTTGAAAGAGATTGCAACATGTTATATGAACAATGAATTGGAATACACACATGTACAGTATGAATACATCCAAAAGTAAAATGACTGTCTGATGCATCATTCCTCAATAGAGAAAAGACATGTCTCCCAGCACAGTGGATAAGAACACAAGATCAGCCAAGACTCGCAAAACAAAAGATAGCATTACAGTTGCACCACCTTCTACTGGGAAACGCACAAGGTAAGTATGCCTGACAATTTTTTTTTCAATGTTTGTGGACAGTTCTGCCCTAATATGCAAACTCAAACAACCAATGATTGATCAAGTGCAAACAATTACAGAATGCTTTGGTAGATTTGTTGGTGACTCAATGTATTAAAATAGTTATTGACTGAGTTTGGTTGGACTGGTCAGGTAAATATTTGGCTATCCTTCATGATGCACAGACCTTGCTTGCCCTTAGTCTGTGTTTCATGACCTGGAGCCAGATATTTTCCCTTTCACTCAGTCAATATATTGATAAATAGTATTATTTTGTAATTTCATGGTATGGTTCTGTGTTATTAGCAAAAGGATACAACCCAAAGCTCACTTTGCAACACCAGCAGTGAGGGGAATTCCTTACAGCAACACACCAATGGTGACACCAAAGTTTGACCCACGGTTAGTTTATACATAAAATTTTTACTCAACATACTTGAATGGTATTATTGTATTCTAAGTTTGTTTTGATGCTCTATTTAGCAGTGGGGGTTTTCCAGCATTCATGACTGGCACTTAACCCTTCAACCTGTAAGAGTGACTAGCATCTAATTTCTCCTACAATATCACCCATGATTCAAACATGAAGGTCATGAGACAGGGGCTTCAAAATTGATTTGAAGCAGGAATCAGACTCTGCTAAAGTAGGTGACTGTGAAAAGTGCATTAACCCTTAACTCCAGATCAAATTTTTCATTTCTCCTTACTGTCAACCATACAATTATCATGATGTTAGTTCTGAGAATTTAGTATTGGATCAACTAATTATCTCCAAATTGATATTTTTCTTTATTCTCATCACTTATCTGGTTGATGTTGTGTTGGTATTGTAAGGAGAAATTCTGTCATGGTCAATCATGGGAGTTAAAGGGTTAAGGTAATTATTTTGACCTGAGGAACAAGTGACATGTTTGGTAGCTGGCAGAACTCTGGCAGTTGCTGGCTTGTTTTGAAATCCTCTATGAGATTAAAGGAAATAATCACCAGCTAAAGAAGCTTGTGATTGTTAAACAAATTCTCCTTGTTAAACCTTGGGAAATGCATGGAGAACAGAATATCGAATATGTACTGATGTTAAGGTATAAAGGGTTAAATCAATGAAGCCATTGTGATCCTTTTGTTCTATATGTTTAAAGGTTACCAGTGACTCCTGCCTTGCTGCGAGAACCAAAAGTTGGTGAAAGGTAGGTACTGTAGAGCCAATAATGTGAAATTACCTGAACAAACACGTTACATGTTTATGTAAATAGAACTTATTATTTATGCCACTGAAAATGAAGAAAAAGGCGCCTTTAGACAAATTCATTTTTTTTACCTCTGTCAGTTATTTCTATTGCTCTTTGGCAAAAGAAAAAAATGACAAAAACATGGTGTCAAACATTCAGCGGTATAATCATAAATTAAGGAACAATTGTAGTGTTACAGAACTGTATGTACGGATATTGTTCTTAGTGCTTTGTATTGAGCATTGATCAAAATTCTTTTTTTCAGTATCATGTCTCTGAATGGATCGCCCATTGTTAATAGCGCTCCAGCCCCAAACACACCGCAGCTTTCTATTTCCCTTGGTAACGGACGGGTAAGAGTTCTGCAGTAATGTCATTTCGGTTACTACATGTACCCTGGTCAGTTAAGTGAGACCATTCTTGATAAAAACTCAATCCAAAGAGAGTGTATGAGCTCATTGGTCAGTTCCCTGTTAATTTTACAGATTACGACAATATTCATCAGTCAAATGTTATGAGACTGTGTGGAAGTTGTCTCTGACTTGTTCCGGTCTATTAATGTACATGTATGGTTATCTCGCGAAAGTAAAGTATTTTTGAAGGTTATGCGTTTATCACTTTGAAGTTTCAACATCTTCCTGGGTGATGACCCTCCCCGGTGCCAAAATATTGTTCAAATGCCCCACCCAAGCGCTGGATTTGAGAATCAGTATTTTGTAAAAGGCAAGGTCAGATTTTCATGTTGACCTTTTCTCCTCTCATAACTGTCACTGTCATTTCAAACATCTTTCCTAGAGGATTCAACTTAATCCCACCTCTCACCTGAGCCCGTCGCAATCGACGATTCTGAACGACGCCGCAAGGAAGAATGTGGAATTACTGCAGGTGTGTGCATATACTTGTGTACAGGTACTCTCTTTAGAGTCAAGTTAAATTCCTCAGCGAAAAGTGGTGTTAGTTTATAAAGAAATTGTGATGCTGCGTCGGTGGGAGAGTGTAACAGAGTAATGTGGTATTATCAACTGAGTTGATAACGTAAATTAGCCACTGTAAAGAATTGCAAAGCTGATGATTCATCAGAGAGAATAGAGGAATTGTGGGTTGTGTGTGTTTCTGTGCAGAAAATGGAGCTCAGCTGCATATAAAACACACACACACAACCCACAATTCCTCCATTCGCTCTGACAAAGGGCTAACGCTCGAAACTTCAGCTTTGCAACTCTTTACGGTGACCAATTTACGTCAACTCAGAAGTGAAACTACTTTAGGCATTTTGACTTTCGTATAATATTTTCTTTTTTAGCTTAAGTTTCCCCGCGCTAGGGGGTTGGCATTAGTTGCATACGTTTCCGAGCTTCTTATTTATAGCACATATCCCAGTTTTCCCCTCCTCTGGTACTTGGTACATGCCTTCCTGCTCGTCCCACTGTTTGTGTGTTTTCCTGCATTTTGTAAAGCTCTTTTGCATTCCCGCTCTTCCCAACGTTTGTATTTTCCGCCTAACCGCGCTTCGCACTGATTGGTTGTTTTATGAAGCGTAGCCATGATTTTTTTCCCGCGCCTCGCACTGGTTGGTTGTTGTGAAAGTACTTACAAACACGTTGTATTTATTTATTATTCTTGCAGCAAAAGCTTTCACAGCTCCTGGCCATGCCAACTCCAGCAGAGAAAAAGTGATTCTTAATTTCCTTTTCTGTCAGTACATTTTATTTTGCTGATGACAAGAAACCTAAGTTAACACTGTACTAAGACTAGGACTTATGAAAAAATGTTGAAAGTGTGTTATTTGATTGTTTAGAGCGATTTTTTAATTGAATGTCGAAAGTAATGTGGCCGCTTTTTGATTGGTCCAGAAAACTTGCGTCACCCTCGCGACCAATCATATGCAAAACTGAACCAATCACGATTTGGTTGCCCACGTTTTCCCGCGCTGTAGGCAGTTTGGTCGGTTTTACTTTGAGTTCTCATTGGCTCTTAAAGATACTTTCCTCTATTCTGATTGGCCTTTGTGATTACCTTAGTTTTTGTTTTCTGACACTTGATTGAAAAGTGCTCTATGTATGTTTGTGTTTACTTGTTTTATTCACTTACTATGCTCTGAGAATTTTTCGCTTCAGTGTCTTTCAACATAGAACTATTCAGATGTGAGATTACAAAACAACCCAAAACAACCTTGGTGTTTATCAATTTGGAATTGCAAAATTGACTTAACATATTAGATAAGTGTTGGTTAGATTACTGAATTTTTCTCTACAGCGGGCTGGTTATTGAGCATTAAATAACTGTAACATTTTCGTCTTTCCTTCCCTGTTTCAATAATACTGCCTCGTTACATTTTCCAACACGACGGCTAAAACGGAAGTAACAAAATTATGACTGCTAGAGAAATTTGTATCATTCAGTAAACCCAAGTTGGGTGTATTTTTTATCATATCGCAACATTCGATTTAGTCACTTGGTTTTTCATACGTTTTTAAAAAAATACTGCGTGCGGAGATGTTTGAATAGCAGGGGTGTTGATAGAGAGAAAAATTTCATTGTCATGTATTCGATGATTGTAATTTTTTGGAGTATAATTTCTGGTAACATACTTCCTATTTGAACCGTGGTCTCTTACTATGAGCATTATTTTAAAACCCACTCTAGAAACTTTAGACGCCTTGCATTGTCTTATCTTTGCTTAGGGCGTCGATTAATTCGAAGCTTCAAACTTGCCCTCCCCTCCGGGCAATCCTCCGGGCATTTGATCTTTTGAAGATTGTTTTGTTCAAATTCCTTCCACCTAGGGCAAAAATTGTATTCAAATGCCCCACCCAATTTTTTTTTCTGAGCCATTCGCCTGCGAAAGTGGACTATTTACCTGGAGCACCTCCATATTTAAAAATATAAAACTTGTATTCCGCGGAAGACTTGTCACTACCGGTTCAAATTTCCTCACACCGGTTCAAATATCCTCACACCAGCCAGGCTAGGTTAAAATTCCCTACCACTGGGCACGGAAGATGGTCAATGTCAGTGGGTTGCCAGGGGGATGTTGAAGCTTCAAATTGATCGGCGCACAAGTCGCTCCAATCATCTCAACTTTAGAGAAAGCTTTATTGGGAAAAGAAAACTAAAGCAAATATTCCTGTGTTTGAGCCTCGAAGATAATCTTGTAAATAATTATAATTAGCACAACAAACAATGGGATAAACTATTCAAAACAACGAATTATCTGAACGAGACCAATATTGATAAAATGACTCAAAATCAAATTTTGTTTTCTGTTTTGAATAAACCTTTCAAAGTGCTTCACGTGGAATGGACAAGAGCAATATGAAGAATTCCCAGAGCGTTCCATTCCCTGAAAGTCTGCATTTCTTTTTATATCATTAGGAAACTTAAAATAGCCAGTGGTATGCCTCGAATTTGTCTCAGGCAGACAACACACTTAGCATCTATTAGTCCTTCTCAGCGACCGATCGAAAACTAATCTTAAACTCCATGGTGCTCGCAGTGTAATATCAAGCCAAGGAGCGATAAGCACATCCACTTGGTTATTTCCATTTGATTTCATTCAATCAAAATGTGATATTTTCTTGCACGTTAGGTTTCGATAAGGTTAACCATTTCCTTTCGTTTGGTTCCGTGCACAAACTTATAGCGGAGCTCGCATCGCGCAGCGAAGTCCCATACTTATAAAAAGTGGTAGTGACCCATATTTGAGCTAAGGGAAAGTAAAATTATTCTGAGGAAACCGACTGTCGAGTTAGCTGACAGCTTATAACTGAAAAATTGGGGTCAAACACTAGGGAAATTGGATCTTGTTCGTGTTAGCCGGAGGTAAGAATTAACTGAGTTCGAGTTAGCGGGGTTCTTCTGCACCGCACTATGAGCAAAAAAATGTAAAACTTTGACTTGTTTGTGGGTGCACACTTGATATAAAATAAGTGCAACTCATGTTTTCTTGTGTAATTGTATATATTTTAACGGATAACCTTAAGTATTATGTTCATTGCATGAATTACAGAACCGTTATGTTACAAGTCAAAGTGTTGTCATACCAATTTTTTGCCAGAATAAAATGTTCGCAGTGCGCAATCTAGAGATGACCTACCAAATGAGTTTATTGTGACCCATGTTTCCTTACGACCCAATTTCGACATACTTAGGAAAGAAATACGACTGAGAGTACCTTGACTAGTTTTTTTTTAATATTTTTTTCAAATAAGTAGTGGTTGAGCAACAGTAGAGAACACAATTATATTATAATAATTATTATGGGCAAGCAATTGGCCTAATAGTCAAATCAGAGATATCCAATGGAACTGGCGATGTAACAAGAGTGTAACTGACAGGCAATCAGCGTGACCCTGCACTCGCTTTGTAAGCAACAGAAAAGGAACACTCTACTGAGCCGAATCAAGCGTGTTTCTATGGGCCCGTTTATACGGTACCCGGTCACTTCCCTGATATGTCAACCCGCCGATAGTTGACTTTAGTCAACTCGCCGACAAACCGGTCACTTCGACAACGTAGTCTTTCATTTTGTCGACATCGTTTGACACTTCGCCGACAAACTTGGGCGACCCTTTTTAAAGATCTCAATCCGAGATTTATATTAAGTCAATAACTATTCAGAGGTGCGGCTAAGAATTGTATAGCTGTTTTAATTGGGTAAACCTTTTACTAATAATTTACACAATACAACTGAAACGGTATGGCGACCGACGATGGAAATGTTTCCGTTCCAACTTTTCCTTTCTGACCTTTTCATGTTTATCCAGCATGGCAAAACTGTTGCATCATGACGGAACACAAGCTTAAAATTTGCAAATATTCATCAGCTCCATCACAAAGACATTTGTCGACGATCTAAAAAAAAAAAGCAAACACTGTAACGTGTGTTGTTACAGGGAATGGTAAATATTACCGTAAAAACCTTTATCTATGAGGAGTCGAAGGAGCCACCACGACGACGGCAAAGCAACTGTGATGTTTTTTGGAACTACACAAGAACCCAAAATTCACCTTCTCTCTAGCCTGCTAACAGGCATGAGCGCTGCAGGACGCGTGTTTTCCCCCACAGGGAAGATTGGAGACAAGTCGAGGAGAGGATTGCAAACCTCTCTCCCTCATGCGTTGCTCAAGGTCTAAGTGACTTTCCAGTTGGCGAAGAATTGCAAAAGTTAGTTACAGAGTTAAGCAAGTCTAAGTCATACAATAAATTTAGGCGATAACAAAATTTCAAGCATGGAACTGAAACTAGTTAAAGAATAATGAAGTTTTAAGAAAATCTTAAAGTACTTACAGCTATTTTTTCCATAATGGCAGATTTTTGATGGTCGTTTAACTCAGCCATTTCAATAATTCTGTCATGAACCTGGTTGGTTGGAAACAAACCCTTCTGTTAATTCTTTTGACTTTGGAAGACATTTGCTAGGTACAAGAGGGTAATAAACCCTTTAACTCCCAAGATCTGATTGTTAATTCTCCCATTGAACTACTACGCATTTCCTTGTAGATTAGTTACAAGAATTTGTTGTTAGATCAAGACAGCAACTTCTACCTTATAAGTTTGGGCATTTTCATTACTTGTTTGCTGGATAATGTATGGATATTAGTGAGAGATGTTATATAATAATCATTCTGAGAGGTTAAGGGTCAAAAATTAAAGTAAAAGATTGATGTAAAAGGTGAGTGTTTAAAATAGAAAAAATAAAAAAACAAAAAAAAACATATGGCTTAACCAGTTCACTCCTAAGAGTGAACTAATATTCAGTGTTCTCCTCTATTTTAAGCATGACAGGTAAAATAAATTTTCAAACCAGTAAAGCAATCTTTTTACCTGTTGAATTTTCAAGAATTCCAACAATTTTAAACAGTAATAAGAGGTACTTAAGGCAGTAAATGTTACTAGTTACTGCCTGAAATGGAGAACACTGAATATTTCTTCCAACAGTATCACCCCCCTGAATCAAACATAACAGTCACAAGAATGAAGGAAATAATTGCAATCTCAAGCAGCTTTGGATCATCAGACAAATTCTCCTTTAAAGAACCATAAGAAGCATATATAGAACAGTATGGAGAACTCCCATACTTGTTAAGGTACTTTTTAGATACTTCTTAGACTTTAGGATGTAAATTGTCAGTTTATATGGTCCAACTGATTTATATGTAGCAGCAGCCTTGAAACTGAATCTGGCTGGAATATGAATCCTCATAGGGGATGAAGATGTTAAAAACTTGTTGCAGGAAACAACAGATTTATTATAGCTCATAGGGTCTCATCATACCTGGTTGATGACCTGAGCAGCTGCATGACCCTCAGCTATTATTTCCTGGCAAGTGTTACATGTTGTTAAAAAAAAAGTAGATTCATGTAATGTCCTTATGTAACAACCTCTATTACTTAACTGAGTAATTTTTGGTAAGTCATGGGCAAAAAATTAGGTTGATTGGTCAAAAAGCTGGAACCTCTGTCACTACACAACTAAGATATTTTTTTCGGTTCACATTCAACCATGTCTGTAATTACATGTACTGCAATTGAAAAGTATGTTCCACAACTCTTTCAAATTAATGAAACAATGTGTTGCAACCTTTGCTGGATTTAGGGAATTGATAAAAAAACTTTGAAAGAACTCAGTTGGCACTTACACCCCGGCACACACATTTACGGACTTTGTTTAATTTTCAATTTCCTGTTTCATGTTCAAATTCAGGTGCATGCTCATTGTTTAATTCAAATCATTTAAATTTGATGATGTAATATGTTTTGTTGCATGTGACAAAACATTGGATTTGGAATTTTTAAGTTGAACTTGACTCGTACCCTTCCTTCAGCATTTGATTAAAGGGGTTTTCTAATCAATTTTATGGATTTTGAGGGCTGTCGTTAAAACAATGTGTTATCAAAGGTAATCCAATATTGCAAACCTGAATTGTAACATTTGTGTGTCATAACATATCACAAACTTACAAAAATGTAGCTAATAAAGGGAGGGTGGGTTACAGACCCCCATAGCTATGCCCCTGTTTGAGACTAGCATTGATCAACTGTGTTCTGTTCTTAATCAAAATAAAGCCTTGGCTCAATCAAGAGTCTTTAAATTAGGAGCACAGAAAAGTAACCAAGGATTAGGTCACCACATCTTTCAGAAATACAAAGATGATCAACAAAATTAGTCCCTTACCTGAACTGTAGCATCAAGTTTTTCAAATGAGTCTGATCCACAAGTCTCAAAAAGTTTGTCTGCCATTTTACTTGGAACAACCTGAAGGAAAGTCACCAAATGGTATGTGTTGATTATTTTCTTGATACCAATAAGTCACTGTATATATTTTTTGTTTCATGTTACATTAAAAACATGTAACTTTGCAAGCCCTTTGATTTCATAAATGTAATACTGTAGTTGCAGTTGGGAAATGATGGATCTCACCCCAGCTATTTCACTGATATCATCAGCTTCTACCACGTCTTCACCCTTCAGTCTTTGAGCACTTTGTAGGTATGTTATAGCCTTAAAAACAAGTCAAGCAATAAATGTTATAAAAAAGGGTTTGTTTCATCAATGCAAGGGTGGGCACAAGTGGATAGAAGGATTGATATGGAGCATAAGCGATCAGAGCCATAATGTGGAGATAAAATAATCTGATGGCCACATTTTCTCTATCCATTCAAGGCACCTGCAGTGACCTATGTCAAAATCTCCACCTAAAGAAAACATGTGGTAATTGAATGAACGTGACAGAAATGGTGGACAGAGAAAATCTGATTACTGAAATATGACTCTCAGTTTGTTCATAATGCCCTGTTATACAATTCCATAAGTCCCTAACACATCTTAAAAACAGTTATTTGTTTGCTAATTCCTGTTAAGTAAATAAAAATACTACATGGAATGCTTTAACAGTCCATCAAAAGGCATACTGTTTTCTTTACAGATCATTCAACACTTCCTTTCTCACCTTCCTCATGTCACCTTCTGATATCTTTATCAATTCTTGTATCGCCTGTTGAGACAAAAAGTTTATAACTGCAGTGGTACCTTCATACAGGGAATACCCTCAAAGCTAAGAAAACTTTAACCCTTTCACTCCCAAGATCTGATTAGTAATTCTCCTTACTGTCTGCCATCCAATTCTTATGTTAGTTTGGAGAATTTGGTATTGTATCAACTAATAATCCCCTAAATGATATCTTTCTTTATTCTTATCACTTGTCTACTTGATATTGCATTACAACTGTAAAGAGAAATTCTCTCTTTGTAAGTCATGGAAGTTAAAGGATTAAATTAGAATCTCCAATAAAGAAGTGCATCCAGTAAAGGTAACATATGCAAATTGTTGGTCATTCAGGACCACCATTTATGAGTCCATTGGATGGAAGTCTTTGAGAAAAGAGGCTAAAATCACAAATTGTTGGGTAAACATTCCCCTAATTGGAAATATTCCATTCTTTAAAGTAAGCAAATATAAAATTTTACCATTAATTGTTAGAATAATAAACTTGATGACCTGCAGAGGAATAGAGGGGGTAAGGTTCTAAAGAAACTGTGATGCTGTGTCAGTGGGAAAGTACAGCAGGTAATTTAGTGTTGACAACTGAGTTGAAACATTAATTGGCCACCGTAAAGAATAAAAAAGCTGACAAAGGGCTAATGCTTGAAACATCAGCTTTTTTACTCTTTACGGTGGCCAATTTACGTTTCAACTCAGTTGTTAACACTAAATTACCTGCAGAGGAATAGTTTGGAAGAGCAGTCTGTCAAAGTACTGCACAATCATAAGTTTAAATACTTCTTCTAAAAGATCTTGAAGTTGAGGTCATTCAAAATTCACTCACTAGTTTTACCTTTTTATCACATTTCACATTTTCCTTTTCACAAATCATGTTGAGTCTCTTCTCTAAAGTATCTGTAGATAATGGCTTAAAACGAAATTTGGAACAACGGGAAGTCAGGGGCTCAATAATTCTGCAAGATAAAATGTAAATGATAAAATGAATTTCTTTTTTGTGGCTGTCTTACTATACACTTAAAATGCAAGCTTGAATAGGATGTGTTTCATTCTGATACACACAGTTCATCTCACAATAACTTCAAATTCATTGAAATAGAGCTTGCCAAAAGGTGTTTCTTTTTTTCAACATAACAGAAACAAAAGCAAAGAAAATACAACCCATAATAAAAACACAAACGACAGGGGATTGGTGGTCAAAGTCACAGGTCCAGTTTTCTGAGGGGTCCAAATAAGGGGCCATAGTGAGAACCAGCCTAGGCAGGATCTGTCAGTGTAAGCATTTTCACAAGAAAGGTTTCACATAAGGTCATTTTCATTAAACTTTAAAAAACAATAACTCAGTTATTAGATGATTGTTAGTTACAGTTCTTTTCAATGTCATTACCTGCTCACATAGTTACAAATAAGACAAAATCTTGTGGTTTTTGTCTCCTTCTCCATGGTTCTTCTCAAGGCTGCCTGTTTATTTAAAAAAAAATCAAAAATACCGTTTTCAAAGTGTGCAGTTTCACAGCCAGTTTATGCTAACATATAAAGAAGAGTAAAGAAGCTCAAACCTGAGCACTTGGTGTCATGGAATCTGCTTCATCCAAAATAACCAGCTTGAAGGGTGGGCATGGGGTACCACTGTAAGAAAAATTTATGACTGGTGATATGATATGCATATACCATGAAATAAAAATAGCGCAAAATTTTTTCTCTCAAAGACAAGTTATAAACTGAGACATCGTTTTTCTGTCGCCATTGGCATTGACTAATGTTGTCTCTAGGCTAAACATTCCTTTGCATTCTGGAGATATGATTAAGGCAAAAAGGGCAGTTATGCATTGAAAAACAAAGAATCAAAATTATGTTATTTTAGAATAAGGTATAGGATCTATCTATGAATAGCATGGATGGACTGTAAACAAAAGACTTACTCAGTTCGAATACCAGAGGCTGCCAGTTGAGCAAACTTCTTAACTTTATCTCTCACTACCTGCAAATAAAACATTATATGAAAACTTTGCAACATTGCAGCCACACTTTCTTAAAAAAAGGTTTTAAAATTTATCATTCTAAGAATTCACATTTAAGACTAATTTTAACAACTCCCTTTTTCTCTTGTTATTGTTCAGGCATGTCATCAAGCTGTTTCATTGGATAGCTTGTACAACAAACTAGAAACATTAAGCATGCTAAGGCATCTCTTCAGACTGGCTACCAGTGTGAGCAAGCTTGAAACTGTGAACAGCTTTGTTCCAAAAAAAGACCTCAAAATTTTGGTGTCTTTTCGTTGCCTACACTTCCTGTATTATTGTTTGGTCAAGATGGTTGGGCCAATTGCCTTGGTCAAAAAATGGGGAAAAAAAAACTTGGCCCCAGCAATTTTGTCCTTACATTTGATCAATAACACACATTTATACACCTGATAGAGACTAACAGAAACTCTACAGAAGAACACTGAAGTTTAACAGACCTGTATTCCACGTTCATCTGATGCATTTAATTCAAGCACCCGTGATCTCATAAGCTCAAGTCTAAAATTGCAATGAAATAATGGTCAATAATTGTTTTGACCATACTGGCCCCTTAATCACCATAGCTTACACCTGTTTGAATAACATGAACGAAGTAGAAGTGTAACTGTTCCTTCTCTTCCTAGGTGGTGTGTTAGTCCATTAAAAAATACTCTCACTCCCTCCTAGCAAATTGATGAGTTTTCCTAATAGTTTCCAGGTACCCATTTATACCCCTGGTCCTGGTTGTTTGAAGGGTGGATGATGCTATCCACTGGATAAATCTCTATGCAGTACCTAGCACAGTACCTTTTGTCAACATTTATCCCCTCAATAGCAATTTTTGCATTGAATAGCATTGTCTACCCTCAGAACAACTGGGTCCTGGTCAAGAGGGGTACTCTAAGAGTCAAGTGTAATGCCCAAGGTTAATGGTTGGACCTTATCCCTGTTTATGTAGCATAAAGCTACTAAAAGTATTGCTACTCCCCACCAGATGGAAAGCTTGTCTATTGCAAGTTGCCCCCCTGGCATTTCATCCGCTTTCCCAGACAGTTTGCTTGAACCTATCTATACTCTGTGATGAGAGTAACATGCTTTGCCCAAGAATGCAACACAATGAACCACAAAAAAAAGTTAGTGCCTGACAAATGACCAGCCTAAGTCATTTGTCAGGCACTCACTAGCCTAGGATCGTTTGGGGAAAACAATGAAAAATATGTTAAAAAAAGAAAAAATAGATCGGCCCATAGTTAAGTCTTACTCAGGCGCACTTGAACTAAGACTTGACTAGAATATGGGCATTAAAAATTCTTACAAAAACCTTTAAAATGACCTTACTTCTGAGGATAAACCTACCCAAACAGCTGTCTTGCAATAGCAAGTATTGTGGATGTTTTTCCTGTGCCAGGAGGGCCATAAAACAACAAGTTTGGGAGATCAACTCCTTCTAGAGATTTTTTCAACACTGACACAACTTCATCTTGATAAGCAACTTCATCCACAGATCTTGGACGACTAACAACAAGAGAATCACAAGACATGAACAGTTTTTCATAATTTTTATCATCAATGTAGAACAAAAACAACAAAAGATATAAATAAAGTAATCAGACTGATTAGGAACAGAAGACAAAAGGTGTAACAGATGCTCTTTTTAGGGTTATGTCACAAGAAAAAAGCATGGCATATGAAATTCCAGCACTGACTCGAAGTATTGATATAAATGATATCCTTCCTGTCTAGACTAATTAATTACAAAGTTATACTTTGGTAGAAAAGAGATTTTTGATCCATTAATCAATCCAGTTACCGGCTGAGAAAATTTAAAATGAACGTATGATAATAATTAAGTAATTAACACTGAGTAGAGCTACTGAAGAAAAAAGACGACAATAGTTTGATAGATGAACCTTCAGTGGCGATAAATGTTTAGATCAGACAGCCTATTCTCCTTTCTGTGTCATAATCTCCTTGGGGTTAGCAATGAGAATCTCTTGTCTCATCAACGCAACATCAGGACGATACGCTGATATTTATTTAACCAAAATTTCCCTCTTTGTTCAGACACTCAGGGATTTTTCATCATAAAAAATTAAATAAAATTAGAGTACTCGAAGTCTGAAAGAAATCGAAGTGAAGAAGGACGACAAAGGAAAGCGAAGGCACTCACTATTTTTCAACCCAAGGAACAACAACCCTTTTGTTTGAAGATCCTGCTGTTTCTTCGCCTGTTTGTTGCTTAAGTTTCGAAGAACTAGCAGTAGAACTCTGTCCTCGTAAGAAAGCATCCATCTCTACTGATGATGCTCTTCTTGTATGAAAACAAACGCAGAAACAAATCGAGTTTCTTAGTCACTTGTTGCTCTATTCAACATGGCGAGATATTTCCCGCCAATTTCGCGGCAATAGACTGGGCACAGCTAATACCCAGTTTCCTTCTAAAATGCAAGTTACTTTGGTCACGCAATCGCGCTATTTTGCGTGACGGTGACGCGTAAAAATTGAAGGCCGTAAGCCTAAATTTGCATATGACCAGAATACCATTTGATGAATACTAAAACGACAAAGAAGTTTGTACAACTACAACTCTGATCGAATGAGCTGGCAAAATTTCGTCGATGAAAGTCTGTTAGGTACGAGCCAGGTAGCCAGAGCAGCTATACATGGTTTGGATGGGAAACGCTACGCTTCGAGCGCTGGATTCGTGGTCAGTGTTTGTTGAATTGTTTTTTATAAATTTGCTTCGTGGCTTTGTTTCTCAGGTAAACAATCGTATGCGCCTTAGTTTCACATGAAGCGTGACTTTAATGTTTGGTTTTTGATCTCTAGTCGAGAGCACGTTGGAAATGTTTTTTACGTATCGAGTACAAACTCTTGAATCACTTACGTTGCATACCACCTGGCTTTCGCACCTTGTCCGTCAGTTGATAATTGAATAGACTTAAAGCCTTTTAATTAATCTGTTTACGCGCAATGTTTTGGGCAAAGACGTTTTGAAAAATTCCAGAGTAGCCTAACATTTGTGCTTCATAAGTTGTATATATCAGTCACAGGATGTTTTCATTTTGAACATTTTTTGCCCTAAGGCGTTTGCATGTTCGAGACTTACTGTCTATATGAACTGACAAACAGAAGTTTTGTCCAATACACCTAGCGCAGAACTTCAATAAACCACCGGGGAATTAGTAGAGAGATGAGTGTGTGCGATAATTGTAATAATCGTTCCGTCTTCCTTTTTTTTTTTTTTTTTACAAGATAACAGTCACTTTACAGGATAGATCAAACGTCTCTGTTGTGATCATGATAGAAAATGGAAATCCAAGAGTACAAATGGATTCTACTTATTGCTTAACCCTTTCAGTCCCAGTAAAATTATTGTGATTTTAGTTCAGAGAATTTGATATCTGATCAATCATCCCCTACTTGATTTTTTTCTTTTCATTCTCACCACTTTTCTGCTTGATATTGTACCGATATTGTGAGGAGAAATTTGGTCTTGGTCAGTCATGGGAATTAAAAAGTTTTAAGGGGTTAAGCATTTTATAAGTTATGACTTTCCGATGAAACTAGTTGGAAGTACAACTAAATTTAGTATTGAATCACATGCTCTGGTCTACAGATGATTAAAAAATTTTCTGGCTGTTTCTATTTTATTACACAGGTTTTACCAAGTGAGGCTCAAGCATTGATCAGTGGAATTACCAAAGATCCTTCTCCTTTCTTTTCCAAAGGAATCGCAGTGAATAGAACAAGGTATATTTTTGTGAGATCAGATCCTGGACATGCAATTTATTGTCGTAAAGGCAATGAGGGAGTTGTTGCAGTAAAGACTAACAAGTGCCTGTTGATTGGTGGATACACAGATGGAATGCAAGCAGGGTGTTGCAGTGCTGTGATGGAGAAACTAGCAAATTACTTCATTGCTATTGGATACTAAGATGTTAACCCTTAAACTCCCATGAGTGAGCAAATTTCTCCTTACAATTATATCAATAAAACATCAAAGAGATAAATGATGAGAGTAGAGAAAATTGACAATGAGGGGTTGCTAGTTGATCTAATACAATATTCTTTGAACTACCATCATAAGAACTGTAAGGCATTCACTAAGATAACAAATATTGGCATTGTGAAAAACAGAGAGCTTTAGCAAGTAATTCATATAAAGGTGTGCATGGAGCTGAAATACAAGCTTGTGCTGGAGACATGATCAAACTATTTTCAGGATTGAATAAAATAATCACATCAGAAAGTTAGGTAAATAATTGAAAAATAGTCTTCTACTGTAATTCAATTAAAGCAAAACAAACTTGCAGACATTCAGGGCTATAACAAGACTCCAAAGCTAATGGAGGAGTTGAGGAATAGGGAGGGAAAAAAACAACTTCCTCTTTTGAAATGGGTCATCTTCAGTGGGTTACACACTCAGGTAGAAAGGACGTGCTAAATAAAAAAAGTTATTTTACAGGAATACTCAAAACTTGCTTTTCTGAGACGGGATTGGTCTTTGAGCTACAAACAGACAAAATATATTGGAATTGTAGCAATGAAGTGTGTGCAAGAAGATACATGTTTTGGATTTGATAAACCCTTTAAAATACAAGGAAAACAGCCTATTTGTTATAGGAGACAAGAAATTCTCTGTATTTCAGTGATGAGAGGCTCAAATTAAATAGTGTATGGGTGCATTTAGGTATCCTTTAAAAATTAAATTTTGATACTTAAGATGCAAGACATAACTCCTTACATGTAAATTCACATGAATCAAAAATGTTCAATAAAGGAAATATATATATATTTTTTCTTAATGATCTTAGTGTTTTAGATAGTAAAGTATACTCTTGTGTGCGAATATACGGAGGTTGAAATCGCCCTAGATCTATTGATAAAAACCCAAGGAGTGATTTAACTACCACTGCACATCAGGTTAAATGTTCATGAGTGTCCTTCATGAGAGATCACTTTGTGCCACTCAATTTTAGGCCCCAAATATACTGATCTGCTTTTTAAAGAATCCATTTTAGTCTCTACTGAGACAAAGCTAAATAGTTTTCCCCTACGAGCACTTTTATTTGGTTGCTTTCACATGTCCTCACTCTTGCTTATTCATTTGGGAACAATTAGCTTTGATGTGCTGTTACCTATCATCATCACTTCAACACCCAAAAAAGCTAATTGAAACAACATTGGACACATCTTTTGTCACTGTTTTCAAAATCCCTCATGTTCACTATTTCACAGAAGAGAGAGAGTGATGCATTTCAATACAATCAACTGCTTGAAACTGTTTAGAAAGGGTCTATTTTCATCAGTGTTTTGGGCATCTTAGTGTGGATGATAGGCCAATAACAGCAAAAAGTATTTGCTTTTGAACAAAAATGTGTTCATGTGGATGAAAACATAACTGTTAACATTCTACTCAAGCCACAGTAAAGAGTTACAAAGCTGAAGGTTTCAAGCATTGTTTGAGAGAAGGGCTGATGGTCGAAATGTCAGCTTTGTAACTCTTCACAGTGGCTAATTTACATTGTCAACTCAGTTGATAATACTAAATTACCCTGTTAAACTCTCCCACTGACACAGCACCATGGTTTTTTGAGAAACCTACCCCCTTTATTCTACTTAAGTGTATAATTTTCTTGATCTTAAGACATGTATTTAATAGGTTTAATGACTGGGTCAATACTTATACTACTTGCAAAGTAAGAAAAAGAGAACTCCCTCCATAGTTAAGAGAAAACTTTTCCAAATGTTAGACTCACGAGTTGCCAAGCACTCTAAGGATTGCCTCCCTTTCTCTTAGGGCCTTCCATGCTGCCTCCTTCTCCTTTTTGGTTGGTGACTTTCTTTTCTGTTTATATGCCATCATTTTTCTGAACCATTCCATTACTTCAGCATCTGCAACCTGTGCTCTGTGCTTAAGCTCCTGTCTTCTCATTTCCTCCTGTGTTAATTTTGAAAGCTCTGATTTCTGTTGTCTGTTCTTTGCAATCAAGACACGCAGTTCATTCTGATGGCGTTTAAGCTCAGCCAAGACCTCATCATCCACCTCTTCATCTGCCTGATCTTCTGCATCTAGCAACCCTTGAAAAACTAGTTCTTCTCTAACACGTGCCTCTAAAGTTCGGGTATGAGGTACATGGGGTGCCTTACTAGGCGTGCGAGGGGGGTTGTTGCCACTTCTTGTCATTGCACTATCAGAACTTCCAGATCCTGAGTTTTGCTCAGGAATTGGTGCTATAATATTTTCTTCAATCAAAGCTGATACTAATCTTTGTGTCAGAGAGCCAAATGGACACAAATCTTCCTCATGAAGTCCAGTGGTGTCTGCCTTTTTCAACAAAGATTTTTCACCAATTACTTTATTTGTGTTTTCACTGGTAGCGTTTGTTAAAGTACCACGCAATTTTTTATCATGTATCCTTGAACCTTCTTCTTGCTCTTCAAGCAGGTCCTCTTGAGCCCATTTCTCTCCATAGTGTCTTCCTAAGGGTGGGACTTTATAATATTCTTGTTCATCATCTGGAATTTTCAAGGATTCTTCAAGAAATTTCTGATCTTCAACTGTGATATCAGCACAATACGGTTCAACAGCAGCCCAGAAGCGGTTGGGAGTATCTGTCTTTGTTTTCACACTTGGGGGAAATGTTTCATCTTCCTGACTACCTTCAGAAGAAGCCGAATGTTTACTTTTTGGTCTCCCCACCAACTGGGCTCCTGGACTGGTGCTTCTTGACTCTTCTAATTTCTGTTTCTTTGCTCCTTTTTCCTCTGTTGCGGGTCGACTTCTTTTCAAAGAGCCTAAGGAATTAAGAATCTCCAACTCGCGTTGTCGCACACTCTTTTTATCTTTTTTCTCAGCCCAATCAATCAATAATTTAGTTTCGGAGTCTATCTGCCTAATTCGCCGATTGGCACCGGCTAGAAGTGTTTCTAGGTCACTTTGAAGCAAGTGAAGGTCTTCCGGGTTTAATCCTTGATCCGCCGAGCGTGTCAACAAAGACGTATAGAATGGGCACATGCTTTTGTGATCGACCATTTTAAAATCACAGTACTGAAGAGGGCAGGGATCTGCGTCACCTTTCCCATCATCTAAAACGTTAGACATGGCTATATCTTACGGAAAACCATCAACAATTGTTGGAAACTTGCCTCAAGCAATAATAAATACAATGAAGCTATGCTTAGTAACCGCTCTATCGCTTCGTGCATTTAGATCGATGTATTCCTGGGAACCAATTTTTCCGCGTTGAACGCTTTTGGACACGTGAGAATCGGTTTCAAACCAAATGGACAAAACTTATTCTGAACTGAAGCCATTTTCTACGTTTTTCAACTATCTCTTGAGCTAAATAAGCGCCTGGTATGCAGCTCTGATATTACCGATAAAAAAAAAAACTTCTGAATCAAATTCTCCCCACTGCCACCCCCAGGGGATGAAGTCAATCGGTTAACCACCATCTCTCTTGTTGATGAAGCGGGGACGCCATGATGGATTCGCAGGGGCTAGCATCTTCCAAGGGGCTCCCAGACTTGAGTACAGGGGCTAATGATGATCCAGCACGGAATTCGAGTGGTACGAACTATATCGTCTTGTTGAAGGACCTTTTTGTTTAATATTTTTTAGCTACAAGGGGTTTAAGTGTGCTTTTTCACAAAACTGCAACGTCATTGTCTAGCTGTCTCATCATGTAACGCTTGGAGTCATCTTTCGCCACAGAACAAGACATGATTTTAAGAAAACATTTATTAGAACGAATTCGATGATCAAAATCAGCCATGTCTTCAGTAATAATAACATAGATTGCTAATTTGAATGAATTTCAGTTCATGAGACGCCATGTTGACGAACAGGGGTCAAATAGCTATTTATAGACAGTTTCTTTTAGAGAAAAATTATACGCACAGCATTTCATTTTATTTTGTCATGTAACAGAGACACAGAGTTGATCAAAATCACAATGATATCCTTATATTGACCTCCAAGATGTCCAAGGCAACATTTGCTTGATTGAGAGAAACTAATATAATTTTGAATTACACTATACAATCAAAACTCCGAGTTTCAGCTGCCATTTGACGTTGCTTAAATTAAAAGAATTTGCCTGAGAAATTACACTGACAAAAAATCTATCACATCCCGATCTACAATTTATCCAATACCCCGCTCCCTCTCTTTAGACTAACATCCTACCCAAGCAAGTTAGGAAGATATCTGTAGTTGCTTCTTGTTGTAAGACTATGAGCACACCCCCCTCTTTTCAGTGAAGTCCATTGTACAAGTCCAAAACAAAAAAATTGGAAAAAAATTGATGCCAGTGCCCTGAGGGAAGCTTTCACTCCCTGAGCTGCCTGCAGCATGCTTACATCAACTTCCTTTTCACCAATCTTTTTGTACTTGTGTGAGGGACTGTGTCGAAAGGAGAGACTACTCATAGTATATCTTGTTGTGGAAATTAAGATAAGATCTTACAAATATATGCAAGTCACAAGGCTTGTTGGGTTGAGATAAACTGATCAAGTTATTCTTTTCCCTTTAAAAATGAATTCATTGTCCTAAAATGACTTCCCTTTATCTCAAATTGCAGAATATTGTGTAAAATGTACAGAGATATTTTATATCAGCTACAAAAAAATTTCTTTAATTTTTTTTGATATATCTGCCTGATATTAGATACAGATTCTGAACTTCTGAAAGACAAGGAAGTGAGTGAAAGAGACAACAAGAACCATTCATCTCCTAGTCTAAGCCAGATTGAATCATCATCTGCGAGTATTCTTCAAAATGAGCTTTCTGTTCCAACAACAGATACTGGCTCAAGAGACAATAAATATGAGAAATATCTGTCCAATGTGTCTACAGAGTCCTGTGAGAGGGATCAGGTGCACTCAGTACAAGATTGTTTTATGGTGGATAGTAACATGGAAGAGCAACTGTCATCTCACTTTCCCCATGGGAACACTGAGGAGGAAATGGAGATCACATTCCAACCCTCTGTGTATGGGGAAATTGGAGACAAAGATATTAATTCCTTTCCTAATGAAGGTGTTTTGTTGTTGTTGTTGTTTTTTTTTTTTACATGTTATAACATAAATTCTTTTTGAATTTGTGAATAATAGATGTTACACTAAACCCTTTAGCTCCCAAGATCTGATTGTTAATTCTCCCCTCTAGCTGCTATGCATTTCCTTGTAAGTTAGTTATGAGAACTTAGTGCTAGATCAAGATAGCAGCTTCTACCCGATAAGTTTGAATAATCTCATTACCTGTCTACCGAAGAATGTATGGATACTATTGGGAGAAGTTTTATGTTAATCACTTCTGGGAGTTAAATGGTTAATTTTGTTATTGAGTATTGATATGTATAACAAACAGGAAGGATGGATGAGAATCTATTTTTGCTGGAATATTATTTCTAAGATGATGGCATATGAGTCAATAGTAAAAGAAGACTGAAAAATTACAATCAAACTTAGTCAAAAATGTCATTCGTAATTTTACTATTCCATTATTTGGTTAATGAATGAATCATTCAGTGGGAAGTACACAGGTAGTACAAGCTGACTTTTCAATTAGAAGTTTTAAACCTGTGATTAGAAGTTGTTAGGTGCACATGCTATGCTCTAATGTTTTCATTGGGTAGTTTCAATGATCTCCATGCATCACTGAAAAAATATTTGACGGTATGAAATATTATTGACAATCCATTTTTATATAATCAATCTCTCTCACCTCTAAAAATCATGTTCTTAGTTCTCAAGGTTTATTCCTAAAGTTTTTTTGATTTATACAACAGTTTGATTCTCCTTCATGTAGGTGGAGTAAATCACTTGGAAGAAGGACAGCTTCACCATGACAGAATCAAGTCAGATTATAACCTGATCAGTGTTGATGACAGAGTTGTTCCTCTAGCATTGGATCCATTAGGTTCACCTAACACTGAGTCTGATCTTGTTCAGTGCTCATCAACAGCATTACAGAGTGATAATCAACAACTTGATGCTGAAGAGGCATCTTCTTCATTAAATACATGTAGGCAAACAGCTTTTTAAATTTGTTTATGTTTGTTCTCACTGAATCCAATTTCAGCTACTTGAAAAAAATCATTCATATATCTGCATAGTCCTTCTTGTTTTAATTGTTAATCAAAGGGGTGGAGATGCTCTCAAGCCAGTTCTGATCAGCAGAATTTTGGTGTGTCAACATCTGGCTCATAAAGGATATTTATTGAAAAGATCTGGGTTGAATATTTTCCTATGGTCAATGTGTTGTGTTCTTGTGCAAGATACTTTTTTCACTCTCAAGGTGCATCTCTCCACCCAGGAGTATGAGTGGGTGCAAGAAATTGATGACTGTTTAGGGAACTTAACAAACTGCCTGACATCTTTCCAAGAGGAGCAAATCCACATATTACTGTAATACCCCATCTCTTAAAGTTCCACAGCCATTGTGAAATTGCATCATTAATTTTGTAGTTTGCAACAGCTCACACTTGCCCCTTTCTGCAAATGACTTGATTTTAACGGTGGGGTGAAGATTGGTTTCTGCTCTCTGGGCTGCCAAATAGGAGACCGGTACCCTCTGTTTGAGTTGTGTCAAGTTCCCTACTGATACCTTACCACAGAGCATCATTTTTGTGATGAAATAAATCAGTGGAATAGGAGGCCTTGCTAGGTTAGGATGGTACAGTTACAATCTGTAAATTTATGCATAATCATAAACTGACCATAGGGTTTTTCCTTTTTTTTTCATAGCAGTGCAGAACTCTGATATAGGCAAAGAATCCCATGATATTGCCTTAAAGGAAGCACAACATGAAAACCAAGATCAACCAACCTCTGAAGTTCCCTTAGAGAATGCTACCTTACTGCAAGAACAAAATAAAAATAACCTGAGGGAGATCACAATTCAAGTTTACCCAGGACATAACTCTACTATATCTCTAGTGAACAATGCAATCCTCACCACTGATGTTGGTACCTTTTCAACACATGTGCCTGCAATCCTAACAGAAGGTGATGCTGAAGATAGTGAAACCCATTATCAAGTTGTTACGACCAGTTCTGCAATGCTTAACCAGGCAGATGGGAACTCTGCACTTGATGTGTTGACATCATCAGCAGACTTTGGTAGGAATGTCATTCTGACAGAACAGCAGCAGGTTCTGCTGAGTGGAATGCTTGTGCCTGGAGTCACAGCAAACCAAGCAATTCAGATAAACATGTCACATGATGCTAATACATGTATTGATGTGAATGAAATTGCCCAGGACAATCAGGTTTGAAAGTGAAACTCCTCTGTGTAAAAACCACTCCTTTATTGAACAATTAACTCACACTACATCTTTCTGAGCCACTTTTAAGGATTTGATGTAGATCCCCTGTTGATAAGATTTACTTGTAATGACTAAGTGGGGAACTGGAAGGGAAATTGAAAGTATTTAACCCTTTCACTCCCACAAGTGACCAAGACAGAATTTCTCCTTACAATATCAATACAATATCAAGCAGGCAGATGATGAGAATAGAGAAGAATATCAATCATGGGATTATTAGTTGATCCAATACCAAATTCTCTGAACTAACATCATAAGAATTGTATGGCAGATAGTAAGGAGAATTACTAATTAGATCTTGGGAGTGAAAGGGTTAGTATAGACCTTGCTGTGCTCAGTCTGTATGTCATGACAAGCACAAAATATTCTCCTGTTAAGCCTGACCTTACTCAGTCTATAAACTTTTATCATATGACTGCCATTCTTTCTCGTTCTCCCTTTTTTTTTATGTATTTTGCAACTTGCAGGTCTGAACTTAGGGCTGTGTGGTTGTTTACAGTGCCACCTGCACTATTACATACAACACTTGCAATGGGATTTTTTCCATGTTTTTTTTTTCTACAAAGCATGTAAGGTGTCATGTGGTTGACAGAATAAGTTTTTATTAACTGTCATTACTAGTGGGTGACCAAAACAGAAATGCATAGCAGACAGGGGAGAAAATTGATGTTCAGACAAAGGGAGTAAGAAGGTTATACCCATCAGAAGAATTTGAATACTTATCAGTTTTTTTTTCTCTTTGTTGTCAATAGGAGGATGAGTGTGTTGATGGGAAGGGGCACCTTTGTCCTCATCCTGGCTGTAATAAAGTCTGTGCCAAAGCTTACAAACTGAAGCTGCATATGCTGTCGCATACAGGGGAAAGGCCTTACAAGGTACAATAAACATTAGTCTGTTTTAGTTTCTGGTCCAGCTTGCTTATGAGTACTAGGGTGCTGCTTGGTACATAACTCTCTAACACTTGAACTCCCATGTGAGTGACCAAGACAGAATTTCTCCGTACAATTTCAATATTATATCAAGCAGACAGTTGATGAGAGTAAAACAAAAACCAATTAGAGGATTGTAAGATGATCCAATAGCAAATTCTCCAAAGTAAAAACATGAGATTTGTATGGAGACAGTAAGGAGAATTACTTATGAGATCTTAAGAGTGAAAGGGTTAAGATAGGACATTAGACCAGCGCACAATCCAAATGATCCTAGCCTAGTTAGGGTCAAGTCAGAGCCTTTTAATCTAGACTCAAACAAATACACCATTAGGTAGATGCATGCCTTATTTCAGATAAAAATTGGCTTGAATCTCATGTCAGACTCCAATCTCTTTATTCCACACTTGACTTATTCCACACTAACATGAATTGCTATTTTTTAAATGAATTGTACTAGCAATGTAAGTACATACACATACATGCACATGCTACGTTGAATATTATTTGTAGTTTTAATTTATTGGTTAATTTTGCCATTTTAGTGTCCTCATGAAGGATGTGAGTGGGCATTTACCACAGCATACAAATTAAAAAGGCATGCCAGAGGCCATACTGGAGAAAAACCTTTCCTGGTAAGACTGGTGAAAGACAATTTTTTTTTTGTCGTTATTCCGTGAAAGTTTTTGAAATGTCACTCTTTGAAAATTTGTAATTATTTCATCAGATAACCCTAAAATGTTTCACACTAACAGAGACGAAATGTTGCTGAACTAGAAAATTTTCGAACAAAGAGCAGAAAACAAAACAGCAGTCTTGTTTCAATTACAAAGCAGACAGCTGCATCCCTGTAGCAACTACCAGTACAGGTTTATTAACTGCATCCCTGTAGCAATTACCAGTAAAGGTTCATTAACATCATGACAGCAGCTGACCTGTATCATTGGCTCTCTCACTCAAGTCACCTACTGCGGTAGCTTGCCATAAATCTGTTCATAATATTTCTCATAACTTGGCATAATTTTTGTTTCTATGTTACAGTGTACTCATGAAGGATGTGGAAAATGCTTTACCACTGCTTACAACTTAAAAACACATATGAGGGCGCACTGCAGGACAGACACATTCATGTGTGGTTTTGAAGGATGTGAAAAGACGTTTCCAACGGAGCATAAGTTAAAAGTACATGAAAGGAAACATGCCGCCGAATACAAACCTTACAGGTGTGAGGTGGAATCATGTGGCAAGATGTTCGCTGCTTTTAGTGCTTTGACCTCACACATGAGAATTCACACAGGCGAAAAATCTCATGGATGTCCTGTAGAGGGATGCGAGAAAAGATTTACTAAAGCATCCAAGTTAAAGTTACACTTGAGGTCACACACAGGAGAGAGACCCTTTCCTTGTGAAGTTCAGGTACAGTTTACCTCTCTTGTTGTTCGAAGGTTGGATAATGCTATCTACTGGATAAATCTCTATCCATTGGGTAGAGCATTACGCTTTGCTATGTCTTATCTGGTGGATAGCAATTTATCTATTGGACACATAGCGTTTTCTGTCCTTGATACAACTGGGCCCAGTGCTCCTCTTTTTCTCCACAGTTCTAGATAATTTTGAGCCAAGTTTGATCCCAATGCACTGACTGTTAGTGGACCACACGCACACTAGATATCCAACACAATTTTTTTTTTAATTTATCCCTTTATCTCTAAAGGGTTGTGGCTGGTCATTCACAAGTGCCTACAAACTCAAGAGACATATGCGCAAACATACTGGGGAGAGACCTTTTGTGTGCAATTATGAAGGATGTGGTAAATCTTTCACAAGATCAAGTCATCTGAAGACTCACAAGCTTGTTCATACAGGAGAAAAACCTTACATTTGCCCGTTTGATGGTAGGAAACGTTTCAATGAATTATTAAGAGGGATAGAGATAGGCCAAGAAATGGCACTCTGACTTTAGGCTGCATCCCTATGCGAGGTCTTGAGACAGTGTGTCTCAGCGTATATAATTTTACCATGGATATCCCGCTTTGTATGGAATCTTATATGGTAAAGGGCTAACGCTAAAAGAATCAATTTTAGAAACTCTTTACGGTGGCTAAGTTGCATTATCAACTCGTTCGATAACCAGATTATCTTGTCATTATCTTGATTATCTTGTTGGCATTGGTATTGTTGTTCAACAAATATCATGTCTGATCCACAATGAGTACACGCTGTGTTCAACCGACATTCACCTTAACGTTCATTTCATATTTATCTATTTATTTTAATTTTTTGTTCCGTTTAAAGGATGCAGCAAGGCGTTCACAGCTAGCAGCAGCCTGAATGTGCATATTTGTAAGCACACTGGCCAAAAGCCATTCAAATGTAACACAGAAGGCTGCAGTAAGACATACACAACGGCTGCTAACTTAAGAGCGCACCAGAAACGGCATGGAAACAAGGCACTAAGAGGTAGGGTGATGAGCTTTCTTGCCAAGAAAAAACGTAAACGGGTAACGTAAAAATGGACGTTCGCAAACTGGGAGGAATTACAGGCAGGTTGGGATCTTTTTAACGGAAAGCCTCAGCTTAAAACATCTTCGACTTCTAAATATTATTTTATTTGAATACAAACACGAAAGAGGAGATAATGAACCAACTAGGAACAAAGATGACAACGGGTGGGTGGAAAAAAAAAACAAGTGACAAACTTAAAAAATCAAAATATGATACTCTTTAATAGATGAGCATATTTCCAACTTCAGCAATTTCTCTATCATGGATATTCCTTAAGGTGATTCCTCAGAAAAAAAATTATCGCACAGTTTTTTTTAAAACTTTTAAACTTTCCTTAAATGTTACCTAACAATGTCTGTTTCGAAAAATACAATAAAAAGATAGATCACCGTGCATGTTTAAGAGATATATTGGGCCAAACTTACCCCATTTATACCTGTAATCACGCGCGTCATTTCATCGCTTAACGATACGTTTTGCTCCAGCTGGAAGCAAGGGTTTTTAAAGTAGCACTCGAAAAAGACTTGATAGGTAGAAAGTCTCGAGGGTATGGAACAATTTGATATATAATTTGTGGGAAAATTACGCAAATTTAAACGACATGCATGTTATACATCCTTTGAAGGAAGCATAACGCAATATTTCACTTCCCACAGTCAGGTTATCTTTTGGAAAAAGGTGATACAGCGTTCTTCTTGGAACTAACTTAAACAGTAATGATTATTCGCAAATAAAATCAAAATGATTTCAATGATAATACTTTTTAAAGACGTATTTTGGCATGACTCGTGCCATCGTCAGGTTATTGTGGCATTAGTCATGCCGAAACAGTTTGTCTTTTAAAAGTATTATCGTGAGTTTGAAATTTAATGCGATTTTCACAAAGTTACGGAAGTATCTGCAAGACTTTTCCAAAATGTCAGATAGCAGGCACCCAAAACCTTTTTTTTCTGCAAAGTGAACTTATCTAGGTTAACAATCACTATTCACTTAACTTTTCTTCAGCTCTCTTTTTCTCTTCTCAGTTGTTTTTTATCTTCCCTTCTCTGGAAACGAGGGAAAACAGATCCATAGAACTAGTTTCCTATCTGCTACGCCATCTTTGTGGTCTCCTTTGAATGGATTTTCCTCCTTCTCAAACTTGTATGTTGTTATTACCTTGCAGTTGATTTCACAGACTCGTCTCAGGGTGCTTTGGCAGCTGATCTCAGTGCAGTTAGCTGTGGAAGCATTTCGAGTGAAACCGAACCAGAAGTCTTGTATACTACAATCGGCGCTTTTCATTCAAGTAATTTTAGCTTAGAGGATGCCACGAGACTTTCATCTGTAGGTGTCCATTTACCATCGAGCGCCCTGTGTGCCCTGGTTACTTCCACAGGGCACCCACTCGTCTCACCTACCACCGAAGTAGTCCTGGAAACTGAGAAGAAGCATGCAGATGACGGAGAGATAAAAACAATTTCAGGAATCCAAGTACCCGTTCAACAAGAGCAGTTTGTTACTGAGGGTTTAGAGAGCACCTCCAAGATAGATGTGTCTGAGTTTGTGGGAAGAAGCACAAATGATGATCAAGACTCTATTTCTCATCATCCTGTCCAAGCAAGAGCTGAAATGATTGGAGGAACAGTTTTGGAAGGAAACAAGCTCACTGGCGGGTTTGACTTGTGTATAACCAGCATGATGAGTCATATAACGAGTGAGGCAGGTCAGGAAGGATCAGGAACTACCACAAAAACTTTACATGCTAGTGCCTCAAGTAAAAGATCGCGAAGTCTTGATTTCAGAGATGTGCACCCGGAGGACCAGTTTGCCCCACCTGCTGTTATATTTCAGGTTAGTTATCTTTTCTCGCCGTTCTTTATAAAGCACTTTTCGATTGAGTGTCGTAAAACCAGAACCAAAGTGATCACAACGGCCAGTCAGAATAAAAAATTATATAACCAGAGCCAAGTTCGAGCTTGAAGTGAAAACATGTAAATTTCTTGAAGCGCGGGAAAACGCCAATGATAAAGTCGGGATTCTTTTTAGTTTTGCATTGGTGGAGAGGGTTGCACGTATTTTGTGAACCAATCACAGGGAAAAGTAAAGCAAACCAAAGCAATTCCAAATCCATTTCGACGCTCATTTGAAAACTTGCCCCATTTCTGAGTATGATTGATGTAGCTCGAAAGGTTTCCGGATTTCTATTCTCGAATAAACGTGCGGAACGCTTCGAGGAATTTTGGACAGAAGAATTTTGTAACACCCAGGTACTAATATCAACCACTCTCAATTGTGTTCAATTTTGTTTTTATTTATTTTACTTTTGTTATTTATTTATTTATTTTTCATTCTCATTGAGAATACAATAAGCAATCATAGGATGAGGTTGCGCAGGATATCGTAAATTATAAAAACCGAGGTCTGAGTTATCTGCCGAAGCAAATAGCTGTCCATTCGTAGAATGGAATTTTCCATGGCGGAACTTAGAATGTTTTCCTTTCGGTTAGAAGTCAATACGGACATCCGATGATAGAACAATGTATTCCTCATTGCTTGGTTTCTTTCTTTAGGATGAAGTCAAGTCTTCAGACACCGAGAATGAAGCTGAGGTATTGGTGGCCCAAATCCAACGATCCCCGGAGGGTGTTTCCACAGTACGACTCCCTAAGGAGTCGCTGCAGATCAATTTACCCCAGGGGTTAATAACTGACCCGGCGGCGGTAACTATGGTTCATATGTCTGGTACAGAACACATGGAGGTAGACGGCAATGATACCACAGGTCATGTAACAGCACACGATGTGTCCTCGGATATTTCTCTAGTACCCATTTCTTCTCTCACAGATGTAGCTGATGAAAGAAGAAGTCTTGGAAAAGGGGACCTGTCCCCTTATTTGGACAACCACAGCTCGTCAGAACAAGATGAAGGCAACGGTGATACTTACCCAGAAAGTACAATTAACTTACAAGATCTGCGTTGATAAAGAAAGGAGGAAAATGTGAAAGAAAAGCAGCACCTAATTAAACTAATGCAAATAAATTTTGATACTAAATAAATAAATGTACAGAATTCCAATATATAATACGTGGTTATTTGAGTAGAAATAACTTATTTTAACACAGTTTCTGAAGAAACTTTTTTGTCACAAGAGAGAATTTTCAGTGCTGGAACAAATTTTTTGGCGTTGCTTCTCGAGGGGATCATAGTGAACTGCGATATCACCGAGGTACTTTTGGGCGGGTGCAAAACGGTTATCCTCACTTCAACAGAGCTTTCACTGCATCCTCAGTCCCACTGGCTTAAACCTGAAAGCTTACTAATACGATTCGGCTTATCAACCTATTCAAGTTACACATTCACTAGGTCATTCTATTATTCATTCAGGTGATACGTCAAATTAAGACTGAGTAGGAGAATCATTAGGCGAAAGTCACATCGACAAAAACTCTTGTCTTTGCGATCGCTGCAACAAGTCGCACTTATTTGACCCCTGGTGTTTCCTCATCTGACCAACCAGGAAGTGCGCACAAACTATTTTAAATAGCTATTTGTTATACTGTTAAGGCGGTATAACGGTAGACACTAATCTTGGTCCTCGCCATACGCGCTTCTGTGACGGCTGTCACTCAATAGAACTTGGTCACTGCTAAATCAGCTAAATCAGCCAAACTTTGCAGAAAAAATGTTAAAAGTCAAATTATTTTTCCCTCGATGGTGCTACCCTGTTTAATCCGAATCAGAAACAGAGGATACAATGTATATGCTTTACGGGTAACACACTCAATAATTTTTTCACTATCGTTCGACCGCGAGAAAGCCTGGAAACTAGTTGCCTTGCTATATGTGTCGTGTAAAAATAACACGATGTCGCGTTTCAACAGAATAGGACTCTTCGCGACGAGAATATAAAGCACTTTCTCGCTTCAAGCCACAGTTTATTAAAAAAAGAAGTACTTTGGCTCGTCATAATGGGGTCTGAAGTTGATTGTTCCGGAGTATCGAGAGCAGTTTGGCTTGTGAAGGTAAAGTTGGTATAATTTAAACACTTTCAGACTTGTGAAGAAATCTTGTTTTCCATGTGACATCAAGGGCAGATCATTTGACATCATAACATCATTTTAATGTGATATACTTACTGGAATAATGGTTTTCTTTGTTCAGGTACCAAAATATCTGTCTAATATTTGGATGGACAACACTGATGCTTCTGGAATCGTGGGGAGTCTTCAGATAAACAAGTAAGATGGCAACTTCCGGCCGGTTCATTTTTCAAGAGGAACGTTTAAATTGATTCAATTCAACTTAAGATGATTCACATTTAAATGTTGCCTATTCTAGTGATTATTTGATAGAAATCGATACTCTACTTTAAACGGTATAGACTTTGATATCTTGGGGATCACAAAATATTCAATCAAACAAATATTTCAAAAACAGTATTTGAAGAAAATTAGTTTTGTATTTTAATTAGTATAATTCAGTTGTAGAACGCACATCATGTGATAAGATGAATTACGCACTCATTTTAAGTGGTTGTTGTTACATGATCAATTGAAGCACAGATGCCTAGATCACCACCCTATTAATAATACTTTACCTCTTTATTATATAAAGTAAATAGATTCTATATTGCCGTGAGTCTGTACTGAAATAGATCACGGTAAACAGGTGGCTGCCCTTCACATGCCATGAATTTGTTCTCACTGCCTTTTCATGTCACCTGTGATCTATTGCTGAACAAACATACAAGAACATGGAATCTATTTGCTAAATGAGACATGCCAATGATACAAAAATTGATTAATATTTGTTACTCACAACATATTCCTTTGAAAATTGGTATCTATTTCTTACAAAATTCTTTATTTCTCTCAAAAGTTATTGATCATAGATTTTGTCAGTTGAGCATTTCCTGAATTAACTTTTTGATTACATTTACAACATAATAAATCTTGCTTTAAAGCCTATAAACTGCTTCTTTTATCAACAGCAATCCTCAGAGAAATGAGGTATGTGGTAGATTATCCATGTTCTAGTTTTTCTAGCATGTGATATTATGTACCAATAAAAAATTAGGTAATGATTATAATGATTATTTTATAAAAATGTCAAGGAAGCTCTCATCTTGTGAATGAGTTTTAGAAGTCTGGCAAATGGTATGAATATGGGTAATTATTAAAAGAGGTTTTAAGTAATGTGCTAAATATCTGCATTCACATTCAAAGGATCTTTCCTCTTTATGTCCCAATCCCCCTCAGGTTACCCCCTTCTCAGTCCTCTGTTCCCTTGGGAGTAAAGAAAGGGAGGGACCCAGTAAATGAGGTTGACATGTATGTTAGGCCAGATTCCAGAAAAAAGATGAGCACTAGTAACTGATGTATTGAATACTTATCAGAATACAAACGATTAATCTTCAAATCCAAAGTCATCTTAAAAGCATGAATATGTTTTTATATATCTTTGTGTCCTCCCACATTGTTGGTGAGGGAAAAGCTAATCAGTAATTTTTTTTTAACTAGTTTGGTTGCATATTTCAGGTGGCATTTAATCTGTCAGATGCATTGGCAAATAAAGAAGACAACTCCAACAAAGATGGCCAAGACAGTACAAATAAAGACGGAATAGACAGCTTCAAGGTTCCCAGGGAGTACAAGATGGTTTTATCTAAAGTCGAACAATCAATGGGAGTGTTTTCAGAAGGACCAGGAGGTTATATTTTAAGATAGAATGCAAAATGTCCTCATGACCCCTCACCCCCAAGATCTAAAAACCAACTCTGTGCAGTTTGGTGGATATTTCTTTTTAATTTTTGTATTTAAAAATTTGGTGTCCGGGAAGCCACATGACATGAGTATTGTTGATTGGCAGAAGTCAAAGTTCAAATGAAGCAATAACAATCATTTCTGATAAATGCTCGCATGTTTAAATTGTACATTATTTTTCCATCAATGCTCAGACACTCTAAAATGTTCTCATCTATTCATTCAAAATAATGTAATTCTATGGTCAAATACGGAGGCGTGGTGGCCTCATGGTTATTGCGCTCAACTCCTGATCAAGTGGTCCGAGTTCAAGCCTTGGCCAGGGTCATTGTGTTGTGTTCTTAGGCAAGACACTTGACTCTCACAGTGCTTCTCTTTCCCCAGGTGTACAAATGAGTACTAGCAAATATGCTGGGGGTAACCCTGCGATGGACTAGCATCCCATCCAGGGGGGAGTAGCAATACTCCTAGCCACTTCATGCTAAGGAAATCAGAGTTAAGCACTGGCCCCATTGGCCACCTAGGCCTGTATAAAGGCTTTACTTTACTTTTTTACTATGGTCAAATATTGCCTTTCTTTCTCTTAGCCTCAGTGGAAGATGATGAAGAAGAAAAAAAACCTAAAAAAAGTGAGTAACAACATTGTCTTAAATATCCTGGGTGTTTAATGATGTTTCAGTTGATCATGAATGATAAACCAATTAATACCGAGGCTATTGAACCCTCAAACTCCCAGAAGTGACAAACATGTAACTTTTCCCTATAATATCCATACATTATCCAGCAAACAGGTAATAAGCATACTCAAACTTATCAGGTAGAAATTGTAATCTTGTTCTAACACCAAATTTTTATAACCAATTTACAAGGAAATGTGAAGCAGCTAAAGGGGAGAATTAGCAATCAGATCTTGGGAGTTAAAAGGTTAACCCTTTAACTCCCAGAAGTGATTAACATAAAACTTCTCCCTACAATATTCATACATTCTTCAGCAAACAGGTAATCAGAATATTAAAACTTAAATCAGGTAGAAGCTGCTATCTTGATCTAGCACCAAGTTCTCATAACTAATTTACAAGGAAATGTGTAGCAGCTACAGGGGGAGAATTAACAATCAGATCTTGGGAGCTAAAGGGTTAAAAGACTTAAAAAAAAGTCTTTAAAACAGTCTCTTGAAAGTTAAACAAGAAAAAGATCTGGGCCCAGTTTTTCAAAAAAGAGATTAAGCTTAAAAAAATTTTAATCTTTTCTATACTTCTTTGTTCAGTCTTTTCTCTACTTCAAAATTGTTGACAAAAAGAATTAAACAAAACTTCCAGAAAAATTTCACACTAACCCTGGTTTATCTAAACCCAGCTTTGAACAACCCAGCCCTGGTCTGTCATCACAACCTTGGGATTCCACACTCTCTTTTGTCCATCATTGGGACAGTCAAGGAAAAACTATCTTTCTGTAAAAATTCCGAGTTTGTGTTTGATTAACTTCCAACAGCCAGCACCTTAGCTATTGATTATCACATTGCACTTATTTTTCTGCAGGTCAGGTCACTATTGAAGGAGTAGTTGTACAGAAAGCTGACTGTCGGCCAATTCAGCCTAGTGCTGACTACCTGAGTTTGAAAAAGTAAGCACTTTTACCACATGCATAGATGTGTGTGGTTAAACAGTTTAATTCCAACATTTGTGGTCCATAACTTTGTGGACAGAGTTACTATTGGCTCCTTGTGATTTTCCCTTTATTCTTATTGGCCACTGCAAGTAGTAACTTAATAGTTTCAAATTGTAACACTCAATCACTAAGAACTCCTACTAGAGGAAAAGGTTACCCACATGTTATTGTAACAAAAGAGTCCTGTATAGTCATTATGAGTCATGATTGCAACATTGTTGTGCTATTTTTTTTTACTTATTTACCAGGAAGGCAATTGTTAATAAAAGTAAATCAGGACGGCAAGCCAAAATGGTTGACCGTGTTATTAAATATCGTCCAGTGTCTGACCACAAGGCTAATGTAAGTACTCTGATTTTTTCAAAATTTCTTTTTAATCACAATGGTATGTGTACACTTTGCAATACTATACATGCTCATGATATACTAGAGTGAAAGAGTAAGAGTTGTATCTCAGGTTATCCTTGCAACTTGGAAACAAGTCTCAAATCACTTTTTTTTTTTTCCACTGATCAAATTTTTTACGCAATTTTCTCAGACTCACTTCTTTTTGGAAGAACTATTCAATGTTCTCCAGTCTGCCTATTCAAAGTTGTAACGTTCCCTTTCCTCACAGATTGAACACGAAAAGAAGAAGAAAGAAGAAGGAAAAAGAGCTCGAGAAGATGAAGATGTTGTCAAAGCGTTGCTTTTCAATGCATTTGAAAGACATCAATACTATAACTTGAAGGACCTCATAACTATCACAAAACAACCAGTGGTGAGTGACTAAAAATAAATTTCTCCTCACAATACTCACACATTTTCAAGTAAAAGTCTCAAAACAAAAGTGATGAGAAATGCATGGAGAATAGTGTAGAGAATTGATATTTTAATCTGGGGAGTGAAAGGGTTCAAGACATTTTGGTCAGGAATTATTATGGTATGAAACGTGCAAAACAGTTTCCCACCAAGGCTCTGAGGGAAATTGGAAAGGGGGGTGGGAAGGGTGGGAAGGGTGGGAAGGGTGGGAAGTGTGGGAAGGGTGGGAAGGGTGGGAAGGGTGGGCAGTGTGGGAAGGGTGGGAAGGGTGGGAAGGGTGGGAAGGGTGGGAAGGGTGGGAAGGGTGGGAAGGGTAGGAAGGGTGGGAAGGTAGGTCATTTGCGTCATTATGTTTTTGAACTCCTGATTTAGATGTCAGGGATTGGTTGTTCAAAGCTTGGTTAGAATGACCCAAGGATTGGTTTGAAATCTAATTTCAGATCTGAAAGCTTTAAGAAAAAAATTCAGCATAATTCCTCTTTTCTCTGGAATGTGATTATTGGATGCTCTAAACTGAATGGAGAAAATTATCCCACAAAGGCTTTTGAGCAAAGGAATAGAGAAACCCAGATTAAAATCTGACCCTAGGTTAATGCTAATCAGCCTTCAAATAACTAGACCCTGGAATCAATGATACGTCTTCATTATTTTGTTTTTATTAGAAGTATTTTTATTATTATCAATCAATGTCAGTATCTGAGTAACTCCACCCACCCCTCCCCCCCTCCCCTAACCCAACAACAGTCAACTGTTAACAGACAGAAGTTAATGTTGGTTTAAGGGGGGGGGAAGGTGGACACTCTCTCAAATAATGAAATTGATTCATCATCATCATTATTATTATTATTATTATTATTATTATCATTGTTATTATTACAATTTCGTTAATGACGTTCACTTTTTTTGTTCTGCTTTTTGTTATGGTTGGATGGTTTTTACCATCAGTAACACAAGTAACGTTTATTTTCATGTCTGAAGAATGTCTACCCCTTACTTAATCGCAAGTGCAACTATTTTGGAGATGACTTTTAACCCGGTTAAAAATTGTTCCTTGTTACTGATCTGACAAGAACCGATCTCCTTGTTCTTGTAGGCATATCTAAAGAGTATATTGAAAGAGATTGGACATTATAACACGAAAAATCCTCACAAAAATATGTGGGAGTTAAAGCCTGAGTACAGACATTACAGCAACAAGAACAGCGATGATAATGGAAAGGAAGGAACAAGTTCGTAAACAAATTTAGCCATTTAGACTCACGTGCAAGCGACAAGAGGTGAGGGCCCCAACAGCGTAGATGCAACGGGATCTGAAAAAAGCTCAAGAGACATCTGAAGTATGGGCAGTTGTTTTCCGTTGCAGGCCTTGTCTACGCAGTTTTTATATTTTGAAAACGCAACACAAGTTTTCCGTTTTCACAGGAAAACGGATTTTTAAAACGTTATTGTCAACTCTCCAGTGAGCCCACCGGCGGCTCGAACGCTTGAATGTACCTTCGAGCATGCCCACAACGATCATCTAATTCTCCCTGGAATCATTACAAAGAGCAGGGACTTTCGTAATTTCAGAACGTGCCGTTTTCAGTGGATAATTTGTCCAGTTTAGTCTAGGCAATACGGCCAACCGAATAAAAATAAAGATGTGTTTTCAGATGTTTTATTTGCAGCGGATTCAACGACATCGTATCCAATAGAAGAAAGAGGGAAAGTTTCTGTGGTGGTGTGTCGGTGGGGGGTTTTATTTAATTTTATCAAGGGACATGATAATTAAGACTGGCCAAGAGTTGGTAAAGAGTTTTTAAAGCTGACGTTTTGAGCGATTTCCACTCGTCAGAGTGAATGATTGCATCCATAGATTCACTTTGCGAATATCTCCCATTATATTTCAGACAGCCTTATAATCAGCGCCTCTTGAGCGCACGTGCAGTTGACTCGCTTTCTCGCCTAAAATGTTGCTTTACCTTCTAGAAAGCGTTTGACAAATGACTCTCGATTCTGATCCACATTGATGAAGGATTCTCAAGGCCTTGTGGTTTTGATATTGTGTTACAACTGTGTACAAATTATGTACACTGCGAATTGTGGATCACTTTGCTAAGATAGTCAAACTCTTACAAGGAAACAATAAACTAAGTTCGAATTACAATGACCACAATTGGTGAAAAAGGTTAAAATATTTTAAATCAATTACCTTGACTTCATTGTAAAGTGTCTAATGACGCAAATTATCGATAAATTCACAGTTTTATACAGCTTTAGTTAGTACTACTTTTGAATATACGACTTAACTACTAGAACAACAGTAACGGACTCCTCTATTGTCTGTCTCATTTCATCTTTCAGCAGTAAATCTAGAGGAACGGGTTTAGACTTAAATTTAGGAACGCAAGGGATGCGTTGCATCTTAAAGCAACCTTACCTGATACGTCACTGAGGGAGAAAAGAAATACTAAAGGTCTCACTAAAGCTTGTGGAAGATAACATACGACCATAATATGTAGACTGACGGTGCTACACATACAGTTCTAAAGTACTTTGCTATGTTAAGTAGAGTTCCAACTTCGTTTCGCTGCTCTTGAAGATTACCTTGTATGTGAACTTGATGACTGCAAGGGTTTAGAAAGATCTTTATGTAGCAACAAGCCCATATTGTTCAACAGATTATGACATTTAGAGGTACACCTTTTGAAACCACTATGAAATTTTTTTCTGTCCGAATGCTATCCAAAAGAGATAAAGCCACCCATAGGAACCAAAAACTGCGTGAAACTTTACTGACTCGCCTCAGTGTTACAGCCTGTCTGTGTCTCAGGCCAAGCGAGAAGTCTGCCCACGCTAATTGCGGTAACTGTCATTAAGGACACCCCACTGAAAACTTAAGCTGTGAGGCGTTCTGATCTTTGAATTTTGGTTAACATTTGCAGCTGCTCGTTTATGTGGGAAGTTAACATGGCGGCAAACATAAGCTAAGTAATGAGCATGATGGCGGATGAAGGGAAGACTCCTTGTGAGGAGCAATGAGGACCAGGACCTTTCCTAACGACGTAGGGATGAACAGGAAAAATTTCGGCGCTGCCGAAGATATAACGTGGCCTCGCAAGTCATATATATCAGGAGAAAATATATTACGCCCTCGTACAGCATGTGCTCTTCATTTCTAGAGGGGTTCGTCTTTCTCGCAGTTTCAAAATAGTAAATTTTACATGTTTTGTTATTCAGTGCTGCAAATATAGTTTTTTAGTATTTTGCTATGTTTAGAAACACCTCTTGCGTTTGGCTCTCCTGGGTTAGGCTGGCTTTGTCTAACAGCTTGATAATGGCTGAGGCGAAACAGATTCTCGTGTAAGTATAAACAGAATTGAATTATCAAGCAGAGAGCGGTTACCATTGTCATTACGACTCCGAAGACGAATTCCCACAGGCGTTACCTCCACTCAATAACCAACAGCGGCTTAAAACTGTACCAACTCGCCTCATCGTCACAATTTGTTTGTACCTCAGGCCCAGCGACAGAACGAGAGGTCAGCCGACACTTACTGCGGTTGCTGTCATTAGAGATAATGTAAAGAGTGAATGTAAAACATCCGTAAGGGTCATATAGTAGTTTACCAAAGGCTGCCAGATAGGCTGACTTATAGAACGCGCTATATGTGTATATTTAGATGGTTGTGTAAATTTTCATTTGCATTTGTTATCATGACACTCGTCGCACGTCTCTCCCCAATTATAGTCATTACAGTTTCCCGAACCTCTCACAGTCTGGTATTCTGGGGGCACCGCTTACGTTTCGAGGAAGTACTCGTCATTGCTTTGCGTTTTTGACAACATTTAGTCTCAGTCACCTTGATGATCCAACCGGTTTCGGAGCTTTTAGAGCTATGCAATTAAATTCGTTCTTTTCCTGTGTATATCGTGCAAATCATGAGGGTAACGTCTTTTTAGCTAAATTTGAATTATTTTCGAGAAATTAGTCTCTAATAACATGGTCTGGTTGACTGTGTAGGAGGGCTGGACGAGGGAGCATTTGGCTGAGGGTCATGACGTACGGACTGAGCGCTGCGAGATATGTGCATCATCATGATGAACGGGAGCCAAATATTTAATAGGACACTATAGAGCAGCGCAAGCCAACCACAAAAAAGATTCCACAAGAAAAGAAAACTTTTCCTTTTATTTTTCCGAGTCAAAACACGAAACTCACTATTCGTCGAAAAACTTGACTTTTCAGTTTTCTTACGTCTGTTATCCTTCACGTTTTCTTCTTTTAGCAACAAAGGCGTACTAGAGGAGGAGGAGGCTGCAGGCCTCAACGAAAATTTTCAAAGTCCTATCCTCAACGGACAGGTTTCCAAATCCGCTGATTTCCCAAATAATCATCGCTATAAAAGGCCGTGACTTGCGAGAAAAGGCAAAACAAAAAAAAAAAACTTTCAATTTGTCTGAAATAAATTCAGACGCAGGTAATTTGGGGTCTATTTTCTCTGTTGTGTTAATAGTTGTATGCAAATTAAGATGCATTGGTGATCACTGCCGTTCCTCTGTCACTAACCAAATCAAAATTATTCGTTTACCATTAGTCTTCTCCAAATTATCATCCCAAATAATTTTAATACGTAAGGCAAACCGAACTCTATTTTATTTCGAGAGACCCTAACCAAACAAATTTTTCATTCTTTGTTCTTCGCTGATTAAGAAAAAAAAACTTTGAACAAAGACAAAAGGGTCCTTTCTGAATGGGCTTTCACGAAGGCATAACAACGATCGCTCTTTGTTCGGCTGTTATCTTGGGTGTGGGAGTACGTGATAAAATGCAGGTTGTTTACGATTAAAAAAAAAAAAATTGACGCGTGACTTGGCTAAGTACAAACTGGCTAAAAACGAATTTAAAAAACATCCAAGCATTTGAAAATTTCGGCATGTACTAAAACCCGAAACAGCAAAACGAAACGACTGAAACGAAACAAGCGAAACAGGCGAAACAAGCTAAGCGACTAAAGCGAAACGACCGTAACGACCAAAACGAAACGACCGTTATGACCAAAACAAAACCACTGCAAAGATGGAGACGAGTGGAGGATGAAATGTCACGCGCGGAATATGTAGACTTCACTTCAGATATTCTCTCGCATATTAAGGCCATCTCACGAAACTTTATATTTTCCTCCTCGCGAGCAGTTGAAATTATTATTTGACACTTCTATGTAGCTTCCAGGACGGAACGCCAGCCGTATCGAATACCAAGCGTTTACGGAAAGGAGACGAAGAAACAGATAACGATATTCAGTGACAGCCTCTATGTCCGTGATTGTTTTATTGATTTTTTTCAAGTTTCCTCGACGCGTTACGCCAAGCCAATGGCAATCGAGAGATAACTGAAATTCCCCGTGAGGTAGATCAGGAGAAGACTATAATAGCAACGAGACGAATATGACGGCTGAAACGTCTAGGCATTATTTTCGCTTGTTTCGTTTCGTTTTGCAGTTTCGGGTTTCAGAACATGCCGAGAATTTCGTGGAAAATTGAATAACAGTGGCATTTTTCGCTATGTAATTTTTCTAAATTGATGGAGTAGGATTATATATATCGTAAACTTTTTTGGTTGTCTACTGGGAAATGTCATGTAACGGGGCAAAGCCTAATCACTAGTGACAAGTACCCACGTACGCACGGACGACGGTCAAATGCCGGGGGGGGGGGGTCTATTGAAACTTCAAATTGTTCGGCGCATAATAGGATTGGTAATTAGAGTGGTTATCTCAGCGACCAATCAGAACATAGGTGAAAACGCAAATGGATTAGTCGCGACTGTTTCTAGTCTTGCATCTGATTGGGTAATTTAGTATTATCAACTGGGTTGATAAAGTAAATTGGCCACCGTAATGATTTTCCAACGTTGGCCCCTCCTTAGAGGCAATGGAGAATATTTTGTGTTTATCCGGAATCGTTAACAACTCTTTGGACTACCCAGAATTCCAAATTTTCAAACATCGGGGGAAAAAAACTGTTTAAATTAAAGTCCACGTACATCGTAATTTGTACGTCTTAATTTGCAAATGAGGGTTGCAGAGATCACCAGAGAATATTGGACCCGGAATCTAACAACTCTTTGGACTACCTTATTCCAACCAAACATCGGGGTAAAATAACAATTACAGAAGTCAACTGTCAAAAAAGGGAAAGCTACTTACAATTCTTTAAGGCGTTATTCCGGAGTCACAAGATTTTCCCTTGTATTTTAGTAAGGAAAACGCTTCTGACAATAAACAACGGCAGCTGAGAAAGATTGTTTTCCTTCCTCTCGTGCCCCGTCTCTCGGCGTCCTCTAGCAATGATCGACTAACCTAATAAAGGGGAACGAGGATTCCCGCCTTAACTCGAGTTAACTTCGTATCTGAAGAGTGCAAAACACATTGGACCACACGGACGAGTGGCTTGGGAACTAGGCTAACTTTGAACTCGACATGATAAATGCATAAAAATGCATAAAACGCCGAAGATATTGTATTTACCATGTTAACTTCACACGCTACTGTTTAACAAATAGAGAAGCCTTGACTGTGCTCTGTTCTGTTGTAAAGCACGCAGGAAGCGGCTAGAGCACGAAAGAAGTGTAGGGGGAAACACGAGACGTAGTCGAGTATTTCTCCCTACTTCTTGAGTGCTCTAGCCGCTTCCTAAGTGCTTTACAACAGAACAGAGCACAGTCAAGGCTTCTCTGTTTGTTTTATAGTAAAGAATCTATTAAATTCCCCAACAATTACTTTCAATTTTCAAAACAAATCTTATTTCCAAAGCAAACAACAGTGTCGTCAGCATGCTCTATACTCTCATAAAACACGCCACAATAAGCCAATCAGAATTCCTGTTAGAATGGTTCAAATAATCTGATTGGCTGTACAAGACTAAAGCTGTCAAAAATGTCAAACCATCAAAGTTCAAAAACCATCAAAGTTCATATTCTGCAATAGTTTACAAACTATAATAGCTCGGCATGTCGAATTTCACTTTTGCCTGAAGTTTTTTAGTTTCTAATACAGGATCTGAAAGTGAAATGTTCAGTTCAGTGAAATTCGGCCCAATCGTAGCTCACAAAAATACGCAAGTTATTTCACATGACAAGTAGAAAACAAACTGTTCAAGGCGAGTGTATTATAAATGAACAACAGCCGAATTCACTAAGACAAAAAGATCGCTCGGAATGACAGCGCCGTAAAACTCGGTTGCAGCGACTGATCTGGCCTTCCACTCAACGCATCGGAAAGGATATCAGAGCAAGCTCTTATTTTTTCACTCGAAGGGCGGCCGATGTAGTTTCTGAGGCTTGCTGTGATGACCGGAGATCGCCATGATGAGCGAGCCGCGATGGACTTCAGCATGATCGTATTCGGTCAGACACCGTCATGATTAGAATGAATTTTAACAATTATGCCAGTTTGGTTATATTTTTCATCATTTCTGTTTTGTTCTGTTTTGTTTTTGAACACTGAACTTTATATACTATACGAGTGTTAGCTGTGTTTGATTTTCATTGCTGTACGCGTAAGCTTGCAATCTAACTGAGCGTGAAAATCTTTAAAACTCGGAATGTTTATTTTGTTTTTCCTTTGAGGATTTTCGTATCTGCTCACGTTTTAATAACGTAAATTACAGCGCCTGGTATGTTTACAAACCTTTGTTTGATTCTTCTGTTGCTACTTGCCGGCTCGCTTCAGTTCCGAAATTTCACTTTCAATTATCGGAAAAAAGCTAAAAAGAAGTCCCGGAAAAGGTCGAACATAGTACAATTGGCAGATGGCGTGACAGCTGTAGCTCAGCTCTGTGCTCTATACTCTTATAGAGCACGCTCTTTCAACCAATGACAGTGCGCGTTATATCCGAACTTTATTGTAAATATTCACACCCTATGCAGAACGAAAAGAGACTGGGAGCGATCAACATGAAAACGAGGCTAGTTGGGCCTGGGTAAATAAAAATGGCCGCCTGATGTGAAGGGCGCCAGTTTTTGAAAATGCCGCAAAATTGTTGTGTTCCAAACTGTACCAAAAAGAATTACAGAACCGAAAACGGGGAGAAAATTTCTTACTTGAAGTTTCCAGACGACGTTATCGTCAAAAAACGTTGGCTCCATGCCATTCGTCGAGACGAAGGAAAAGCGTTTAGAGTCAACCAAAACACGAAGATCTGTTCTCGTCATTTAAGCCCGAGGACTTGGTTAAAGCTATTGGAGGTCAGCGTGTTTATGTAAAGGCAGGGGTAATTCCATCTCGATTTTCGTGGTCCAAAGGTTCTCCGAAAAAGCGAGCACCTCCTAAATGTCGCAATCTTTCGTCTACAACAGAGTGTTCAAACAAGGAGTTGCAATCATCTCAAAGTCAAACAACTGCAGATGCAGCTGAAGCAACTTCTGAAACCTGTACTTCATCAGCAGCTTTTAGTTATCATGATGTGGAAAACAGCTTAAGTTCGTGTGAAGATCAAACAGAAGAAGTTAAAAAACTTGAAGGAATTCGAGGTTTTGAACTTGAAAATGCGAAGTTAAAGGCTGAAATTAAAACGCCAGAGGAGCCTTAAAGATTCCCGCCTTTTTCAGATGCGCAATTTTACTACCGACGAGGACATTGCCTTTTATACGGGATTTCCTAATTTAGCAACATTTAATGTTGTGTTTGAATTTTTAAATACTGGATCGAAAGGGGAAAACATTAGGTACTGTTCATCAAAAGAAAGAACTGTCCAAAAGGAGTTTTACGATAGTGGAAACGAGGAACCAGAGGGATGTACTAGCATAGGTAGACGAAGAAGCTCAGAACCCAGAGAGGAGTTCTTCCTTGTTCTTTGCAGACTGAGAAGGGGATTTGCAGAAAAACATCTAGCTCACTTGTTTGGTATTTCGCAGTCGACAGTAAGCAGAACATTCCTTTCTTGGATAAATTACATGTATTTAAAATTTGGTCAAGTATCTATATGGTCTAATAGGGAGGTTATAAGAGCTACAATGCCTGACAGCTTTAAAGAGAAATACTCTTGCACCCGTGTAATAATCGATTGTACAGAAATTAGATGCCAAATGCCTTCCAGCCTTCTGTTGAATTCCAAATTGTTCAGCTCCTATAAGAACCATGTAACTCTAAAAGGCTTAGTTGGAATTGCTCCCAGTGGAGCTATAACTTTTATCAGTCAGCTATATAGTGGAAGCATTTCTGATCGCGAAATTGTTGAACGAAGTGGTTTCCTGAAGTTAGAATTTGACAATGGTGACACCGTGATGGCCGATAAAGGTTTTACAATTGAAGACCTACTCCCACTAGGAGTAACCCTAAACATTCCCCCCTTTTTAGGGTCTAATAGCCAAATTACAGCAGAAGATGTTATCAAGACTCAAGAAATTGCTTCTGTTAGAGTACACGTTGAACGGGCCATCAATAAAATCAAGAATTTTCACTTATGGGATAGTGTTGTACCCCTCAGTTTGTTTGGGGTAGTAAATCAAATGTGGAGTGTCTGTGCCTTTTTATGTAACATTCAGGACCCTCTTATTTCCACTTAACACTGAGTTAGGCAGAGCTCTGAGGCACAATACAGAATTTCAGTCAATTTAATAAATGTAAACCTGCTTATCCACCTCAGGTCAAATATTCTCTCAACCAACTAAAACTAAGAATGTGATTCGCTTGCTTTCAGTCCCAAACACACAAAAGATGTCAGCTTTTACGTGTAGTTCTAAAGATCTTAAAATCAAAGAATAAAGAAAGCTATCTTATTATACAGACCATGTTGGTTGATACTCTGTTTTAAACATATCAAGTTAGGTATGAGACACAAAATTTCTCTGTACTCGTTCCAAGATTAGATTAGGGTAGTTAACCCTTCTAATGGTTACTGAACTCCACAGAAGCTGGTGTTATGAAATGTTCAAAATAGCTCTTCTTTAGGCCTTCATTCAATACGTCCCAGAATTGAGGATCAGATGTGATCCTCTCTATCCTCATGCCTTTGTTATTATAGATAACAAAGTCACACCAACTTGCTCCTGTAATACCTAGTTGACCCTGTATCTGAAAGTAGTACTGGTGCCCCCTTTTTAGCCTCGGCTTTCCATTTACATTTTCTGCATAAAAAGTTTCATCGGCACATGCTTCTAAAGGACTCACATGAAATTTAGAGTAGGGACATTTCACCTCTACCAGCCCAAAAGGCTTGCTACAGCCTCAGTCAATGACCTTGCCATCTGGTGATGCTGCTAAAAAGGGAGAGGCCATACTGACAACAAGGCCACTTTTGAACACTGAAACTGGGTTCCTTGTTGAAAACATATATTTTTCATATTCTCTTAAGGCTACAGGCTCATAGGTTTTCGCATGTGCAGTTTGTTTGGAAGTGAATGGTTTGGGATGAAGCAGATTATTTACTAGAGTGTTATGATTCCTTTGCCTTTTTACAATTGTGTGGAAATTAGATGCTGTATACCGAAATTTCCTTTCAGCCTGCCATTCCTGTGAGGCTGCTTGTTCACTTGTTTTCTTCTCTATGGTATTAAGCTTTGCCTCATCAACAATCAAATGATCCAGGAGTGCTTCCTGGTTGCTGCTTAAATCATCTGGCTTTTCATACTGCTCAGATTGTTGCAAAGGGAATGGAGGATATACGGAAATACCATTTTGTTCATCATTACAGTCCACTCTAGGCACTGAGTCAATATTACAGAAAACTTGAAAATTAGACTCTGTGAACTGTAACTGGTAACTTGCATATGAGCCACTTGGACATTTTCCAAATTTTGTTTCCTGTAAGTTGGTACCACCAGTAAACATAATTTGAGACAAGGCAAACTTAGGGTTGATCTCTTGAAGCTTGTTTTTTAACAAAGCTTCATCAGATGCTTGTGTACCCAAATTTTTCCTAGCTTCATACATGTCTATATTCGACTTTTTTACCTCAAGTTCCATGACAGGTTGGGGCTTGATTTTATCTCCTCTTACAGGCCTGTGCCATAGTTGTAAACTTGAAGTGCATGCCTTAGCTTGTGTCATATCAGATTCATTTTCCAAGTCCTTAATATCTTGACAACAATACAAGCTGAACTTACAGAGTTTCATCATAACAGCAAGCACATGATTGCAAAAACCAACAGATCCTGCTACACATGTACACGAAGCATATTAACACCTCCACTCACTAAACAAAGTGCAACTTATAATTTGTGGGGTGGCTCATTTTTTTTAAAGCTATGATAACACAAGCATTTGAAATAGAAATATTGGTCATCACTTGCGCAAGTTAAGTCTTTCAGGTATTCATCATCAAGAAATGTTTTTGCCTTTTTCATGCTTGTTGGAACAGCATGGTTCTGTTTATTTCTGTCAAAGTTTTTTCCAGATTTAGAAATATGTAAATCCATCTCTGCCCTTGTGAATAATGGCATTCGTTGCAAACTTGTAGACCATCTGGCTGATGGAAATTTAACAGTACTTTCCTCAGGCATCGCATCACTTTGAGCGAGTTGTTCTTGTCTCGCCTTTCGACGCGTGTATATCAGATTTTTAGCGGGATCCATAACATCTTTATCACGACCAGACGCAACATATTCAAGAACTCTTCAAAATAAAAAGTAGAAAAACTATTAATCATTACATTTTTGAAACATTTCATCGAGAAAAATAACTCCTAAATCTTTTGATCTCCATTTACAATATCAAAGTCTCTTTTAATTCTAAAAAGTATCACGAACGACTGACAAATACTGTACTTACCTTTTCGACAATTGTGCCTTTGTTTTTAACCCCTTTGCAGGATCGCCACGACATTTTAACCAAAAGCGAAGTTCATCTGTTTTAAGAGCAGTCGGATTTCTTCCCTGAAGCGATGCTCCGGGGATATCTTCCTCCGTAAGACTCTGAGAAAGACGGCTACTTACAGAGCCATGAGCGGCCATATTTCTAACACGAGTAAACAAGGCTCAACTAGCCTCGTTTTCAAGTTGATCGCTCCCAGTCTCTTTTCGTTCTGCATAGGGTGATTAATCAGATTTTTCCATTTCTTTCCCATCACATGAATGCGAGGTTCTTACGTCACTAGCATGTGAACGTCAGCTTTCTACAAATTTGAATTCTCCATTTTGGATTGCAGAGCTTTCGTAACGACTGACTGTTGAAACCGTACACCGATTTTTTCCCTGGTTATTGGATGAAACATGTCCTGGCAAAGTTACGTGGACAACAGCCTCGTGGGTACAGGAAAAGTTCAGAAGGCAGCCATATTTGGCTTAGACGGTTCGCCTTGGGCCAGCAGCCCTGGATTCTCGGTAAGAAATCTGGTGAAATAAAAAGAGCAGGAATAGATTCAAAATCTCAAGCTTCAGTGATAACTTAACAGTTTTCTTACAGATGTGCAAATATGTTTGATAGGTATCTCAGCCAGAAGCACAAGAGATGATAAAGAGCCTTAAGGATGGTAGCGTCTCAGGCAAGAACATTGCTGGAACGAAATACATGATGCTGCGGAACGACAAGGACAAGAAAGCGGCGTACTTGAAAATGAAAGACAAAGGAGGCTTTTGCGCGTGTTTGACCAACAAGGCTCTCATTATTGGTGGCTACGATGAGAGTGCTGGCGGTGCTGGAAATTGCAATCAGTGTGTGGAAACCGTAGCAGAACATCTCATTGCTTCAGGATTTTAATGTTTGAGTAGAACCTTAAAACACAATCTAAGAACACATATAGTGGTATTTGGTAATGGTTTGTGTGTTCCTATGACCTTAGCTCAGAAATTTACACACGTTTAAGCAAGATGTTTAGAACAATTTTCTCTAGAAGCACTGTAAGTTTTCATGTTCCGTTTAAGACGTTTTCATTTGTTTAACGGATAGATTGTGCTAACTGTTGGCTAAAGCTTTGAAAGAAGTAAAGCTTTCTGATGTATGAATCCCTACTTGTTTTGCCTAGTAATATTTCACGGGAGAGTCAATTTCTGTGACTCAATTTCGTCTATAACGAAGTTTACCAGCGGATTTTTAAATTTCCCATCTTTAGTCTCAAGTGCAATGTTGATAACGATTCGTTTCAACTTACCCGAATCAAAAGTTCTTCAATCAAACCATACCCAGAACGGGTTCAAACTGGGGTTGTGCGTTTCCAAGAGCATCCATTTTTCTCATGGGGAAGGATTCACACAGATCGTGGAAAACCCTTCAATTCATGGAATTCTGCAAAGTGCTAATTAGGCCTGGAAAGTCTTGAAATTTGGAAACGAGTTACAGGAAGTCAGAGAAGGTGAATAAAGGTCATACTCTTTCAAGAACGAAAGAGAAAAAAAATGCTGTAATCTTAAAATCACTATCACTTTAATTTGAAAACAACTTTTCAGTCGTAGGTTATGGAAATCTCATTAGTCAAGAAAGTTTTGGAATTCATGGTCTTGACAGAGTAGAAACTTCATAAGACTTTCTTTTTGAATCACAGGTGAGCCAGCTTCCTTGACTCCCTCCTAGCCTAACCATTAGTTTAGCCAGCTCTGTTTGCTGTTCCAAAGTTACCTAAGACTGATGTGTTGTGCCTGAAGACAAAACACCTTACTTATAACGCTTCCTCAATATGCCTACCAAAAGATTGGAAAGCTCTTTAACATGTCAGAATCTGAGGGTCTTTGACCACACCCAAGAGACATGGGTTTGTTAGACTGGAATAAAGTCACGACAGCCTAAGGTTGATGAATACTAAATTCCTTTTCATAGTAGCAATAAAGGCATCCAGGACAGTAGAATTTTGATGTCAGGTATGGTGAATATTTGGTGCAACTCCTTGGAAATGGACCATGTTAAGCAAAACATCTAGTGCAGATTACCTTGCTGGTTCTTTAGCAAATTTTAACTTCCTGTGCCAATTTCTCCAAGTTTCATTGACAGTTAGCAGATCCTAATGTTATAACTCTGGACAGGGGATATAGTAAGATCAGTATTTTTCACAAGAAAACATTTTTGACCTATGCACATACATAAAGTTTGGAATCCTCAATGAGACATGAACTGTAATTCCACTAAAAAGGCAGTTGATAGAAAACCAAGAATAGTATTAGTAGATGACTAAACATGAATGGATGGTTCTCTTATTTCAATCATTCACCACTGTGAATATGCACTTGTAATCAAAACAGAACCAGGAGTAGTGTTCAAAGATGACTAAACATGAATGGATGGTTCTTTTATTTCAATCATTCACCACTGTGAATATGCACTTGTAATCAAAACAGAACCAGGAGTAGTGTTCAAAGATGACTAAACATGAATGGATGGTTCTTTTGTTTCAATCATTTACCACTGTGAATATGCACTTGTAATAAAAAAAAAAAAAAGAAAAGGCATTTATAACAAGGAACTACTCTAAACATAATTCGGTACAAGTACAAGTGTTAAATTAAAATTTTCAAGGTAATAAATTCCTCTTAATTATATACAAAAACTTAAGGACTTCAGTTCATGGGAAGCAAATTCAATTGAGGAGTTCAATGCAACGTTTTGTGTTATCTTCAGGCAACTTTAAAATGAATGATTACATAAAGTCCATTGATTAAATGCTTAAATCTTCTAACCTTACCTACAAATATGCACATACACACAAATTGACATGTGTCAATACAAGTTGAAATATCTCGTATAAATCTATATCCTCACTTCTACAACAGTCTGAGTACAATTCCTTCTGTGTTTGAAATTATGTCTTGCAGGAAAGAAAAAGCTGCTATCAAACATTGGTTGTCCTACGTCAAGTTTAATTTCTAAAAATTAAGCAGTTCATTAAACCAATTCTGCTCTATCCTCTTTTTTTGAATATAATAAAATGTAAGTACATATTTCAAATATTTGATTTCTTAGTCGTTCTCGAGCAGGAGAATAGAATACCAAAGCCAGTTGTGACTTATTCTATTCCTGGCGTCAGTGCAGTTCTAAGCAAAAAGTTATTTAGATAAACAAGCTCCTACTGATTAGTATCAGTCTACCAGTGGAAAAAAAACTATTGAAAATGTTTGCACATAAGATTACATTAAAAAAGGAACATATGTAACCCCCTTTTTTAAACAGCTTAGTTAAATTCACAACCACAAAAACTAACATAACAAGGTAACAGCTCTGAGTGGGAAAACTAGTTTGAGTTTTGCTGAGGTCTTATTTACATTCAGCGATACTAAGAGCAAGTCCTAACTTTACATGTAACTTCTCCCTTCAATATCCATACATTATGCTGAGAATGGGTGATGAGAATACTCAAACCTATCAGGAAGCTGTTATCTTAATCTGATACCAAATTCCCATAACTAATTTTCCAGAAAAATTTCATTTGCTAGAAGGGAGCATTAACAATTGGATGTCAGGAGTTAAAGGGTTAAAATAAGAAATAACATGTTGCATGCCAGTGGATAGACATCTGAATCAAACAACCACATACAACTTCATGTACCTACCAACTACGATTGCTTATAGAAGAAAGTAAGATTTTGTAGATCAGTCTTGCCTTGCAATTTTCTTTTTTGAAACTTTCAGCTCACAATCGCCTCACAAGCAGGATTCAACATGAAGATCCTGTATGTTGATTTATCGATGGTTATTCAAAAAGAGTTCAGAAAAAGTAAATGTACACTCAGTCTGGTTTCTCTATGAGCTGTTTATGACTAGACCGTCATTGTAACAGAATTTCTACGTTGAGATGTCCCTGAGATGAGTGGAGTTGTTTCATCAGCCTCAGCCTCATAACTTGTTTCACCCACGGATTCCAAATCAGTTCTCCCAGATCTGCTTCTTGCCAACCCCCTGTCATTTGCTACTGGTCTTTTACAGACAGGACAAGTTCTTTTCCCTTCTGTGAGCCAGGGATCCACACACTTACAATGGTAAGCTTCCAGGAAATAAAATAAAATAATTGTTGTAATTACAAGATAACATGTATGCTGTAAATATAATATAAATTAATCATAAGCAATGAGTAATGGTTTTCATTTAATGAACTGTGGCAATTTTAAAAGCTTAACTTGTTTTTAATCTTCACCTTGTTGTGAAACCCAAATACATCATATTTAGCCATGTGCCTCTTAAATTAGGGATCACAAAAGTCCACAAAATGCAGTCAAAGCCTCAGCAAATGCCTTCCCTCCTACTTTTGTGCCCTATACCCCCTCTCCCAAGCATCATTTATACACTTACATTGTAACCCTTCAACTCCCATGAATGACCAAACAAAATTTCTCCTTACAATAACAATACAGCTAACTGATGAGTGATATCAATTAGATGACTATTAGTTGATCCAATACCAAATTCTCCAAGCTAACGTCCTAAGAACTGTGTGAAACACATTAAGGAGAATTACTTATGAGACCTTGGGAGTTAAAGGGTTCAGTGATAGAGGTTGAAAGTGCATACCATGCTCACAAGGAAGTATCCGCAACCTATCACCATCCTTGTACTCATCCAAACAAATGGCACAAACATCATAATAATCTTCTCCTAAATCATTTAAACAAACAACATATGAATAGATATTTGACTGGTTAAGTGACCACGTGACCACATGACCACGTAGCAGGAGTGGGACAACCAAAAGACAAAGAAACAGAACACTAGCAAAGAAATGGCATAAATTTAATTTGGTATGAGCTCAAAGTACTTTAATATGTAAATTAAGTGGCTGGTGGCCGTGGAGAGGACTGGAACTCAAATCCACCAGATCTCATATCTGATTCCTAAAATGGTAAACTACTATTACCAGCATACTGTCTCAATAAAATAAGATGGTAATCCACTGCAAACAGCACCTCTCTTTAGAATTCAATTAAAAAGAGATGAGGCCATCACATTTCTTGAAATAAACTAATTATTGTGCACTGTACAATTGTAATTACCTTTCTTAAATTTTTTCGTCGGTATCTTTTTCAAAGTTGATGGAGATAACCTGTTGCGCCTTTGTTCTAGGTAATGTCTGTAGTAGCGACTGATCTGTTAAAAAATCACAGATTTTTTTGTAATATTACAACATATTATATCATCAAGATAATAGGCCCCTCTGTTGAGATACTACAATCAAATTGTTTATGTTAAGGTATTTAACCCTTCCACTACCTGTAATGATCAAGACATAATTTTTCCTTACAGTACCAGTACAGCATCAAGAAGACAAGAGATGAGAATGGTAAAATATGTTAACTTAAGGATTATCAATAGATTCAACACCAAATTCTCAGAATAAACTTTATGAGAAGTGCATAGCCGACTGTACAGAAAATTTTTAATGAGATATTAGGAGTGAAAGTGTTTAAGTAATGGAAAGTTGACAATTGGCATTAACAGCTCCTACTCTTGGCTGTTTCTAAAACATATTGGCTCAGAAGGGAGGGACGTACATGCATTATGTCCTTTGTCAGTGTGCTATCATATGGTACATAAAACAGACATGATTAGGGAACAAATTTGAGCCAGGGAGGTAAAAAGAAGATTACTTTGTTCTAAATGTCCAAGTGTGAAATTTACTCTCAAGTAAGGTGATTTCAAAAATAACAATACTGCAAAAATGATTTCTCAGTGAAACTGTTGTTACCTCAGATACAACCACTAAAACCAATAGATGCACAAAAATTCTTTTGGAATATCTCATGCAACCTTATCCAAACTGAAGGAAAATATATTATTCTTTTGTCTTCATTATAATTGTCCTCTTTGCATCACTCCAAGCTTAAAACATTTTTTTAATTCAGAAGGAGTGATGGAAGTAAAGAGGGAAAATTAGCATACACAAATAATTATAAAGGTATTAGGATAAAAAAATTAAAAATGTTATCACTATGGAATAGGGTCTGGGTGGCACACTCACCATAAACATTGCCATCAAAATAAAACAGATTCCTACAATGATTGCAAAGGGAATCATATAGAATTCATAATTCCAAAGGGGAGGAAGCTCCTGAGGGGTGAGATACACTCTACTGTTTCTGTGGAAAAGAATCAAACCAAAAGTCAACCACCTGTCATCAGAATAAATTGCTTCACTTTTCAAATTACAAAAAGTGGGCTTAGATTGAGTGTTTTATACCACTTCATAGCTTGATAATGGTTGGACAAACTATTTATGTTTTGTTTTTATGATACATTCTTGAAGCTATTATAACCATGTTTACAGTTACCTAGACATGTACAAAGAAAAAGCACACTTCCAGTCTGAACAACATGAAAAATGTACATTTTTGGATGCCAACAATTCATGACCAGAACAACTTCTTGCAAGAAAAATAATACTAAAGAAAAAATGTAAAAGAAAGAAAAATAACCAGAAGAAAGAAGGAAGGAAAGAAAGAAAGGTAGGAACAGACAAGGAAAGGAGTAAAGGAGGGGTGGGGAAGGGCAGAAGGAAGAAAGGAAGGAGGGAAGGAAGGAAGAAAATAGGGAAGAGATATGCATTAAACCACAAAACTGATTTACCAAAGAGGGACGGCTTTGCCCTTAAAGGAAATTTAAAAAGGTTATTTTCCTAGTGTTCCATGTTTCTCCCAACAGTCTACATGTATTTTTGCATCTCTGTACACAACTAGTCACACATGAAAAGTACTTACGGCAAATTTTCGAAGTCATTATTTTCTAAAATCTCACCAGTTCTCTAAATAGTAGACAGAAAATCAAAATGACACATTCTTCATATACATGAAACATTTATCTACTGATTAATCAGAGATGATGCATTACATATGTCCAATGCACACAATGAGCTAATTCAAAGTAAAACTCAGAGCAACATACCCTAAGAAATCAATGTCAAAACCAGCAAAACAGAAAATTGAGAAAGAATGTGGGCTGCTTTTCCACTGCTAAACCAATCATACTCAACTCATTTTTTTCCTCAAACATTTAACCACTACATCCAAAGATCTGATTGTTAATTCTACTCTCTAGCTGCCAACGATTTCCTTGCATATTAGTTACAAGATTTTGGTGTAAGATCAAGATAACACCTGTTACCTACTAAGTTTGAGTAGTCTCATCACCTGTTTGCTGGATAATGTATAGATATTACGAGAGAAGTTACATGTGAATCACTTTTCAGTTGAAGGGTTAAGACTGTTGTGTTTCCTGATAAAAGTTCATTGTTTAACAGTGAGTATTAGCCAATTCTTTATTTTCAATGCCTGGAAGTTTGACCATTTTATGTAAATGCTTCAACAAGTGACTCAGCAGATGTGAGAAACATTCACAACTGCTTCCCTTTACCATACTTACCTTCCCTACAAACACAACTGGTAGATCCACAGCATCTGTCTCTAAAATAAACATAACGATTATATCATAGGAATGTGAGCTGAGAAAATGCAACACATGTGTGTGCACAGAGAAATAAATCATTGTTTGTTGAAAATGAAGACACAGAGAAAAGCATGATTTCCCAAAAGATTTGTACTTCACCTTTTCAAAAGGGTTATGTTATTTAAATAATTATGTTCTCATAAGACAATTAAAACAGCACTTGAACAGCAAATCCACCAAACTACTAAACCTTACCTCCTTCATCAATAGGATCAACTTCATCACTTGTGAGACTTCGTATGATAGCAGCATCAAAGCCACCTCTGCTAGCCTTTATGCCCTGGAATCAAACCAAAAAAATGTGTTAAACTACTACCTCCATTAAATGGAGTGTGAGCATCAAGGGTGTCTGGGGGCTTCCACTGTGTCCAACTGCCACAGCTGCCAAATTCCAGACACCAATCTGAGCCTCCATTTCACACACCTGCCAACACTGTTCTCCTCAATGAATCAGTGCTGGTTACCTTTTTTAAATTTTCAATTATCAAATTCCAACCTACTGAAGACAAAGAAAGTGCAAAAAGAAAAGAAAAGAAAGAAGATTTGATGTGTACAATCACTATTCCGTTGCCGCCGCCTTCTACACAATAAAATAAATGATCTTTCAATTGCCCATTTGGCAAGGACCAAATCTTGACCCACAGATAGTGCAGGGTGTATATTTCTGTTACAGTAGATAATAATGCATTAAATGAAATGGACTTGGCATACCTTGGTGGAAGATTCACAATGTCCAAAATCAATGAGGAGAAAGACATTTCCATCATATGAAATATTCGGGTAGCTGCTTTTGTGCATCACTTCCCCGCATGCATCTTTAGGATTAGCCAGGAATACCACACCCTAAAAATCACAAAAAACATTGTGTTTATAGCTTCATTGTATAGGATGGTGTCCTATCATTGATTCCCACTTACTAAATGCATTGTTCTTGACATGTGTCTTGGTGCTGCAGTACATGTGAGGGGTACTACTTAATTGGCATTTATTTCCTAAAACCAAAACTAATAATTCCTTATTTTGAAAACTCTTTCTCTACACATTTCATATAACATTTGACAATTTACACCCTAATATCACTATGCATATTCTATACACTATTATCTGTATCTTTCCTAAGGTGCTGACAAAGAGAATTTGTTTAAAAATCGAGTGCTTCTTTCATTGATCATCTCATCTTTCATTCTTGTGACCTTGATGTGTGATTCAATGGTGATATTGGAAGGAGAAATTGGTTGGTGTCACTTTTAGAGGCCAAAGGGCTAATTAATTGGATTATAAGCACAAAAATTGTCTCCAAGGTTGTCTTCAGCCATTATTTGTACATCAAACCACACAGTTTTTGCCTCTAAGAGCTGACAATATCTGTAGGCAAAAATCCAGGCTCCTGTTTGAAAAGGGTGAGGGCTCACCTCAAAGTGTGAAGAAGGAACCATATTACCAAATGAAACCCATTCATAACCATAACAGTCTTCCCTACTAGTACCATTTCCAATCTACAAGAAAATTGAACGATAACACAAAAATCACAAATAATTCAACTTTGGAATTCAGATTTTACTAGGTTTAAGATACAATGGTGATTACAGTTCTACTGATACATTTTGTTTGCCACAACAGTAATCTTTCCTGTTAGGGTGTCACAAGAAATTTAAAAAAACTGGACATGAATCCAGAAATAAACACAATTACTTTCATGTAGAAGTTCTTCTAACAGATTATGAAGTAATACAAACATCTAGAGTCCTTTCAACTCACACTCAGCATAGTTGTATGTATCTCAATTTTATATCATGTTCAAAAAAAAATATGAGCTTCTTCCAAAGATCATAACTGCATGTCAAAAAATCAACAAAAAACCTTATTGTTGATGAAATGATTTTCAAATGAGTGCCATAGGTAACCTAGGACTGCACTGCTTTTGACTGTCAAATTCCATCGTTGATATTAAAAAAAAACACTTTGATTATAACTAAAAGAGGTGATATGGCTATAAGCATTTACCCATTTACCCCTAACATTAGTATGCATATTTTCCATACTGTTCTCCTTGCATTTCCAAAAAAGCTGACAAGGAGAATTTGTGTAACAGTCAAGAACTGCTTCAGTTGGTGATCATATCCTCTATTCTCATAACTTTCATATTTGATTTAGGGATAACAGAGTAAGGAGAAATTAGATGCTAGTCATTCTTAGGGGCTAAAGGATCAATATTTGATGTAGACAAATATATCCATATACAATGTAGTATATATCATTAACATGCTTTGAACAGTTTTGTTTAAAAACTTCTGGCTATATTTCCCTTTTCATAAACAGGAATTTGAATTACAACTAAGGGAAATTCCCAAATGGAATTAGATGTATCAACACAACAAAGATAGTCAAGTAAACAAACAGTACATGCAGGGAAGTTGATCTAAAAGAGTAGTTGAGAAAAAAGAAAAAAAAGCATTGCAAAGGTCAAAATTTACAACTACGAGGACATTTAGAAACATCAAGTTCACTACAATTTATCCTCACCACACAAACTTGATTGGGTTCGTCACAAAACCCAAACTGGCTCACATAAAGGAACATGAATCCTTTAATCATCCACCAACTGCTGCTTGACATAATCAATACTTTACTGAAAAGTGAACCATAAAAATACTTTTATATTTATACATAACGAATCGTAGTAACTGAAAAAGTAATAGTAAATAACACTAACATCAAATTTTGTTGCCATCTGGGCCAGATGACTAAGAGAAAGCAGACATGCTTAAAAGAGTCCATGTTCCAATTTTCAGATTATAATGATAACAGTGTGACATATCCTCTTTATCACAGAGGATTTCTAAAATAGTTGAGGTGATTTTAAAATCACAAGTCCTTGAGCTACATACAGTGATAAAGATGTCCTGACCTGTAAAGAGTTCCACAGTACTGCTCACCACTGAATTATGCTGGTTGGTCTTCACCCTTAGGTTTTCAGCAAATGTTTTGATCTTGTGGTGTATCCCTTCCTAAAAAGCCAGAGAACTTGATGTTTGTCAACAAGCTTTGGCTAAGAAGTACCCACTTCTTTTAACACATAAAATCATTGCCAATTTGCCATGGCAACAACCAATACGGTAATTCAAATGCCTGGTGGATATTTCACTTTGGTCAACCTAACTCCTCCTCAATCCTACTTTCCTTCTGCGAAATGTCTCCATTACAACACACTAGTAATGTAATTAATCGTTTTGTATTGCTATTAGTTCTTCCATCTCCTGATATATATATATACATTTAATTTGGCAATACACAAGGAACGATCGAGCTATGTCAGAAGAGATGCTCCTTCGAGATATTTCCTTCTTGTTGCGAACTTTATCAACCCTGCAATGCATTTCCCAAAATTATCATTTCTCCTCCTTGTACAGACTTATTTTTTTTTTGAGCCAAAAAGGCCAAAAAGGCCAGTTGATCGTGTATTCTCTGGCCTTTGAACAGAGAGATGTCAGTACATCCCATGTCACGCAGCAGAGGTAAAAGAAAGTTTCATGTTACGCCATGCCATTTTGAGGATTTATCTTAAAAACACGAGCAGGTCACGAGTATTTAAGCGTGTGGAGGTGCATCTTAACGGACCAAACACTCAGATACCTAGATGAAAGCGATACTTTCAAAATGATTCGATAACTGTTATAAATAGTCTAAGTGTTTTAGTTGTCATACGACCCATAATTTTCGATTCGTGTGTCGACGTTGTGGCTTTCTGGTACTCATGTCAAGACAGAACTATATTATTTAAGCTGACAAATCTTATGCAATAAAACGGTACAATTATTACAAACAAGTCATAAAGAAAGTTCTTTCCTACAACCTAAAGTCATAAATTGATAGAAAAATAATGTTTAGTAAACGGCGAAGGCTGCGTTTTATAAGTAAGAATGAGCTATGTGTTTACATGGGTTGCGTTTCCACAACACTGATCTCGAATCCTCTCTGCGTTATATAAGCGTTCGTAGCTTTCTTGATCACTCTCTTGCTAATTTCAGTGGTCAGATGAAGGCATTTCTTAATCCAGAAACCTTTCCTAAAAATACTGCAAGTCATTTCAATGCACGTCGTTTCGACTTAATTTCACTTTCAGCTGGTTTCAGGCGAGCCCGTCTTCCTGGCTATATGGGCGATTGCAAGACTTAGTTCAACCGATAATCTCAGAAATATCACTTAAAAAATAGCCTTTAAACCAACCTTGGTGAATTCCTGTTTTGAAACCACTACATGTCATTTAACTGAGACTTTCCTAGCTGTCGGTTATTTTCCTGATTCTGCCCTACCATAAAGCCTTTACGTTTAGTTGGAGCGTTTCAGGTGTGTTTACCATTTTTGGTGATTGATTGCGTAGGGACCTTCTAATCGGGTCTAAAGACGGTCCTGCTGGGGCTTGCAGATTAGGGGCTCTAGACGACTAGACATGCAAGATCCGTGCAAGATGGTGTGATCTTTGTTCGCGCCAAAATGCGTAGATGTCCCGCGGTGAAATACAAAGGTGTTACAAAGACGCCTCTTTTAAAGCGCGACTAAAATTTTTCGGTTTTTACTCTCGACCTGCTTGAGCAAAGAGTTTCGCGTTTCAATAGGTAAAGTGGCCTTTTTTCAGCTTGGACAAGCTCTTCACTCCTGAGAAAGTTTGTCATTGTCAAGGTTTTTATTTCGGGAGTTAAACTGCGCTGTAGTGGCCGTTAGCATTGCACAGGGGGGCTGGCTACTAATGGAGGTTTAACTTTACCTATCGTTTTTCTAGTTTCCACGCCAGTTTTTCACTGCCTACTCTGAGGGAGTGAAAAAGTCATGAAATTTTTGCCCGCAGAATAGGCGTTACTTTTTAACGCACCCCAACCCTTGCGATTTTCGCCACAAGTGCTCGCTTGAAAAACGGAAAAGAGACCCCCACTCTACCAGCTAAGGGAGTTTAGGGTAAAACAGAGCAGACCCTCAAGCATGTGGGCATATATGTTGCCTGCTCTCCTAACACAAGCCGTTTGTTGCATAGTGTACAGACCGCGGAGAAGTTAAAGTTTTTGATTGATAGCTGAACTCTGCAGCTACTTTGTAGATGAGCTAGTCAAGTCACTTTTAGGGGGAGGAGAACGAAGTAACTTTTAGGGAGGGGAAGAACGAGAAGCAATCTCGAGAGGGCAGCAGAATTGATCCTAAAGTATGACGCCTCGCTTGCACTAAAGAAGTATTTAAGTATTCTTTTTTTTTTTAATCTTTATTAAAAATTAACGTCGTATGTTAATATCATCACAGATACCAAACTTTAAAATCCACCTCATTCCATTCGTCTCATCTCAATCAGCATAACTTCCACCGTGAAATATTTGCCCAAAAATGTACTCTAAAAAGTTAGTTTGATTAAGAAAATTTTATTATTTGACTATGTACATGTTCACTCTAATATTTTACGTAAACTATCTGTACATGAAACAAGGAAGTAGGTGATAAGTTAACTGACATGGATAGTGTAACTGTGTGTACAATGGTGGAATTTTCATAAGAGAGCATTTTTCAATCAAGACCGCTGCTGGTTATCCAATATTTTGAAGAAGTACTCCACCTGTATCATAAAAAAAATGGAATGAAATTACCGGCTGAAACTTCAAAGAATTGGAAAATACCCCTTTGCAACCTTGCTACAATTGTTACAATACGGTGCTAACCAATCAATCTGAGTCTTTTGTGTCAAGTGATTCCTCTTGAACAATCAAACTACAGAAAAGGCTACTGAGCTGGCGGCAGCAGAGAAGTGTGGATATAGACCTTTAAGGAAAAAATTTCCTATAAGCCGTCCTTAGAGAAAATCAAAGAAGAAAACTTGACGGTCAGGGCTTCACAGGAGTTGCAAGTCAATAGTAGAGACAAAGAAAAACAATTACGCTAACCTCTATCAGTCCATCTTCTGGTAAATCAGTGCAGTGGACAGCATTCTTTATCTTGTCTTTGCCAAACATTGCCCGCAATGTTCCAGGGCGTAGATGGCGAGCGATTTCCTGAAAAAAAGAAAAAAAGAACAAAACAAAACAAAACAAAAAAAACGATTTGTTTTGGTTCAGGTCAGTGTTTTATAACTTTTGCACAATTCTTCCCTCGCAACATTGAATATTTAATATTGAATCGTGCAATATTTACGACAACAAACATAGCGGTCTCGTGTTAAGTGACACGAATTCTAGGAAATATAACTTCACGGACAAAAGCTTATTTCAAAGTGAAAAAGAACTAATTTCTTCTTGTCTAGCAGTGCTAGAAATAGTACAGGCGCCCACATAGTGACGATTACTGTTTTGTCTCTTTGAAACAATTTTTCTTTTCACGTCCCGGAAATTATGGACCTTAAAGGAACTTTAAGTAAGGCGAAGAAGCGCATGGTAAATTTGGTTAATAAGCTTACTGGATCGGTAGGACCGACGAATTCTCTGAATGATACTGGTGCATTAGGAGCTCTGATCTCCATAGCAAGGCACGGTCCACAACACAGCTCCTCGACCATACTCTAATTGTGAGAGGAACAAACCAAATAAATCAAGGGGGTTAGTTAGTGGGAGAGTATGACAAGGTGATATAGTATTATCAACTGAGTTGATAACGTAAATCGACCACTGTAAAGAGTTTCAAACTTTTATTCGCTCTGACGAAGGGGTAACGCTCGAAACGTCCACCTTAAAACTCTTTACGTTGCTCAATTTACGTTATCAATTCCGTTAATAATACTTAACTACCGAATAAATCAAGAATTTGAATTTAACGGTGTCTTAACGAGTGGTGTTTTTAAGACAATTCCTCGAATTCGGAAAGAGTATTCATCCAAAATGAATTTAGCAATCAAAGGAAGAACAAAGAAAAATACAATAACAGAGAGGTTCAAGAACTCATGTTTGGATGAAATCTCATTTCTTTTGCTTTACTCTTTAACGACTAAGATCAGAATGTTAATTCTTCCCTCTAGCTGTTACACACCTCCTTGTAAATTTGTCAAGGCAATTTGGTGTTGAAGCAAGATAACAACTTCTACACGATCAGTTTGAGTATTCTCATTACCTGCTGGATAATGCATGGGATTGGATCTTATATGTAGAAGTTGACCCTTTACACCCTAACATCAGTATGTACATTCTCCAGAGTGTTCTCTATACATTTCCTATGGTTCTGACAGGGAGAATTTGTTGGTGATCATTTTCCTTGTGACCTTAATGTGTGATTCAGGGGTGATACAGCAAGGAGAAATTGGATGCTTATCACCCTTAGGGTGTAAAGAGTTAAAGGTTAATCACTTCTGAAGGTTAACCCTTTAATTCTCATGAGTGACCAAGACAGAATTTCTCCTTACAATATTAATACAATATCAACCAGATAGGGGACGAGAATTAAGAAAAATATCAATTTGGGGATGATTAGTTGATCCAATACTAAATTCTCTGAACCAAAATTGTAAGAATTGTATGGTTGACAGCAAGGAGAATTACAAACTTGGTTTGAGAGTTAAAGGGTTAAAGGTTCAAAAGTGGTTCATGTGCGGCACCTCACCTGGTATTCATTTACAACACCTTTGTAAACTTCATAAAATTCTTCAGCATTTGCTCTTTCAAGATGGAACTGAGGATCAGAGGAAAACTAATATTCATACCTTATCATACAGACGTGACCAGAGACCATCAACATTCTCAGTTCCAAATAGAGAAATCTTAAATTGAGTTTCAATACATCAAAGATTGCATTGGTTTGTTCCGCAAATCTTTGTGATTGGTCTTAAAAAAATTTACGCCACCCTCTTCAACCAATCAGATACAAATTATAACCATGATAACAACAATTACCACTTGGTCACAAGTATTTTCCTGTGCAGCAGGCAGTTTGCCTGAAAGTATATAATCTTGAACTCTAATTAGCCACATGTGATATACTCCTTTCTTCCACCTAGCTGCTGTGATGACTTACTGTGAATTTGGTTTTGCAATTCTCCCATGAAAAGTGCTCTTATGTACATGTAACTAATAGTAGTTCATCTTACTAACCATCTGAAGGGCAGAGATCTCAAACCCCTTGCTTGTTATGGCAGATATGATTTTGCCAGTGTTACCTGAATGCAAAATAATTAACAACCATTAACCCTGTAACCCGTAAGAATGGCAAGCATCTAATTTCTCCTCAAAGTATAACCACTGAATCAAACATTACGGTCATGAGAATAAAGGTAATGATCAATACCTAAAGAAGAAATTCTCTTTGATAGCATCTTAGGAAATGAATAATGAATAGTACAGAGAATATACATACTGAACTTAGAGTGTAAATTAAGGCAAAAAAAAAAAATGCAAATCATGATGCTTGCTTCTGGAGCTGTTTGCTTAGCTTCCTCAGGAGGGACATGAAGATACAATTACAAGTAGTGGAAGAAGCAGCTTTGAGTGCAAAAAGGGCACACAAATATGATATAAATAAAATCCTCAACTAAAGACAGCAGTAAGTGGCTCCTTTGAAACCATTACAAGAGGCAGTTACAAAATAAACATGGGCCATGTGAGAGGTTTAACTGCATCATGACAAAACCTCATCAAATTACATGACTGTGTACCTAGCATTGATTTATGATACCTTGAATAATGGCATGAGGTTTGATTATGCAGAGAGTGCAGTTTGAAAAAGAAGCAGTGTTTTTTCCAATGAAGCTTTTGCCACCAAAGAAAAAATTTGTTTCCTGTAAGTCAAAACAAAAAGAAAGAAATTTTACTCAAAATATTTTGAAAGAATACAAGGTAGATAGATACAATGTTACTCTTGTGCTTCCTTCTACCTTAAATTTAGAGCCAATTATTTCACTTAAAGAGCATTCTTCAATCTTTCAGTCTATTAATCCTATGAATGATGAGCATCTAATTTCTCTGTGCATTATCAATACTGACTCAAACATTAACGCTATAATAAAGGAAATGACCATCCACTCAAGGATCTCTTGATTGTTAAACAAATTCTCTTTGTCAGTACTATGGGAAATGTATAGAGAAAAGTTAAAGGAGAATATGCATACTGATCAATGTTTGATGTTGAACTGGTTACTATATACCTGAACTCACTACCGACAACTGTTTTTCATTTTCTTAACTAAAGGCAATGGACTATGTGGAGTTCAAAAAGAATTGTATAGCTATTAATTTGGCAAGACAATGGTACATAATTACTGAAAATGTTAATTTACCACCAAATAAAAGTTCTTACTCTTTCAGCTGCTAGTGGTGAATCTGAACCATGTGCAGCATCTTTTGTGGTGTCTGCAACAAATCCCAACATAGTGGTTAAGAATAGGCAAGTTATTGAAAATGATCTAAGATGTATAGCTAACAACAAAAGGCAACTGTTGCAGTAAAATAGGAGTGTAAATTTTAGGGAAGGCATATTAAGGACATCTTTGTCATCAAAACTAGTACATTAAAAAAAGAAAAGGGTTTTGACCCTGGGAAGAATTTTAGCCATGCCAAATTTTCTAAAGAACCCTCAACCCTTCCTGGTTCCTACCAGACTCACATTTGCCTTTATTTTACCTTCTCTAATTGTCTAATTTTAAATGTAATTTTGGTTATTCTGTATGATGTTATGAATCTTTACCACATGACTGAATACATACCTGTACCAAATTTTGCTCTGATTGATAGAGGAGCCTGGATTCTGGCAGTTGCTGAGTCTGTTGGTCCTAAAAGTGTCCGCCACTTTGTAATTGCATTAGCACCTTTCAACTCCATGGCAACTACAGGACCACTTTCCATGAATTCCACTAAATAGCTAAAACCAGAGCCATTAACCATCAGATACCAGAATGCATGAAAATTACATAATTTACAGACTGAAAAATTAGATACTACCATAGGCTCCTTTCCATAATAAAGCTTGACAGAATAAAAGCTCTTATTACACTTACTTCTGTTAAAACTCACTACTAGATCATTTTGTTTCTCTGACTCAGCTTTGAAATTGATGGCAATGGCTGCAGTCTTTAAACAAACTGACTCCACATCTATAAGTCTGTTTTTTTAATTCTAATAATCAATTTTTCCTTGCTGTTGCTACAGCTTTCATTATAAATTTTACACAAGAGCTTGCTGTTATTATAATAATATAAACTGGAAAATACATGTAACACCTAGCTGATACTTTTTCTTAATTATATAGTAGACTTACTTGAAAAAGGGTTTCCCTTTGTGCTCTGAATAGAACAGTGATGCTTCATGCCTACAGAGTATGGAAATAAAAACTGTCAGGATGAACTTATATTATACTGTTTTTCAGTCAGTCACTAAATATCTTTAATACTGAGTCTCCTGACCATCACTAAAATTAGTATTTGAATCTGCTCATTACTTAATGTTAGAATGAAAGTTTTATTCAACAAAAAAGTGTTTCTTGAAGTTTATCATCAGATTTACCAACAGGTTTCCTGCACGTTGTTGTACTGTACATCTATTCAGTAATAGATCACAGATGACATCAAAATGTGATAAGAACAAGAAAGTGTACACAAGATGCAGTTTATGTCCTTAATTGCCAAATTTTGACGTGTTATGTGATCAATAAGTGAACCCATGAAAACACGGAATCTATTTGTTTTACAAATAAAGAAACAAAATTTTGTTAATTATCTCAGCTGTGAGTCTGTCCTCTTGTACATCATTTATAAGAACCAATCAAAGCATACAATTCAGCTTATTATACATCTGATTAAATTTATCTATAATAATAATAATTGATAGACAGTAATGTCCCAGATTCACCTTGTCAACCTAACCATCTTTGCTTGACAAATGAGGAAGCCTTCTCCATGGATAATGTCAATTATATTCCCTTAAAATTTTAATAAAAGGCTTTTCAAATCAGTGATTACTTGAAACTGACATGTGTCCCTCATTGAGAACAATATAGCAGACCTCACCATTGTATAACTGGTTTATTACCACATGGCTGTTTCAATCAGTGATACTGGAAGGATGACATGTACCGGTAGTCAGATCAAACCTTCTTTTTCCCGCCCTTGTGACGAGAAAAAAACTTTTCCTCTCAATTTCATAACCTAGCCAAAAATTTACCATGATGATCTCTGTTATTCTATTTATGCACATGATGCTTTTGAAAATTCTGATCCCAGCAGTGTGCTAGATGGATGTCGCACATGGACCTTGTGACGGCTTTTCAGATTTGTAAAGAGTCTCTGTGGCTCAGTGATATGCACAGGAGCATGCAATCTAAGACTGAGGTATGATTCTGCATGGGACTCAATCTTTTCCTTACCCATGCTTTTACAAGACATGAAAAAAATTCTTTAAACCTAGCTCCCCATTTATCTCAGGCAAGCTTAGCCTAAGTAGACCTTAAAATCATAAAAAGATGAATTACATTGTCAAGAAGCCTAAAAACACCTAAGATCTTGCCTCAGGAATCTCACCATGAAAATCTCCACATATTCTTAGAACTTAAAAGATACTTATAACAACATGGATTAAAAGAATAAAATCATGACATACCCATCTGCGAAACAGCATCTGGTTTTATCATAGCTAGTGTTCTGGAGGTAATATGCAAAACATGCATTTATTGTGAGTTACTTCACTAATATTAGGGAACAACAGCCAATTACAAAAAACAAATAAATTAAGCCACTTAAATTTTTAATAATATCATTATTACAAAAAATCTGTGTTTCAAACATGAACCATTAACTTTTAAGTGGGGTTGTCACAAGAAGCAAAGAAATAAATTATTTTGAGACCAAGGATTTACTTACTTTTCATTCTTGTTTCTCAAAAGGTTGGATGTGCGTTCATCGGCATAGTCTGTTATTGACAACTGGAATGAGAGATGAGGAAAAAATAAGGCACCAGTTGACAGTAAATAGCATGAATTTTGCAGTTCAAAACTGTTCAAGTCATTCATTCATTATATACTCCAAGTTACTAAGAGCTAAGAAGTCTGTGATAATGTCTACTGCAGTGGGCCATTGGAATTGAATGAAGACACAAATACATGCAAACAACTTTTTAAAAACACAAGCAAAAATAACTACAAGGTTTGAAACTAATTATCAGTTTTGTAATTAATCAAAACTGTAGTAAAATTCTCAAACATGATTGGTTATCACCAACCCAATTTGAGTACTAAAAGAACAGTGTGTGCTTCATGCTTGTAATCAGAGAGTGTAATAGGACAGTTAACACATCATGCCTGCACAATAGGAAAGCATCACACATCATGTGTCTGAACTGTTGTCAAGCAATTTGCAAAGTTAACTTTTGTCTTTTTATGATAATGGGACTTTTTGTTGTCCAATTCCGTCAGAAATCATACTCATGCTTAACAAATCAGACCCTAGCTATATGATCATCCAATTTTGTTTATCACTCTGAAGGTTACAGACCAAATCAGAATCCCATCAGTCTTATACCATTATTTATCACTAGAAGGTACAGTTTTTATTTCTGAATGTTGCAAGTACCTGTCGAGAATGAATGTTCACGATGGCTCCTATAAACAGATGCTGAACCTGAAGACCATCTATCATGGATCGTTTCAAGAAGAGGCGACGATTTTTTATGTCATACTGCGGAAAAGACATTGTACAATTCAAAACTCGTTAGTAGCAGAGACATACAGCAGAACATCTGTACTGAGGTACACCACAAATAGATGCACTATCATCTGACAAAATATGGCCATGAAAAGATTCACATGCTCGTTGAAGCTGAGACCAGCGGGAAAAATGTGAGGAATGATTTAGGTTGTAACATTCAACTAAACGAAATCGTGGTAAAAAAGTTTACACTAAGGAGAAATCCCAGTTTTTGATACAACATGCGAATGAAAAATCTATGCATATATTGATTAACTTCAGAAAAGGATTATGTACACCGATTAAGTGTCATTCTTGCAGAAGAAACCCATCTCGTGTATCGGTGAAAAGTAAAATTGTAAATGGCATCAGCGTAACATGTTTACCATTTCCACAGATGAATCGCTTGGATAGTAAAGAAGTTGGTATTTTCTAATCAGTGAGGCCCTCGGGTCGTACCATTCGGCTAAAAATGCGTACCGTTCATCTGATGCTGCCTATCGATGCAAAAAAAAATGTATAGAAACTTAATTTGACATATTTGAGAGCAAAAAAAATCGCAAAAAAGCTTACCATGGTGAATGTTGACGAGCACAATCAAATCCAAACTTTCTTAAGTTTAGATCAAGCGCTCACTCTTGTTTTGGCAACGAGCAAGCCTCACTTTCAGGTATCACTAACTCGTCTCCAGTCTCCAGTGTTCACTCTTCACGTCACATGGTATAGACGAAAATTAACGAAGTGAGTTAATGTGTGGTGTACTTGTTAATGTTCTTCTGCTAAAAAGGGTTAAACGAACTTTTAATTTTTAAAAAAAGGCTTACGAGAGGCCATTTAGCACTTTTACTAGAACTACCTCGCGCGGGGTAATCAGTAAGAGATAGAATCAGTAAGAGATAGAGAGCAATCCTTGATCAATCCGAGCGCGAGAATCTTAATCTATGATCCCATGAACAAACTCTTGAATCTTATTATTATGACTGAATGCATCAACTCAAATGGAGAAGAAAACTTTATTGTACTAGACGGAGGTCTTGGAACAGAATTAACAAGGGCTGGATTTAAAATCGATGTACGGTGGTGTAAGATACCTATCTTTTTCTATGAAATGACAATTCTTAACATTTTTTCTTTAAACAAAATCAATAAGGAAGATTTAAGTCTGAAAGTCATCGGAGTAAAAAACCTTGGGGCTTTTAGGAGAGAGAATACATGCATATGCCAATTGATTCGAAGACTTTTTTTCTCAGGATGATCCACTTTGGAGTACCAGAACTCTTATTGAAAATTCAGAGGCAGTGAAAGCTGTCCATAAAAGGTAAGAAGCTTTGCAATTTACCGACCTAACTTCGTCAAAATGAACTTTTTTAGGTACAGGCTATGATCGGCATTTTGATTGAAGTTTCCCATGAAAATTCCAGCCCATGAGGTTCCTGCCCCCCCCCCCCCAATTCCCCACAGGCTAATAAAGTTGTGCTTGAGGTACCTTGAGGTGCACTGTAAATGGGTGTGACCACTACCCATGCCCTTGGCCTTTAATTCAGATTGATTTACATCACTAAAAAGAACAAAAATGGATAAAATTTTGTTCCCTTAGCTTGTATAGGAAACTGCCTATAGGTCTCTTAAGCGAATTATATTCTCAGTACATCCACTGAAAAAAATAGTTTTTGTTTCTTAGTTTCCTTGAAAGTGGGGCTGACATTGTGATAACTGGCACTTATCAGGTAATCAATCAAACATTGACCAGAAGGTGTTTTGTAGACCATTTATTTTGTGGATAATTTGGCATATTATGATTGTTTATTTTCTTGAATACAAAAGTTCATGTTGGTCGTAACTTGATTTCAAAATGCTCACCCTGTTAACATTTGATTTATGTGTGTGCTTTCAGCTCAGCTTGAAGACACTTTGTCAACATTGTGATTTTGATGAGAATAAGGCCTTGGATGTAATTTACAGTAGTGTAAAAATTGCACAGGAAGCTTGTCTTGAAGTTAAAAGGTACTAAAGCTTTCGTTTGAATATGAGTCCATGCAATCAGAGAAGAACTGTGCTGAAAGCCAACATAGGTTGTGTCTTGAATATGAAATCCTAGCAAAAAATTATAATCAGAGAAGGGTTGGTATAAATAAATCAATTTCATGTGTGAAAAAAAAAACAGTTCACATAACTTCAGGTCTATACTATATGAATATCATATAACACCTTGATTAAGTTTCATTAAACTGTTTTCATGTTTAATAAAGTACATTGGCTGAAAATGAGTACATTCTCATGTAACACCAGTGCAAATTACAAATAGTGTGTGCATGCCTCCAAAACTTCCTCTGTCTTGAGTCTCTGTGATTTTTTTTGTTTACATTATTAACAAGTAATAACATGATTTCTCTTGCAATTTGGTGTAAAAAGGAAGTGAATTTTTCAAAGACTGCAAATTGCACTTTCCTTACAGGCTTGTGCAATTCTGTTGTCTTTGAAAAATTTACTTGTGCTTATTAACAACAAATTGTACTCAAAATCATGTTATTACTTAAAGATAAAAATTACCTTTTTTCTTTTTACTCATTGTTTATCTAGTAATAATTCTGAATATAAAAGGAGACTGCTGGTTGCTGGATCAGTAGGTCCATATGGAGCTTGTCAGCATGATTGGTCTGAGTACAGTGGGAATTATGTTGACAACATGACAATCAAGGTAATTAAGACCAGGGTAATTTATGATGGTTCTCTATAATATTTACATAACAATTTGTCTAAGTTTGGCCATAGGAAGGAGACATTCCCCTTAAACTCTCAAAAATGCTTTATATAACTTTCTTCCTAAATTAAATATGTCATAATGATTATCCAGCAAGTTGCTTTCCAATACAAAAGCTTTCGCCTTTGAACTTATCAAATTCTTCATTACATTAAATTTGATGTGTTCACAAAATGCCAATATTATATTATTAAAACAATCAAAGGGAAGGGGTGAAGAATTTCTTTCCAGTTCTCAGGAATAAGCTTACCGCTTACTGCTATCTATGAAGAAAATAGCATCACTTAATTCTTTTAGGAACACTCTTTGGAAAAAAATTTTTGAAGAACAGCAGCTTTTAAATCATTTTATTCTGTGATTTAGTTATACTTTTGTACTTTTAATTGATCTATCTCTTATCTCCTGTATTTTTATTCGTTATATTATCTCATAGTTATGCCAGAGTTTTTAACATCCGTATTGTGCAAAATTTTAGAGGGCCACTGGTTTGTTAGTATTTTTATACTATTTTAGTGCTACCCTCTTTAAATAAAGTCTTTACTTACTTACTTACTTACTTACTTACTTACTAATAAAAATGTTAATTTTCAATTATGGTTCATGCATGCAAAATAGATCAAATACTTACTCTTTTAATTCAGCAACTGATGGATTGGCACAGGCCCAGAGTGAAAGCACTGCTTGAAGCTGGAGTTGACATTCTAGCTCTAGAAACCATTCCTGCTCAGGTACTTTTAAATTTTGGATGAATCAGTAATTTCTTATGGCCTAAAAATTTGAATAAACACAACATGATCAGAAACAGAAATTTAATTTGAAGTGATCAGATTGTGAGAGGTAGATTGAAAAAATGATGAGACCACACAGGCAAACTTAAGTCAGTACATGCTGTTCCAATAATTTCTCCCAGTACATTAAATAATAGCTTAATTTTTTTCCAATGAAAATTGATGTGTAAAACTGTAACTTTAACAATCACGTTGCATTCAAATGTGATCATGCTGTTCAGAATCTTCTGAAAGTTCATTCAGATAATTAAGCTGTTCTACTAGCCAATTGAAGTTGAAATTTTTGGGAACTGGCTCCATGTCGAGGAAAGGGTTAACAATAAAGGTACCATCTTTCTGATAATCAGTGTAATATTTTACCTTCCCTTAAGAAAATTGTATTCTAGTTCATATTTATTTGCTGATGGCCAGCGCAGCACCTTCTAGTAATAAAACCTTTCCAATAACTTAAGGTTACCCTGATAAGTTGGTGGTCCTTTGTAAACTAACCTCTCTTACTGATTAATAATTTTACTAGAAAGAAGCAGAGGCTCTGATTCAGCTTCTCAAGGAATTTCCTACAGCAAAAGCTTGGCTGTGCTTTTCATGTAAGGTGTGTGACAATTTGACTACTGTTATGCCTAATGTAGAGGAACAGATTTGCTTTTTTCTATTTTTTTACTGTGCCTTTGATTTTGATATTGTCCTGACAACTGTAGACTGTTTATGATGTATGATAGAGGGACCATTTTTTTAAATGCCTTGTGGTTTTCCATCGATTTTCTCAGTACCTTTAAGGAGTAGTGCTTCACAAGTAACCAATTATTCAAAACTGTGACAACATTTGAGAAAGAAACAAGACATTGGTGATATGCTTTCATGACGAAAAAAAAAACATTTAACTCAGTGAAATGCATGACAAAAGCGCACACACATGACGCATACTGTCTATTTACACAGGCATGACATGTTAACTGTCCCTCTGACTGTCCTATTACGCAGTCCAATTACAAGCATAATCATAACAATTACAATTTCCTCAAATGTGATTGGTGAATCGGCTGCTTTATATTTCACTAATCACTCTGTACAGTTGTAATCAGACAGTTGGCTGTAATCGGACACCTACAATCAGACAACTGAAACAGCCAATCATACTAAATCCACTCAGCTAGATCCACCAATCACAGGATTGATCACAATAACCACAGCAACAACCACTTACCCTGAAAAGAAAACTGGGAAAATTCCAAATTTTTTGCTTTAGATATTTTCTTACTGGAGATGTTTGTCCTAAATTTTTTTTTTCGGAAATTGTAATTATTATGATAAATTGGTAACAGGACTTCGTATCGTCCTGTTCTGTCTGTAATCATACTCGTGATTGTCTGTGATCAAATCGAACTCCCGCTTCACGGTCGTCTGATTTTGTTAATCACTAGTATGATTACAGACTGAATTGGACTCTGTTCTATTAGTGCTCAAATCGGAATGATAGTTACCAATCGCGTTCGCAAATTTTGTGATAGTTTTGACGGTTTGTAAAAGAAATTATAACGCGATTTCCCAATTGTTTGGTTCGTAAAATGTAGAACGTGTCCGTCTTGGAAGTAGACCTTTTCCGTTCACGGAGTCTGGTCCCTCTTTTTGTGCGTAAGCTTAACTAGACTCTTTCTGCAGCACTCATGACATGTGTTGACTTCTTCACTATTTTAGAGATCTTTTTGGGAGTTTTTGCTTTACGGGAGACATTTTTGGTAACGGCTACTTCGTCTTGTTCTCTCAAATCATCAAAGAAGTTTCTGTTGCAAAATTTGCTGTTGTAGTAGCTGTGGCTGTCTATTCAAAACGTTTTTCTCTAGCGTAGCTTGAATCATTTTCTGCATATAAGCTTCTAAACGGTTCATTCTGTTGTCAATAGTAGATTCTGATAGATTGTCAATAATAGATTTGAGGCGCTTCCCGTTTCTTAAGCTTTTTACGAATTGAGATTAGCTAACACTGAGGGATTGCAACAGGCTGTCATGGCTTTTGGCAAGAAATGCTCATAACGACCATTTTAAATCAGATAGTGAACAATGTCATAAAAGGCTACCATTTTTACTCAGGACCATTTGGTACCCAATTCAGGATCATGGTCACCATCACTGTCGCCTCAACAGTATTACCAACTAGTCCTTAGCACTTATGATGCCTTTGCTGAGAACATGCCAGTCATAAGTAATTAGGTCTCTGTTTGACATGCAGGATGAAAGGCACACTTGTCACGGAGAACTGTTCTCTGAAGTTGTCACTAAAATCGTCTGCCAGTCAGCACAAGTAAGCTACACTCATTCAGTAAAGTGTGATCACCGTCCGGATTATTTGTCACATTTGAAGTTGGCATTATATGATATTAAACGTAAATTATAATTATTTCTTATTGCTAGATTGTTGCTGTTGGTGTGAATTGTTCTCCTCCACAATTTGTAAAGGTGTGTATTTAAATACCTGAATAAATTTCGTACCCAGATCCTACCTTACAACTACTTGACCGCGGAAGGTCTGGGTACGTGACTGTGCCTGAATACCGACAGTTTGAGGATATTTGTTTCAGAAGAATTCAACTTAGGTTATGTGTTTAATGAACCTTCGCTTGGTGTAGCGTTTCCCCTCCCACTCCCCCTGCCAGTAACTTTCTTTTTAACAGTTCTTATTGCAGAGCATCCAAGGAAAGGTTGATCTTCCCCTCATTGTTTATCCTAATGGCTTCGATGATGGAAAGTGAGTGTTGATTTATTCCATGTTATATATTTCTTTCTTTATCTGTTTGATTGACAATTAAACCGAATATAAATCATTTGAATGTGGTGAATATTTATTTTAAGGGATACTAGTCCGAGATTTAATACATGGAAGAATACATTCATTTCCATTAATGGTTACAGTGCTATTTACGATCTTCATGTGATGTGGCAGAGGTACTCAATTAAGTGTAATCAGGGATAGTACAGTGGGAGATGTGCTTCAAGACACACCCTTGATGTTCCATTTCTGATAAAATACGTTCCCATTTTGAATGATTATATTTTATCATAAACGGCGTCCCTTTCCAGTTCAGGGGTGCAGCCATAGGGAGTTCCTTTGCGTATGAGAATCACGAGTGATCTTCTGTGGGACCATCTACAACCCCAAAACGTTTTTAAGAAGCACCCAGAATCAGTTCTCTATCTCTGGACGTGTACACCGCTAAAAAGACTCATTATATTGTTAATGTCATATGATAGCAACGGTTCATACCACCTGAGGAATGCAACTGTAGTGCTTCTCCACCAACAGAAATTATTATCCCTTCAGATTCGTCTGGGACGACGATGAACATCAAGTTTTATCTGGTCATGTAATGGAGTGGATAGCAGCTGGCGCTCGTTGGATTGGTGAGGGTGAAGTTGTGGGTACTTCCCTGTATTTGTGTGATAACTTTTAAAACTTCACTTCCTTTCATGGTAAAATAGAGGGGAAATGTGCTCCAACTAGCTAAAGATACTTATTCAAGTTTCCATTCATTTGACCTTAAGGCCCCATTCTTCGTGGCCCACCCTTCCCAAATTATCATGGGGTGTGTCTGAAATTGGAAAGGCGCGTTATGGATAGTGCGGATAGGAGCCCGGTTCCCTTAATGTTGTACGATGAGCGGTAACCCTGCCTCTTGGCCATAAAGACTTCAAGAATATTAGATCCTTCTATGTTTTCAGTATTTCTCCGTTCCTTATTTCCCCTCTCTTCTACGGGGAGGGGGGAGTACTTGCGCTCAATTGCCACGAGCTCACTGATTCTCCCCCTCCCTTTAAGAATTAATATATTCGCCCTCGTTTTTCCCCAATTTTGCGCAAAAGTGAAATAAGATTTCACGGAACTCGTGCCTTCAAAAAAAAAAAAAAAAAAAGAAAGCAGGTATTGATACCCCAACTCCCGTCTGTCTTATTTCATGTGGAGGCGTTTAGCCCAACAACTTCGCCTTCAGTTTTCGCCAATTTATCCACCGACAAAATGTGTTTCACACCAAGACGAGTGCATTCAAGGGTCGTGGATATCATTTAAAAGATCAATAGTTGAAGCAGGGTGAAGGTGAAGGGGTGGTTTCCTTCAGAAAGATTTCAAGGTATTGACTTTCGCTCACTGCATCAGGTATTTCCTCTCCTTGGCATGAAAATGAACATGTCAATTTTACTGTGCGCTAAAAGAGATTTTTTTTTTTCTGGGAACGTTTTGTAGGAGGATGCTGTGGGACGCAGCCGAAGGACATAGCCAAGATAAGAAAGATAGTCGAAAGTAATGGGTAATCATCAACAGATTCGATTTCAGTCTCGGACTTTATCAAGGCCCTTCGGGTTTTACGTTAATTGCTCCCTGCAGATCTCAGGGACGTGGCGGAAGACGAATTGCTGACTGGACGCGAATCACTTCTCTTGTTAGTGTCAATGGATTATTTCAGCCAATCGGAAACAAGAACAAGTCAGAAATTTACAATGGAGTGCTTTTTTGCTTTTTGAGTGTCGTAAAACCAAAGTAATCACAACGACCAATCAGAGGGATGGAAATACCTTCAAGAGCTTAAAGTTTTGCATCTGATTGGTTGAGAGTGGAGTTTCCTAGACCAATCACAGAGCGAAGTAAAGCAAAAAGAAAATTAACCCTGGATTACTTTTGACACTCAATATTGAAAACTACCCAAAACCTGCCTTAATGTAATCGTGTTGAACAACTCAGGTGTCCAATACACTTCGCCACTTCTCCTTTCAGAACAAAGTAAGGCTGACACAACTGAAAATTCCGATAATTGTTTTATTAGCGAGAACGTCCTTGCCAGTATTTGAGTAAGCCAACAGGATATGCACAGTCACAGAAACCAGTTCCATGCACACCAATAACCAAACTTGGTTTGTATCAGATTCCTGACAAGATGCACGTAAAATTATTAAGCACACAAATATCTTCTCCAATTAAAAGCTCTTATGTTAAAAAGAAAAACGACATTTTGAGCAGTAACTGTCCCGGGATAAAATATCTCTGATTTGTTTTCTTTTCAATCAGGCAATACCAGCAATATCGAACTGCTGCATTCTGCCGTCATCGATATGAAATGGCTCGCACAATCTTTTCAAGGTTTCTGAATTTTTTTTCGAGAATGGAATCAACCAATCGGTAAAATGAATAGATTTTCGGTAACAGGACGATCCAGTTATTTGAAAGCAAAGAAATGAATAGTGACCGTTTTCCCTCTTGAGAACATAGAATAGATTTCTCGCCGGTTGCCAGGAGTTCTACCGAGAAGCTTCAAGACCTCGTTCAATTGCTGTACATCGCATCCAGTGTCTGCCTGTAGTACGATGTGATTTGTTTCCGTCTGAGCTTCATGGCAGCGGTAACAAAAACGGTGTCAGGGGTCCACTGTTCCGTGACAAGGGTCAACCGCTGAGGGATCTCGAACTTCTCAAGACGCACTGCAAGAAAGAGAGAAGTAACGTGTCACCTTATACACCTGAACCGTTTGAAACGGGTTTCCTTCCTTGAATGCATGTTAGGAAGAGCACCACTTTGTAACCAATGAGGCCGGGAAACACAAGTGGACAGCCCTTTTTGACAGTACGCTTGGTATGTACTACCGACTTCACCACAAGCCTCTGCGATCATTTCAAATTTTCAAAGTACAGTGGAAACTCCATTTACGGTGCGCTCTTGGGACCAGGGCGAGAGTCCCTTTAATGGTGGTTTCCCTTCAACAGAGGAAACAGATACAAAGACAACATGAACATTTATCCGAGACCAAAGTTTGTGTTCCCAGAACGGAGAGGTTCCTCTGTAATTAACAGTTGCGTGGCTTCTGCGGGGAAAAGATTCTGTCGCTAGGACTAAACAGAAATCTCCATGCCACACAAAGCGAATTATTGCTGTGATATTTCCTTGCGACTTATGGCGTTGTGTTTAGCGACCTGAAATTTTCTCAACTTTCTACCGGGACGTGTGCGCGCTCTTAATTCAAGTGACTTACAAGCTTTGCCGAGAGCCTGCAGATCGTTGAGGACTGCATCCTGGATGGCTCTATTTCTGCACTGTTCAGCCATGTCATCAGTATGCACGCCGAGCGACACTGCTAGGGCCTTGAGCTGTTTAGGGCGTGGCACCACCAAGCACACCACAAAGGTTTGACAGCTCTCTGCATACACACACAAAGCTTCCACATACTGACTTTGCGCAAGTGCTGCTTCTACTTTGCCGAGAGACACGTACTCTCCAATCTGCAGCTTTACAAGATCTTTCTTGCGATCTGGATGGGAAAAGAAACAATGAAATGAAAACTTTAGCCTGAAGTTTTTCAAGTTTGTCATTTGTCATCAAACACTGATTCCTCACCTATGATTTTCAGACATCCATCAGGATGGAACTCTCCGATATCACCAGTATGGAACCATCGCATACCGTCTCTGTCTTCTTTGAAGTCTTCAGCCGTTTTCGTTGGATTTTTGAAGTAACCACGGTTCACAACTGGACCGCCAATAACAATCTCTCCTCTGGGGTAAGGTTTATCCGTGACGTTGTAATTACCTTCACAATGTAAATAGTGTTAAGTTAACCCTTTACGTCAGTATGCATAATCTTCATACTGTGTTCTATACATAACTTAAGGTGCTGACAAGGAGAATTAGCTTAACGATCTAGAGCTTCTGTAGTTGTTGATCACCTCCATTATTCTCATGACCTTAGTGTGTGATTCAGGGGTGACATTGTCTCTCTTAGGGGTTACAGGGTTAACGATTGTTTTCATTATCTAGTGTGACCTTGCGATTCAAATCTAAAAAGGGTCAAGGATTTTTAAGTGCAATTCGATTGAGAGACGTTAAATCAAAACCAAAATGATCACAAAACCAGTCGGATGAAAAAGAATTATGACAGGGTGCCCTTAAAAGAAAGAGGGAAAACCACACGGTCCTAAACGCTAAGAACGCGAGTGACGAAGCGGTGGGTTTAGGCTTTACATCTGATCGGCTGTTGATCAAATGTCGTCATGATCATGTTGAACCTCAGTTTGTTGAACTCAAAATTTGTGGTATTCGACGTCTTGAAGTAAGGTGAGCGCATGCGCTGGCCATGTCTTCTTTTCATGCAAAAGTGAAGAAATTCGCGACATTTTCAGTTTACAACTCACCTTCCTCCCAGTTAACAAGCTTGATTTGGGCTGAAGACACAGGAGGCCCAACACGACCAGTTGTCTTGTCCCATGCTACAATTAATCAATCAATCAATCAATCAATCAACCAACCAATCAATCAATCAACCAACCAACCAACCAACCAACCAACCAACAGAAATGTCAACTAAGCGTTATGTGTGTAAATCGACTAAGAAAGATGCAAAGTTCTTGAGCTTCAGGATAGTCTTTTTCTTTAATCATCCCACAGTTGCATCAAATAAAATCTTCCTTGATCTGAACAACAGACACAAGTTACTATCTTCCTCAATCTATTCACGACCTTTCAGATTACTTACCATTGCAAACAGTTCCTGCTCCACACACCTCAGTGAGACCATACCCCTGACCAACAGGACAACAGAAGCACACATTCATAAAGAACTCGGTGTCCTCGGACAAAGGGGCTCCACCACTAATGATCTGGCGCACACGACCCCCTAGTAGATTTCGCATCTTGGAGAAAATGAATCTGGAGAAACACATAGGGACTGATGTCATGGAGAGAGTCAGGGAAACAGCACAAAACCTTTCCCATAACCTCTGTGAATCAAAGCTGGGCAACAGTATTGAGAAGTGAAAAAACTCACAACTGCTCCATCCATCCGTGAAACACGATTAGGAAATATCTCAACCGCAAACACGATTGGGAAGAACTTTATCACAACTGATTTTGAATATTATTTGAAGTCCCTTTACTTACATCATGTTAATTCCTCTGGGGCCCCACCCTAACCGATTCTTTTTAACTCCTCTGACAGATAGTTTCAAGGAGAGACAGGCTTAATAAAGATCACATCATCTGGTGTTGAAATTCGTATCACTAAACGAATCAAAATTTATATCACCGCTTTTTACGATGGAAATGATCTCTTTCCCGTTTAACTGAAGTCAAAGTTTAGCTGGAGTCTTGTAGAATTAATAAAACTCATACCAAGTACATAATTAACCACTTGTTACAGCTAGGAAAAACCTTCCCCTTCCCACCAGTTATCCAAAACTTTTCCTATGTATTCACATACTGTAGTTCTCAAAGACTGTGTAAACCTCAGTCTCCCCTAACAAATATTACTCATGAGATATAAGCGATCCTTGCAACTATGAAAACTACTGAAATAGTAGTTGAAATGAGACCTGAAAGAAATTCAGGCCCGTACAGGATTTGAAATTTTTTACAGGCCTGAATTTTTTTCAGGTCTCATTTAATCTACTAGTTCAGTAGTGTTCATAGCTGCAAGGATTGCTTATATCTCATTTCTTCACCGCAGTGCACATATAATTTTCATATATTTCCAGTCATCAAACATTACTCATTTTTACCATAATTATGGTTATGTCCATCACTCGGCAAAATTTACCTGTTAAGAATAGGTGTATCATAGCCAAGTTTAAGCTGCTTCAACTTGTAGCTGTAAGCAAATGAGAAAAACAGCTGCAGAAGACGAGGACCCTCTTTGACCTTCTCCATGACATTTTGCCTTATCCTATCCATGACTGTTGGAACTGCAGCCATTACAGTTGGTCTAAGAACTGATAAATCTCCTTTTGTTCCTTTCTTGATTTTAGATGACTACAGATAAAGAAATAAAATTTCAGCACAATAACAACCAAATTGTTTCAAACACCACCTAATAAGGCTTAAAAATAAGTTGAAATTTCTTGTCACAATTTGGTAATTTTCGTTCCATACCTTTCAAGGAAAGGTATCTGAAAATTAAGATACTCAATGAACAGAGAACTGAAATTTCAGAAAAAAAAACACAAAGTTGTGGTTTTCTGTGTATTTTGTTATCATTAAGATGCACTGCATTCCAAGTGCCTTGCAATTAGGAAGGAAAAAAGGAAACATAAATGATTTACCTGATCAGAGAGAGTGAGAGTAGTGGAATATCCTATAGAGGCCCCATGAGCAAGTACTGCATTTTCTACAATGTAAAAAAAAGGAATAATGCCAACATCAGTCCTTGATCATTAACAACAAGTTTTGACTGTTTTCATAACAAAAAACATCACACAAAAAAACATAACAGTAACAACAACAAACAAGTCAAAAGACAGAAATAAAGGAACTAAGCAAATCTCTTCTTGCAGATGCACACAACATGTTGCATATTAGGTACAATAAATAACTTGTCTGTAATTATTACCTGCCAGTAGTTCTAGGACATGTGCTAATGGAAGATAACCAACATAGATATCTTTTTCACTGGGACAAATAAAATAAAATAAAATTCATTACACAACATAACAAACCATTTGCAAAAGGGCAAGCCAAGTTCATCCTACATTTTATTCTTTTTTGCCTTGGAAAGAATCATACTCTGCATTTGAAACCTGAACTTTCTCATACTTTGTAGAAGCTTAATTGTGTTGTTCTGATCAATTTTACCGATCATCAAGTCACTATTAAACCAGTCCAGTAATAATACGATGAAGTAAAAACACCCTGGCCTTCAGTACCTCAAAGATGGCTGCACTCTACCAATAACACCAGCAATAGCAGCCATTAGTGCACTGTGAGGAATGATGACACCTACCAGAGAAAATAACCACATGCTCTGTTACCTAGATTCAATGTTGTCTGTGGCAACCGTTTTTTTTTGTACATGTGAAAAAGGATGACTAAGTTACATAAAATACAATGTAACCTATAGATCACATTAACATTCAAAATCACATTGGCAAATAACTTCTCGCCTGATAGCAGTACATTTACCACAAATATCTTTCACTGACAACTTAAAAGTAAAACTCAGGAAAACAAACAAATTATCATAAGGTCTTGACACTCAAAGTGTTTTCAATATAAATCTAATTAAATCTCTTCTATGTTATTTTTCATTATAACGTCTAAAATGAAAAGATGTTTTATAGTTCAGTATCAGCCCTGACAGCAAACCCACCTTTAGGAAGTCCTGTTGAACCACTTGTGTACATTATAACTGCAACATCACTAGGGCTCGGACCTTTCCTGATCATGGATGCTACGAGATAATGACAAATGTACAATCATCATTCTCAGTTGACAGGTAAGCCTTACAAATTATTTTAATACTATTCCTGCTGGTACCAAATTGGTGTTCCAGTCCCCCTCTATGTTTATAATTATTTCCTTACTGATGCTAAATAAGGTTGCAGTGTTTAGAAAATGTAGAGTTCCTGTCAAATGCCTCAGAACCAAAACCATGTTTAGTTGCAATGATGAGCGAGAGAAATATTACATTTACACATACATACTCTGCATAACAGAGTATACTATACATGTAGCCAACTTTGCCTTAAGTTAACTAACTGTGAATAAAGTGAATTTGAAGTAGTATTAGCAAAGGTGTCAATAAAAGCCTCTTATTAGCAGTCTAACACCACCTCTCACCACTGTCTGTTTAGCCTGCTAGCAGGGTCTTGTGTTTTGGTTTTGCCTTACGACACAGCCACCCATAACACCACCAGCAGCCACATATGGAACAAGTTATTGAAACCTCTGTATTAGTGAGAAAGCCCATACTTGTGAGTTTTTTCCATTAACTAAAGGGATTAGATCTGCTTTGGCAAGTGAAACAGGCTGATTTTTGTTGCTGCATTTCTTTTTGCCTAGGGACAAGGAATGGATGATGTCTTGCAAATTTTGTATCAATCATACCATCAACTTGTGAGTTGAGGCATGTATGAATAAAGAGTTGATGACCATCACAAGTGCTATTGTAGCAGTGCATATGGCATACATGTGATAAACATGCAATTTTTTTCAGTCAAAAGTTTCATACTTACTATCATCTTGTGACTCTCCAATCTCTTCCACTTCATGCATGGAGTGGACCTTTACTCTCCTGGAAAAACCTAGAAGGGCAGATTTCTTTACAACATTTCCAAGGTACACAATGTGCTCAACTTTGGGTAGCCTATCAATGAGAGCCGAGAGCTTGTGAAGCAGAGAAGCATCTGTGATGATAAATCTTACATCTGTTTCGTTGATGCCATGGATGAGAGCTTCGTCCCCAAGTGTGGCATAAACTGTAACAACTAAAAATAAAGGACAAGGATGTAAAAGTTCATTATTAGCCCTTTCATTCTTAGGGGTGACTGACATCTAACTTCTCTGTACAGTACAACTGCTGAATCAAACATTTAGGTCATAGAAAATAAAGGAAATGATCATCAACTAAGGAAGTTTTGATTGTAAAACAAGATCAGGTTTAAGTTTTTATCTTGATCTAACACCAAATTCTTCTAACTAACTTAAAAGTAAGCGTCTGGAAGCTGGAAAGGAGAATTAACAATCAGATCTTAGGTTTTAAAGGGTGAATCATCCTTACGTTTTTCCTTGGTGTTTGTCTACCCAAGCAAACCATTATAAACAAAGATTCCTTTCAATTTTCAACTACTCAGAAGGAAAAAACAAAATAAAGAGACAAAGCTGCTTGAATGTTTACTTCAAGAGCTAAAAAATGGAGGAAGATGTAAAAAACCTACGTGGAAAATTTTGAGCAAAGCATCCCTGTGCAGCAATCATCCAGTCAGCCTTTGTTTCAGAAAATATCACAATATTTTCCCTGACTTGCTGCCCTAGAGCAGCCAATCCTTTTCCAAATGCTCTAGCTCTGACATCAACTTCAGCATATGTCAGCCAGCTGTATTCACCACACACAAGTTTCTTGAACACACGTCCATTTGGTTGCATCTCATCTTCTTCCTTGATTATTTCTCGCGTTCCAAGACATTTTCTGTATGGATATAAGTTTACAGCTCGCCTGAAAGACAAAAAGTCCATATATGAGTTCAGTGCTTTTAGATACAATGATAGTACAGAATTTCTTGCTTTCATCCTCCACCATTAGAGGCAATATATCTCCCAGCTTTAGACAAAAAAAAAATTATAAGCATTTAACTAGTAATGTGTCCAATCATCTAAGTTTCAATATCTACAAAACTATGCCTTGTACAAACAACCAAATTTTCTGGTTTTTTTTTTCCTTCAATAATTTACACAAAAAGCTCATTTCTCTAAGCAGTTCAACTCTATACCTATTTCATGGAAACTTGCAAGAAAAAGGTTTCTTTAGGTTGTCATTAAAATAATAATCCCTTTAAGAAGCTACTTAGCAAAAACCAAGAATTATCTGGGAATTCACCTGAAATAGTCACTAAATCATGTGGAAAAAGTAGGAAAATTCTGGAAAATTGACTTATACTGGTAAGGCCTGTTTGACAACACTCTTCAATCTATAAAGGTGGCTAGAGTCCAACACCACAGTTAAAGTTGCAATAGACTTCTTAAATGACACACATTTGGCCTCGAATGAAGACTTCAAGAGGTTTTAATTCCAAAACAAAACAAACAAAGTGACACATTGAGTTTCTAAGTCAAATTCCAATGTTAAGTTCAAACTTGTGGATATGACTCACTAAATTATCGAAACATGCATGCCACACGTGAATACAAATAAAGACACTAACGGGGGAGAGGAGAAGACACCACGTGCTAGACATGTTTAAACCGCCTCTGACAGGAGCTGATGCCCCTAGACCTCCTCAAACTTCATGGCCAACGATTAGAATTACCTGAACATATTGGTCGGAAAGCTTAACATTTTTGTCAAATTTAAAACGACCATCTTGGGAATGGATTTACATGGTTAAGTTTTTAGAGTGTAAATTATTCTACTTAAATAATTACAGTTTTTATTAGTTTTTAATTATATAAACACCTTTTCTCCTATATTTATTTGTTGAGAAAACCCATCCATAAATTAACGAAGTGGGAATCCTAAATTAAGATTTAACGTAGCGTTGATGTTAGAGGATAAGATTGTTTGAAATTTTACATTTACAAAGCCTTCAGTAAATTACAACACTCCTCTCTCAGTGATTGTCACTTTGAATTCCAGAACACACATACTATGTCCTTATGCACAGGGTTTTCAGTAAGAATTGCACCAGCAGGAGAATATCGTAAATTGACAGGAGAATATCCTCATGTCGGAATAAAGAATAGCCTAACTATTCAAATTTAGCAAAAGTATTCTGCAGATTATCAAGAGAATTCTCCAATCCTTTATGCCTTTAGTATGGAGAAACATGATCCTGATAGAAATATGACCAGACTAATGCTTTCTTGATCTCACCACAAATCTTTACTCATCTAATTAAAAAGGAAAAGAGTGGCATATCAAAGAGAATCTATATATGACACAATCATGGGAGTTTAGTAGTTTTCTGGCTAGAGAGTATAGTATTTGATGACAGCCAAAATTGACAGTTACATGGAACAAATTATGGAAGGTTAATATCTAGATTGCATGTGATGAAAGCAAAACTGTATTGTATGCCAGTCACATTGGAGGGAATTTTTGTGGGCCACATTGCAATATATTTGTATCACAAGATAGAATAAAAGAAAAACCTTGCAATGAGCTCTGAAAGGACTAGAAAGTTCTATGAAGCTTTCAAACTTCAAACATGTAGACAACAAGCACATTGCTGTTTCTTGGTCAGCTTATCATTTACAAAGATAATTCGTAAGTATTTCCCAGCTGAAGGATTATAGGATAAATGATTTATTTTGAGTAAGTCTCAGACAAATTAACAATCAACAGGAATTTGTCTCAGTTTTTAATGCTTTGCAGTCTTAACAGTTCGCCATTGACAACAAACGATTCACGTAACATTGCCAACCCAGGGGATGAAAGATGAATAATTTGGCGTGAATGACTTACAGCGAAATGTTGAAATCTTGTACACAATCACGGATATTGTGTCTGGTAAATCATGCGAGATCTCCGTAAGTCTGAGAAATGATATTCATATAAATCTTCAGAGAAAGATCTCTTCTCGTTGCTTTCTATACAAGTGCAGTCATGGATACAATAATTTTGAATTTTCCACAAGGAATTAACTTCCTATCCCCATACGTGGTTAAGTGCTTTTCCAACAAATCCAGTCCTTAAATTTAAAACTCGACAAGACAAGACTAATTAAAATTGGTATATCCGACCCCACCGACTCGCAAAACAGCTTAAATTTGTTTTATTCTAGTATCGCGATACTTCAAAGGAATATCAATATCATAAGACAAATGGCAAAGTAAATATCTTGGCACAATGTTCGTAACAAAAAAATCACACAAAAAAACACACTTGACTTGGGCATGCAACAATCTAGGATTTGTCCATGCTACGTGTTTTATGCCTGTTACCGAAACACTATGAACACACGATGTCGACAAAATGTAAAAATAACCTTTGATCTTTGATCAATATAGTTAGAATCTACGGTAACCTTGAATGGCCTTGCTAGGTGTACTATGTACCAAGTGATAGAGGCCATGAGAAATTAACATCAGACATAGACATTCAAGTTCCAAAACTCGAAAATTAACTCGAAACAGGTTTCAGTTCTCAAGAAAAATTGTAATTTTCGAGACACATAAAATTTCAAGATACATCTTTTCAAAACCGCGGTACAAAATGTTGACCTATTGAACTGAAATCTAAAACCTCTGCCATGCTTTTGGTCGCATGTATTTACATCGAACGGGAAATTTTGTTTTCACAATACTGAGCCATCGTAATTTACACTCATACTCGACAATTTCAGGCTCGCGTAACACAAATTACATTTTTTCCTCAAATCAAAACTTCGAATTGTTACTCACTTGAACATCTGATCCAAAGTTGTGACACCATCGTAGAGAGAAGTCTTCAAAGAGCTGAGATGTTCTACACATCGATATGGTCCACCGGGACAATCTTTAACTGGTAAAGCTTGTACATTATGTTTGGGTCGATACTGCTTTCTACCGACAAAATAATACCACGGTAAAAAGCTCACAATACCCCACAACCAACCGGCAACGTTAAGGCCGAAGAGAAACACCTTCTCTACCAAAGAGGTTTCCATACTACTCACGTAGTGTCAACAGAGTGTGATCATTAATAAGAAGATGTACGTTGTAATCGTACAAAGTCCACGCGACTTTTGCAACCCGCCGTTAGCATGCGCGCGCATTTCACTAATCACTCCACTTTTTTACGCCGTCCAAATCCCAAACCAGACAGAATTTTCACGACTCAACACGCCTGCGACAATGTTTCATCTATTTTTAGCCTTGTAATGTTCTGAAAAAAGGGGTTTGTAAGAGTTCAGTGGAAGCGAACACGTCAGTGAGTGAACGATTCCTCGATCTTTGATCAAGGTCGCTAAAGGACTGTGACGTCATAAATAGGTTTGTTCCGGCAGGATCCGGCTGTTACGGCTAACACTTCAAGAGCAGGGGGAGGGTAAACAATTTTGTCAGCGAGGGTGTTGCGACTGTAGTGGCTATTCTAGTAAAATTTTGATATTTTTTAGGCAAGGATTTTTTTTCTCTCCCTTACTATGTCTTTCCCCGTTTTCAAGATACACCGCACGTGCGTGCGAGAATCGTGAAACATGAACTGTATAATGTGGGATAATCACTCTCCCACTTAATAAATTGGTATGCCATCGTATTTCCATTGTTTTATTTTTTTCGGTATGGAAGGGCGAACTTCCGTACCGAAAAAATATAAAAATGGAAATACGATGGCATAACAATTTATTAAGCGGAAGAGTGATTATCCCACATGATACAGTTCATTTAAATCATGCCCTAAATCTTGCAACATGACGAAATCAGACAATGAAGTCAATCCACAACTGAAAGCGAAGTCCATTCATCCGTTTGGAGAGAGGACGAATCAGAGCTTTCTCACATGATTTTGGGCCTGATGGAAGTCCAAGTCCAGCGCGTGTCCTTCATCCGCCATCTTGATCTTGTCACTTAGGGTTTTTACCGGGATGAACTGGATTCAATCTTTGACAGGTATTTTCTTACTAGTGCTAGACAAGTGCTCAGCTCGATTTCCACCCCTCTCTGGTGTCCGGTCTTTGCTCCTCTCCGGGTTCTGGGGCAGGGGTAGGGGAGGAGCGCGGGCTCATATTCCAGAACAGCGGCCGATTATCGAGCCTAGACAAGTGCTATGCTTGTAAGAAATTCAGCGTACGCACTTAAAACAATTTTACATGTAGTCGCCTATGAAGCATTCGAATTTTCGACTCCTTGCATAGACAAATCAACAAAAATAACAGCATACGCCAGCAGCTAATTTCTCTGCGCGTCTCATAAGAGTTCTTTTAATAGTCACGCTTGAAATTTTTTCATCAGTACGAGAAATATGATGCGCTGAATAAGAAAACCCTTCCAAAGACTAACAAATGAATGATTAACAAGTAAATTATAGCGTTTCATAGATTTCACGACAAAAAAAGAGAAAACCTTCCTTAAATTAAACTTCAGTAAATTTGGTAAGTTGGAGAAAGTTTTGAAGAAATCACAGCCTAATTAAGCGACACCTTGTGATAGAGTCTCTCTGTTGAGAATGATCCGTTGACCTCTCCACTTAAGTCTGGAGACATGTGTGTGGACGGGGTCTAATTATAAACCAGAATCTAAAGGGAGAACCATTGGAACCAGGGTGGAGGGAAATCTTCGACAAACGGAAACAGTCACGCCTCAAGATGTCTCTCGGGAGGGTGCTGTCACGGTGGTTTAATATTTTGTTTATTAGTATTGTTACCATTATTCTTATTATTTCCTCCATTTCAACAATCACAACCTTTGAATAATTACAACAAGATAAAGAAAATGGCGAAAGGCATAATATAGCAAGCTAATCAGGTATTCCCCTCTAGTCTCTAGTCTCGTACCCAGACCTCTTCACGGCTACGAGGTTGTAAGCTCTCCAACACTTGGGGCCCTACATTGAACGGCTACATCCTGAAAATAGAAAGAATAGAAAAGATATTCGTCGATAAGTTAAAATTCTTAACTTTAATTTATCCAACAAACAAACGCGTAATGAAAATAATTTTGGAATGATTTTATATGTTAGAGGAGTTAAGAAAAAGAGAACGAAATTTAGAGGTAAGAGGCTAGAAGGAGGTCCGTACTATAAGTCAAAGACTGAGTTTTTTTTCTACTCTGATTTATGGTGCGAACTGCGCGGGCCTCAATGCCGAGCGCAAAAAAAAAAAAAAACAAGTTCCCTAATTTATAGTATGGACAGAGAGAATGAAGTCAGTAAGACATTTATTATAAAGAAGGGGAAATTATTTTTTATTCCAACGATCGACCGTTTCTTATCGTTTATGCTCAGATGATTGGTCGATAAATATTTACTTCTTAATTTTAACAAAAAGGGATTTATTTACTTATTTGGTTCAGTTCTGAACGAGAAAAAATTGAGAAAGATGGTCCACCATACGGGTTTTAAGAAAATGTGGATTTACCTTTGAGACAAATCGGCCATTTCTAATAGTGTTCTCTAAACTTTCCCGAACTGTTTCTCAGAAGTACACGTGATTAGTTATCTGTTCGAAGCTGATAAATGCAATGAATAACCACAGGAAAGAATTTCGAAAAGCTCACGTTAATCTTCCATGCAGAGCAAAGTAGAGAACTGTGGGTCGGGTACGTACGTTTATATCTGTCGAGATTGTGGAATTGCACCATCGGAGCAAGCAGAAATAAATAAATTAAAGGTTAAGATGACAAGTATTCGTTGAATTCACCGAAGCAAAGTCGATAAGTAATATAAAAGTTTGTTTAGGTTCTCTAAGCGGAGGGAAGATCGACAGTCAGAATGCGCAATGCAATACATGCATTGAAACGCATCTTAGTTCTATGTACTTACTTTAACTGATAAACATAATTGGTCAAAACACCGCCAATACCATCTTTACAATTGCTATCTTCCGCTACTTCGTAGGTATTGTAAGCCTCCCCTAATGTTTTGTCCGTCCAGCACTCGCCATTGTTTTGCAACGCAAAGTATTCGATCATCTTGTCACGTGCGACGTATGCACATTGCAGGATTGTATACCCGGGATCGTCTTTATTTCGTTGAGCCACGAAGGTTGCAAATTTATCTTTGAGAAGCCTCTTAGAGCCTTTGTTCTCCTTGAAACAGCCAATTGCATTAGGCGTTGGCTTTGACTCTGGAAAAAAAATGGGAAGTTGATAGTCTCTGCTGTGCCAGTTTTCATTCGTCATTAACTAAGGAGCATTTCAGCTTAAGAAGTGTTCTAGAGGAAAGTGATTTTAGAGGGCTCGCTATTAGTAGGCCGCTATCATCCTAGCTGCAATTCACCACTTTTATAATTTTAATTTTTGTCATCTTAACAACATAATATATAGATTTAGCCAAGCCTAAAAGCGGAGCTTGCATTTTTTGCCAGGTCCTCTTTTATAATTATGGGGCTACGCTCTGTGAGCTCCGCTATTACAACTGGACCAGACTTGCGTCTCCTTCAACCTTTCCCGACGGTAACCCAGAGCCAATGTTATAGCCAAGTAATACCGAGGGTCAATGAAGAAACATATGTCACAAGCTAGCTACTCAGATTGTTGTGTTATTCATCCGCTTTCACTTTAAACTCACCAAATGTATACACTTGAATGGAAAATTTTATTCCTATACCGTTCTTGCAATCTTTGGCAGCAGCGGCCCCTTTCGCGTAGTAATTTTTTTTAGCAGTGCTACTGGACAAGCATTTTCCCTTATCGCCCAGTGCGAAATGGCTGTAACCTTTATCAAATGCAAGCTCTGCACACTCCAGAATGTAACTATTGAAGTTTGCTGGTTCATAGTCTTTGTTAGGATATGCAAGAACTTCTTTAAAACCAGTCTTCGGTATCTTGAAACAACCAATATTATTGAAAGATGGTACTAGGATAAAAACAAAACGAACGTGAAGCGAAAAGGCTGTTCTTTTGTACACATGTTCACTAAAACAGATTTAAATTACTCAACAAGTCGCTAAATTGTATGTTATGTTTGAGAGACTTAGGACGAGGTGGCTAGCTTTATAGCTTTAAGACATTTTTATTTTCTCTCGCTGATAACTTCTAAACTGTGCTCACCACTAACTAATTTAACTAGCTGCACATTTAACAGTTCCTTTTTTGCCTTTTAAGTCAAAGTACCATTTTTCAGGACTGGGATGGAGTATTGGAAAAGTGATGGGGGGAGGGGTGGAGAATTGGGGATTTTGGAGATGCAGAAAAAATATGGCTTGTATTTCTAAGGAGGAAAACCGCTTTTTTTCTCTTTATGCACCTTTTTTGTTGTTTTTTTTTCCCCATTTTTCTAATAGTCTGTCCCTCGTATTTTCTCGGATCTTTCAGCGAACGCTCTCTAGACAGGTTGAGATCGTTGGAGAATTTTTACCTTACAGCAAAGATCTATGTAGCATGAACTGCCCTTTTTTCTACCATGTACAGATAAAGACGTCAAATGGATAAATGCTTTATTACATACACTTTTCAAGTATTTTGTTTCACCATTCGATCACCAACCTTGACAATTGACTCCACTAAAGTCGCCTGTGCAATCACAGTGGTATTCTGTGATGTCTTCTTCATCGTTACGGCAAGCTGCTCCATTTACACATGGATCGCTATCACACGGATAGGACTGAACTGAAATCATCAAAACATAGCAGCATGTTGGAATCTCTCGTAGCTTAAGCCCCTTGAATAATGCTCGGTGAACCGATCACAATGAAAAGTCTCTTCTTTGATCGACACTAACCTTCACAATTCTTCCCACTGAACATTTGCTGACATTCACACGAGTGCTGCATAGGATCATCTTTTTCCACCACACAAAATCCATTGTTCTGACAAGGATCATCATCACAACCAGTTGGATATGAATACGAGGCTTGAATACGATACACAAAGTTTGCCATCTCTTTGCCAACTCCACCTACACAATTGTCGGACTTTCCGTACTTATTGTACGTGTCAGCAATGTCTTTACTGGTCCAACATTCGATCTGATTTCGTACAGCGAAATACTCGTGGCCCTTATCTCGAGCTACAGTAGAACAGTACACAATAGCAGCTTTGGGGTCAGAGTTACTTGAAAAGCTGGCATAGTTATCTGTCAGTAACTTCTCTGACTTCTCTTTTTCCACAAAACAGCCTTGTGGAATAGATTTGGGTGAAGATGCTAGAGAAGGATTAAAATGAAGAATTTGAATCAAATTTCATGCGATGGTGCAGGGAAAAGGTTATTAGAACATCAAAAGCAATTATCATCTCTATATATGTTTTCACAGCAAAAAATAAAAGACAGGCGGATATACAGACCGTCAGACAGAAGATCAAAATTAACGAATAAAAGATAGTCAAATCAAAAGAAAATTAAAAAAGACAGGTACTGATGAGGTTTCATCCACCTAAGTATTTAGTACAAGCGCCAGAACCAAATAAGCCTTTGCTTGAACGATAAGACTCAAGGAAAGCTTTCTGTCTCGTTTTCCAAACTTACATGTAATGAAAACTGATTCGTGGGTGTTTGGCTGCATAGTAAGAACCATCCATAAATTAGACTCATGTAAAACAAGAAGTAAACAGCGTAGCTGCAAAGTATTTTCAAAGGCACCTTTGATTACAGCCCACATTCGATTTCAACTCACCAAATGTATAAACATCAACTGTAGATTTACTTCCTATGCCGTTTTTACAATCCTTGGGACCAGTGCCTCCTTTCAAGTGGTATTCGTTGTTAGCAGTTGCACTGGATAAACAGCTTCCTTTGTCACCCAAGGCAAGGTATTTGTAACCTTTCTGGGATGCCAACTCGCTACATTCTTTGACATAAGCTTTTGATTTCGCTTTTGCTGGATCAAAGTCCTTGAAATGACTCGCAAGTACTTCCTTCAAACCAGATTTTGGTTTCTTAAAACAACCAATTTCAATGAATGATGACACTAGAATTCAAAAGGAAAGTGCACGTATCAACATTGACAGGCGGCTATGCTCATCTCCTCTGGTCAAATGGCGCGACTGTCTAATCACAATGAGCTTAACATTTTACAGTTCGTTATCGTCCACAAAAGAAAATTTACTCTCCATAAATAACACTCTGGTACTGATCTTAGGTTTAATTGCGTTATATCCGTGGCAGTTTCCGACTGTAAGAAGGAAACTTAGTTTCGCTTACATTCACTGAGGAAACAACTCCAGTGTATTCAAGATGGAAGGTTTTACCGGAAACAGAAGTTAATTCATTTCGCCGGCAAGATTAAAGGACTGAGTTCCGAGGTACTCGTATAATACCAGATCCTTGTTATGGGTTCAAAGTGCCTTCGATCAGTAGAAGACGCTGTTATAAAAGGACTTTTCTTGTCCAACAGAGCTTACCTTGACAATTGACACCACTGAAGTCGCCCGCGCAATCACAGTGGTATTTTGTGATGTCTTTCTCATCGTTACGACAAGTGGCTCCGTTCTTACAAGGGTTGTTATCACATGGAAGAGATTGTACTTCAAAAAAAAAGAATAGACAAAAATTATGAACTGAAAATGTTTTTTTCCAAGCTCTTTGTGTCGAAAAAGCTACAAAGCCTAAAATTATGTTGAGAGTAACCTTCACAATTCTTCCCACTGAACATTTGCTGACATTCACACGAGTACTGTTTAGGATCATCCTCGTCCACCACACAAAACCCAGTGTTCTGACAAGGATCATCATCACAACCAGTTGGATATGAATACGAGGCTTGAATACGATACACAAAGTTTGCCATCTCTTTGCCAACTCCACCTGCACAATTGTCGGACCTTCCGTACTTGTTATATATGTTTGCGATGTCTTTACTAGTCCAACATTGGACTTGATCCCGCACAGCGAAATACTGATAACCCATGTCTCGAGCTAGAGTAGAGCAGTAAACAACAGTGGCCTTTGGATCCGAGTTACTCGGGAAGCTGGCAAAATTATCAGTAAGCAACTTCTCTGTCTTCTCTTTTTCCACAAAACAGCCTTGTGGAACGGATTTAGGGGCCTGATCTGGTTAAAGAGAAAATAGTTTTGACGATTAGAATCACGTTTGTGTTATCGAAAGGGACATATTTGAAGGTAGAATAGTCTTCTTGGCAACGTAACCTCAGTTTGCAAATAAAATTTTGTACAAGTATTTCGGTCTCTCGAAATACTAAAGAGGTTCTTTGAAAAAAAAAATAGAATTCTTATTTGAATAAAAAAGATTGAAATTACAAGATTTTGTCTTTCAAAACTCCTTCATATTTTATTTACGCTTTCAAAGGTGATATTTTGTGTACCAGTCATCAATGGACTGATTGTTGAGGACGTAGAAAGGGTGGGAAGAGCCTCCACAGTCGTTATCATTCTTGCACTGTAGCTGTAGTTTGTGTTTGCGTCCTACTCACCAAAGGTATACACGTCGACTGCCATTTTACTCCCTATGCCATCCTTACAGCTACTAGGACTGGTTCCTCCTTTTTCAAAGTATTCTTTATCGGCGGTTTTACTCGAAAGGCAGTTTCCTTGATTGCCCAATGCAAAATGGCTGTAACCTTTGTCGAATGCCAGCTCGGCGCATTCATATATATAAGTTTTTACTTTCTTTGAATCAAATCCCTTCGGAGATGTAAGTACCTCCTTAAGACCGGACTTTGGTGCTTTGAAACAGCCAATTTCAGCAAAAGAAGGAACTAGAATTACAAAAACCAACAATCTATCAATATCGGAATATGTATGTGCAAATTAATGTTGAAGCAAAAAGAATAAAGACAGCGAAAACTGACTTTTCTCTCTTTCAGGATCTATAATTGCAGTCCATCTCACACAACAATGTGGACGTCATATCTACTTACATAGATACTAACATACATACACTTTATTGAGCATCCCTGATAAGGTTTTTTTTCGATGATACGTCCAAACTTATTCATTTACGTTCAGAAAGCGTCATGGAATACCTTTGCAATTAATTGCAAGTTATTCGAATCACTTGTCTTATTACCTTGACAATTGACTCCACTAAAGTCGTTCGTACAATCGCAGTGGTATTTTGTGATATCTTTTTCGTCGTTGCGGCAAGCTGCCCCGTTCTTACAAGGTTGGCTATCACATGCATAAGACCGCACTAGGAAATAATTTAAAATGAGTAAAGATGAAAACTTTCCAAGAGAAGTTTGTACATAAATATAGTTAATAACTGATAGTAGATCAACCATATCTCGTTTAAATCACACCAACCTTCGCAGTTCTTTCCACTGAACATTTCCTTACATTCACACGAGTACTGCATAGGATCATTGTTGTCCACCACACAAAACCCATCGTTTTGACAAGGATCATCATCACAACCAGTTGGATATGAATACGAGGCTTGAATACGATACACAAAGTTTGCCATCTCTTTACCAACTCCACCTGCACAATTGTCGGACTTTCCGTACTTGCTGTATGTATTAGCGATGTCTTTACTGGTCCAGCATTGTACCTCGTTTTGTACAGCGAAGTACTCGTAGCCCATGTCTCGCGCCAGAGTAGAACAGTACAAAATAGTGGCTTTGGGGTCAGAGTTACTTGAGAAGCTGGCGTAATTGTCAGTCAGTAACTTCTCTGATTTCCCTTTTTCTATGAAGCATCCCTCAGGGACAGATTTCGGTAAAGGTTCTGAGAATGAAATCGATACAATTGTTAATTGGAATCATATTCCTTTTTCAGAGTAGACGTTAAAAATTTGTCGAACATGTGCAAATCCTTTCGTTGTGAAGCGACACGGGATGGCTAACGAATATCACTTTTACTTCCAATGATTACCGCAGAACACATCCACCGCGATAGGTTTGAGCGTCCATTATTTCGATTCCATCGTAGTCTTCTCTATTCTTAACCTCTGTACATAATTTTAGTCCATTCTAGCCCTTCCAGTTTGTCAGTACCTCCAAAAATTTGGGAAAGATTTCAGCTTTTTTCAAAAAGCAGGTTTTAGTCAAATAAACCGACTCAAATTGTTTGAGTTGTATCGAATGTCTATTAAAGTTAGAATCTTCCAATCTCTTCGAATTTTACTCACCAAAAGTATATACATGGACTGAAGATTTGCTTCCAATGTCATCCTTACAGTCACTGGCTTTGGTACCCCCTTTCTGGAAGTATTCGTTCTGAGCAGTTCCACTCGACAAACAAATTGCTCGATATCCGAGGGCAAAGTGACTGTAACCTTTGTCAAATGCAAGTTCGCCACACTCATAAATATACGATTTAATTTTTTCTGGATCGAAGTCTTGGTTGTGATTTGCCAGTATGCTTTTTAAACCAGTTTTCGGCGTCTTGAAACAACCAATCTCAGAGAAAGGAGAAGCTGCGAAAATAATTAAATGCACGAGCGAATAAATGAATTTAAAAATAAAGGAAAACATAGATCGATAAATTAAACGACAAGAAGATACCAATCTCTACTATATAAAATCGTCACACTGGTAAAAAGTTATAAAAACATCACGATAGCTTAGCGAAACAGTGTTTACATTGAATGATGTATTCTGTGAATGAAACAGGCAGACTCGGAGAAAAAGAATTCCGAGTGCTCGTACCGAAGACCTTCCGATTAGCACTTCGGATGCTCCTTCACTGAGCTATAGGAGAGTGTGGCAGACTAGGCCGTTTAACGAGGTCCAGAGTGACAAACCTCTTGTATACTGCTGGGATAGGAATGTTGAATGTGATGCATTTGCGCAATAATGCAAATGAAGGTGGTAAATATATTTAAGCCTGGTGATGTAAACCAAAGATGTTGTATTCAGCGAATGACACAGACATACTCGAAGAAAAGAACTACGAGTGCTCCTAATAAGATTGTTTACATTCTGCCACTCTGTCGCCTGGAAATCTTCTAAGATCTTACGCGCATATGTAGATTAGCGGTCCCGAAGCCCTCTAGAAGCATGTGAGATAAAGATTTGCAGGAATCCGCTCAATCGAGAGGATGGCTTAGATTTGCCACACGTGTATATGACTTTGGCACTAGAGGAAAAGACTTAATTATTAACAACTGTTCAAATTTTACATTTCTCTCTATATTTTGTGCTTTTTAAATTCCTCTTTTTCACTTTCCCCTGATGAGGGCTGGAGTTTCTTAGCCGAAGCGTTGGGATTCTAAAATAATTTTTTAAATACTTTTAGAAATTTTTACTCGTGTAACGATTTAATATAGTTATGAAGCCACATGATCATAACTATATTTTTAATATCAATTTTTTTTCATTTATTTTTATCTTCATTATTTTCCTATACTAAAATGAAAGGTATGATGATCATTCTGACACCAGCTCTGACTCAAACAATCTCTACTCTGTAACCTATGACATAATTTTCTTCCACCCGGGGTGTCAGGTTTTTTGCTTTCTCCGACGACGCTAGTAAGGGTTGTGAAATATGTGTACACTTTTTCCCTAGCCTTTAAGCAGGTCCTCACTAATTACTACCGCTTCGGCAAGAAGGTTTCTTCGCCCGGGAAGACATGAACCTGCAACTCGAGCCGCTGAGAAATCTCAAGAGGTCAGGCAATGATAACTTGTGTCAGCACCCCTGCAAGCCTCTCTCTGAGTAGTCTCGAATGTTGCGGCGGGCGGAGAAACGCGCGTTCTTCGAGGCTGATGAGAGCTTTCTCGCATGCTTATTTTTCCCTAACCGAGAATGACGCCGACGATTGAGGTTACAGGACTATCAATTAACAGAATCGTACAAGTAAACATAATTTTAGTGACGAATGCCAACTTTACAACCTTTTTTTCACAAAAAGCCTAAGAGTTGAGGTTATAACTTCGCGAGAACTAACTGCTCACCCTTCCAAATCTCTAAAATGGATGGAACGGCTTAAATATGCAAAAAACCGCTCAGCGTGTTACATATACTAAGACGTGGACATTTTTATTACCCTGACATTTTTTCCCAAAGAAACCAGACAGGCAGTCACAGTGGTATTCGGATATGTCTGTCTCATCATTCCTACAGGCTGCTCCATTTAGGCAGGGTTTGGAGTCACATGGAAATATTTGAACTGAAAGGAAAATGTGCTGTTATAGTTCTGCTGAGGTTTCTGTTAGTATAAAGGAAGTAAGTTTGTTAATAAATTGTGGTGCTGCGGGTAGGGTGTATGACAAAATAACTTGGTTTAATCAACTGACTTGATAATGACCGCAAAGAGTTTTGGAGGCTGACGTTTCGAGCGTTAGCCTTACGGCAGAGCGAATTGCGAATGCTCGAGCCGTCAGCTTAAGAAAGTAGCAAATTTGCCTTGCCAACCAAGTTGATAAAACCAAATTATATTTGTTGATATACATTAATTCTGGCCGGTAAAAATTTGCAAAGTGCCTCTCAGTTAACGTTTATTCATTTCAAAATCTCTCGGTAACTATCAACGCCCTAATCATGCGCCAGCTACGAAGGAATAGAGGATTGATGACGACTAATAGAGCAAGAATGACCTTGAATATAACGGAACGGAAAAACACACGCTCTCCTAAACACGAGGGGGGAAGAGAGAGAGACAAAAAGGGTCCTAAGGCGCAGTTACTCATCAAAGTACCACTGGGTAGTCCTGACACTGGATCATTTTCTTCCTTGAAAAAGGGGAAGTTACTTTTTTTTTTTTGTTTCCTTGATGTTGCTAACTTTTAAAGTACATCTGACTACAATACACCAGAACTACATTCGGTTACAATCTTTCTCTTTACAGTTTGATGTCATATTCTTTCTTGGGGTCAATCCCTTGGAGGAGGGAGACAGAGACTAAATGAAACTAAGACAGTTTAAACAAGCCTTCCCACTTACCTTCGCAGTTGGTACCCTTGAACCAATCCCCACACTGACATTCATATACATCAGGTGTCTTCGGATCACTATTACAGTACCCACCATTTTGACACGGGTCACTGTCACAGGAGGTCAGTTGCACTGTTGAATCAAGCATATGACATCAGGGGAACTAAGTACTCCTTAGGTTCAACCCATATGCGGATAGATGCCCTGAGGGCAAAATCTGAGCGATAACGACTAATGTAAGCGCGTGAGTCTAGCTATGGCTTGGAATTAGATGGTGACCACATTCCCGGGTTTGACATATATAATTAAAGGGGTAAGTTGTTTAAGAAACTGGGATTCTTCGTTGGTGGGGAGTATAACAAGATAATTTGGGGCTGAGGCTCTAAACGACAGCTTTACAACCTTTTTAATTCACTTCAAGTTTTTATCAAGTTATTTGATAAAACCAAATAAATTGATTGATTGCATGAGCAGACGTGATTCCTAAATGATGTTTCTGAGAAAGAGAGAGCTACACAGTTCTAGCTTAACTTTCCTTGGTAAATGTGTAACCATTTCACTCCCAAGACAGGAAAGGAAATTCCCCCATGTAATTACCATGGAATAACGTTATCTCCTGGTTCATACCTTCTTTTGATTGGCACCTAAGGATATTGTAGACTGAATCTTATATATATTTTTCCCTTGGGTTCTATCACTTACGTAAAGAGAACTGGATGGCCAGCATAGCTATATACTAACTTTACATGTGACACGCGTTCCTTTTATCACTGCTAGGACATGCGAGCGCCTTGTGTGGCGAACGTAAAAATAAGGAGAACGCATAGCACGCAAGGTGGTTAATGAGGACATTACCCAATTAAAATGCTTGACGAATAAAAAATATCCTCAAACCTTCACAATTTTGGCCAGTAAACCAGGTTGGGCATTGACAATGATGTAATGAGATGTCATCCGGGTCATTGGTGCAGGTAGCTCCATTTTTGCACGGCTTTAAGTCGCAAGGATATATTTGCTCTAAAAAAGGAAACGAGTGAAAGTATAATCAATAGTCGTTTACAGTATACCTGTAAACAGTATACAGTATATACCTACAGTATACCTAATCGGTTATACCTAATCATTTTTTTTCTCTTCAATTATATTCTGGACGTTGGAAAAATCCCTAAACAGTGGAAAAAGGGCGAAATAACTCCAGTGTATAAGAAAGACTGCAGCCTGTCCAAGGATAATTACAGACCTCTCACCATTCTTCCATCTTAGTCAAAAGTCTTTGAAACGCTTGTTCATTCAAGAGTCAGTCCCCAGTTCAGAAATATTCTCCACAAGTTCGTGTTCGCTTATAGAAAGCATCCCGGTTGAATTTAGTATTTATTTAGAAATAAGATATACTTATTAAGATTTTATTATTATAATTTTAAATTATAGAATATTCCATATCTAGTTTTTTTTTGTTTTTTTTTTAACTCTTAACTTTATTGTGTTTGTGGAATATCTGTAAATTAGCTGGCGTGCTTTCACAGACCCCGATTTCGGTCCCGTCTGCGAAAGCACACTATTATTGTAGCTAAGTGTATTTTCACAATAAACTCTTATTGTATTGTGTTATTGTATTGTATTTTCTTTTAAATCGACTGGTCACTAGGATCATGATTTGAGAAAAATAAGAGTATTTAATTGGTTCTTGCATCGTGGTCTATTGGTTCATAGACCTCAACCATGGATACCTTGTTTCTATTGGAGGAAAATATCTTTTCCGTCTAAAACTGCGCTTGTTCAATTTTATTTCAACCTATGTAACTTCAGGGACTAATTCGACAATTTTTCTTCTTTGTCTGACAACAACAGTCAACGGCGCTACGCCACTTAACAAGTTGCTGATAGAAAATTGTTTTTGGTTGGCAGAGTACCTACTTGTTTCTTACCTATGGCATGCGATTGTCTCAAGATCCATTACAAAACTTACTTTCACAGTTTGTTCCTTCAAACCAGTCTTCGCAGAAGCATTGGTACCAGGCTGGGTCTGTTTTCTTACTCAGACAATATCCTCTGTTGTTGCACGGTTCCTCATCGCATTTGTTGGTAGTTACTGTGGATTAAAAGGAATGGTAACTGTTAGTTGCCCAAAAGCGAGAATATTTCATGAATAGCAAATCTTTAATCCGACATATCAAGGTGAATATATAATATATAGGTTGCATAATTGCGAAATCATATCTACACCAAAAAATTGGGTCCCAATCTCCCTTTCGAAATTTCCCCCAAAGAGACATATTAAGGAAATGCTAGTCAAGTAAACTGTCAAGGTAAACCTGCCCATGGGAATGTCACTGAACTCACCTTCACAAAACTTCCCAGTGAACCACGGTGGACATTTACATGTGAAGTTTGAGGGATCACTAAGACCGTCTATGCAAGTAGCATGGCTGCGGCATGGATGGCTATTACATGGAAATATTTTTTCTGAAAGGAAGAAACCATTATTGATGAAACTATCATAAACCATTCACATGGACATATTTATCAAGATAAGTTACTCATTTTTTCCATGAGGCTGTCATGAATGTAAAATTTTTAGAGCCTTTCTGCTACCAAAATTGTCCATTTCACGTTCCGAGAGGCCTAACTCGATTTTTCGTTTCAAGTCGCGCAACATCATCTTTTCTCAGGCCGTTTTAAGTTGTCATCTTTCCTGTAGAGACGTCATATCCTTCTCCTTACGTCTATTCTTATAATTTTGGGTCATTTCCAAATAGTCTCGTCATTTCAAAGTTCAATAAGACGTTTAGTCATCTTACTAAACATTAAAAAAAAAAAACTTCCCTGTAAAGTAAAGCTATTTTAATACATAAGATAGCTTTACAAAAATAGTTGTGGCGAGCATAAACCAAACAATTTTTATTATTTGTGACCACTGCAATAGCCAATAAATCAGCACTAACCAGTCGACTCTTGACCAAAAATCCTTTGTGTTCATTTGTCCTCATTGATATATCGTTGCATGGTACTTACGCTCACAATTCTTTCCCTTGTACCATTCTGGGCAAATACAAGTATATTTGCGTTCCCACTTCGAGGATTTAGCATTACGCACGCAAGTGGCTCCGTTTTGACATGGTTGCTTTTGACAAGGAGTCTCCATCTCTATAGGTAAATAAAAGCTTTGTTATTACCGCTGGTCATGGTCATCAGCGTGTCTAGATTCATGCTTCTTTAGCACTCTGGTCATTTTTTTGTGCTATGCGAAAAAGATCAAATTCTACGACAAACGTCGCTGGGAACCAATGAGAACTTTAAGCAATCACTCGTAATGAGGGCTGCCGCAAAAAGGGATGCGTGTTGTTTTTAAGTTTTGCATCTGATTGTTCGAGAAGATGGTTGGGGTTTTCTGGACGAATCACAGGGCAAAGGAATGCGAAAAAATTGTAACACCGCTTTGTAGTTATTGTTCTTCTTATGTTGAGAGGTTTTCCACGAGTTTTCCAGTTTCTACTCCTGCTCAACAACACTCCAAATTCTAATTTTTTCCTGGGGACTGAGCTCTTTCATGCATTTCCAGTAATGATGTTAGCGCAGCACACTTTTCTGTTGACAATACTACATACCGTCACAGTTTTTTCCCTTGAATCCTTCCAGACAGTCACAGTGGTATTCGCCTGGCGGCTTTTCGATGCAAACGGCGTCATTTTGACATGGATTAGTTGGGTAGCACTGATAGTTACCATCTGATGAAAAAAATATCAAACTGAGATAAGTTAAGGAATCTAAAGCGCTAGGTTTCGGAATTTCTTTGCAAGTTCTCAAGGAGTTTTTCTATTGTGAAGGTCACGGGCTACAACCTTAATCGCATAACCATACTCCTCTTGAATGTATTTAACTTTAATTATGAAAAAGGCGATTTCAAAAAGTTCACAAAGATCTGATAGAAAGATTACGTGTATTGACCAAAATTTCTCATCAGTAGGTTTCACCTTTGTTTGCTTCAAGCCGCTTCAACCTCGTTTTTTTTGCAACGAGCACCCGTGAAATACAAATATCAACAATAAAAAACATCTAAATGATCGCCATGGTACTCAGACAGTTCCAATTTACTGAGCTTATGAGACCTAAACGCGGGAAACTGACAAACAGGGAACACAGCTAGCAGCAAGTGATCAGTTGTTATGTCATTAAACTCACAACCTTCTAAACAGGGTCGCTTGCTATCACAATCCTCTTTGTCCTTGGGCTTTTTCAGAAAAGAACACTGTTCTTCTGATACTTGAGAGGGTCTTCCATCTTGATCAATAAGGATACAGTTAACTGTACGCTGTCGAATGCCTGCACCACACGGAGTAGAGCACTAAAAAAACAAAATGTTCTTAATCAGAAATTTCACCAGCCAGTCAAACTTCAACAGCGGAGCTAAATCCAGTTGCCAGATCATGGTGGAAGCAATTACGAGCTAGTCAACTCCTCCTGAAGGGTTGTAGCGGCTGGAGAAAGGCTTGTAAGAGTGAGCCCACAATCCCAACATAATGACCCGATCAGGGCCAGCAAGGAACCCAGGCCTTCCCATCCAGAGTCAGCCCGCAAGCCACTGGTGCAACTCCTTTGCTCTTCGAAATATCTTCATAAAAATAGATTGTTAAGTAATCACTTACTGCCGTCCACGTTGATTCAATTTTCCAATCTGGCTTGCAAATGATCTGGTTGCACTGTCTACTCAGCTGACTGACATCTGGGAGTTTACTTGGGTCACACTTAGAGGTAGATATTTCAGAATAGTGGTGACTACTCGTTTTCTCGTGACATTTCATTTCTCGAGTCTGAACACCAGTACCACAGGTTTTCGAACAAGGTGACCAATCTGTAACGATCCACCTTGGAGAAATGGCATGAGAATGATTCAGACTTTCTACATAATGAAAAAACGTTGTCTTGCAGGCTGTTTAGAGTGGCAACTTTTTGTGTAATCCAGTGCGTCTCAATGGAAATTGATAAATAGAGAAATGATCCTCACAGGTGAGCTACGACAAAAAGAGGCAGAAAAAAGCATGAAAAAGTTTAGGCTTCGACGGGATTCGAGTCAGTGCCTTCCAGACACTGGTCGCGCCTTACCAAAACCTTAGTTACGAAGCCATGTTTTAGTAGTTGGCCAATTTTTAGCTTCTTCTTTATTTTTGTAGAGTAATCTGGGCTCCTTCTGGGTATAGAAGACACAGGACTCGTCACAACAGAACACCGCCTCGTTACTCCATTGTTTCATTATTTTCGTCGTTTTTTTTCTCTTTTTTTTTGTCTTCTACACCAAGTAAGCCCCGTAATCTGTAAAAAAAACATATTGGGTGGCGGTGGAGGTATGAATGTCATTATATTTATTGAATATTAATACTTGGAATTATTGATGAAGGTGATCAGGCAAGAAAGAAAAGAGAAAAAAAAATCCGCTTGAGAAGATATTTACTCTGGAGGGCAGGGTTGCTGATTGCATTCATTATTATCATCTGGTCGTAGAAGTTTATCACAAGCTTTGTCACTAGCAGGTGTTCCATCCTCTTCTAGAACGCAACGAACTTCTCGAGTTTGAACACCTTAAGAGAAATGAAATACCATTGAACGTTCATTTCACTGTTGGATGAATTTATCAAGATGTTAGATGAGTACAGTATTTGCGTAAATTGATTCAAGAACGCCGAAATGTGATCCTGGTATCTATTTTATTATTATTTTATTTATCTGTTCAATGTTAATGATCAAGATGAAATTTTCTTTGGTTTTCTCACGTGTAGTTTCATAGAAAATCATTCCTAATTACAGAAAAAAACTTTGAAATGATCATTTGCTGGAGTGGAAGAGCACCAACATTTTAAAAGGAAGGAATAAACCAGAAATGAAGTAGGGTAGACAAGGAATAGACGAGGATTTAAAATTATGTTAATAAAAGACTTGAGACTAAGAAAGATGATATTCGTTTTTGCCAAGAGCGGGGAACAAAAGAAAAGTTAAGAGTTTTCCACAAGGAGGAGAACCTCAGACCATTGTATTCCTTACTGAAATGCTCTCTCGACCGAGTCACAATGAATTCTTTGGTGATAAGGCTAAATTTGTAATGCATTCTCCTCAACTTGCCTCTAGCGCATGTAGCAGAACACTCAGACCAATCACCCACAATCCATTTGTAGTCGAGCTTCAGCTTACTCCAGGAGTTAAGGTGATACCAGATATCATAAGCAACGCCAAGATTCTCTCCATACTCTGCTATAAACTGTGTTAGAGAAACACAGGAAAGTAGAAATGTGGTACTGATCAAGTAACCAACATGAATTAAGGTGATCAAATGATTCCTATATCCTATAAGCTGAAAAAATTATATCTCGGTGCTTTGTTGCACACTCAGAGTAAGGTGATGTTTACAAGAAACTTTTTGCCTCTGTTCCTCCATACAAACATTCTGTTATATCATTAATCCCTCTCCGTACTCTTTTTATAGAGTGGACACGTCTCTAGTAATTTTTTATCCTCACCATTATCCTCAGTTTTGCTTGAGTTGGTCCTATTATCTTCAGTTGATCTGCATAACGTTTATTTTTGTTTACATAGTAGATAGAAGCTCCAGCATAAGTAATTTGAACATTTTTATCCTTATCTGGGTCTATTAGATAGTCGCCATCATTCGACATGACACCTGCAGAAGAATATTTGCATCAATTTGTATTGCAAATGAAAATTAATATCATTTGCCTTTAAATGAAATGAAGGCGTTCTAAGGAACTTTAACTATCTATGTTATTGTATCAGAGGACAAAATGTACTCCTACAAACATTACGAGAGCAATTTTGAAGACTGAATATTTCGGACGGGTTGAAAATGTAGATCGCTTATGTGATTGGTAGTACCCTTGTTTTCAGAAATTTAGTACTTGCCTATTTTGTTGTACGTCGCAGCGACTTCAATAAAACTTGCAGACATTGTCCCGGGTGGAAGATCATAAATGGTATCTGCATTCTCCTTTCCTAAGAAAGAATTAGTGACTTAATTTATTCTTTATCCTTAGGTGCGATGAGAAAGGCGGAAAGATTTTGTGGATAAAGTCCATTACATATCAAAATATTCCTTACCAGTTTGGTTCCACTGTTTCATGTACTTGTCTACAACATGTTTACACGTATTCCCATTGCCACCACACACATCACACCTGTCGATTCTTACATTTGATCCCAGGACCTGATCACAGCCAGCAGCCTGATAAAGGATATAACACATAAAAGTCATCTCCCAGTAAGAAACAAACTTTGGTAGCAATCTTGAGCTTATAGAAGATAAAAAAAAACTCACGAAAACAGTGGTGATTTAACACTATCTTTACGGCTTCATGATTATCCTTATTTAACTGACAACATTTTGGATTATCTTTTATTCACTTTCCCTTATAAATCAGTAATGTTGATAATTCTAGCAAAAAGAGCTCGGTTTTATCCTCACATATCTCGTTATCCTTGGAAACGATTCTCACAAAACCTCACCAAAATATGTTTTAGGAATTAATAATTTACATAGAAAAATTAATCAGTTCTGATTAATGCAGTCAGGTAATTCAGTGCAGAAGAGAGTTAATTCAGTGCAGAAGAGGGTTAATTCAGTGCAAAGAAAGTAACAAACAGACATTCTGATTGGTCAATTATCAAAGAAACTCACAGATAGCCAATCAAATGCAAGCCATGGATGTCGCAACAAAATTTGAAATTTTGCGAGCGGAACAATGGCTGGCGTTTTAAGTAGGTTTTCTTTCGCCGCCGTAGCTGAAAAACAGCTCAAACAACGAAAACTCTAAAAAAAAACACTGCTTTTTGGTTGTCAGTTTGGAAAAAGTGGTATTTAGAGAAGGGAATCGCCAAGGAAATCGAAAATTACGAGCCGACCCAGCTTAACACTTTGCTCGAGCGATCCAACGCTGAAATTAAAAACAAGCATGGTTTAACCGCGGAAACGACGATTCCTTTTCCTCGAAAGTGATTCGGACACAGGCTGAACAATTCCTTGAACTGTTTAGCCGGACTTTGAACTTTTTTGCGCCTTAAAGATGTGAAGATATCATTGCATATTATTGTTTTGATCATACGCGGTTGTTTTGACCGAATGCACGGTTTAAATAAATTATTTTTACACTTGATGCGCGCGCTTTGCTTATGCTTAATTATGATAAGCCATCTCGTAATTTTTCCATGTATATTATTAACTCGTAATCACATGATTTTTCTCGTGCAATTTGGAATAAACAAGCACTTGTTAATTTTTTCAAAGACCACAAATTGCACTCGCCCTACGGGATCGTGCAATTTTGTTAGTCTTTAAAAAAAATTACTCGTGCTGATTTTTTCCAAATTGCACTCGAAATCATGTGATTACCTATACGAATATATCAATTCGAAATGAACAACAGCCAGTGCCTTTAGAATTAAGCGACCAGGGGTACTGTTATTTCTCCTGGATGGAGTGGTAGTCTATTGTAGGAAGCTTAGTAACAATTCATCCTTTTTTTATAGTATTCCTGACAGTTTTTTTCAATTTGTTTGTGAAAACTGCACTATAGAGCTCGACCCCGTACTTCTCGACTCAGAGTACAGCGCACTTACTCAAGGCTACCACTGACAACGACTAAAACGAAAGATAATCTATCAAGAAATATTATAAAAATGGCTTGGGATACGCCATTTTGTTTATGCAAAATTTTGTTGACTCCTCAAGTCAAAGCGGCTCTTGTTCACATGAGTAACTCACCTTGCAACTTGCTCCAATACAAACATCAAATATGGCGGGATCTTTGCTGCATCTGGTACCATCTAACACTTTTCCATATCCCTTGACAGTGTAACCCAACCGGCAATACAAATCACATGGTCCTAAGGAAGATAGAAAAGGGTACTTTGCGAAATAATTTCTTTAAAAATAATAAAAAATTCATTGTGTTATTAACGTTGTTGAGACTTGTAGTATAGCTGCTTAGAGGAAACGCTTTTAAATGAGGGTAAATTTTTCAAAAAAAACCTCTTCCTCACGGGTACGACATAAGTGAAAACTTAATAGCAGTTCGTAGGTGTTCAACACGATAGAGAAAAAAAATGCGTAACTGACTGTCCAAACGTTTTCACGGCGTATTATTCGACAGATGTCTAAGTTTGTTGAGGATAAAATGACAAAGTTAAGGGGACCCCATAGCTCCGTGTATTACCTCCATGATAATATGCGGATGAGCCCTCCAGTTTCTTCGCGCACTGTTCATCTCGGTATGTATTTGTAACACTTCCAGGACAGGGCTGAAATGAACCTCATTTTGAAATCAATGTGTAACCTCCTTGTTTAAGTAAAAACAGGGGGAGAGACTTCAAACTTTAACTTTGCAAATGGATTCGTCTGGTCGAGAAGATAACACACCCCAGAAGAATTCAACGATCTTTTTTATCAGTTGCGTGGATTGACAGTTCTGTTCCGAAGCATATTATTTTTAAACTAACGATTGAATGAAACCATATGAGAAAAACTTCATACAATTCAGGAAAGAAAATTCTGTCCAGTTTCTCGTCAGGAGGAAACAAATTTGACGTGATGATGAAGTTGAAATGAAAAATTCTGCTCTTCCTTCCCCTCTATTCATTTTTTTCGGATACAGTTTGCCTAATCTGGCTCGTCTAAACATGTTTCCAAATGATATACTCTCAGATCGAAGAGAACAGTCGATACTTACTGAGATCTCACAGATTCTCCAATGCCCAATTGAATCTCCCTGGCATTTTTTCCCTCCATTTGAAGGCCTTTCCATTCAAGATCAGCAAAAGAGGAAGAAGGAAAAAAGATCGCTTAACTTGTGCTCACGCACGGACACACTTACAAGATTAAAAGCCGATCTTATTTGCACTTTATGCATTAGAATTGTTATTTGATCTTATGAGAAACCAGCGGATCTGTGAAATGGACGAGCTCAATGCAAAGTTGCTTTCTAATGCAAAATCTCCACACAGCCAGAGTTGGTGGAGGCAAGGAATCTCGAGGTGAAATGAAATCATCGTTGGGGAAGAGATCTCACGATTTCGAATGCAATCCCTACCTGAATTAATTATTCATTTTAATTATTGATGATTCTTCCACTCACGGTGGATTTGTGCATGATCTTGTCCTGTGTTGTACCCCACCACCGCATGTTCTCGTGCATGGAGTAAAGTCCGACCATTCGCTCCACCAGCCATCGACCTGCGGCCGACCGTTGTCAACGCACACTCCTTTGATGCACCACTATAAGAAATTAGATTCAAGCACAGATTATGTTTGGTCCCAAGAGAATTATAATTTTGTACGAACAGAAAAGCTGACGAGAAAACTTGAACCCCTCAAGCGAGTTCGACCTTGGATGACCTTGCAAGGTCATCCGAGCGCGTTCATCAACATGATTTGAGCATAAGATGAAGGAAGTGCTCAGCATTGCTTTAGATCAAACTTACACGCTGAACGTTACGGTTACGATGAATCCTAAAGAGAGCAGTGATAGCACATAGTTCGTCTACAACTTGTTTAAACAGAGAATCTTTGTTCAAAATGGAAAACAAGAATGAAACTAGTCAACTAGGTTTTAGCTGAAAAATGTCAGGAGTGTTTTGAAGTGACTTCAAAGGAACGCAATGAAACATGTTCTTAAAGCCAGGAGTTTTGCATTGGAAAAGTTCTCTTTGGAGTTTTGCTTATCACATCTGGCTGGTCTTAGAATAACGGAGTCCTATGGCGAACTGCAGCAGGGTTTGAACATTTGACTAATAATGACATACATTTCTACTTCCACAGGGAGTCCCGTCGAGAGCAGGAGCTGCACGTGTATCACACCAATATCCGTTCGGAGTACACCACAGTTTACCACACTCTGCCTGCAAAATGAGCAAGCATCGCAACCGACATAAGACACCTTTACAAAATGTTAAAGCAGCGCCTTTTTACAAAGGTTTTATTCAGTTATCTGGAAACTATTTAAAATTCGGCCAATCTACTACATAATTTTATAAGCTGTTTATATTTTTCCATATCTTTCTTGAATAAATTTAGACATCAGAAAGTGTATTTCCGAACAACTTCCTTTTTTCGCTCGCAATAAAAACCGATTAATTATAAACGGATTCATAAGAAATAGATGAATGAAATAATAGTTTACAAATATATACACAACTAAATGCATATTGTTTTCTCCGACATGATATTTTTAGGAACATAAATGTTATTTTTTACATTGCTTTCAATTGGTAATTAAAAAAGAAAAAAAATATCAAAATGAAGACAAACACTGATTAGACATTTGAATCAAAGGTTGGTTTTTTAGATGAGAATCTCTTACCGCAAATCGAGAACATTGTCGAAAATCAAGTCCATACTGTAAGACGCACTGGTCATCGCCATTCATGATTTCACCAGGAAGTTTTAATACAAAATTATTTGCGTAAAGCTCGCTAGGATCAATTGTCTCTGTTATATCGCGTGCTACCCTGATACTGACTTCTCGTTTGTCGGGACCACCTTCATCAATCTTTTCATACACCACAGTCCTTTCGCCGTCCTCAGCCTCTTCATTCAAACAATTTGACTTGCTACTTCTGCAAAACACATTTCATGGACAAAGTTAAAAGTCAAATAAATTTTCAAAAGCTTTCTGAATCGTTATAGAACGTGATTCTCCACGGAACAACAAGCGAGGTCATCCAAACGTGTCCATCAACGAGATTTGAGCGTAAGATGAAAGTAACGAAGGCTATTTTTAGTTGTGATTTACGTGACTTTCGATACCCTTTTGTTTTGTGTGACATTCTTTCGAATTGTCGGCATTATGTTTCATTCCGTCACGCCACGAGACACGTGTTGGTCGCAAGCATAGCCAGATCGATGGATTGTCGAAATACTAGAATAATAGAACGGGGAAAGAAGTATGTCATCTTGTTTATTTTTGTATTTATATACCGAAACGTGTATAATCAAAGGTAGTTTTGTTTCGTTTAGGATATTTGTGTTGTTTTGATTTATCTATATATACGCCCCGCGTGTTCGAGTTTAGGACATTCCGATTAGCGTAATTATGGTAATGGCCTATTTTAGTTTATTATATTTCAGTTTTTACGAGCTTTCGAGTTTGATAAACCAGCAGAGATTTGATAGACGCTGGGAGGTTCCGTTAATATAAAACATTTCTCTGACGCGGCGTTGTTCAAGTTTGAATCGATGTATATCAGCGTCCGCCCCATTACAATGAGGGAAGCGCTCGGTATTTCTTTGAATCATACCTACACACTTAACGTTACGGTTACGATGACTCCTAAAGAGTGCAGTAATAGCACACAGTTCGTCTACAACGTGCTTTGATTGGAGAATCTTCGTTCAAAATGGAAAATAAAAGTGAAAAAGACACCATATCATTCTATGGGAGTCTACTAGGTTGTCAAGGGAAAAATGGCCATTACCTACGTTGAGCTGAGATCTGATAGAAATATTTGAAGTGACTACGAGCAAACAGCAGTTTCGATAAATAACTGGTGTATTTTAAGTTCCGCTCAATTTCCGTTATTTTTAGCGTAGTTAAGATAATGATAGACCTCGTTTAACTCTACAGTATCTTAGCAGATATTCTTTTCACCATTGTCGTCACATTAAACGCTAGTTCATTAAACCATCTGTTGTGCATTATTAAACAATGTCAACCTATGAGTACCCAAGGATTTCCAGTTTGGAAATCACCCCACAAGTTGGATCAATATCTACCTGAGAAGTTCTTGAATGACTCTCATACTGCAGTTGGACCATGTCTCAGCTTTGGAGCCTCCAGGGAGCACCGCGGACATGATGTAAGTGTTAGAAGGACACTCGTCTGTTTCATCATGATCCACCCCCATGCTAGAGACAACAATATCTATTTACCGACTTTCATTTTATTCTTGACTGGTGTTAGTCAAAAGTAGACTAACATAAGAGAACGAAATTAAAGAAGGCCTTTCATAGGGAGTTGGTCTCTGAAGTTATGCTCTTTCCCAAAACACAGAACATGACGATCATTGGTGCCACACTTATCTGACGATAGAACTCGATTGGAATATCTTGGAATATATTGCTAGCAGAATACAAACTTATAAGACAGACAAAATTGGGTTCACTTCAGGAAGCTTGCTTTCGAGTTTGCGAAATTTAAAAAAAACTAAAAATTTTTTAAGCTGTTTGAGAAAAGGTCGTTATTAACAGCTTACTAACCCACTTCAAATGCTGGAAGAACACTCGGAAAACTTGTAAACCACTCACTTTCGGCTCGTAACTGACAAACTTCCATAAGTACATTACGAAAAGACAATCAGCTTTCGTTTGTTACACGAGGTTTTCAAAAGGGTGATGACTCTTACGGCTAACGCTTAACATTTTGGCAATTTTCCGGTTAATTTATTTCCGATGCGATTAGTTTTTAAATTAAAAAGCTAAAAAAAATCGGGTTAGTTATTTTATGACTTACGGTTAAAATTTGTCAAAACTACAGTTAAATTATTTTATTACCCCAGTAAGTACTAAACTAAACTAAATTCGACAGTTCTACAGTTTTCTATTCTTGATAATTTGAAAAAGAGCCATGGCTCTGTCAGGGAACAGTGGTATTTAGGTGAGTATGTCCTTCGGTTACTTAAACTGCATTGAAAATAAGCCTTACTTGTGACCAGTTTCATGAGTCACTATCAGAGCTGTTTGTAAGCCCACCATGTTGTTTACGTTTTCTGTTGCTCTGCCGTTACATATGGTCTTGAACGGAGCCAATCCTGATTTATTAAGAACAAGTACAAACCAAACTGTGTTAATGGACGCGTTAACAGAGATAGTCCACCCACGTTAAGGTGAGCAGCAGGGTTTGCGAAGCGAAATTTAAAATGACAAACACCAAGGTCGAATTTTAAGACAACTTTCGAACGATGCTGTCACTCTTTGGAATCTCAAAATACGGTCAGTGGTAAAGTTTTTATATTTACACTCCTATGTGGCTGGTAATTTGTGTGATTTTTTGGAGCAAACGCCTCCTCCAGGCGAGCTGTATCCCGACACAAATGGAGATCATATCGATCGATCAAGTGCTTATAACAACAGGGTAATTAAGTATTATCAAATGAGTTGATAACATAAACTGGCCACCGTAAAGAGTTTCAAAGCTGACGTTTCGAGCGTCGGCGAGTCCTATGTTTCACTCTGACGAAGGGCTAACGCTCGAAACGTCAGCTTTGAAACTCTTTACGGTGGCCAGTTTGTGTTATCAACTCAGGTGATAATACTTGGTTACCCTGCTATACTCTCCCAACGACGCAGCTCCACAGTTTCTTTAGAAAGTTACCTCCTTTATTAATTTGGATTATGATCAAAATTGGGTAAAATCGATCTCTTAATGAGCTCAGCAAGCCGATCGATGAGGATTTACGTGTGAATTACCAGGAATATCGAAATATAACCTATATATGTAACTTATAAGAGTTGCATTGTACTTACCACCAAGTCCTGATTTCATGCTGAATAATAAAGAAGAATAAGTAATAAGTATTATTTTTAGCATCTTTGTTATTACACTATTACGTCATCTTACCATATAAGGGCATGAGAACACGTAAAATATGCGATAATAGCCTAATGTGGAAAAGACAAAAATACGGACGGAAAGTTGAGTAACAAAATGTCCGCACTAAGCAATTCAGACTTCGACTTTTTGCCGTTTGTTGAGCTTATTGTTTTCAGCATCGAACTTCAAGCGCAAGCAAGCATGAATTGATTTAAGTATAAATGAATTAAGCGACTTACTAACTTGCTGATGGACAGACAGAGAGAGTTTTAAGATGTGCACCTTGCTTTGTATACTCGTTTACTTTGCTTTACCTGTACACAAGGGAAAACACATCTTCCCTGCCAGTCTGGTGGGATTTTATATATTTGGCAAACTTCGACAGCCATTGAGTTTTAGATTCGGAGAACTCCGCACCGAACACCTGAAGAAGACAGAGATGTAACATTTAAAACGGCACCGAATGCAATTTTAGAGCTGATTTTTGTATTTCTTGATAATTCATGCGAGTCTAGAGTATGGTTTCAGTTTCCAAAGTTCGCTTTGTTAGTGAAACCAGTTGTTCTTTGGTCATATACTTTCACTCATTTGTTGGTCTTTTTCTGGTTGTTAGTAAAATTTCTTTAATTCAGAGTCTGCTATTATGGTTTACCTTCTTGTCGATAACGATGATTCGCGTAACTTTGTAATAAATACGGATCTCTCCAATGCTCGGGTCCATGAAGAGTCCTGAAATCTTGAGAAGAGACACCCGAATGAAATTCGCAGAATCTTTTCAAAAAGCGTATGGACCTGTCAATGCATTCTTTCCTCACTCAACATTTTCATTCACATCCACTTCTTGTTGCATTATATTGATAAGAGAATTCTTCACATTTTAATATTTACAGCAAAAGGTTAATTATTGTCAAATTTTATTTCAAGAGTTAAGCAGGCTCGACGGAAGTCAATGTCTTTCTTTATCCTAGATAATGGATGGGTAAAGAAATAAAAATTCTGGTTTCAACCAGTAAATAACAAGTTCGAGATTCAAACAGAAGGAAAGTATAGAACGTAAACTAAAACTAGGAATTTATTTGTCGAGGGTGCGGAACAAAGACACTTCTGTGAGTGATGATTCAAGTTCGAGTCACTCCTGGCAATGTTTGTATGTCATAACAAGCGATTTTCACAACTTCCAGATGTGTAGGATGTTATCTATCAATGCCTGAGGACCTAAACTTTGACAGCTAAGTTTACAAATAGATGTTAAATCTAGAACTTACTGTATTTCCTAATAAAAGGAGAAACTCCTTTGGGTCGTGCTTTTCAGTCTCCAATGTTGCCGCCGAAGCTGCCTCGAGCATTAAAGCAGCCTCCATGGTTTTTATTGTCAAGTTTCCTTTATCTTGTACCTCCAGGCTGTCCGGTATATTCCTTCGTGGTTTAAACACTGTAAAGGTCGATGAAGTCAAATGTGGAAACTTGTTTCGTTAACATTGCTTAACTTCTCTTTCAGCTTTTTTCCTAAGAAGTGGTTGTCTAACTTGATTTCGTTGTTGAAAAACCTTTAACTTCTCAAAACTTTAACATTAACATACCTAACCACTCAAAGCTAGACAGGTTACCACTTGAAGAAAGGCAGTTTTTTTTGCAGATTTTCAAAAAGGGAGCTGTGGCCTGTTTCTATGAATTTAAGTTAACTACTGGTCACGGCTGATTTTCTTGTTTACATTTATGATCGAGCTGTTGATGGCTTTGACAGTATAACAATAAAGATACCAGGAAATGAAACAGTCTTTGCTGGCTTTGGAGATAAAACTGGCACTATCATTACTTGAATTAATATTTCGTTTTAAAAAATAGGTTATCGTCTCTTGGATTCTTACAAAGTGTAAAGAAATATTAATAGATACCATACAGTGTAATACCTTTCCTCATATCATGCGGATCAAATTCAACTGGAAGAGACCTCTTGTAAATCAAATGAGGTGTCTTAACTTCACTCGACGCAGCCCGCTTTGCAAGATGGGTCGGTAACGGGTGAATGAATAAGGTATCGCTGGCTAGTTTCAGCATACCAGTCTAAAATAAGAATGGAATGGAAATTAGAACAAACGGTCTAAACGCAGCCCAACAAAGACACATAAAACATGGCATTTTCTGTCAATAAGTAGCCCAACTGAGCTGACCAATTTCACTTTTCCTCTAGGTTCCATTATATATCAGATAAATGTCTTCTGATATTATCGTCATATTCCCTGTGTAACTGCATAATCATCAAATGAATTTTTTTTAAAAACATGTTTCATTTATGCGTATCGTATAAATATCTAACTATAGAAATGGCTCGTTGCTTCTGCTAGGGTTCAACTGATTAAGTTACTAAGCTCCATTTGCACATGGATAATATTTGAAATCCTACCTGTTAAACTTTTTCTTTCTATTTTGTCGCCAGCTATCGAGCTTATCTAGTACACTTCTGTTTCGAAAACTGAGACAAACATTTTACATTAATTTACCAGCCCTCCGTTGTCACTAACAGCCGCCATTGAATAGGGATCGGACATCACGTTACCAAGGTAGTAATTGTTTGGGGGTGGGGGAGAGTATGATATCGTGCCATCAGCGTATATCGTCTCCGCAACGAGGTCAGGAGACATCAGCTTTTTGTTCAATGTTAAGTTCAAGTGCAATTCCCGCCCAAATGCCTTTACTTTGTAAAATATGTTTTCACGTGATTCCTCTGCCCGCCGTTGACGCCGTCCGAAACCTTTGAAATTTTCGTTGAGTTGATAAGGGGTGGTTACATCGTACTCGGGAACTACAGCGAAAGAGAAATATAATAGGCAGCTTCAGTTGAACAGTTACAAGTGTAAAACCACCTTTTCCCTGCTCTTAAAAAGTGGACAGTTATGGAAACTTTGAATAACATATAAAAGATGCCATTACCAATTGTAACCAATCAACGGAAGCAGTAGGATATGGTCTTCAGTTTTATGGATGTTTATCAAATACCTAAATACTACGAACGCCCTGATTATTCAGAAAACCTATCCTTCCCTTGTGCCGTTAAACCTCATAAAAATTGAGGTTCATTTGATAAAAGCAATAGACCACACTTTCTATTGGATGATCGGCCTAATAACCCCCTCAACTAGTTGAACTCCAGAAAAGTTGATAAATTCCACGCCTCCAGCTTGAGAAATTTTCTCAAGTTCGTCCATCATACCACTTAGGTTATTGTTAAATGATGAAAATGTTTTCTATTGCTTAAGTTACCTTCTGAATGATTATCAACACCGAAAAAGTACTTCAGATCATTTTCTGTCATATGATGGTGAAGCGTCTGCGGTGAGAACAGTTATTAAAAAAATAAAAATAACATATGAACAAAACTATCACAAAAACATGGGTATATAGATATCATCCGTCTGAAACCTTCAACATGCGAATGAGATCAACTATAAAACTAATGATTCATCGACTTACATTTCGGTGCGTCGTTCGTGCAAAAGCTGTTGATCCAAAAGAAATCAAATTGACCATTCACATTAATACTTTGTAACGGAAAAAGTGAGATCTGTGATCATTAGAGCCTCAACAGTGTCTTACCTCCGGAGAGAAACACAATCATAAGAACTGGAAACGCCAACAGCGGATGATACCAGCCCATCCTAAAACAATAGCAGCGGCGATAATAAGACGAGTAGATTGTTTAACTTAAAATGAGCATCCCTTGGATTAAAAAGAATGAGGCTAAGAAGGCGAACAAGACATGAAAGTGAACACCACTCTAGAGGATTAATTAAAAGAGGGATTGTGCATCAAAGGAGATTATTATTAGAAGATATTACTTTTTGATAAGGATAATCCACGGCCCTCTCTGTTTATGCCCGAAAGGAAACTGCTAGACTACCAGTGAGTGGAACAAAAACCAACAGGGATTTTCAGACCGACAAGTCGTCCCCTCCCCACAAACTGACTGCTTGGAAAAAGCGATATAGCGTAGATTTTCGCTACTCCTCACAAACAAGCTATTGAAATCAAGAGTTCAGAAGAATTTCGAGAGTATGGCGTGCCAAAATAACCATTTGTGAGTGTCCTGCCATTTCAAACAAAGCTGAAGCAACAAGCCATACTCACCTTTAACGGCTAAAATCTCTTAATCGTTTGATTCCTCAAGGTGTCTTCTTACGACGCATTTGCAGCTCTTGCGTTTGATGACTATCAAATATACACTTGCTATTTACACTCTCAAAATGGGTCTATTACTGATAAATTTCCAAAAAAATCACGATATAATTACTATAACAATGGAAACAATTGCATAAGAAACAATGGAACGACCAGAGGTTACATAAAAGCTAGGAAGTTAAGAGATCTCTAAACAAAACAAAGAAGATCTATTGATAAAAAATATACAGTTACATCCCAAATACGGTTATTGGTTTATCTTGAAACGCTAAGTGGTATATTATTTACTATTAAGTTATCATTAAAGAAACTCTACTTGCTAAAAATGAACTACAGAATTGCAAAAAAAAAAAAAAACGCTTAAGAGACGATTTCTTCTATTATGTTATAGTTTAAAGTTTGGTAAGTATAACCTTAAATCATACTGAAACTGAAGTTACCATAGTAATCGTTCCTGTCAATTCGGAGAATGATGTCTAATTAAGCTACAGATCACCTAATTACAGCTGAATGCTTTCTAATGATGCATAATGTTTTATTGAAGCGGATATTGTGTTGTAACGGAACAGATACCTGATATGGGAAAATATTGCCTAGTTACGGATAATGTGTTCAGTAAATTGAAATACTGATCAGCACGATATGTCTAGACTGTTACCTGAATGAAAAAAAAGTATTTTCATAGTCTCATTGAATGAAAGAAATATAGGAATTCCGACTGTTTTTACAAGATCTTATCAGTTCTTGGCGAAGGCGAGATACCACAATCTGTATTAGCCATTCATGATCGTAGTTGTCATGGATACTGTGTCGGCTTATTGTCAGCAAGTAATTAATAAAAAGCAGGTTTTACTTAACAACTTCCTTGATATTGATTTGAACTTTTTTGTTATTTGAAAAAATAAGACTTTTGCATCTTGGAAGATGCCCTAATATCTCGTGGATTTCGATAAAACTTTGGCATTGAAAGGAATAAGTGCTTCGAAATAAATTTTGAAATGAAGTCGATTGATTTGAATTCATGATCTGTCATAAAATTATACGTCACGATCGCTTGGGGATGAGTATTCCAACATCTCTTGCATAGACTGAAAGATGGCGTTTTAGTGCTCCGCGTACTTAAAAGAAGAAATAAAATTTTTGTGCGCCCTAATTTTTCATAGCCTCATTTTTGTGATAGATTACCTCAGACAAAAAAATTATAAAAAAATGCAACAATTTGCATTAAAACTTCTCTCTAAATCTTTAATGAAAAGACTTCCAATATAGCACCAGTATGAGAAAATATTAATTACCACAGAACTTTTTATAATAACGTACTCTTAGAGGAATATGTGACATGTGTGAAACGTTTTCCACTTAAAAAGTCATCTACAGGGGAAAGTATCGCCCCTGTAAGAATATGCTATGTGTTTTGGGTGATTCTGAGAGAAAACAGTTTTGATAAATCGGAATGACTTTTTTGCGAAAAATTGGCCCTTTGTTGGTTCATTAGGCTATTAATGTCCTAGCGCTTGCCGAAAGATCTGGCCGCGCAGGATATTCGCTAAATGAAGGGAGGGAGGGATTTTCACAGCCGTATTCTACCTTGAGCCATATTGATGAAATATGTCTGCCAAATACCAAAACGAAATCAGTAGCTTAAACCATCTCTCAGCTAAGGAAAGTGAAATTTGTATTATTTGCACAGATTCCGACAATGATATATTTAGAGAGTCCTATTAAAGCTATCGCACCTTTTACCAATAACTTCGTATCTGATCCGATAAAACCAAAAACGGTCCAACAATTTCTTACCTTAAGTGCGCTTCATCTTACCTATCAGGCAAGCGAGACGTTTGAAAGGATTCTGTTACCGCGAAAAACAGGTAGCAATATGTTTACTTTATTTGACTTAAACGGCAAACACTGAAGGATGAAAATAATTGCATTTAAGAATATTTGTCTAAAGAAAGTAGGATTTACTGTTTAGTTTGTGTTTAGCTTGAAGAAATAAAGCTGTGTCAGTAAGACCATGATCTAAAACAAACACGGGCCCAATGTTGCAAGCCCAGAGGCAAACAATAAATTCTCATTTGTAAATTTTACAAATCACTAGAAGTGGGTGGGCTAACGCGGCGAGATGCTATAATAGATGAGTCGGTCGGCCATATCAATAGAAACGAAATTTCTAATAAACTTGTCTGCTCCAAATGCCATAAATTTCTCACATTCGAGGCTGACACACTGCTGTATGCCTGTAATGAACTTTACTCCTCCCTACTGATAAGTATTGTCACTCAAACTGCTGATCAGGTAAATATGACGGGTTGAAATTAAACGCATTATCGTGTCTGCAAAGAAAACAGTTGGAAAATAGCATTTGAAAGCTTGAGAAAGGCAGACTTTGTGATCACCAACCTCATAGCTTTGTAGTCAAATTGAATTTTTTTTGATCATCGACCCATGGCGTCGTATTCAAATTGAAATTTTTTTCCCAAAAACTATTTACTTAGTGAAGTCTACATTGTAAGTGGACTGTTTTCTTACCGATAAGATGTGTGTGATATTTGTCTGTCTATCTATCATTCGATGCATTTTGTACTCAAAAAAAATAGTCAAGGCCAAGTTTAACAACCAAATTGCTAATATAAACCGATAAAATAAAAAGTTCTTTTTTTTGGCTAAAATAAATGTGTATTTCGTTTGTTACCGAAAAACCCTCTGTAACAGGAAGGAGTTGTTGGGAAAAGAAAAACTTGAAGAAAACATTGGGTCGGAAATAACAGTCATCAGACAGGAAAACAAAATGTTCTTACATAAAAAAAAAACTCTTCCAACATTATAATAGCATGTTTATCGTGTTGCGAACTAAAATTAACCTCTTCGGCAGACGAACCTCCCGAGGAGAACTGAATAGGTGATAATGAGGAGACGAGTCAGAAAACCCTTATTTGCTTATTCAAACAAGAATATATTGCTAAGTCAAGATAACCATCATCTGCCCAAACAATACACATAATGAAGGATACAGGAACCAATGCATGTTTATATCGACAAAGGAATGAATGGGATAATTTTCTAAAGAAACTGTGTTACCATTGCAGGATTATTTGGCACTACCAACTGAATTGATAAGGCAAGGACGAAGGGCTAACGCTCGAAACTTCAGCGCAAAAAAACTCTTATAGTGACTAACTTACATCATCAACTGAGAATAAACTATCATGTTTATATCGATCGAGGGTAAAATTTCCGCACAGCCCCATACTACATTATGCATACAGTTCTTGGATAGAGAAAACAATGACAAAAACAATACATTGCCATCGGGAAAACAGATTTGTTTTACAATGGTATGGGGCTGTGCGGTAAGTATACCCGATCGAGTCTGTGACAGCGACAGAATTAGACGTTTAAAATTACTACTTTTGTTTTATTCCTTAACTTCATTTCCTTGCCAGTCCGAAAATTTAGTATTCGCTGGTTCAAAAGTGACAAACAAAGGAACAAATGGAGGGGACACTGCCATGTTCGTAAATCTGCAAACCTAACTATGAGGATCGTACAAGTTCGCTTATAAATCCAATTTGAATTTTTATTTTGGCCACAAGAGCTTGTGTTAATTTAATTACAACTTAGGCTAAGACTCGATCGTTCATAAAATATAGAACATATAAGCAGAGAACTAAGTTGTTCAAGAATGGGAGAGAAAACCTCTACATTTTAGTCACAGTATTTTTATTATCTGACGGTCATTATTCCCTTAAATACATGATTATTAACAAGTTAGCCTGCGAAGCATGCGCTGAAGCATTGATTAGCGAAATTTGTCAGAGGCAGACTTAAGAGTACCAACTTCATCAAAATGTCTCGGTCGAACGCGTCTCATGGGTGTGGAAATAAATTTCCGACCTTAAAACCTCACTCGCCAGAAATTCTGAAAAGCTGTCCCGGAAAATTCACTGTTCTCTTGAAAAGAAATCCATCGGAAAACTGGTTGCTTCAGGAGAACAGTTTCTCGAGTGTCGGAAATGGTAGTGACAGCGTGGAGTAAGTGACTTCTCTTCGAACATCTTCTACTTGATATTACTACGTCGCCTGCTCCGCAGGTTAAAATAGAAAGAGGCTGCATCATTCCAAAAGGCGATAACGTTGAAAGATTCCTAGCAGTTAGACCTGAAATACACCAGAACGAACCACAAACGATATTAAAAAAAAATTAATTTAAAAAATCTATTAGAATTAAATTTTAACTTATAAGTGGTAGGTAGGTGACAGGGGGCCTGACGGTAAATGCACTAGACTTCTGGTAGAGAGGTTTTGGCCGGCTTATCGAGTTATGATCTTCGGTATAACAATTCCACAGCGTCTCTCTCTGCACAGGAGTATAAATGGATAATGGCGATTGTCAGGGAAGCCTGATGAGATGGTGGGGAGTAAGCTCGCGATTGACTGGCATAACAGAAGGGAAAAGCTGGGGGAGGGACTTGAGAGGGTCCTAGGGTGTCCGTGGTCCCTCCTTTATAGGCCTTTCTTAAGTATAACACGGCATGGAGTTCGACGTGATAATCTAGTGAGTGCCCTCCGTTTGACTGAAGAGTGATCCCCCATCGAAAAATCCTGGCCACACCTCTGTGTAACCATTTCCGTTAAAGCTAAATGTTACCGCTTCCAAGAGAAGCTGCTAAATATTTTCTGGTTGGATCGACGTCTCCGTGATTAGTTAGTTTTGGACAGAAAATTATGGTTAGCGTTTCAGTTCAGGATACGACTCCGTGTAATGAAAATCATTTTTTTGAATAGAAGACAAGCTAGACCGCAACCTCGATAAAGTAATCAAGACCCGCGAACGTTGTTGATCGCTCCGATATAAGAACGCCCTAAGGAATAGGAAAAGAAATAAAGAGTGAAAAGATCCTGTATTGGTTTGATGTTTGAAACGTTTACCTGTACCATCCAGGGGGTAGTAGTAATACTTTTAAGATATGAGCTCTGGCTCAATGGGCCACATGGCCCCTGTACAGACTTACCTACCACATGAGTTGTAGCCAGTGGAAACTAATTCGACTAGGATAGAGTTAATTCTAATTCTTAAACCAGTTAAGGTTTGTAGGAAATCAAAGCAAAAGCCATCTAGGATCCTTTTTTAACCCATAATTAAAAAAAGTATACTCATTACCAGGGAAAGTGTTTTATACCGTTATTTCTCACCTTAGTAAAACTCATATGCATAAAAAGCGTGCTCTTTTCCGACGTTGTTCCAACATTCACTGGAAGCTCCGTACTTATCATAAGAATGCTCTGCCTCTCTACCTGTCCAACATTCTCCGTAGAACTCAAGGGCAAACATTTTGTTGTCAGGGAAATTATCGAAGACAAATTTTGCACATTTCTGAATGGTGTCGTCAATGTTGGACCAGTCGATTCCTTCATTTCGGAAATTTTTGGCAAGTTCTGGCCAAGCAGGTGGGTCTCCATCGTTAAAACAGCCTAGCCCTCTGTATCTAAGCAACGGCTGTGGGGCTAAGATTAATGGGAAGATAACAAATAAGATTCGAGTGCATGATGAGAAGCCAATAAAAAGCAGCAACGGTGATGAACCAGTTTTATCATACAAACTACAGTGTTGTACAAGGATTTCCAGCCCTGAGGAAAGCCGTAACAACACATGTGAAAAAAATACGATATTTTTTCACGTGTGTTTGATATCGCCAATCAACTGCTGACACGTCACTCGCCTTCGCGCCACTTGGTCAGGTTGATAAATTAACGGCAAAGCCTTCACCGTTCTCATTCCAAGGTCGTTTGCCGGAATTTTCTCGGATTATGGTTGCTAAAACCCTGAAAAACACGTGCCGATTTTGGCCGTGTACCTGAAAAGATTTCTTTTGTCGGTGAGGAAAAAATTACGCCCATCGTTGTTTTTGTAATGATTCAACGCATTTTTACATCTTGAACCTTAGCACCAACGCTCTTTACGATTTTTATTCGGGGATTGTCGATACTTTTATTTTCATTCATTATGAAAGTGGACTTTTCTTGTCAGTAAAGGGCTATTTTGTTTATATGATAAACAAAATAATACATGCTTGCTTGTAGATATGAAATTTCTCTTCTCGTGTTCAACTCGACATCTCACTCGTTCGCTGTGCTCACTCGTGAGCTATCGTATGCACTCGAAGAGAAATTCCATATCTACACGCCCGTGTTATTCTCTATTTAAAGAACCGAATTTACGGTATAGGGCTTTCATTACTACTGAACTTTAAATGGATAAAGGTGGATAATTTCTGAAATTTCTCACCGTTGAGAGTTTAGCTTAAGAAACTCTTGGTAATCAACAAGTTTCAAAACTACTGCGTCTTAGCAAGCATAGAGCATTTCTGCCATGTTAAAGTAAGGACCTATGCGGTGTTTTACTAGCCAGTGATTGGTTGATACCCCACCTGAGGGCCATGGTCTTAGCTTACTCTATGCAGAATAAAAGTTATTCATAAAAAAACACTAAATATCTTACTTGGACAGGGCACATTTGTATTGCAGTCCTTAGTGGTAGGGCTCGGTTTAGGAGCATGGTGACAAAGAATCTCAGGTACTTTGACCAGTTCTCCTCGATCATTACGTCTCTTGCAAACGAGGCCCCTTTTCTTCGTACCTCCTCGGCATGTTGAAGAGCACTGGCAAAGCAAAAAACATGACTGTCTGAAACTAAATTGAGATCAATAAATAAAGGGTTTATAAGTTCCTGATATAAAAAAAGGATAGATTGAATCTGCACTCGGTACAATTGGCACACAGCACTGATCATGAAGTGGCTAAAAAATATTGCCTATCTACAAGGGCGGAAACCTGCAGCAGGTTCGATAGGTAATTCGGCCACGCCTTCCCCCCTCCCATAGTTCGTCAGGTTTGCTTATGCTCATGGTAGAAGGAGGCACTATGAAAGTCACGGGTCATCAAGTTCGATAAAGACTGGAATCCACAATTTTAAATCTTAACCCAACACACTAACATATACTAGGCTTTCGCTTCTCCTGGATATAATTTGAACTGAAAATGTACGATCAAAATTCGCAAAAAATACAGACATAATCGCTTCAACATCTCTACGATTTAATCTACATTCATCACTAAATTATGTTACCTGAGACCAGGCGGTAGTTTTCCACTCGGCCTGACAAATGATCTCGTTACAGCTCCTTTGTGTTCCGCCAGAAGGTTTAGCGCCTCTGCAAGAAGAGTCTGGGAGGATCTCAAATTTCCACTGCGTCAGCTTCCGGCGGCAATGCACTTTTCGTTTTTGGACCCCTTTACCGCACGTTCTGGAACAAGAGCTCCATTCCGAACTGTACCAACTGCCATAAAATTAACATAACATTTTTTAAAAAAGCTTTCTTGAAGTGAAGTCAATAGTAACCTAAATGCCTTTTCTCTGTTCTGAATGCAAAATAAGAGATATTTGAAATAATCTTGAGAAATGCCAAACTGTGTCGACCAAAACCAAAATTTGTTTTCTTAGAATGTGACAAATAGGACTTTTTGTACGTATAGTGCTTTCAAAGTATAGCATATCTCAAACACTTAGTGAAATATATGCGAACTTATGAACAATGAAAATGAATGAAAAATTGCTTTTAGCTTACTGAGGGTCGCATGGATGTGTATTGCAATACTGTTCTTCTGCAGGCTTCCTAGACTTCTTCAAGCAAACCTTATCCTCAACGTACGACCCATCATCTTTTCTTGTACAAAGAACTCTTCGGCTCTGTTTTCCTAAAAGAAAGTTGTAGAAGTAGATTCATGAGGTTTTTGTTCTTTGAAAGTTTTATTTACGGGAAGAAAGTGTAATTTTGATAAAATTAACTTGGAAAAGATAGGTTCTTGTAATTTTTTGATCAAATCGCCTATATTTCTTGAAATTCGTTCTTTCTTTCTTTCTTTCTTTCTTTCTTTCTTTCAATCGTGACTTGGCCGCTGGCTTTTTCCGCAGCTTAGGCCGTTTGCTACTTTTCATTCTGGCCTCTTAGTATTTTCCTTTTGTTGGACTGGCCGTACTGATTGCTTGGTTTTGGTTTAAAGAGACTCAGTTATAAAGACCACCACTCATTTTTAAACAGAACTTCCTTATTCAGCTGTTTTTCACACCTTTAGCGCACTTCCAAGAACACTCGCCCCAGTCTGTCACATTCCACTCAACATCGTCAGCTCCGATATTAGATGAAATAGTTGGGTCATACAACTCGTACCACACACCTGTGTGTGAGTAACCTGCAGAAACAAACTAAAAGAGAAATTCTTTATACGAAAATTATTTTCTTATTTGTTATATCAAATGAAAATTCTGAGTCAGTACTTGAATCCCCTGAATTATTTAGTCATGAAAAATGAAGAAATGAATGTAAATAAATCTTCTCTTGAAAAAAAAAGTTGCGAAGTAGAAGTTGAATGATAAATAAAATGAATGTGTTTCGGAGTGACTTGCGGCGGTGAAATTAAACGTGCAGGCTAAACAAAAAAGACTGATTATGTGCTGCTAAATCCACCATATTTCAATCTAAACAAAAATTCGCAAGCTTTTAAGATCAATTTTATTTGGCACGGAGAACCGAGATGTGGCTCGCAATTTCCATAACTGTTTTTCTTTAGAATTTTAGACGATATCTAGAAAGAGAATTTGTTCAATTTCCAAACTTTTCAGTGTTTCTCAAGTTTGCTGTCAGACACTAACTGCCTCATGCACATACCACAACGGTAAGGTCCTCTGTTGTGGGTCCTGGAATGGTAATCGTGTTGATATCGTAATCTTTTTCGTGGTAATAGTGAATCTTAGTTCCAGCTGCATACACTGTTCGACTCCAAGTGGGCACTGGGATTGCATATTTACCTTCTTTATTCTTTATACCTATTAGGATATTTTAAAACATATTCTACAAGTAAGGAGTGAGTAAAAGTTTTAGATGCTTTGTGAGTTACCATCTAACGTTTAGAAGACTATTTCCAAAATTAAAAATTAATTCATTGAGCCCCAGCCAAGATATGCACTGTTTGTGATCAGAATTGTTGCTGATGTCCCGAAACATTTTGATAAGCCTGTCCCCGATTAAAAAATTTCTCTTAACTAATTTAAAGTGGCTTGCTTTCTTAAAGGGCTGCGATGAAAATAATGTTATCAATTTGAAGGTTCTTACATTAATTGCCTGAAAAATAGAAATTTAAAACATGAAAAAAAAAACAAAAAAAAACAGAAAGGCCAATAAAAGAAGGAGAAACATTGCTAGGGGACCAAAGCGAACTAAAATAAGAACCGAGCAAACAGCTCAAAGGGCGGGCAATTCATTGGTTGAAAGGGTGACTCGGTGCAAATTAAATCGTAACCAAAGCGAATCCATTTTACATTAACGTGGCTTGTTACTAAAATTTTTTCTTTCAATCTAAATTATACCTACCAAGCAGGTTCTTATCTGCTGAGTCTTGCTCCACAAAGATTGACATAGAACCAATAGGAACCTCAAAAATTGTGCATGCTTTTCCTGGTCCTCAACGTTCATAAAGAAATATACAATTAAATTTGATTTTGCATAACCTTAAAATGGTTCAGTGTTACAAATATTCGAAACATCTGCGGTAAATTCAGCCGGGGCACATTTACGACCGATATACTCGGTAGATATTACTATCGATATTACTATAGATATTATTAGATATACTCGGTATGTCTTCTACGACCTGAGCAAGAAACTTAATCATGGACGTAATTCTCAACACAAAAATCTTTAGCGATCATCCTCACACGTTTCTTTCTGAAATAATTCTAATTAACTAACTACTCTCGAACTATGTTGCTGATTCTTACCCCTATGCTGCCTTTTTAAAATTCCTAAGATATTTTTGGAATATTTAGTGAAGTATATAAGGGAAAAAATTAAAATTTGCACTCCTTGAAACTGGGAATGCTCTTGCATTTTAATGGAAATATCACGAACAAACTTCTTAGCATTGTTCTCTTGCACTGACTTGTGACGATTGAAATATTTCAGGCTCCAAGATATCAGTTTCAGGCGCAACAAAAAACGGTTAATGTTGTCACTTAACTTACCAAATCCTGGACATTTTTCTTCCCACTTTTTTCGAACAAATTTGCATGTTGAACTATCTCCTCCACAAACACCACAGCGATCTCGTCTTATCTCAGAATCCAATTCATTACCACAGGATACGCGCTGTTTGATTTGAAAAAAAAATTATATATATATCTGCCTATTTGCAGAATCAAATTTATCCCTTGAACAAAAAAATCAAAGTAAAAGATACGGAAAAAATGAAACACTGTTCAATTTTTGTCTTACTCTGCACTTTCCCTGAATGCAGACGTCCGGGATTGTGGGATCACTGAAGCATCTCGTCCCATTTTCGACGTCTCGTCGTTGAGGAAAAGCATTAAGTTTCTTTCGACATACCAACGAACAGTGATCTGATAAAGGACATGCAGTGTTTTTTTTTAGTGTCACTTAAAGTTTTTTTGCAGGACGTCAATCTCAGATTGCTACTATTAAGTAATTGTTATGGTGGCCTGTCCTGTCAGTCATAAGAATGGGAAATTTTGATCTATAACTCGAGAATTAATCAAGACATAATACAAAACGTTATCACTAATCATGTAATATTCCGATGATATGAATTTTTTTTAGAGCCGTTTCGTTCCTTAAAATGATAACGATGACGGTCAACGGCTAAACAACGATAACGACAATAATTATTATACACCTGCAGTATAAAAAGCGTGGTATTCGGGGTCGATAGCCTCACACTGGAGTTGTCGAAATGTTTTGGAGCCAGCTGGACATGGCTGTTAATGAAATACAAAAAAATAAGGAAGATTACGATTAGCTCATAATCATGATGCACCAGAACGCAAAAAAAAAACAACAACAACAACAGCAACAATAGCAACAACAACAATAACAACAACAACAACAAAAATAATCTGACCTGTGGGTTACAAACTTTCCAATGTCCCACCGTTGGCCCAATACAATTCCTTCCTCCGTTCTTTGGTCTACAAATAGGAGTTTTAAATCTATGTTTAATCAATTATTTTCTTTCATAAACTTGGACTATTTAAAAGCTAGCATAGTCCTTTCACCTAGTAATTAATGGTGTAAAATCAGATGGAGTGTATGGACCGAAAAATACTTTTGAAGGTCTTACGGTGGGTTGGTGCAAGTTCTTGATCTGTGTTGAACCCCTCCTCCACAGGGACGGGTGCAATTGGAGAAGCCCGACCAGTTACTCCAGCGGCCACGGATAATACGTGACCCGTCATCTACACACTGACCATTTATACACCACTTAAACGAGAGAACGAGAGAGAGAGAGGTTAGAAAATAGCTTCAGTTATAGCAGTGATAGTAATGTTGACAACGAATAGCTCCCTATGTAACAAGCCCAACAGACGTTTCAATGGAGACTGCCCTGCCTCCATCACCATACTGACTTGGAAATCCATTCTTACGTCGCTCACTCACTTTTCATGCTTATCTCCGACTAAGTAGTTAGTCTGTAAAGGAGGAATTGTTATTTTCTCCAACGAAGGGCTAACGTTTAAAAATTTGCTTTTTTTAGTAACTCTTTTCAGTGGCCAATTTACATTATCAATTCAGTTGATAAAATCAAATTATTTTACAGTGATCCCCATCGACGCAGCACAACAATTTCTTTAGGAACTTACTCCTTCAGAGATATTGTTATAAGCTGCTTCGCTATATTTAAGAAAGAAAGGAAAATTATTTTATTTCCGACCTAAAAGCTAATCTACTGGCTAAATCGAGTAAGAAGAACGGTGGATATCCATTTACTGAAGAACCTAAGACAAATAAAAAATGTCGGTAATTGGTGATTCATCCTGCTCTTATATTCAGACTTACCTAATACAAATGATAAATTAGTTATTGCAATTACGAATAGGTATTCTACTAAATAAATACTGGTAGGTTAAATTACATGTCTAACTCCGCATCTTGTTCCATCTGCAGGAGAAGTTGAAGATAAAAGGCATCTATAGCCATCTCTGGTGCATCCAAGTTCACCACAGTTTGTCTGCGAAGATGAGCAATGTTACTGAATCATGAAGTAATTATTACCACCGCGATCGACGACTCACCCGGAATGGTAATAGTGATGACTGGTTCATCTGCTGGTATTCTGTATTGCTTCTTTCGAGTGCAAATTTACGTTACCCACTCTCCCAATGCAGCGAAATCGTCATACAGATGATTTTACGATCACTTACGGGATTTCCCGTCTAGCTTCGCCAGAAGTCCCCCAGCATTTCCAGTAAAAAAGGACTGTTGTATGATACTTAATGTGAAAAATCGAGCCGGTACAATAGATCATTTCTAAATACGAAATAGGTGTAAGTATATCTTTAAACTAGTCTTAAAAATACGTTTGGGAATGATTTGGAGCCTATTATCGTCAACAGAAGTAAGCCGAATCTTGGTAAAAAATAAAGTAATCTACTGAGTAACCACTCCTCTACTCTAAGACAAGACCACAGAGCAAAAGAACACCTAATCAGCTGTTGGTACCAGTTCCTACTCTTTTTTTTCAGAGAGAAGATGATGGTGTTTTGCTAGTGTCTTAAGAACCCAAGCCACTTTATGTACGAACACACTTTGTTTGGCGTTTAAGAAAGATACCGTTCACAGAAAGAATCAAATCCAACGAGTTTAACACCACTACAAACTGAAAAGATTCTGCTATGTGTAACAGCGGTCACTTACCTTGCGTTGTGGGCATGCGTAGTAAGCCTTGCTATGAATCATTCTGCACTGTCCATCTCGGTCTACAACTTGACCAGGCAGTTTACCGTAAAATTCTTTCGGAGTTTTGGTGATGTTGGAAACTCGTGGAATGTCATCTAAACAGTCTGATCTTTGGCTGCACCAAAAAAAAAAACAGATTGGTAGAAGGGCTGACCCTCCCGTGAAATATAATTGACTAATGACTGATTAATTTATTAGTTAATTTATCTTACTGCAATTCCTGCAATATTGATATTCAAACACATATTGCTAAGGCGTTAAATGTAATGATTGATAATACAAAAAATCTGTAGCATAGAAAAAAAATTTTTTTTGCGAGTGAATATTGGTTGTGGCGATAATAATTTTGTATCAACGTATGTTGGAAGCTTAGCCCTCGACATAGAAAGGAATTATTTTTCCTCCACATCACATCTTAGATTAGAACCGGTTATTAAGCGTCGCACAAAGCATTTTATCCAATATTCAAACCCCGTAGAGTACGGAACCCGGCCAGGACCTGATTATGGTCAACTTAGTGCTTTGTCACAAAGATGGGAATGAAGGAGAAGGTATAACAAGCCGTGAAATATATAAAGGTCATCAGACGTTTTGGTATGTAGAAGTGCTGAGTACCTTTACTAGTCGTGCGGTACTTTGAAAAGCCCGCAGATCGAGTCAAAAGGCAATCAATGGGTAAAAATACTAAGCACAAAAAAACTTTCAATAACTTATTTATCATAGAATTGCTGTATTTTATATGCATTTCTAAACTGGTCTTGCATAATCATCAAAATCCTTTATCAAAATCCTTTGGTGTGAAAAATACCTTAAAAAGTCTTGGAAACGTTCACGACTACACGCAGACCATTTCATGGACCCAGGTCCACTCGGTATAGTGGATGCCATGATATTTTTATTGTTCTCACAGGAAGCTGCTGCACCAGATCCGTCATGCCCCACGCTCATCCTTAAAAAAAAACGAAATATAAGTAAGTTAAAATATTGATTTTGCATGATAGCAACTGCCTTGTATGAGGGGGCTACCCCCCCGATCCTCTCGCTAGGGAGTTCAGGATGTCAATATGTTGACGCCTTGCATGGGAAAGCAGCGATTAAAGAAATGAACTTTCATTTCTGTCAAAAATCCTCGTAAGGAGCTCAATGTGCCAACCCTCCAAGGGGGCATCAGATCACTTCCTCAGAATAACATGGGAATGTAGCATTGAGTTTGAACTAAAAATATGAGTCACTTTCTCTCGGGATTCCATTCACAGCTCTGCGTAAGACGACTGGGAATTGTACTCAGTTTCAAAACGCAGGCGTAGAGCTATTCTGTTTAGCAAAAATTCCGTTTCTCCACGTTCTTGTTGCCGTAGACGTCTTGATTTGCTCAAAGTCCACACGGAGACAATCATGTTTTCAGTGTCATTCATTATATTTCATAGTAAACACGTCTGTTTAACTAACGTGTGAGCAATCTCATGAGCCACAACAATGGCACTTCCGAGTCCAATGTCGTTGGAGAGAGCAGCCCCAAAGTAGCTACGGCATGTTGATCCGACGCTAGCAATCCCTGCAAGTCATGAACACACCGTTTATTTAAACCTATTGGGAGATAATTATATTTCTAACTATTTTTCATGATATTTTATTTCATCATTAGGATCAAGACCTTCGAATAAGGATCACAATGATGACGACGACGAAAATGATTCCTTTATTTGTACTACTGCTTACGTGGCGTTATAAATACAAAGATCACTCTCATCTTCCTGTATTGATAATAGTAATGATGTTTCAACGCGCATGTCGATAACCATGGCGATAAAGGCAACGATCGTGTATGTCACTCAGTATTCAAATTTGAGCGATCAAAAAGAGGAAAAATTTACTTACCCCCAGAACTCCTGTCAATAGAAAGGGAAATAAAATTTTCGTTAAAATTACATAACTGAAAACGTTCAGGTGCATAACCTGATAATGGGTTATCATCTTTCTCGCTTCGCAATTTTATTGTCGGTCTCATGAATTACTTGAGCCGCAGGTTAGAGCTGTTATCGTAGTCTAGAGGCTTGCCAGGTACCGATAAAAACAAAAACTTATTTAAATTATAAGTGAGTTGAAGGAAGGCCCTTCCACCTTCCCCCTCTCTCCCCCTTACGACTTATCAAAACTTAGACCTTCCGGGTTAAGGATAAGAGCAAATCTACAGAAATCTGCGTTGTTCATGCCAAAAGATAACAAATTACCTTCTCGTGATCAGAACGACAACATCAGCGTGAGCAGGATCATCGTCTGACTCGGGGAAGTTTTTTCTTGCCCAGCGCTCCATAGCGGAGATTCGCTTACCTCTAGATGCACTTGAATTATAGCCAAACTAGGAAGAGTAACATAAAAAAATTATGTTTGTCTGGCTGAGAAATCTAAAGGTTTATCAAATGGATTAAGATGTCATCGGAAAATGAAATAAATAAAAGGCATTTTAATATAGTTTGTACACCATATTGCTATCCTCTGAGACAGAACAAGGTCAGTATACATATCAATGGCCTCAAGAGTGTTATGGAAGATCGGAACGTTTAATTTGGAGAAGCGCAGAGGATATGACTCACAGTATTCCCCCGAGGAGATGAAACTCGGAAAAAATCAATGAAAAGTTACATGTGAGGGGTCTCTGCGCCGAAACGCTCTAATAAGTATGCGAACCAGCATAAATTTGAGATAAGAGTTGTAGCCTCAACATTTTATCGCATTACACCGGAGCGGTTTGTCGTAGAAACTTGCTGCAGCCACTTATCGCTTACCCCATCGTTCTTGAGTACCAAACGGACAATCACAGGAGTGATCTTTATTGGGCCAATACTGCTGTCGTGGAAAAGTCTTGAAAGCTTAGAAAAGAAGTTTATTCATTGGTTAATTGGCTCTTAGCTAACTTAGACGCTTGCTTGTGAAAAAAGGAAAATGATTTATCTTTCATGTACTGAATATCGCGAGATTTTTCTTAGCTTGTCTTTTACGTGTATTGGCATGTTTTTTGTAACTTATACTGTCGAATCATTCGTGGAATTTTGTATTTATCACTCTACACTTCGCCATTTTTTTAAAAATTTGGCTCTTTTCTTTCTTTGCTTGTATTTTAAAATGTTATGTTTTAGTCAGTGAAAGTACTTACAATATGAGCGATAGATAAAAGATGATAAGTCGTTTCCTCTTCGCCATAGGCTGAGATCACAAAGTTGTCAGCTATCAGAGCCATCTCTAGGAACTTATGTGGAGTTTGACGTTTTTTCCTCCGGAGAAGGCCCGGTTTGGTCCTTTCAAAAGGCATCCAATCACTATCTGAAGTGTACAAAAAAAAGACAGCCTTATCGACTCTTTTCCTCCACTGAGGTTGAAGAAAAAGAGACGAAAGGGTTATCAAAAGGGGGTCTACTTAAAAGTAAGACCGGACAGATGTTATGTTGTGGGACATAGAAATGATGTTTGTAATCATTTGAACCTTTTAAAAATAACTTTCAACCATCACCTTCGTTATTGTACCTCATTATACTAAGGTTTTTGGTTCCTTCGAAAACAATTTCAAAATCCTTATAACTGCCACTATATCGTTTCTTGGCTTCTTTAAACTATAAAACCACATTGTAATATCATAACGCTTGGTTCATGTTTTTAAAATTTCAGACTGCATTGAAGGAGTTCAAAGAAAGAAATTTATATCGTTATGGCGCAAATGCACAATAACAATAGCAATTAACAAGTTGAATTTCTTACTTGAAATATGGAAATCAGGAGTTAAATCTTGATTGATTGACCTTCTGTAGATAATGTGCGGAAGTCCGTGTTGAAGCTGATTCTTTTCAACAAGATTCTGTGAGAGAGGCCTAATGTAAAGTGTGTCCTGGAGAGTTTGAATGATCCCAGACTGAAAAAGTTCAAAAGAGCCAGGTAGTACCCCAGAGATAAGGTATTTTGTAAAGAAATTATAAGCTCGATCATGCATAGAAATCGAGATAAATTACTCAATTGTTTTAGTATTAATGTACTAGTTTTGCAAACCTTAACATCAACACTGGCGCAAGATCCAGATTCAAGACTCACCAATCCTTTATTTCCGCTAATGGCGACCAGTGACTCTGGTTCCGACGTCACATGACCTGTATAATGAACGCCACGTGGCACCTCCTTATAAGTGGACTTTCCACTGTGATCTACTGTCTCAACCACTGCTCCTGCTGTTATTTTAGGCATTACTTTTGTGACGTTAAGATGAAGTGACCTTCCAAACGCTTCAATTTTGAAGTACCAGAAGTTTGGCTCGCTAGTGGCTCTCCGTGTTCTTTCTCCGTCATGATGAACGTAATCAACGAAACTCCCCGAATCATCCGATTTATAGGGAGCTATCACCTCATATTCTGGGACTACGGTGCAAAAAATGATGTAGACATTAGAATGGCTCATAACCCAATCATTAATATCCACGCTATTTAATTGGCTATTTTAGGTCATGTGGTGCAAGCACGAACTGTACTTGCGCGCTATGAAAATAAATGGGAGGCTCATGGAAAAGATAAACGCTTTTCCGGTATGTTGGCCGGTAATTTCCTCGGCTGAGATTTCAAATTTGCCATCGAATCTTAGCTTCTTGGCCAAATATTTATTTCTCAGACAATCTCTCAGCCACAGACATTATCAACCCACAAACCAGTCGACTGAAAAGGTTTATTGACTAATTAGCTTATTTAGAGAGGTTTTTCTAGCTTGATCTACGTCAATAAGTTGTGAAAATTATTTACTTGATAAAGCTCCAAAGAAAGAAATGTGCATCAAACCTTTTTCTCTTGAGTCAACTCCAAATGTTTTCTGTAGTTCACTATCTGCCATGTGCAGGTGAACATCGTGGAACTAGTCAGTCAAATAGAACACCAACTGGTTAAAAGGGAATGGGTAACCGTATGATTCTATTCATGATGGTCTTACAATAGCTAAAAAGACAGTAAGAAAACTGTGATTATAATCTATTTCCCGATTACCAAACTGACTTAGCTGATATAATGTAGTATGATCGCCCGGTTGAGTGTAGTCCTGAGAAGGACTGTTGTCGGTAGTGGTGACTGACGTTTCGACAACGTGAGTCATTATCAGAGTCAAGTGAATAGCTGTTGTCAGTCGAATGTTCTAAATCCGGTTAGTATAAGCTGATTGGTCAGTTTTTCCGAGACTGCAAATTACCTTCCTAATCAAGAAAGTGTGAAGCAAACCTGATTGGAGATGCTCGAGATATATGTAACATAAAATCATAAAATTTATGAATAAACAAAAGAGTTTCATCTTCGATCCTCGTGTGGACAGACGAAAACGATACGTTCCCCTCGTATTGACGTACATTTTCTTGGAAGCTTTCATCAATTGATTAATTGATTCTAACTTCTTGGATACAACTGAATTTTGCAGGCAATAACCTTACCGTGTGTTTTTTGAATAAATTACTGCAGATGACGTCTACCAGAAAGGAAAGAGAAGAAAATGTTTGGCTAGATACAGAATATTCCTGTAATGGGAGTACTTGCTTAACTTGTGTTGGAAAATTTTAAATAGCACATTTGGATTTACCAATTAAGCATGATTGGATGACGTAACAACGTTCTTTGAATGTCACTCTTACCTTTCATATTATTTACTTTTCTCAACCCGGGAGGGCTGAAAAGTCTGGCCTCCATAACAGTTATTTACTTTAACCATATTTAAGCTTTATGAATGTTGAAATATTGCAAAAAGATCAAATGAATTGCTAAGCAAAAGAATATGGATCGTATTTTTTTCTATAATAATTTAATCAGCCAATTAGTCCCTTTACCGGTTGCACTTTCCAGATTCCGTTTATCAAAGCACTGAAAATTAAAGAATTAGTTGGCAGTAACTTATCCAAGGAATAAAAATTATCCCTTTGTTAGTAGGGTGAGGAGGGACAAAAGAAAATGTATCCACCAGATACTTAATTAGTCGCCCCCCATATCTCTAAAACATGCATTTAGACACCTTTTAAATAAATTGAACATGTTAAATGTTCTTTATTTTCTAATTGCAAGTGGTTGAAACGCGGTTTAATTTCAACCCTAGATTATCATTTCCTTTTAGACTTTTCTTTTAAATGTTAAGCTTGTTGAATAAAATTAAGAATTTTTAGAGAGCCAGTAAAGTGAAATTATTATATGTTCTTGGAGAGTAAATCATCTTTAATAAACTAAGGCTATCGGGGAAATATTGGAAGTTAAATAAAAATTGTAAACAAGTGGCGAAATATCTGGCACAGGTATAAATCATATGGCACCACCTTCAAAGGAGATGTGTTAGATGAAAGTAATAACTAGTTAATAATTACATCAACTTACCTCCGTTGATGAAAATATTCATTAGATAAATTGCAAAGAAAATCTTCCATTTCAGATTCATATTCTGGAAAAAAAATTGACGGCAATGGTACTTGTCATTTAGAAAATGAATATTAAATTTGTTACATTTTTTGTTCAAGATATTGCGCTAAAATACACTTACGGTAAAAATCGAACCAATATATAACTTAAGCAATATTGGGTATGTAATCTTTTTGAGTAGAATTTTGTTTTGCTATTAGGTAGTGCAAAATATTCGTTACAGAGTTTTCAGTATCATTGAGAGTTTTTTTTCCTGTAATTGTCTACAGTTTCACATATTTATATGTGGACAGCTGGTTAAATTCGTTTGTCAAAATAACATTGCTTTAGTAAATGGACTTTTGTTTCAAATTTTTTTCTTTTCTTGTTACCAAAATTTTCATTGTTATCTTTTGTGACATGTTTTATTTAAATGTGACTGAATGTTGATGGAAACGGTTCTCTTTGCAAGTTTTATTATTGAAATTAAATATTAGATCTAAGCGTATTTTTAACCGTGTCCTGCTAGTATAATATTTTGTATTTTGTGATCAACAGATCATTACACTCCTTGTGAAGGTAACGATTTAGTTTTTGTTGTTTTAAGTCCCTCCTATTGGGGCTTGTGTACGATTTGTTACCAAGAAGTTTCACACTGAAATTTGGGGGTATATCGTGTTTCTCAGTGTGAAAAAGGCAGACCGCATGGTCCTAAGGACCCCCCTCGCATCCCCCGAGCTGTGACCTTGTATTTATATAAAGAGAGGGGCAGAAGGAGTCTTATGATTATACATGTGTGATAGTCCAAAGAAGGTTTGCGTAAATTTGAAAGCTAACTATTCTTAATGTATGATAATTTATAACATACAATGTTTGGCTAATGCTATTTTTAGGATTTTTTTTCCCAAAATTTGTAATTCTTAAAATTAAGAAAAACGTTTCTCCATTTTCACTGTCCAAAATGCTCTCCAATTTAAATTCAAGAGAAAGTATAATAGTGTTTGCATCTCTCTTTATATCAATCATTTGACACTTTAAAAAGGTGTCCTCGTTGTGTTAACGCCTGCCTTGAATTGAATTGGAAGTGCAACTAAAGATTGTGTCTTTTAATTCATAGATCAATTCACTGGTACTTACCTGTGATATCAAATGTATCAGATCTGCCTTTAGGAGGACGCCAAGCTGTAAATTAAGTGTTTGATATCTTTAGGTAAGGCGTTTGAAATAATGCCTTATAAATGATATCAAGATGTACCAATTGACAAAGTCGTAAAATGGACTTAAAAAAAACTTTTTCACATTAAATGGTATCACGAGGAAAAAACATGTTTGTTTAGCAGGGAAAGGCCGGAAAACTTACATTCAGATAGCGACACATTTTGACGCATCAGAAATTCTCTTTGACAGAACCATGTGGGAGAAGAAAAAATGAAAGGAAATGGCGTTGGTCAACGACGGAAAAACGTGGATAAACAATTCAGTTGCGCATCTAAGGCTCCGCTCCTTGAGTTTAGAAAAGTTAGATAATGAAGAACAATTTTAGATAATATGTATTCATATATAAAGCAAAATCTTCAAATATCTGGGGCTACAAAATTTTTAAGGATACTACCCTTAGGTACAAATTGTCCCACCGAAAAACTCTCGCCTGGACTCGACAAATTGCCGACCAAGGTTTGAACCATCCCATGTAAGGGTTTCGGACGAAAACGAACAATAGCTGCACGTTCCTAAAACTCCTTTTTAGAAAAGAACCCTGTCGAAGACGCTGTCTAGGTCCTAACAGCCTAACAGCCTATTAGTTGACAGCTCATATCGTTTCAGGCTGATTAAGGTAATGCTTCTCATGGAAGGAGGGAGAGGAGGGGTGCCCATCTTTAGTACTCAGTCCTTGAATACTAACCTGTGTTGTTGGGAAGCTTCCGAGATCCTTTTAAAAGAAAAGGCTCAGTTGGCACTTGGCCGATGTGATTCGTAGTCGCTAAAAGATAGATAGATAGATGGGTAGACAAATAATCGGGTTTGCTGAACGAAATATTGGAATAACTATGAAATGATAACGAAACGTTAAACGTATGTAGACGAAATATACGATACTACAACGCTCATTTAATTTTTTTATTTTGAATCCCGAAGGGCAACGTTTCAAAAGTCTCGTAAGGACGGAATAGTCCAGGCCCTCTCAATTCGTGATAATAAACTCATGTCACTTTTTATTTTCACATTTCAGCATTTCTCTTTAGTACTGAACTACGCCTCTCAAAACTTCCTTCTACGAGTACATTGACATGCTGCTGTTATCAGAAATCGCTTTCCAGGTTGTTAGAATGGACGAAATGAAGATGTACTATCAACGGAACCTTAAGATTGACCTTTAGCTGTCGTTAGATCGTTTATCATAAACAAAAGACTGACTTAAAAAGACTTTTAAAAAGACTGAAAGGATTGACAGACTGAAAAATGCCATCTGGCATGACGTTTTACTTTAGCGCCTGTCATGAACGAATTGTCTTCATCAGTTCAAGTATACTTATCGGTCGATACGGAATCAGCTCCGGTGGAAAAAAAAATCCTTCTTTAACCACGGTATGACGTCATGCACGCTTTTATTTTTAACCTATATCATTAAAAGTTAGACTTTTTTAGAGCAGGAACAGTGGAAAATAGTTTGAGAAATCAGAGGATCTAGAAATCCAGGGTGAAAAAAACAGGATCATATGTGCGTCGACGAGACTAAACACGTTAAAAGGGTTTCAAGCAATCGCGACACCATCTGATTAATAACACGATTCCAAAAAAATTAGATAAACTTAGAGCCAAGCTTGCTGAAAGCAAGAAAAGTAAAATTCTTTTCTCGGGTCACTTAATTTTTATCCAATCCTTAAGTAGATACAAACGCAATATAGAACGATATCTCCTGTAAACAATCGGCACAAGTGCTTTAAAAGTAAGTAACAAAAAAATAATTTGAAACCGTTATGCTGTTCGGGAAAAGTAATTTTATTCTGTATTTTTTTTATATTTTCGACGGCAACAAATACAAGCCACTCTCGTTAAGGGAGGGGCAAATTAATTTGTTCATCTTTTATCCAAAACGATTTCAATCTTCATGGCTGTGTCTTTTACATTTGGTTCTACAAAACAAAAACTGAACGAGTAATTTGAATTCGCGTACAAATTTAACAATGTCATTTCATGAATAGTGGACTAATGGGTTTCCTAGGATGCAGATAGGTGTGAGATAATTCCGCCATTGTTTACTCATTTTGTAACAATGTCCCACGCTTTTGACACTTAAATCGAACCTTTTCTCTTATTTGTTCTTTGATTTGTGACGTATTGAAAAATGTTCCAGATGTTTCGAGGGAGTTTTATTGAAAAGAAACATTGGGTGGTTTCTGTTTCTGTTTTGATGAAACTTCATGCTACTGTGTCTCTTTCAAGGACACCATACACTGTTTGATGTTTCATTCAGTGCTGAGGTTCAGCAAAAATCGCAAAAGGCGTCTAGCTGAATACGGAAAAAGATCAAGCATATGTCCTTTTCACGCCAGAAAAGATATGTTTAACCAATTGAACTATAAAAAGAAAATTTTCAGGGATTCAATGAATCATCAACTTGAGCTTTCATTGTGCTAGATTTGAGGTTGACAACCATCGGTTTCAGGAGCCACAATTCTATACAGAAATTCATTTTTAACCTTCTTTAACAAACCAGCTTTAAAAGGTGTTTTAGCTCTGGTGTGAATTAGGTTTAAAATTGGAGTGCAGTTTTCAAATTTGAAAACTTTCATTAATTCTGATCATAGCAATGTTAATATGAGGTAACTGGGAAACAGGGAATCAGTTATCGCTAGGGCCATCATAACTTTGCACTTTTCTTTTTACCCAAAAAGTAGCTAGTCTTGTTAAACGATAAAACTAACTCGAATATTTCGATGTAAGTCGTTAAAACAAATCTATGTCTTTATGCACCAGAAATGAAATATTTTTTTACGTGTAAGTGACTGTTTTAGATCATTAAGTTATCACTATTCTCTTATCCTAAAAACACCTCCCCTTCCCAATACCCGGAAATGATTAAGATTACAAGGTATCACCTCAACTAGATAAAGAAACACATTGAAGAATAAATTTATGAGATACTTAAAAGGCCATCTCGAATGTTTCACAAGGAACATAGAAGTTGGTCACGAGACCAAAGAGAGCGCCTTTAGAAAAGACAAATTTCTTTCTTAAATGCTGCAGTTTTTCGCTCCAAAAATGTTTGGAAGAGCTATGGGATCTGTTTTATAACGATAACGTGCAGTTTTGAGGCCGTGAAGTTCATTCTTTCATCCCTTTTAATTTTTGTTTCCATGTATCTATAAATCAGTAATTTCCATATTTTCTTTATGATTTCATCGCTTTATTCAGCTCACACAGAAACGATATGAAAACGATTTATAGGAGGAGTTGACGAATAAGAACTGAATATGTCATCGTTTCTTTTCTTTTTTCAAGTCTTTACAACAAGATGATAAAATCAATCTCTAAATAAAAATATCTAATTCAGAGTTATTGATTGCTATTGTAGCTAAGTCGAAGTATTTTCCTGAGGGCTTAGACTGTGCATACATAGAAAGACCCGCATGCATTTGATAGATAAAAATTCGTCTTCATAAAATTAATATCTTATTATATATTGTTTCTTTTTGTTGTATCACTCCTAAAATTGTCGATTTTTTCAGCTTAAATCTGTTTGAATTCCAAATTTCACCTGTACTCTCAGCTTGTCTACCCTAAAAATTCACTTTATCTCCTCTAAAAAAGATTATCATCACTTTAGACTATGAGAAGTCCTGGTTTTATCAGTGAAGATAGGCCAGACTCGCTTAAAAACATTATCTAATACATGTTATTATTAAAATTCTCATTTAAGCGAACAATAATCTCTTATCTCAGTGATTACTAAGCATATATAATGACGTCAGTTGCGTGATTCTTTTTAATATTTTGAACTCTTATTTACACAATATAGTGTTGGTACTCTAATACAGGAAATTGCTCGTCAAAGTCTTTTTCAAAAAAGGGATTACTGTCTTTCTATAAGAAACAGCAGCGAAGTTTAGAGTGGGATGTTATTTACTCAAAGGACAACATTTATTTACTGTTTATTTACTTTTGGTGGGGTGATAAGGTATGGTTATTAAATATTAAATCCTTTAATTACTAAAATCTTACAAAGATCGATGTTTAACATTTGTCATGATTTGTTTAGATCGTGGGACAAAAAGGAAATTTGAGTTTCCCGCAAGGTTTAAGATCACAGTATTTTCTGACATCTTGGTTGCATATTTAACCGCTTGAGCTACAGAGAACTTGTTCGCGAGCCTATGAATATTCTTAGTGCATGTTGAAGTGGAGAACAGAGCAGAAACTAAAATTGTCAACTTCAACCTGTTGAGCGCATTAGCATCATACTGTGATAAACCTAATGAAACGACTCTTAAATCTTAAAAGTAATTGTAGTCCAAGCTCAACATTATTGCAAAAGAAGACACTTCTTTCAAACCAGCTTCTTAGTTTTCAAAATGAGTTTGTTTTAGAAATCCAATAAAACAGATATTTTCAAAATCTGAGCATATCATGGGAACCAATCAAAAAGGTGCACCTGGGTACTAATAAATGGACAATTTAAAATCTTAATCGAAAAGGACACCTTAAACCGTTGTAATTCATTCCTAAGAAAATCTTTGATAAAGTTTCTTCTGGTTAAATTCCATCTGTGAAGAATTAGCTGCAATTTTCTCCAAAAAGCCAGTAAACGGTACGTTGTGGTCTTATATTCAGGTATTTTCGAAGGTATACGATAACAATGTAACCATGTGACAATGCATTGTTTCTATTATTACTTTTTTTTTTTCATCTTTAAATTTCAACAACTGCTGTAAGTTTTCATTTTCACCCCATTCATTAAGCTCTGCGAGTAATTTGTTCCTATTAAGTTCGTTCGACTCTCCTCCTCTTCCAAAGAGAATTAGCTGTCGCTGTACGTGCCCACGGCTTGAATACTTAGGAATGATAGGTGACAACCATTAGCAAGGATTGTTAGCAAATTTTTTAAATGAACTGTACTCTAACTTTTGAACAGCAATATCGTGCATCAGGCTATTGGTAATATTTTCCCAAAATTGATCATCCTAACAACTCTTTAAAGCCACCTTATGCAAAGAAGCAACTGAATCGTCTGAAATAGACTGCCTGAAAATAACCTAACTACAAGGAAAATTACTTTTGGAAGATAAACGTTTCAGTATTACATTGATTAACAATAGCATCCAGTGCCCTCTAAGATAACAATGTATTATTTCTTTTATAATTCATTGACTTTTGATTCTTGTTTCGTCTTCACAGGATGGAGACCACATTTACTTGGAAATTGATATTCTGTCTTTGCTTGGTCCGTGAAGGTGAATATTTCTATGTCTGCACTCTAAGAGATAATCAGACAGCACGTTGAGTAATTTCCTTGTACCTCGATTTAGCCAGCAGAGCCAGATTTCATTTTAAACTAATCTATCGCACGGTGGCAATAATGACCCAACTTTTTTCTCACTTAAATTTTAATCGTGTAATATTTCGATGGTTATTCTGCATTGCGTCCTTATGTTCGCATGACAACAATGTTTGATTGGTGTTTTCAAAGAACTGTGGATTTTTCACCTAAAGTTCAGTTTTGACGCTAATGTGGCTTTTATGAAGATTAGTATCAACAACATAAGTGATAAGTTATGTTCTGAGTCTTCTAGAAACTTTTTTTTTTAACAAATTCAAAGAATTTTACGACATTATTGCCAATTCATGTAAAAATCGAGTATGGTGGATCCAGGATATCCGGGGCGGATTTGTTACGTCTACAATAATGTCATTCAACAGAGATCATTTTTCAATAATTTGCTCACCATGGGAGAAGTGCACAGTATCTGCTGAATCGCGGGGTACTATGTAGAGATACAGAATTGTCTAAAACAAGAATAAGGACAAGATCTCGAAACAGAAGTCGTATTCAGTTCTTATTCGCTGTTGTATCGGTTTCATTTATTTTTATATTATAATAAAGTTTGGATATAACGCGTGCTTTCATTGGTTGAAAGAGCGTGCTCTATGGGAGTATAGAGCATAGCGCTGAACTAGAGCTGTCACGCCATCTGCCAAATTGTACTATGTTTGACCTTTTCCGGAACTTTCTCTAGCTTTTTTTTCGTTAAGCGAGCCGGCAAGTAGCAACAGAAGAACCAAACAAAGATTTTTAAAAAGGCTAGGCGCCGTAATTTACGTCTCGTGTTTCTCCCTACACTTCTTCCGTGCTCTAGCCGCTTCCTGCGTGCTTCACAACAGAACGAAGCACGGTCAAGGCTTCTCTATTTGTTAAATTTTATTGTCATTTTTGTTTACAGTTACAGCTGGGGCTATTTCCTATAAGGTGAGTAAAGAAGGGAACTTTAAGCTTTCATTCTAATTTAATTTCAATCAAAATTCATAAATGAAACGAAAGACGCTCTTTTTTATCGGCAGAAACCCCTCAAAAGCAGCACAGTTCAAACAAAATTTAAAATCTGTTAAATATTTTTCATCTTATTTTATTTTAAAGGAATCAAAGGAAGGATTCCCAGAGAATCTTCATCATAAAATGACTAAGAGAGAACTGGAGATCTTTTTTGGAACTGATGACCTATCACAAGGTAGTCCCATAAATTTCAAATAAAACTACTTCTAAATAAACGCAAAAAGATTTACTTTTGATAAAATGGTAGCAAAATCCATGGTTTGTTAAATGATAAAATGAAAAAATCTGCTATTGATCTAATTAAATTGTTTCTTAACCAGTTGATGAGATGTTAAGGGAACCTTTTAGTTGAAAATGGATTTTGCAAAGGGATTTGCTCTTTCTTTTATCAGATTACGTCAGATTACGTACTCGAACACGTCACTTTTGAGATTCGAATATCACTCCTCGCGCGCCTCACTCGACAATTTGTATGGAATCGAGTCGACAAGATTACGCAAAAGTGTTCAACTATCTATCTTACTCTAGAATAAATCTTTTTACAGTATGGGTATTTTTTCATTTCTCACGCTATCGGATGAACATTACTTGTTTATCTGAATTACCTGAAGACTAAATATTTTATATACTATGAAAAATTTTCAGTACCTGAGTACGACATTAGCGAACCGTTTGAAGAGAAAACCGATGATCACCGTCAAAAGAGAAGTGCTGAAGATGATAAAAAGTACTTCAAGATAAAGGCTTTTGGCGAAAAACTGCCTTTACAACTCATATTAAATCAGAAGCTTATGTCACCCGATTTTAAAGTGGAAATCAAACGAAGAGATGGGAGAACAGAGTATCAACCAGCTCCGAAAAATACTTTTTATCTTGGAAAGGTCATGTCAGAGCCCGAGTCAATGGTGGCCGTTAGTCACTCCCAGGGAATGGTCAGAGTCATAATTCTTTTTCATACTATTCTTAATAAATTTGGCACGGTAAAATTACGAATGACATAGTATTCCAAAATTTTTTAAAAATTTTTCCCTATATTCATCAGCCGACCAAATCGCCATGAATTGAGCTTATTCGAAGCTAAATCCTGGAAATTCTCAAAGCAACCGTTACCTACCCCTAAATTTCTATTTTAAAGTAATAACAAATATTACAGGTGTACTCATGTGACGAACCAAGGCTAACCGCGGTTTTGAAAGCTTGAGTTGAGGATACTCATGATGCTGGTCTGTATATAGGCTACTGATTCTTCAGGTTAATCACTGACAGCTGCTGTATCCACTGATATTCCTTGGTGTGAGGTGCTGTCAGAGTGACGTTAAAGATCACTCAAAACGTTCACTTAGCAAGATTTAGAAACTAGCATGTCCAGTCCACTGCGCCAGTCAGTGGTTGACCCTGTTTACTATTGTTCAGAGTCTACAAAATGCTAATTGATCATGACTGTTTTATGTCAATTTTTCTAGCATGGACTGATCCAGCGATCTGGTGAATCTTTATACATTCAACCGCTGCCAACTCATCTCTCGAAGCACGTCGAGTATAAAGAGATAAGTCAACCTCACCTCATTGTCAAAAGATCAATCAGAGAAAATTTAGTTTTCAGCAAGCGAGGTATATTTTGTTTTCCTCATCTAGTTGACATAATGTTTAAGAAGCTATGTTACGGTATCCTAAGTTTTCAAAGTTGTCATTCGCAGTCTGCGTTAAACGTTATTACAACCATCTACAACTATTTCATTTAGAGTTTGCTCTATTTCTTATATTTTGGATGTGGTCTCTACAAACACAAAAAGTCCATTTTAGAGAGTTATCCGCACCACAACAACTTTTATACTTATGTTACCTATTTTGTTCCAGCAGCTAAGGCAACTTCACCGAAAGGAATTTTGCGCTCCATTGAATCGTCAAACAAATACTTGGAAGCTGCTTTGGTCACAGATGAAATCACTGCTGAGAAATATGGCGAGTCCAAAATTGCATCAATTCTGCTCATCATTGGGAACATTGTGAGTTACGGGACGAAACAATTTCTTTACTCGCTTTTTTCTTTATGCGGAAAAGAAGAAGCGATAAGTAATACATTTTTGTGCGTGAAATAGCTGGCCCTAAAATTTACTGTTTAAACTCCTAAACTTACATATTTTTCTTTCCCGAAGGTCGCAGGCATGTTCCAAGATCCCAGTGTTGGAAAAGTCAAAGTAACCTATGTCATCAAACGTGTCACAGTTCTAAATGCTGCAGAGGTAAGTAAAACGTTTTTATGCTTGCCTGTTTAACGTGGCGAGTACAGGTTCAACAAGCAAGCATGATTGGTAAATATAACGATATCAGTCTAAATGAGGAAGATGCGGGACTCATTTCATTTATTGGTAGTCTACTTTTTTTCGCAACAAGACTTTGACAAAGATTTTAACAATACTGACCATTTCACTGCTTTTTCCAGCTTGGTTTGCAATCATTGAGTAATAATGGCAAAGTAATAAGACTCGAGAAATGGAACAAAGACATCGCTTATTCGGACAAAGTCGATGTCACTTCATACATATCTAGGTGAGCCTGGGAAGACAATTTAGATAAACCACTTTCTAATTAGTGAGCTGGAATCCGGGTCGAAATGTGTTCGTCCCTACCGTGTATAACTCCGAAAAGGCTGTTGCTGGGTTCAAAGTCGTAACGAAGCTTTCTAGATGTTTTCGGTTTGTAAGCCGCGTTGCGTGATAAGAAATGTACTTCGGCCAAGATCTTTCCGACGAGGTATTGAGGTTAGCCACGTTTTATGAGGCGGGTTAGAATTCTTCCCTCTTTAACTCAGAAGATTCTTTAACCGATTTTGTTCTCAGTAAGCGTAATGCTTCTCCTTTAACATTGCCCTTCTTAACACCTTAACACACACCTTCCATGAAAAGCTGGACAAGGTTCAGGAAAATGGACCGTAGAGCTTGATAGCCTAACTGAGGGAAGCATTATGGTGCATAAATTAAAGAAGCGAATTTAATACGAAGTTAACGCTGATTGCTGTGAAAAAGTCTTAATTACCATTGTTCTGTATAAGGACACGAAGTTTCTGATTACATGTCTCTTTTAATGTCATCGTTATAGATTGGTTGGATCTGGCGGTAAGTGTTATGTTTTCTGTTATTTTAAATCAGTCTAATAGCAACGTTAGGGGGTCCAGTTTCCTTGTGGTCAGCCGCTCCTTTCTAAACTTCAGATGTTATCAGATGCTGCAGTGATCACTTTCGGTTCCTAAAACAAGTTTTACGATGGTACTGTGGAACCCATTAATCTCCTATTTGTGGTAAATGTGTATGCACTAAAGTTGTTTCCACACGTGCAGGTACCGCACCTTTCAAATCAATGTGCAAAAACGAAATTGGGACAGTGAACGTAAACAATGATTTGGGACTGCAATCTGCTGGAATCATTGCTCATGAAACTGGCCACAAGTAAGTTGTTAAGCCGATATAGCTACCTCGCTGTTTGTGTCCAGTTCCTTTGCCTGTGGTTAATAACAACTTTTCTCCGGTTTACTATACGGCAGAATCTACATGGTAGTCGATTACGAATAATTCACTACCGTTCCGACAAAAATGTCAGTTTTGGTAAAATCATAACATGAATGCCGACAAGACAGTAGGGTACGTAGTTTAGGCTTACAAGTACAAAACCCTATTTTAACCCTGTCAATCAATGTCATTTCATTTTTCCCTTTAAGTTCGATTTAACCGAGCATATTCCTCATTAGGGGTCTTACTCGTTTTAACCCATAATTTTTTTTCCCTTTAGCTTTGGCCTGGGTCACGACGGTAGTGAAAATCAATGTAAGGGAGATACGTACATAATGGCTGCAGTCCTCCCCAATGGAGTTAATGCCATGACATGGTCGACCTGTAGTGCAGACGAAATGCAAACATTCCTCAGGTAGTGTGTTAAATATCCAACGTTTGATTCTCACGAAAAGGGACTTACAAGCCATAAGTCATCGTTCGATATTTTTTTGCTCTTCTTTTACGACAAAATATACTGAAGTCCAACTTAAGTACGTAAGGAATCGAAGGAAGGTTTGTTGATTCTGTTTGAGAACGAGGCGCTGCGTCGTAAGCAATGGACAATTCTACAAGGATTGCGAGATAAATTAAGGACAGTCTTTATTGAAGGAATATTTCTTTTGTAACACCGCGCCGGACTAAAAGATTTTTTCAGCCAATGTTTTCAATATTAATAGTTTGCAATCCATTACGTGCATTTCTACATTGATATCCTCATCCCTTTGTGTTTTCCTATGAGCTCTCGGTCTTAGTTGTTGTTGTTGCTGTTTTTTTTTCTCGATCATCTAAATGAAGCAACTCGGCCAAGCGACCACTTAATAAAATGACACTTTGGCCTTTCTTTGCCCGCCAAGGTCCACATGTAAGATACCTTTTAGTTCCCATTAAATATCGTAGAAAAGACTACTAAATCCATAAAGTAAAGAGATTGGTTGCTCAAGTACGAAACTACAACTTAAATGCCACATCTTCCTATGGAAATATAAGGCACTAAAACAGACATAAATACCGGAAAATAAATACCATATCATTTTACTCATTTCCGGAACACTATTCATACAGAAGTAGCGAGTCCTCGTGTCTGGATGATGTGCCGACCGAAGTTCTTCCCACTCCCTCTCCTGATGTAGCCGACTTATCAGCCCTCCTCCCTGGTGAGATTATGGATGGAGACACGCAGTGCAAAAGTCACTATGGGGAAGCGTACAGGCGATGCAGCCAACTAAGGGTAAATCTTTAGAGAGCTTAATTTCTCACATTGATTTAAATCTATCCTCCTGAAAATTTGATCTTCTGGATGAAAAATATTTTTTATAGTTCGCCTTCATACCAAGGTTTTTAAAGAATCATTTCCTTCTGCGATTTTTGTCTGCGGTTTAATTTGGCCTCTGTGCCCTACTTACGCGAAAGATATGTCACTGTTTTTCATTATTTTTTATCCTTTTTTTCTTAGAAAAACTGCACTTTATACTGCACTTCAGATGGCTATTCATGTATATCTCGAAGGGTTCCGGCTGCAGATGGTACGAGTTGCGGATCACGAGACGTACGTACAGATGTTGTATAAAGCGGCCTTTTACCGATCAATCGTTTTACAAATTAAAATTAATTTTGGATTTTTATTTCACCAGTGGTGCATTAAGGGAGAGTGCGTCGATAATGGACGTGCGCACGTTGATGGGGGGTGGAGTAATTGGTCAACTTACACCCAATGTACTCGGTCCTGTGGGGGAGGGGTACAGCACAGGACAAGGACATGCAATAACCCTACGTAAGAATTTTCCACCATTTTGTATTAATTTGGTAACTAAAAAGTTGCTAGCAAGCCTCGTTCTTGACAATTTCTGTTCTGTTATCAACGACTTTAACGACTTATTTGTGCAGCACTTAATCGACAGAGTCATATTGGCCGTGGATTTGTTAACTCTTCGGTCTAACCTGCCTCAGTTGAACTGAGGAGTTTTTCATTAATTTTCACTTAACCATGATCGTGACAACGTCGGAGAGTTGGATTCCTTTAATATGCTATGATTTTCATGGCAGTGAATCGAACAATATGAATGGTTCAATTCTTAAAGGTTTCTGGGTTTCCAATATCTGTCGACTGTAACGATGACACTAGTGTTGTAGACAAGGTTGACAATTATAAAAGCGATTGCGATTTACGACTAAGTGATTCATCGGTTTTGGGTCAGTATTGTGAAAAACTGACGTAAGATTGAAAAAGCTGCCCTCGTCGGCAGCATTTTTGAAACCTTTTCATTATAAGGCCTTCCCAGTCATGAAATAACATACCATTGATAGTTCTATTTTCTTATTGCACGTACCTCTGCACGCTATATCAGACCAAAGTACGGAGGGAAGAACTGTGACGGATCAACCATTGGTCAATGGCGAACCTGCAACTTTAGGGTAAAACAGCTTTTGCCTATATCAGTTTGATTGAATATGTAGATTAACAGGTACATCATACCGAAATATATCATGCAGTGATGGGCAGGAGTGAAAAATTAGATCTAAAATGGAGTCAAATATTTATTGCTCTGAGATTTAGCCTTCCGTCTTAAACTTTTTAACCCTTAAACTCCCGTGAGTGAGTGAGGAGGCAGAATTTCTCCTGATAGTGTCAATGCAATATCAAGCAGATAAGTGATGAGAATAAAGAAAACTAGCGATCAAGGGATTTTTAGTTGATTCAATATCAAATTCTCCGAACTAACATCATAAGAATTTTATGACAGATAGTAAAGCGAATTACTGATGATATCTTAGGAGTGAAAGGATTAAAACATGAGGTAACTAAATTTAAGAGTCTTTAATCTTAGCCCTACAAAGCAATTAATGTGATCAATATTTGTAGCCTGACTAGAAAAAAAAATAGCAAGCGCTTTTAGTTTCAGATTATTTTCACCTTCCACTAAAACTATTAAAATAGAATAATTTCATTCTCTATTAGCCATGTGCCAACGAAACGATTTCATACAGAGAGATGCAATGCAAGGTGTACAACCAAGATTTTGTGCCATACTACCTTGGGTCAGGCAAGTATTGATAGAAATAGAATCACATATTGGTAAAATGATTAGAGCAGTGTCGATTACAATGATGTAGCCCCTAAACGAAAATATCAGTGCTCAGTACTCTTAAGAAATGGTAGCTTAATGAAGTTTATATATTTTGGTTTCCTCTATTGGTAAATTCAGTTTTAATGATCTGGACCCAAATTAAATTTCATTTCCCTGGGCAGATCTCTGTGGACTCTACTGCCGGATTGGGAGCAGAGTCTCAAGACATGGAAAAGTCAAAGATGGAACTCGTGCAACAAAAGATGAATTTGTATTTGACGTCTGCATCAAAGGGACACGTGAGGTATTTTAGTATTTGGTAATTACCCAACTTCCCCTTTCTCCTCCCTCCCCTCCTCCCACAACCATTGGCATGAACTAATCTATGGCCAACTAAGCTGCTTATTCTTATGCTATTCTAAGCCTGTAGGTTGTGATCATTTGATGTATTCAAGGAAAAAATTTGATCGATGTGGAAAGTGTGGAGGGAAGGCAGATTCCTGCAAAGACGAAATGGGTAGTTTTACAGAAAAGATACAACGTAAGAATTTATGTTGATTCATTTTTTTTTTTGAAGCATTGATGATGGCTGGTTACTAACGCGATCTTTGAACGTTTACTTCCCCTTCTTCTCAACATCATTGTCGTCGTCTGAATTATCATTATTATTATCATTTAAAAAAACTTTTAGCATCAAGATCATTAATTATCGAATAAGTGATGCCTTTTTTTTCCCCATCGCCGAGTGTTTGAACGTTACTCTTTTAAAACCTGCTTTTCAAAATAAATTTCGACAGAGCAGTGAACCTGAATAAATTTTTTTGCAGACGTTAATGAGTCGGCCGTAATTAAGAAACTTCCTCCTGGCACAGTTTACGCCTACTTCAGAAAGAAAATCTCTAAGTCGCACAATGTACTAGGTAAGTAAGAGGGCAACATAGCCTTCAATCATGTTGAATAGCACAGAGGAGCGACATAAAATATATTTTCATAAACCGATATTTCGAAAAAGTCGAATTTTTTGTTCATTATTTGAATCAGTTTTATGATGGTGTTTTCCAGGCATTCAAGACGTGTATGGAAACTACCTTATAAATGTGCCTCATACTTACTCTAAGACAATAAAATACGCTGGAGCTACAATAACCTACAAACACGACGGAATGCAATACAGAGATTCATTGGAGATCCGTGGACCTACCACAGAGACGCTGAAAGTTGTGGTATTATACTCATGCCGATTTATTTTTAATCTACTCCTTTACCATAAATTAAATTACAATCGCTTGCATCACGAAACCAATGAGGTCAATAATCCATCCATTCCTTAATTAGTCAAAATATTCATTCGTCAGATAATTAACCTTATGTTGGGTTGGGTTGCATCTGGTCAGTAAGTCTGGTTAGTCAGCTGGGTAAAACGTCAGTGGGTCAATCAGCTAGCCGGCCAGTCAGTCAGTCATTCATCGAGTCAATCATTCAATCAGTCAGTCTGAAAAAAGGTCAGTCAGTCAGCTGGTCACTAAGTAAACCAGGTAGCCACTCAGAAAATAAGACGGTCATCAAGTCAGCGTGTGTGTAAAACGTTCAGGCGGTCAATCAGTTTGCCAATCAGCCAGTTAATGAGTCAGCCAGGCCAACCAGCCAGTCAGTTTTCCAGCCAATCAGCAAGTTAGCCAGTCAGCAAGTCATTCTTTAAGTCAGTCGGACAGTCATTAACTTAGCCTTTCCGTCTTTAAATCGGTGTGTTAGGCTGTCAATTCCGAACGATGGTCAGTCATTGCATGAACGGAAGCCATTATGTGTGCATCATTTTGTAAGATTACCAAAAGTAATCTATGTATTTACGTAACATAATTACTTTATTAGGGAATACAAAAAGTCCATACTAAGTCTCTTGTCAACTCCATGTGCTTTAAAATTAAGAAAGCAAAAACTTGAGACTATAGCTTTCTTGTCGTTTATCAATTAGTTCTTAAGAGTAAGGGAAGAGACCGCAGGAGTAGACTATATGTTAAAAAGGCCGCTTCTTCTCGGCGAATCTGTGGAAAATCTCTCATACCAATGGGTGCCTATTTCACATTGGTCAACATGTTCTGTGACCTGTGGAGGAGGTAAGATTAAAATTATCTCATGGTCTCCATTTTTTAATCAATCCATTAATTTCCTTATTTTCTGGTTGTGTAAAGTACGTAGTAATGAATTAAAAATCAGAGAAAACAAAAGAAGCTCATATAAAGCAAAAGCAAAATTATACGAAGAAAAAAAATGGCCTTATTCTTCACCAATCTATGGAAAAAGTTTAACATGCCCAAGAAAGCTGACGTATCATATCTTCAGTTATTTCCCCTTCAACTTTAAGACAGTCTGATTTCAGCTAAAAGTTTCCCTGATGCTTTTAGCGAGTAGGATGCATCAAATTTAAAATTTGTCAATGAAGGACACAATAAGGTGAAAAAAAACGAATTTTCCACAGAAAAACACCATGACTCATAATTCTGTGTTTGTAGGTACTCAAACTCGAGATGTGTTCTGCTTCCTCGCTCAAGATTCTTCTGTTGTCTCCGATGAAGCTTGTGGCTCACTCGCAAAACCAGCGAGCACCCAGAAATGCAACACCCAAGCGTGTGAAGCTAAGTACGAACTGAAGTTGATCGCTCATGGTGACTCATAGCTCTATATAACGTTATAAAAACTGATCAGACTTACAACTTCCTCTGATGGTATCCTGAAGAATACAGGAGAATATCCGATTATACTACTTTGCACTGAATATATCCTCACAAAGAACAAATTTTTTTCAATTTTGGGCAATATCTAACTAGGCTGGCCCACTTTAGTAATATGCCGGCTTTAATGGAAGCCTGATTATGAATCCCGAAATCAAACCTCACTCGACCTCCATGCAAGAAACCTCGTTCCCATACCAAGACAAATTACTAAAAATAGTTTAACATTTATGTTGAACTCTGAATTGATACTAGTAGTATAGTTTTTTCCATGATATTTATATATAGATGGTACGTTGAGGAGTGGACGCCTTGTTCAAAAACGTGTGGGAGCGGTATTCAAACACGAAAAGTGATCTGTCAGCAGGAAGTGTCGTCAAAAACTGTTGTCGTAAAAAATTCAAAATGTCCGGCAATAACTAAACCAGTTCTTTCTTCGAAAAAGAGATCTTGTAATGAGATCGATTGTCCCGCTGAGTGGGTTGTGGACTCCGCCTGGTCCAAGGTAAAATGTTCACCAGTTTTGTCAGGGATGCTGTCTTAATTTCTCAACGAAAACAGAGATTGTTCGTCAAATCATTTTGACACCACCTCTTACGTGAAGGTTTGGGACAGCCAATGAGGATTTAACACTCCAAGATATTAAGATATGGATCCTGTTGTCAGATTGGGAAAGTGAAAGAATCCCTCCTTTTATATAAAATGTAATTCCTCGATGAAAGAGTAAATGTCTGCCTTCGGGACCAGACTGTTAAAGACACCTACATTAATACCCACTTTCCTTACAAAAGGCAATTTCATGGCAAAAACTATACGAGTGCTAAAAGTGACTAATGGCACTAAATAACCTATTTCTTCTCCTCTTTACAGTGTTCCACTACATGCAAGCCAGGCAAAATGACCAGACAAGTAGTGTGTCAAAAAATCGACCAAAGTGGGGCAACATCAACGGTGTCGGATCTTGAATGTGCCTATCGGCCCAATAAGCCAGTCACTCAGTTAGCCTGTCATGTTAACATCCCTTGCCCTGCTGAGGGGAACTCAAACGGTAAATATGCATGAAACTAATGGTAACACTAATGGTAACACGGTAATTCTCTAATTGCTGACGTCATAGACCTCTGGTTAAAATTGATGGTCAGGTTAAAGCCTAGCTGACCTCATTGTGTTGTGTTTTTGGGGCAGGATGCTTTATAATCGTTATGCTTCTCTACCCATTCATACTGGGTTTTAGCTAACTGTCGCAGGAAATCGAAAAAATGCAATGGGTGACCAATGTGTAAACGGCATACCATTAAGAGGTATTTGCTGATGCTAGATGTCTCTTGCCATGGAAATTAGGATAAACGCAACTAGTTTTTAGAGTACATCTGCTGACATGAAACTCGTTTGATGATGTTTGGACACATTATTGAACGTTTTTATTTATTTAATTATATATTTATTTTTTTAAATAAAGGAGAAACGTCTAAATGTAATCCTACTATCAAATAAATTAGGACCATCTAAAAAAGACATACAAAGATTCAAAATGGAGTTCATCTAGCAGCTTTATTTACTATTATCAATCAATAATAAAAATTATGATAATTCAAAAACATCTCGATCACAATATAAGCTAATCGTGTGAAAAGTGGAAGAGATTGACTAAGGGACGACCCCGGAGGGCAATGGAGAGGGTGGTTAAAGATGTTAACACCACTTGAAATATTTGAAAACTTTCGTTTGTGCATACTGTTGAAATTTAAGTCAAAATATGTTTGTTATTCTAACAGGAAAAGGCATTTGCGATGAAGTGAACCCTTGTAAGAATGGAGGAATTTGTACTGGCAACTCTGTTAATCACCCCTGTTTGTGTCAGGCTGGTTTTACCGGTTCATACTGCGAAGGTGTGAGATGCTTCCCGTTTAATTATTTACCATTATTTGAATATTTAGGAAAACTTTAGTCGCTTTTTAATTTTAAATAGGATGTTATGAGCTAAAACCAAACGTATTGTAAAAAATGAATGCTGAATGAAATAAAGAAAAATTTTAAAAACGCAGCCAGAGAGAGATTAAATGTAAGAGGCACGATAGACCTACTGAAGCTTATGGCGAGTGCATTTCTTTGCACTGAATCGGTTGCACAAAGACTGATTATTTACACTAACTTCGAATTGTTGGGGAAAATTCGGCGAAACTTTACAACTATGTTTTTCTACAGTTAAGAGGGACCCTTGTGAAAGCAATCCGTGTGTAAATCAAGAAATCTGTTCTACTGATGTGAATTCACCTCTTGGATACACTTGTCAAGGTAAACCATCAAGATCGTGCCAAATACAGTTTATAGCGTTGTGTTTCTGAACAATGCATGTGACTTCCACATTGCCTCTTACGGCTCAATAAGAGGCAATGATACCGACGAACCGTTTGAGGAGGTTCAAGGAATTGCTCAAAGCTTACTGCAATGAGCCATTATCTCGTTAAAGAGGATTCACAGTAGCTCGTAAGGTTTGAAATAATTTATACTTTATTTTTACTGGTTAGAGCCAAGTTATCCATGCGATAGCAGCCCATGTTACAATGATGGTGTTTGTGTAAACGACAAAGTAGACTCTTCAAAATACCATTGCCAATGTCCTCCCTGGATAACTGGAACTAACTGTGAAGGTTTGTTAGGCGTATATGTGCTATTGTCTGAATTTTCATAACATGAAGAAAACTAACGATCCTAGCCATATGGTATCAATAAAACTTTCATAATCAATCAATTTAAGGTTGTCAATATTTTTAATTTTGAAATCTTAAAATCTCCATAGCTCTCCAGAAAAATACTAACATAAATCCAAAATTTGTCTCAGATTCAGGATTTCTGGTATCACCTAAATATATTTTTTGGCCCTTTACACCAAGAGCTAATTGTTTACTCTCATGTAATCTTATAAAATGAAGGCTGTGTTTACTATTCTTTCAACTCGTTAGTTTTGTCGAGTGCATGTGATTCCAGCCCGTGTGTCAACGATGGTTACTGTAGCAGTGATCCAGCCAAACCATCTGAGTATAAATGTGCTTGCAGTGAATGGTTCAAGGGAAAAAATTGTGAAGGTAGGATAGACATGATACCGAAGCTTGAGCGTATGTTAATGTTAAGTCATGGTTTTCCTCACGCCACGTCGCTATTTTATTTGCAGCTATGTTAAATTTTAAAAAAAAGATTCGGTAGTTAGATGCATGGTTAAGTCCTTCCAATCTGGGTCGAGAGGGGTTTGGTTCGAACCATGACCGGGTAGTCGTGTTGCGTCCCTGGGCAATAGACTTCACTCTCTCAGTGTCTCTTTCCATCAACGAAAAGAAATTGATCTGAAAACCAATTTTTAGGTCAGTTTAATAAGGGTTTACTTGCAATTAACTAACATCCCTTATGCCATGAAAGCTATTAAAGCTATGATTGCCAGGAGAAGCTCCACAGTAACAGAGCACTTTCAGTGAAAGTATATCACTATTAGACGATCAGTTCGATCGATTAACTGCTTTTTTCTGGTTATTTATTAATTATTTGTCTTAGCGCCCTTTTGGTATATTGTATCTGAGTGAAAATTACCCTTCAGCTCGACGGTCATCTGACTTTGGTCCTACAACCCGACGGTAATTGCATTAGCAATGCTGTTTCGTTCTTTCTCCTCTGCAGTTCAAATCTTCCCATGTGATAGCAAACCTTGCGTTAATGGTGGATCATGCAGTAACGATCCAAGTGACATCTCAAAATATCACTGCAAGTGTCCCAAATGGTTTGTTGGAGACAAATGTCAAGGTAACAGTATTAATATGTAGTTACAATAAACTGTTCAATAATGGCCGCATCATTAATTAATCCACTGTCCACAAAAATGTGAAGACGTAAAACGATTCACTTGTCAACTGTTGGCCGACTGCGTGCAAATCGAGCATTCTTGGAGAGCTCCGGTTGATATGCTTGCAAAAAGCTTTCGATTTCCATTAAGATAAACAGATGGAGCAGAACAATTTATGTCATGGTCACACATCTCATTCAATTCTCTTTCAAGTTATGGTCATGCCCTCTCCCTTTTCTCCTTTTCATCATTTCTCATACCATCGCGCAGAATGCCTATCGTTCTCGAGACATTTACTTGCAGTGGCGAAAAAATTTTAGATCTGTAGTGTTAGCTACGAAGCGTGCACAAGCTGGTTTTATTGGTCGTGATTTTGTGCCCCTCCCTTCACAGGGAACATTGTCATAACTTATTAACTTGTCAGGGTGGAGTTATGAAACAAAGGCCGCTTAATAGTGATTGTTTGTGCTATTATTTCGTTTCATCACAAACCTACCCCAGGGGCCTTAAAAGCTGGCTATCCAAAATACTTAAGCTTACCAAAGGCCGTATGCGGTTGAATTTCTGCTAGAGGCAATTGCATGCCAGAATCTTGTTGAAATTTGTAAAATCAACAATCTTGGATGTCCATCTCTCCTGCCAACCATGCAACAACAAATCTCAAACTAATTGTTGCTTTGGCACTAGTTATCAACCAAGACAATTAAATAAAAGGAAGAAATGGAAACAAAGTTTTTACTTTCTAGACAAACAAACAATATGTGACGCAGCTAATCCGTGCAGGAACGGAGGGACTTGTAAAAGCAGTTTAGATAATCCTGCAGAGTACAGTTGTGAATGTGGAGACTGGTTCCTTGGAAAAGACTGTGAAGGTGAGCTGAAATAATCTTTGATCTTTGGTTTTTTATGTGTGTGTGTTTGTGATAATTACCATGACGTCCCCATGAATAATTTACATTTCCTGTAAGGAACTACCACAAGCCCTTTAATTGTTGATCTTGAATTTTTTTCAAATTTTTTTTGTGGTACGATGGTTTTTCATCTTGTGTGGTATTCCCCTCAAAACGTTTATGAATCATTTCCATATCCTGAGCGGTAGATTTTCCACATTTTTTTTCAGTGCATAACAATAAGGAAGGCTCTACTTACTAGGGAAAATCTATGTTGTTGAACATGTCAGCAAGCAGTTTTGGAATCTTTATTTTTTCAGTCCAAAGGTATCCGTGTGACAACAAACCCTGTGTGAATGGAGCCACCTGTAGTAATGACGATCAAGATGTTTCATTGTATCACTGTCACTGCACCGACGGCTACAGCGGGAAAAACTGTCAGGGTAGGAGGTTTTTCGAAAACTACCAACTACATACGTAAATCATTTTGTTCCACGATCGATATTTTCCGTCCAAATTAAAAACCTGGTTTTATGTATTGCTTTAGATTATATTTTCAATGGGAAAAGGTGGGACGTTACATCACTGAAAAACACCAAACGAAATTTCAAGAGATACATCCTCTCCACGCTTAAATCCTCGGTAACTGACTGAAATAGAAAAAAAAGTGACCATGAAACCTTTCACAAATTGTTTTCAGTTCCCAACTTCAGAGAAATCGCCTGTTTCAACACTGGTTCTAGCCTCCTCTCTGACATACTTGGTGACTTTAAGTCCCAGGTTGCAGATGAAAAGCATCAGGAAGTAATAGGTGCATGCGCTGAGTTGGCGTTTGATAAAGGCTACAAGTTCTTTGCACTGGGATATAATGGCGTATGTCGATCAGGACCGAACGCCCGGGATGAGTATCACAAAGAAGGTGCCACTAGTGATAGCAATTGTCCGAATGGCATCGGCATCAGTAAACGTATTGCTGTTTACACATTTGGTAAGTTCCACGTTGATAATATTTGTTCAAAACTTTAATAAAAATATATTGACAATTAATAATATGATCATAGAGGAAAAAACGACAATAAAAAACGACGGGTACAACACATTTGTGACATTTGAAACGCTAATATGATCAAGGAGGCGTCTGAGAAAGAAAAGCAACAATGAGATCACAAAAAAAGAATGCGATTGTGTGCATGAATCAAGGATCGACAATAAGTCAGTCGATCAATGAATAAAACTATGCAAGATAAGCAAGATGAGATTACTTTGTCAATGTAAGCCTGAGGTTCCATTGTAACCTGCATGACATTAAGTCAAAAGATGAAAAAACATGGACTATGAAAAGAACTTGGGGACTGTCGCACTGATGCAAAAATAGTTGACAACTACAAAACCTATGGATGGGTGCATCATTGACCAATTTTGTATATCAATGGTCCAAACGTGTAAGAACGAGCGTACGTGCGTGGTACATTTCAGCGATCCGAATAGGTACCGCTGTGAATGTGGCGATTGGTTCACGGGAAATAATTGCGAAGGTAAGGTCGTTATAAAAAATTGTACAAACATACAATTGTAAACAAAAGGGGAAAAAAAGAAAACACAAAGGGTTCATGATTTGGCGTTTGTTTATTGCCCAACAATCGGCAAAGTTCACAAAATACTAAATAAGCCAAGTTAAACAGAGAACAACAGTGTTTTAAAAAGATGGATTGCCTGCTACGGTTTTTTGATCCAACGAGTTTATTCAGTTTTTGGGAGGTCTTCACTGTCAACCATTAAGGGAGAAAACAGAATCTTGTCAGTTTTAGGAAACATTAATCTCAGACTCAGTAAATGAAATTCAAACGCTTCATCGAGCATTCTATATCTGCCGGAAACACTAATATCATATTTTCATTTCTCTCCGCAGTTCAAATTTACCCGTGCGACAGCAAACCTTGCTTAAATGGCGCCACTTGTAACAACGATCCCAAAGACATCTCCAAATACAAGTGCAAATGCGCAGCCTGGTTTACTGGAACAAACTGTGAAGGTAAAAAAAATAGGGACCCCAGGTTGTTGTGTTGAAATGAAATCTTAATCTTAATCCGGGATTGCATTGCTTATGCAACATAATCGGCCCATAAACTTGTGCGACGCTCTCAACCAATCTGATGGAAAACTTAACGCAATCATGACTTGGTTACCTGCGTTTTCCTGCAGAAAGGCTGTTGGCTTATTTGTATTATGAGTTTTATTTCGCTCTGAAGAGTATTTCCTTTCTTCCGTTGGGCTGTAATAATTACTTTGGTTTTGCTTCTACGACACTAAATCGAAAAGTGCTGTAACAGTACAAAACCTTCTGTATTGTGCCATGCAAGAGCAACATCTTTTAATTTTATTTTAGTTGCTCAAACAATTTGTGATACTGATAAACCATGTCTAAATGGAGGGCAATGTTCAAGTTCCTCAAGCAAGCCGCACAAATATTCGTGTGACTGCGGAGACTGGTTCAAAGGAATTAATTGTCAAGGCAAGTTCAGATTTTTTTCCATACAGATACTTTCTACTATGGGCACAGTGAATTACGTTCAAGAATTATTGTGGTAGATGCCAAGAGAGAAAAACTGCTCTGCCGAGGTGGCCAACGCCCATGTATCGCTTATTTTTTGGCATAGTTTCCTGATGCTTTATCTTTTTTTAGTGTGGTAGTCTATAAAAGAGGTGTAGAACCTTTCATTTAATTGCTTACCTTTTGAGTAAAAAGGAGTCGAAATAAATTAAGAATGAATGTGCTCTATGATAGCGCCTTGGAAATTTTTTTTTATAGTTCGATTGTTCCCGTGTGACAACAAACCCTGTGTGAACGGAGCCACCTGTAGTAATGACGACCAAGATGTTTCATTGTATCACTGCCACTGTACTGATGGATACAGTGGGAAAAACTGTCAAGGTAGGAAGTTGCTAACCATTTTGATTCCTTGAAGAATTCACCAACTACATACTTTCCAACGGTGAAGACACAAGCAGATTGAGATAAGAGCATCACGCTGTAACTTAAAGTAACGTAATAACCATCAAGCTAAAATTTTAGTTTCTAATAAAACAGTGATATAATATGGCATCAAAAAATTATTTTTTTATTTCTGCAACGATTACAAAATTTTGGGGTGCAAATCCCGAGTGCGTTGCTTGGAGGTGAATAGAAAAGGATCTTCGTAGTTTGAGTAGCCAATCAAAGCACGCCTTCAGTCAACGCTGTCTTCTGTTTTAATAAATACTTAAAGTGTCATGTCTACAGGTAGGAAGTCTGACCGCCGGATCTCATTCTAATTTCTTTAAATCAAGAGACAATGAGTATTACTAACCCTTCATCATAAACTATCAATGTGATATGCAATCTTTTCTCAGTCCCTACATTTAGCAAAATCGCCTGCTTTAACACTGGTTCCAGTTTCCTCCCTGACATACTCGGTGACTTTAAGTCTCAAGTCGAAAATAACAAACAGCAAGAGGTTATCAGTGCATGCGCTGAGTTGGCGTTTGATAAAGGCTACAGGTTCTTTGCACTGGGATATAATAGCTTATGTCGATCAGGACCAAACGTAAGGGATGAGTACCACAAAGAGGGCGCCACCAGTGATAACAACTGTCCGAATGGCATCGGTGTTAATAAACGTATTGCTGTGTATACATTTGGTAAGTCACTCGCAGAGGATAAAAAAAAAAACTGTTCTGTCAATGTGGACTTCAACTGATATCGCTGCATGGATACAAAATGCACCCAAAAAAAGTCGCTAAAAGTTTTTAGAGATCTTGTAGATCTCTTATAGAGATAAATAACTAGGGTCCCTTTACTGACTTCGTGAAGTAGGTTGTGATTCTAAATAGTCGCTTCGACTACCCACCACAAATGTCAATTTACAAGGCGATGTGTCATTGCCCATAACGCATAGTGCTTCAATGTGGTTGGCTATTTTTAGGACCTCGGTCTTACTGGCGACGGCATGTTTGCGGTGGATTGATATTAACAGTTATCTAAATTTTCCGACCAATTTTTTGGCGTTGACTAACACTTTTGATTGTTAAGAATTCTACGAATCATAAGCTGAGGCTTTGGCTAAGCAGTGAGATGAACATATATTCATATGGGTCTTATTTAATAAACTAATTATTTCGTTTCTGGATAAAAGCTAGGAAACATTTTTCAAATCCCTTTGTGTTCTACAGAGTTACTTCCAAAGCAAATTAGTCTGGGATGTTTTAAAGATAAAAAGTCATCTCGACTACTTAATATAAAGTTTGGGAGTTTCTCGAGTTCATATGATGCACAGAATCCATACGAGATGGTCATCAGATGTGCTCACCTCGCCCGAGATATGGACTATGAATACTTTGCAGTGCAGAGCTCTGGCGACTGTCGCACAGACTTAGATATTGTCGAAAACTACAAAACCTATGGGGAGGCCTCCCCAGACAAGTGCCAGGGAGGAGTGGGTGCATCACAAACCAACTATGTATACAGGCTGAGACCTGCTTTTACTGGTCCAAACGTGTGCGATACTGTACCATGCAAGAACGGAGGGACATGCGTGGTGCATTTTAATGATCCGGATAAGTACTACTGCGAGTGCGGCAGTTTTTTTCATGGAGACAAATGTGAAAGTGAGTATTCCAGACAATGGAGGAAAAATAAAAAACGCTAATCCAAATTAGTTCAATTTTATTGACGGCACTGACGGGCTGACCCACTGATTGTCTAACTGACTGATTCTGATTGGCAAATTGCTTGACTGACAGAGAGACCGACTGAGTGGCTTAACTAAGGATTTGATTAAATTTTGTTGTCTCTAAGGAACTCTTTATGTAACAAGTGGACAGGCCTCGACGATATCTGAAACCTCCTATTATTATCATTCCCATAATAAGCAATTATTATGCCGAGGTCTGAGTTATCTGCCAGAACCGAAGTCTGAGGCAGATAACACACGAGGTTCAATAACTCATGATATCATGCAAACACGGAATTCAACAATTGTCTTATCATACGTATTTTACACAATTATTGATATCGTTAACATTATTTTCCTTTACGTGCTGTTAACTACTGATCTCAACTCAGCGATCTCTTCTGCCTTTGCCTTTCAGGAGCAGTAAAAACGTAAACGTGTAACTTTATGGCTTCCGATATCTTTAATTGAAAGTCTATCATGATCCAATGTCAAATGATCTTTTCTTTTATATAGTCAATATCCTGAAGAGTGCGTAGAGAGATCAGTATTGGTGTTAGGAATTTATGTACAATAATAAAATGATGTGCAAAGATAGTTTCTAATCTGTTACCTTTGATGAGAAGAAGATCCTGCTCGTTACATTTTTGGAATTTTAAGCCCAGCCGCGACGTGAATAGAAAATGAAAGTATTCATCTAACGTAAAGATCGGCATTGAAAGTCCAACGAAGAATCTAATAGAAATATTGCATATTGTCATAAGTTCATTCTGTCAGGCTTACCGTTTTCATAACTTCAATCTGCAAAAGGGTAAATAGAGATGGTATGCATTAAGTTACAGCAGTTTCCCTCTTTACCTTGGGATTTCCAAACTTTTTTTTATAGAGAAAAAAAGTGGAGTTCGATTTATATGGAGGCGCAGAATTGTAAATGTTATTTTCGAACTTTAAAATCCATAAGTGAGGGCACGAAGCCGATATTCGTGCAGAACGAGGAAACAAACTTGATATTCCCGCCCGACCCACTGCATTTCTCAGCTGGTTCCTAATTAGAAATGAAAAAAGGAAGTGATTACGATAGTCACCAATCAAATGTCCTGAACCAGATCGATATAATCAGCTTGCCTCTTTCCGACACGGAAATCATCAAAACCATTTACATAGCTACAGGATTCTAATAAAAAGGGAAATAGCAATATAAAAGAATTCTAAGAGAGAGAAGCAAATCCTGCCCCGTCTGTTTTCGCCACGTCGCGCAATTCCTTTCCAGGTCCTTTTCACCAAAAAAGCTCGAGTAGGCTTGGGGAGTGCGCTTTTTGATGGGCAATGAGACCGCATGTGAGCCGAAATGATTTATAATCGCTATCTGGTTGTCAAACACATCTCAGTTTGGTGTAACTTTTATCGATCACTCACGATCTTCGCCCCCATGTCAAATATATTAAATTAGACTCAATAGTTGAGATCTTCTGCATACAATGCCCTCATCTATACTAAACTACAACAGCTGTTTAAACACTCGCGTCTTAGGCATAATTGAGATCTTTGTAACGATAAGTCCCTGTGTATATGCGCATGCCTACTGCCGGCTTCCTTAATACCTCAATCTTTTAGAAAATGTCAAAGCTTTGTAGATGTCATCTTCAGCACATTGAATATTGTTTGTTTGCTTTTTTTCAGATCAAATATTCCCGTGCGACAGCAATCCATGTCAAAATGGTGCCACTTGTAAAAACGATCCTGAAGACATTTCCAATTACAACTGTCAGTGTGCAAAATGGTTCACTGGGATAAACTGTCAAGGTAATTGTAACATTAATTCCGCTTATTTTACTTAAAATTTAGAATACATGGGTCATTCCTAAACTAATGTTTAAGGTACCCAACTAATATTAAAGGCCCCGTTAGCTCGAAGGGTGAATAATGCTTTGCACTACATAAATCTCTTGGCAGATAGTACGGTACATTTTTCTGCTGGGACACTTATCCGCGTGATCCATAGCAAGTTATGCCTTGGATGGCGCAATCCGTCCTCTGAACATCTGGCCCGCTATAATAGATTTTAATGTTCAGAATACATCAATACAGGAATACATGCCCCGTTAGCTCGAAGGGTTGAAAACGCTATGTACTAGATAAATCTCTCGGTGGATAGTGCAATAAAAGTTTCTGTTGGGACACTTGTCCGCTAGATCGACAGCAATTATTCCTTGAACAACTTGCCTCTTAAAATAGATTTTAAAGGTCAGAATACAGGAAGTCTAATACAAATATTAGTTTTCCCTTTCAATGGCATCATTTTTATTATGTAAGACCCTTGTCACTTTGCAATGTAACAATGCACTTTTCATACAGGGAACGATTCCAGCGGTTAAGTCTAAAACAATGCCTAATCCGGCAGAAATTAGTTTGTCCATGTGGTACAGTGTGCTCGGATTCTTCTTTAACTTAGAATTCTGACAACTGTTATGAAACAAATTTTCCTCAAATATCTTTCAAGTGCAACTCCGTCTATAAATCACTAAATTGTAAACCGTTTGGTATGTTACGCTGTCTTATATCAGTTCCATCTTTATGGCGATGATTTTTTTCAGTTGCACAGACCATTTGTGATACTGATAAACCATGCCTTAATGGATTGAACTGTTCAAGCAACACAAGTAGCCCTGCTCAATACAATTGCGATTGCGGAGACTGGTTCAAAGGCAAAAATTGCGAAGGTATTTTTTAAGACTCGGTTCTGTCTCCTGTATAACGATCTAACGTCCTGTTACGGTTTAGCCGCTGTGTAAATACCTCTTTTTTAAATATGAATGGGTTTGAAGTTAAACTGCTTAAATAAAAGATTTTTAATAATGAGAAATATTTAAAATTGCTATCTATTAACTATACCCTGTCAAAAAAGATCCATAGCTTGATTTTATTCCGTTGTTAAAGTTCGTCTATTCCCGTGTGACAACAAACCCTGTGTGAACGGAGCCACCTGTGTGAATGACGACCACGATGTATCACTGTATCACTGTCACTGCACTGACGGCTACAGCGGGAAAGACTGTCAGGGTAAGAAAAAATCTAAGTATTTGTCCAATGTCTTTTATTTAGCGCATATGTGTTGAATATAGTGGTACCAGGTTGGCTGATCGGCAAGTGTATGTCATCTCTTCCTAGTTCCTTCTTACAGCAAAATCGCCTGCTTTAACACTGGTTCCAGTTCCCTCCCTGACATACTCGGTGACTTTAAGTCCCAAGTCGCACAAAATAAGCATCAAGGGGTTATCAGCGCATGTGCTGAGTTAGCGTTTGATAAAGGCTACAAGTTCTTTGCACTGGAATATAATGGCGTATGTAGATCGGGTCCGAACGTCCAGGATAAGTACCACAGAGAAAGCGCCACCAGTGATAACAATTGTCCGAATGGCATCGGTATCAATAAACGTATGGCAGTCTACACCTTCGGTGAGTTATTTCTTTCAAAATTGACTTTCTATCGGTTCATACAGCAATGTAATTTACCGCCACCTAGTAAGCTTCATTCAGGGGTCGCCGAGTTGCAACGCAGAAAATCTTCATGATAAAATACATTGAGCTCTTATTTTTACTATCTCTAGAACTGGTAGCTGTCAACGAGCTAAAAGCTCCATTCTTTAATCAGTTCAAGTCCGATCACGTACTGCTCGCCAGGGACAGTAGTTATTTCTCTATCTTATATACTTTTCCCACTAGTCTTTGATTCCGGCTTGCCTTACAGAAACTACTCCCAAAACGAATATCTGTTGGATTTTTTGAGGATTAGTTTACTGAAAGTTATCACAACTGTTCAAAATTGAGCGTAGAAGTTTCCTAATGCACACGATGTAATGAACCCGGAGGTCATCAGAGGCGTCCATCTTGCACATCTAAAATTACGCTGATCTTACTGAATAATTGTATCTCAGTGTTCATATTTATTTTGCTTTTTAGAACTACTTCCAAAGCAAATCAGTCTAGGATGTTTCAAAGATAAAAAGTCATCTCGACTACTTAATATAAAGTTTGGGAGTTTCTCGAGTTCATATGATGCACAGAATCCATATGAGATGGTCATCAGATGTGCTCACCTCGCCCGAGATAAGGACTATGAATACTTCGCGGTGCAGAGCTCTGGCGACTGTCGAACAGACTTGGATATTGTCGAAAACTACAAAACCTATGGGGAGGCCTCTCCAGACAAGTGCCAGGGAGGAGTGGGTGCATCACAAACCAATTATGTATACAGGCTGAGACCTGCTTTTACTGGTCCAAACGTGTGTGATACTGTACCATGCAAGAACGGAGGGACATGCGTGGTGCATTTTAATGATCCGGATAAGTACTACTGCGAGTGCGGCAGTTTTTTTCATGGAGACAAATGTGAAAGTGAGTATTCCAGACAATGGAGGAAAAATAAAAAACGCTGATGCAAATAAGTTCAATTTTATTGACGGCACTTACGGGCTGACCCACTAATTGTCTAACTGACTGATTCTGATTGGCGAATTGCTTGACTGACAGACAGACCAACTGAGTGGCTTAACTGAGGATTTGAATAAATTTTGTTGTCTCTAAGGAACTCGTAATGCAACAAGTGGACAGGCCTCGACGATATCTGAAACCTTCCATTATTATCATTCTCATAATAAGCAATTATTATGCCGAGGTCTGAGTTATCTGCCAGAACCGAAGTCGGAGGCAGATAACACACGAGGCTTAATAACTCATGATATCATGCAAACACGGAATTCAATATCGTTAACATTATTTTCCTTTACGTACTATTAACTACTGATCTCAACTCAGCGATCTCTTCTGCCTTTGCCTTTCAGGAGCAGTAAAAACGTAAACGTGTAACTTTATGGCTTCCGATATCTTTAACTGAAAGTCTATCATGATCCAATGTCAAATGATCTTTTCTTTTATATAGTCAATATCCTGAAGAGTGCGTAGAGAGATCAGTATTGGTGTTAGGAATTTATGTACAATAATAAAATGATGTGCAAAGATAGTTTCTAATCTGTTACCTTTGATGAGAAGAAGATCCTGCTCGTTTCATTTTTGGAATTTTAAGCCCAGCCAGGACGTGAATAGAAAATGAAAGTATTCATCTAACGTAAAGATCGGCATTGAAAGTCCAACGAAGAATCTAATAGAAATATTGCATACTGTCATAAGTTCATTCTGTCTGGCTTACGGTTTTCATAACTTCAATCTGCAAAAGGGGAAATAGAGGCGGTATGCATTAAATTACAGCAATTTTCCTTTTTAGCTTGAGATTTGCAAACTTTTTTTTATAGAGAAAAAAAGCGGAATTCGATTTATATGGGGGCGCAGAATTGTAAATTTTATTTTCGAATTTTAAAATCCATAAGTGAGGGCACGAGGCCGATATTCGTGCAGAACGAGGAAACAAACTTGATATTCCTCCCCCGACCCACTGCATTTCTCAGCTGGTTCCTAATTAGAAATGAAAAAAGGAAGTGATTACGATAGTCACCAGTGTCCTGAACCCGATCGAGATAAATCAGCTTGCCTCTTTCCGACACGGAAATTATCAAAACCATTTACATAGCTACAGGATTCTAATAAAAAGGGAAATAACAATGTAAAAGAATTCTCAGAGAGAGAAGCAAATCCTGCCCCGTCTGTTTTTGCCACGTCGGGCAATTCCTTTCCAAGTCCTTTTCACCAAAATAGCTCGAGTAGGCTTGGGGAGTGCACTTTTTTGATGGGTAATGAGACCGCATGTGAGCGGAAATGACTTATAATCGCTAGTTGGTTGTCGAACCCATCTCAATTTGGTGTAACTTTTATCGATCACTCGTGATCTTCGCCCCCATGTCAAATATATATTCAATTAGACTCAAGAGTCTAGATCTTCTGTATACAATGCTCTCATCTAAAATAAACTCCAACAGCTGTTTAAACACTCGCGTCCAAGGTATAATTGAGATCTTTGTCATGATAAGTCCCTGTATATATGCGCATGCCTACTGCCGGCTACCTTAATACCTCAAATCTTTTTGCACATTTCAAAGCTTTGTAGATGTCATCTTCAGCACATTGAATATTGTTTGTTTGCTTTTTTTCAGATCAAATATTCCCGTGCGACAGCAATCCATGCCAAAATGGCGCCACTTGTAAAAACGATCCTAAAGACATTTCCAAATACAACTGTCAGTGTGCAAACTGGTTCACTGGGATAAACTGTCAAGGTAATTGTAACGTTAAGTCCGCTTATTTTACTTAAAATTTAGAATGCATGGGTCATTCCTAAACTAATGTTTAAGGTACCCAACTAATATTAAAGGCCCCGTTAGCTCCAAGGGTGAATAACGCTTTGCACTAGATAAATCTCTTGGCGGATAGTACGGTACATTATTCTGCTGGGACACTTATCCGCGTGATCCATAGCAAGTTATGCCTTGGATGGCGCAATCCGTCCTTTGAACAACTGGCCCGCTATAATAGATTTCAATGTTCAGAATAAATCAATACAGGAATACAGGCTCCGTTAGCTCGAAGGGTGGATAACGCTATGTACTAGATAAATCTCTCGGCGGATAGTGCAGTAAATGTTTCTGTTGGGACACTTGTCCGCTAGATCGACAGCAATTATTCCTTGAACAACTTTCCTCTTATAATAGATTTTAAAGGTCAGAATACAGGAAGTCTAATACAAATATTGGTTTTCCCTTTCAATGGCATCATTTTTATTATGTAAGACCCTTGTCACTTTGCAATGTAACAATGCAATTTTCATACAGGGAACGATTCCAATTGTTAGGTCTAAAAAAATGCCTACTCCGGCAGAAATTAGTTTGTCCACGTGGTACAGTGTGCTCGGATTTTTCTTTAACTTAGAATTCTGGCAGATGTTATGAAACAAATTTTCCTCAAATATCTTTCAAGTGCAATTCCGTCTATGAATCTCTAAATTGTAAACCGTTCGGAATGTTACGCTGTCTTATATCAGTTCCATCTTTATGGCGATGATTTTTTTCAGTTGCGCAGACCATTTGTGATACTGATAAACCATGCCTTAATGGATTGAACTGTTCAAGTAACACAAGCAGCCCTGCTCAATACAATTGTGATTGCGGAGACTGGTTCAAAGGCAAGAATTGCGAAGGTATTTTTTTAAGACTCGGTTCGTCTCCTATATAATGACCTACAATCCTGTTACACACACACACTATACTTTATTTCATGCAAATCATTTTGCCATCTCCACCCGCAAATAGCAAAAGCTAGACGAGGCAGGCGGAGAGGAAAGGTTACAGCAGTCATAACAGATAATATAATAATTGTAAAGTAACTAAATAAACTATCTGGATAAATAAGAACTACTGAAAAAAAAAAAAAAAAAAAAAAAAAAAAAAACAAGCTAAAGTTACAAAATATATAGTCTTACAGAATGATATTACAATCAAATTTACTACTAACAGAACTATCAATTATATACATTGAGTCGAGGATGCAGAATTTGCCATTTTTTGTAGGAGAATGGGCACTTCAACATAATCGTCCTCTGCTTCCATTATCGAGAGCAAAAAGTCATGAAAATTTTTCTTAAAAGCTCCTTTGGAGAGTTGACGAAATTCGTTAGGAATTGCGTTCCAAAGTTTAGCTCCAAACCTGGAAAAAGAATCTTGATTTAGATTCAGTCTTGAAGTTTGAACATAATAATTTCCAGACGAAGAAAACCTGGTCTCATGCCTGTGCTTTGAATTAGCTTTAGTGAAGAAATCACAGATGTTAGACGGAGCATTCATGCAGGAAACGTCAAACATTATAGAAGATACTTTTTCAGCATATAACATTTGTAGGGGTACAGTTTAGCCGCTGTGTGAATACCTCCTTTTGAAATATGAAACTGTTCGAAGTTAAACTGCTTAAATAAAAGAATTGAAATTATCATCAGTGTTATAAATAGTTCTCAATGAATATGTCGCCTGCCACGAAAGTCTCATAGCTTTATGTTTATTCAATTGTCACAGTTCGTCTATTCCCGTGTGACAACAAACCCTGTTTGAACGGAGCCACCTGTGCCAATGACGATGAAGATGTATCATTTTATCACTGTCACTGTACTGACGGCTACAGCGGGAAAAACTGTCAAGGTAGGAAAAAAATTCCCATCTGTCCAATGCTTTTTGTATAGTCAGCGCACATGTGCTGATTATGGTGGTTCTTGGTTGGCTAATCGACAAGGATATGTCATCTCTTCCTAGTTCCTATTTACAGCAAAATTGCCTGCTTTAACACCGGTTCCAGTTCCCTCCCTGACATACTCGATGACTTTAAGTCCCAAGTCGCAGAAAATAAGCATCAAGGGGTTATCAGCGCATGTGCTGAGTTAGCGTTTGATGAAGGCTACAAGTTCTTCGCACTGGGATATAATGGTATATGTAGATCGGGTCCGAACGCCCGGGATGAGTACCACAAAGAAAGCGCCACCAGTGATAACAATTGTCCGAATGGCATCGGTGTCAATAAACGTATTGCAGTCTACACCTTCGGTGAGTTGTTTCTTTCAAGATTGACTTTTGATCGGTTTATAAAGCAACGTAATTTTATTGCCACCTAGTAAGCTCCATTCATGGGTCGCCGAGTTGCAACGCAGAAAATCTTCATGATAAAAAAACAGTGAACTCTTATGTTAACCATCTCAAAAACAGGAAACTGTCAATGAGAATAAAGCTGCATTCTTTAGCCTGTCCAGGTCCGATCATTGACTGTATTTATTTCTGTATCTTGTATACTTTTCCTACTAGATAGTCTCTGATTCCGGCTTGCCTTGCAGAAACCACTCCCAAAACGAATATATCTTGGATGTTTCAAGGATTAGTTTGATAAAAGTTTCCTCGACTGCTCAAAATTGAGCCTAGCAGTTTCCTTATTGACACGATGTATTGAACCCGAAGATCATCAGAGGCGTCCATCTTACACATCTAAAATTGCGCTGACCCTACTGAATAACTGTATCACAGTGTTAATATTTACTTTTACTTTCAGAACTACTTCCAAAGCAAATTAGTCTGGGATGTTTTAACGAGAAAAAGTCATCTCGACTTCTGAACGTAAAGTTTGGAAGTTTCTCGACCTCGTACGATGCACAGAATCCATACGAGATGGTCATCAGATGCGCGCACCTCGCCCGAGATATGGACTATGAGTATTTTGCAGTGCAGGACTTTGGCGACTGTCGCACAGATGTAAAATTAGTTGAAAATTATGAATCCTATGGAGAATCCTCCCCAGACAAGTGCCAGGGAGGGGTGGGTGCATCCCAAACCAACTACGTATACCGATTGAGACCAGCATTTACTGGCCCGAACGTGTGCGATACTGTACCATGCAAGAACGGGGGAACCTGCGTGGTGCACTTCAGTGATTCCAGCAGGTACTATTGTAATTGCGGAGAATGGTTTGTTGGTAATAACTGCGGAGGTAAGATATGTGAAGTATTTCAGGCGGGCTAAATAAAAACTGTTAGATAGACTCTTCCCCCACTTCCTCAGTGACCTCTTTCGCAGGATATCAGAAATATTTGAAATGGCATATTTTTTCGATCAAGCCTTTTCCTTCCAAATCTTTAACCTCTGACTTTCGCCATTCCTGCCGAGGTTCATGCTTGTTTTTTAGGTCAGGTAACGTCTGTGTCAAGAGGCCAACCCAGCCAATTTTCATCCCGGTTTCCATAGAATTAAGTAAGTAGTTAGATGGTATGGTATGGGTTACCCCAACATATCATCAGACTACCCTCACAATTCAGCGGTACCCATTTATACTCGTGGGTGGAGAGAAGCACTCTGAGACACTGTGAGAGAAACTCCGTATCATTTTTTTTTTACTATGAAAATATCACATACATGAGAATTTTCCCTGTTGATAATGTACATGAAAAAATTACGCACTCCTGCTTGGCTGAAAACGAGTGCATTCTCATGTAACACGAAAGCAAAGTTGTAACACGAGTGCAAATTACAAATAGCACGCGCACGCTCTAAACATTTCGTCTGTCTTTAGCCTTCATGGTGTTCTTTCATGTACACTATTAAAAAGTAGTAACATGATTTTATGTGCAATTTGGTGTAATAAGCAGTTGTAAATTTTTCTTAGACTGCAGATTGAACTTGCCTTAGGGGTTCATGCAATTTTACTCTCTTTGAAAAATTTACTCGCTCTATTAACACCAAATTTGAGTTCGATTAGTGTTTAGGGACTTTGCTAAACTTTAGTTTAATTCTTATTGACAGTGCAAATTTATCCGTGCGACAGCAATCCTTGTCAAAATGGCGCCACTTGTGGCAACGATCCCCACAACATTTCCAAATACAAGTGTCAGTGCGCAGACTGGTTCACCGGGTCAAACTGTCAAGGTACCTTTATCACCAAGTCAGCTCATTGTCGACAAAATTCATTCTTCGCATAGTGTTGTCAGTTTCATGTCGGTTTGGGAAACTATACTTGTCCTGTTATTCCCCCCTTTTAATCAAATTACACTTCTGATTTTGTTGCTTTTGAAATTGGGGTTTGTGTCGACAAGTCAAGCCTTTAGGCAATCTACGTATTCCTGGTAACAGTGCTACGTTTTTGTTTCCTATTGTTAGTTTCTCAAACCATTTGTGACACCGGAAAGCCGTGTTTGAATGGCAGAAAATGTTTAAGTAGCACAAAAAGTCCGGAGCAATACAAATGCGACTGTGGAGATTGGTTCAAGGGCAAGAATTGCGAAGGTATAATATGATCACTTGAGATCTTTTTCTGTCGTTTTTGGTTTAGTTTCTTTAAGCCAATGACTGTTTGAACAGACAGCTGCGAGGTAAATAAGAAAAAAAAAAAGAAACACTTGAAACAAATGAAGCATAAAAGCAACCGGCACAATTGCAATGATTATGTAAGTATGTGCAATATGCGATGGCCTCGTGTTGTAACCGTATATCACTGGAGTCCTTAGGCAAACCACGACGACAGCGGCAACAAAAGCGCGGTAAATTAAATAATTAAATGGGAAAACCAATTAGCTCAGCGCGTGCGTTTTAAAACGTATTACGTTTTCAGCCATCCTTTGCAAAAAAACAATATGAAATCTCCAAAATTTTCATGGTCTGAGGAATACTGAAGCCTCCAGTGTGAAATTCAATGCTTTTCACAAATGTGATGCTAAAGTTGAAGCGAGACGCCGTAAACGACGGTAAACACATCCAGAGATTCGCATTATTATAACTATAACTATAAATTCAATTTTCGATAGAAGTCTTCCTCGGATTTCCTTTCTGACTGCTTAAGTTCCCCAGAGACCATAAAGACCAGAACCTTTGCAAAATTGAAATTCTCTTCCAGTCTTTCGATGAAAACGGATATATGCAGAGCTTCACTTTATTAACTTGACGGATTTAAAGTATTCTTCAACCAACCCTTTTTACAACCTTTACTAAAGAGGTAGAGCATATTTAGACTTTCTACCTGTAACAGCAAAAGCGTCATCTTTTCAACTCGAAATGTTTCCTATTTACGCAGTAGCAGAAGTATTAGTAGTAGTAGTAGTGGTAGTCGTAGGTTGCTTAGGGTTAGAATAGATAATAGGTAATTTAACTAATTAATATAAACAACTTAAACACAAAAAATGACTACAAACGAAGCCTAACGGAAAAATACTAACACTGATAACACCTAATATACAACTGCAAAAATCGAATAACTTGAAGACGTACGCTAAGCGCCACTTAACTCAAAGTGATAATGCGTAAAAGAAACTGGCTTTAAATACAAGAGGACTGCGAAATAACGTGCGGTATGAGAAACATACGAAAAGGTGTAACTGACAAAGAAAAACGCTAACAAACTTAACAAAAAAAAACACGAACGAGGAGGAGTGAAAAAATGAATAAACAATTATATACGAATTACGCGAAAAAACAATTAGCAAGGGCTTAAATCTTACGCTACCTTAAGAATATTGTTTGAAGCGAGGGCTATGACTCAATTGAAGTCGTAACTTAATACCAAAGATGCAGATATAACTTGCAGCTATTTACTAATTTATACTAATGTTGATGCTTTTAGTTCGACTTTTTCCGTGTGATAACAAACCCTGTGTGAACGGAGCCACCTGTACTAATGACGACCAAGACGTGTCATTGTATCACTGTAACTGCACTGACGGCTACAGCGGGAAAAACTGTCAAGGTAGGAAAAAATTGCACTTGATGTTCCATTATCGTCACACCTTAGCTGATTACAAGATTGTTTTTTATTTTTCTAGTTCCCGCTTTCAGCAAAATCGCCTGTTTTAACACTGGTTCCAGTTATCTCTCTGACGTACTTGGTGACTTTAAGTCCCAAGTTGCAGATAAAAAGCATCAAGTGGTTATCAGCACATGCGCTGAGTTGGCGTTTGATAAAGGCTACCAGTTCTTTGCACTGGGATATAATGGCTTATGTCGATCAGGACCAAACGCCCGGGATGAGTACCACAAAGAGGGCGCCACCAGTGATAACAACTGTGTGAATGGCATTGGTATCAATAAACGTATCGCTGTTTACACTTTTGGTGAGTTCCACGTTGATAACATTTGTTTAACCGTAAGTGACAACATTTGTCAGAATGGCGTCGGTATTGGTAAACTTATTGCTGTCTACACAATTGATGAGACACTTGCATTTAAAACCGAAGTTTGCTTCGTTTTCTATTATTGTTTCCATAAAAGAACTCACGCCTATCTCAAACGGGAGGTGAGAGAGCTTGGAGAGCTAAAACAGCAGCGAAAAAGCGATTTTCTCTCTCCAAAATCCTTTTTTTTTTTACGTAGAGACAACCTTTTGCCATATCTTTCTCCCTGGCGAGTTGCAATGTTGGCCCCGTGGCGATCCCAGAAATCTTTGCGCAAACACAAGGATTCGATCATTGGAAACTCAGTCATCCAGTAAAGATTGCCTTCCATTAAGAATCTGGGGGTAACGTCAACGCTTTTTCCCTCTTGCTACGTTCTTATCAGACTTGAAGCTTGCTTGACATCGTCAGAATAATTTAGCTATCATCCTATTCGTTACACATACACGTGCCTTTTTTTTTTCTCTTAGAACTGCTCCCAAAACAGATTCCTCTTGGATGCTTTAAAGAGAAAAGATCCTCCTCCTCCCGACTGCTCAGTGTAAAGTTTGGGAGTTTCTCGAGCTCATACGATGAACAGGATCCTTACGCAATGGTCATCAGATGCACGCACCTCGCCCGAGACATGGACTATGAATACTTTGCGGTTCAGAACTATGGTGACTGTCGCACAGATTCGAAAATAGTCGACAACTATAACACGTACGGAGTTGCAACTCCAGACAAGTGCCTGGGAGGAGTTGGTGCATTGCTCACCAATTATGTATATCGGCTAAGACCAGCGTTCATAGGTTCAAATGTGTGCGATACTGTACCGTGCAAGAATGGTGGGACATGCGTTGTGCATTTCAATGATCCGGAAAAATATCACTGTGAGTGCGGAAGTCTCTTTGCAGGGGACAATTGTGAAAGTAAGTGTTATTTTGAAACCCATGTAAATTAAGCTTCTTTATTATATTAATAATACTGGAAACGTCCACAAAGTATATTTTGTTTGTACTGACGATTGGCGAGCTGACACATTGACTCTTGTTGACAGACAGAGTGACTGGGACAATTAAGTGAAAATAATAAGAAACTAGCATTGCTGGTATCGTTGCATTTGCTTGAACTAGTAGTTGGTAGCTAAAAAACTTCCTGCATTCTACTAAACTTAACTTGACTATTTTCCTTTCTTGCTAGGTGCACTAATAAAGTAAACACATGCCGCTGGTTTGGCGAAGACAGATACCCCTAGCTAGTTTAATTGGATTGTAAATTTACATTCTTAGCCATAACAAATTGAATTGCCTTATATTAATTTTTATCAGAGTGAATTTAAAGAAACCTTTACGTCATTAATCGTTGATCGATCCGTAAAGAAACCCGCGAAGAACACTTGAGGACACTTGAAGAAACATGACCGCAGTTCGATGGAAATATAGGAGTAAACTAAGAGATGTAGTACATCAATCCGCATAATATAATTATTAGTTTAAATTGTAATGAAAAAAATTAAACTTGACCCTTGTTATATCATCACAAAATTCAGCTGATTCAAGTTCTTCCGAAACCCTCCATTTTCCTCTCCTTTTAAATTCCCAATTATCATTCTCCATGAAAGATACAACATTCGAACGCATGTGTGAAAGATCTGGGAAGCGTCGCAAATAGAAAGAGAAAATGGCGGTGTCTCATTTTCTTCTTGTATTCGAGGTCCATGATGAGCCATGATCATTTTTTTCTTGAATTCGCGGTCCATGTCAGTCATTATGTTAAAATTCTCACTTTTTTTACATAGTTTCACATGCATATTACGTATGGTTCTTTATTTCAAAAGTTTGTCCGATGGTAAAGCATTTCTGCTTACTCGCGATCGTACATTACCTTAAAACTACTTATGTCAGAAAGCAAGCTGCAGCTGTAGGTTTGGAGAAAGATATCGTCTATAGTGTGAGACAAAGAAAAATTCCCACGAGGAATCGACCTAATAGTGAGTAAAATAGAGCTACTTTAACTTTGTTTTGTAGTAAAATCAACCTCGATCAAGTGATCATTCGTGTAAAACAACTTTACATTTTCCTTTAATTCGTTCTATTTATCTGTCAGTGTTACTAATTTTGATCTCTCTTAAAAAGAGTATTTGGATAAAGAAAGATCTGACTCTTGTATGAAAACAACTGACTCTTGTATGAAAACAACTGACTCCAACTGAAACAAATTGACCTCTTTTGTGAAAAATTGTGACCGTTCTTTCGCACGCTTTTTTCTCGAAGAAATTGAGCATTAAACGAATTGACCGATTACCGAGACGCTCAGTTCATTAGTTACTTAGGAACCTCATAAATAAATCAATTTTTTTTGCTGATTGCTTGTCCCTTTCACACCAGATGTCAATCTTTTATAAGATTGGTGAGACGTGGACATTGATTTGACTGGAAACTGAGCTGAGCAAATACAGGCGTGTGCATGTCATGTAACTCAACTGGCACCGGGGTTCATTGTGTGTCGGAATCAACCACGGTTTAAGTTTCTTCGCAGGCTGAGAAGCACTTCTCGTTATAAAGCACGGTGGGTTTGATAATTATGGTCGACTTTGATTTACAAATTTAATTTAGACTTCAAAGGGGTCATGGTTTAAAGATTTTTTGGCAAGTAGGGCAGACACTCTCTAAAGCGGTAAGCTAAACTTCTTGCTGCAAGGTCAATGCTAAAAAAATACTCTACAGATCAAGTCGTTTCACACATTCCCTTAGGGCTTCAGCTCTTGCCACAGGAACGAGCACTCAGAATTATATGCTACCTCACCTTTCCCAGGGGATGATCGCTAACAAGCGCCTCAAATTTTAAAGTCATCTATAGTCATTTCGGCGTGTTACGTTATATGAAATAATACCTTGACTCAAGTGAATTCTGGTCTTGTCTAATTGCGAATAAAAAGTGATTCACAGTTTTGGTGGCAGTACTATGCATTAATATGTATGCACTCTCTGAAGCAGAGTGGCACTTCTACTGGTCTCCTAAAACGGACTTTTACCTAAAATGTATATGAGAGTATGTACAGTAAGCATAAGCAAACTTCCGTTCGATAAACCGCATTTACATCTCATTCTTTCATCTTTAATCTTTGATAGACGAAAACGAACTTCGGTCAGAATACAAACATGCAATTTCTACTCCACAGAAAACGTATAGTTAACTTAGTAATACAACAGCTCAGAAACTTTTGCAAAACCTCTAAAGAAAATCCTTACGCTCTGCATAGCCTGAATGCTTTTTTGCACAGATAATGAGAGAAGCAATTTTCTAACACAAACTTTTCTGACAGAGTCTTAAAATAAGGTAGGAACGTTAACTAAAGAAGTGGCGTTAAATTTTTCTCCGTCTATATTCGTTGTGACTTGTTCGAATTAAAATGCCGAAGTAATATTTTTTTTCAAATTTTGTTGAAGCAATACTTTCGGTCTAAACTTAAGTAAAACAAAAAGTTCTTAACAAGTTAATTAGCGCATGACATCAGTCAAGTGAATTGCTTTCACAAAGAAATTTTTCTGTCTCCTTAGAGACCTGAGAACGTATTTATATATGGAAACTGTCGGCAGTTAATGAGAGTCTCAGAAATGGAAACAGTTTGACACTTACTTATGAAAGTGGTATAGACAACGTAAATATTTGCCGTCAAGTTATGACCTTGACTGATTTCAAAAGAGTAATAATTTTGCAAAAATATCTGAATAGGACACACGCTTCTCACCGAAAAAAATTTTGAAAATGCACGGAACATACGGCAAAAGCCACAGTTCTTTAAAATATACTGCGGGAACAAGTCCTACCTTATTCCTAAGGAGCTGCTGTCGTATAGATTTCTATGTATGCGCAGCTGCAAGCTGCCAATTCCCGTCGATTTTAGCCGCGAGTTCTGAAAACTGTTTTCTCGTTCCATCTCGACTGAGGAAGACCTTTTATAGCTCATAACAAAAAGTAAACATGATAAACAATACTCGGTACTAGTTTCGAAAAACAATGACTTTGTAGCTTTTTCAAGCGACGAAATTAGATTTGGATTTCATGATACATCATTCCCAGACGCGATACAAATAATATATGGCCGGAAAAACAAAACAGTGAATTGTCTTCTTTACAACGGTTAATGTTATTAAATACTAATATGTCCCAAAAGTATCGTTCATTTGAAGATTTCGTTTTAAAATTTTGCAGTTTTCAGAATTTCTGGTCGTAAAATCTAATAAACAACAGTTCAAGTATGGTAAATCCTTCCACAAGGGTCTCTTAAATGCAAGAAATTTGTACGTTTTTCTCTTTGTTTAACGAACGATAAATATTATTTTAAGATGGGATATGACTTGAAAGTATTGTTCAATAACGTTTTTAATTTAAAAGTCGTACAATTTCAGAATTTTCAAAATTTCCAAAACAAACCTACGCAAGTTTCTGACGGTGAATTCTAGTAAAACAACGACTCAAACAGGCTGAATCAAGTAGCGGTCTCCTACATGCAAGAAATGCTTAAAGTTTACAATTCTTTGAATAATGCTTTGGTGTCTAAATATTTCTTGGTCGTTTTTGCCTTGTCGTTTATGGGTAATTACCTAGAAAACCCGACAAAGTTGTTATAAATTCTCTTTGCATGCACAACTTCGAGTATAACTTTCGTGCAAAACTCTTATGCTATATGGAACTTGCTAATCACAAAGGTCGGTAAATTCTATTGAAATGTTTATTCATCTCCCTAAGGTTGGATGTTTACTGTTTTTGTTTTCCAAATTCGAAAGAAAGTGCACGAAAAGCTATGAACTTTCAAAATAGGCTCCCACGAGCCAAATTCTGATGTGAGTAACATGGAGCAAAATCAGCTTCATTACCATCATCTCAACTTCAAGGAGTTTCCATACCATCATGAGAAATGATAAAATATAAAATCCATGTCTGCCCTGTTAAAATAGTGCTGCTTAATATTGCCGGTAAACTGGATTGATGCTAGAACCAAAAACACTTTGCCACATTCTTATGTTTAAACGCGTGGGGACTACCTCATGAACAACATAGACTGATCTGAGTTTGGTAATGATGAACTCGACCCATGAAAGTAGCTTAATGGTATCCGTAAGATAACCTTAGCCCTACACCGCCATTTGTACTCTATCTGGTAGATCCGTTCGTCGACCTATTTTTGAGTAGTGTTCACGGTTTTTTCAGGAAATGAGAATTGCTCATTTTGCATTCCGTGAATTGCGAAATGTCCGTAGGTTTCAATGCGAAACGTGCTCTGGACACCTCTTAGTTTTTGTTTAAGGCGCCATTTTTATCACTGAATAGTGGTTAGACACCCCATTAGCAGAAGAGCTTAATCTAAGGAAATTTGAAAAAGGCCCCATGGAGACGCCTCCCCAGAATTCACATTGTAACGTATGGATATTTATAACATTAACGCTGAGAGCATAAATCTAGACTGTATTTGACAGATTGCAGCACGGCTCTGGTACGTACTTGACTCATCCATTTACCATAGTGTATTTTAAAATTCGAGAGCAAGGTTAAAATGCTATTCATGAATCTAAAGGCATAAGAGTTGTAAACCTCCACTGGTCACCTTTAAAGATGAGCTCATTCAGCTTTGATAAACCTGCTCGTTCATTTTAGGAAGTATATTACACAGTATGGAATCAAATGTAGCACAGCAAGCGTTGTGTGCGTCACCAGATATTACTCAGCTGCCAGGATTGTCATTTCAATATCAGGTTTTTAACGACAAAATCTGCGTTCAAGAACGGTTTTTTTTTT